AACCGAGCGCTACTCTTTCATAATCCTTCGTCTTAGAATTCATATCATAAACAGCACATACGTTTGCAAGTCTCTCGTAGCAGTGCTCCGTGATAAGGCGTAAAGTTACTACGTTATCGAAATACTAAAATCTATCGATATAGGCTTTTATAAATTACTTCTCTCGTACTATCTAGATAGAGAGAAGATATTAGACGAGAGGTTTATCTTTCTCGTTATACTATCGCCTAAGAGTAGACTAATTATTATCCGTATCTCGAGATATCTTTATAAAGATATAGGCGTACTATAGGCCTTAAAATTTAAGCTATTTTTCTTATATCCGATCTCTTTTAGCCCGAATTTTAGCGAATATTTTAGAGCGCCTAGAGATATCTCTAAAGTATCGCTTTATCTATACTTAGACCGCTCTATTAATATACTAGATATATAGAAAATAGTAAGACTAAGAGAAGAGCGAACTTAACGTAGATTAGAGGGCCGAATTATCGTCGGTAATAATAATAGAGAGTCTATTTTCGATTCCTATAGTATCGTAAATAAGCTTTAACTTTTTAAGTAAATATATAAAAGCCTTAGTCGTTTCGTACTCGAGGAAGCCTACGCCGATAAAAAACGACTTATTATTAGCCGTTACGCTAATAATATTAACGAGCGGTATTCTAAATCGATTAATTTTATAAGTTACGTCGATTAGAATAACGTTAGAATAACGCCGCTATTAATTAAAAGAGCGGTAGTAAAATAGGACGAGTCGACGTAGTCTTAGTTACTCGTTAACGTCGATATAAGAGACGAAGTTTCTCTCTCGAATACTATTTATAAGCGCCTAAAGATTAATCCTACCTACTAAATTACTCTTATAAATTCTTTATCGCTCGTTAATAACGTTCTTATAGATTATCGGAATATCGATATAATATAAGAGTATCGATAGGGTTTTCTTTATACTAAAACCTTCCTAGAAATACGCTTTAATAAGCCGATTTAGCCCCCGTCGACGCGCGCGGCGCCTTAAAGAAGGATAATTCGAATAAGGTTTATAAGAGTAAGTAAGGTCCTAAGGCGTTTAAATAAAGTACTCTTCTTTATTATTCCTCTTTATTATAAGCTTAAACCGATAGTCGCGTAATAGAGACGCTTTATTCCTCTTCCTATCTTCTATCTCGACTTTACGAGAGCTCCGAGTATTCGCCCGATTATACACGAGATATACAGTCTTAACGTCGCCTCTATTATCTCGTACCCTCTAATACATACGTATACCGTACCCCCGCGGATAGGACTACTTATCGAGCGCCTTAAAATACGCTTACTCGCTCGAATAGGCGGTAGAAGGAGGAGGGTTAAAATCACGCCTTATAGTAGGCGTAGGAGATAATAAATCGGTATCGAAATCGTCGTCGTCGATATTATTATCTATCGCCTAAAGGTACGCCTCGAGTACTTTATCGAGGACTTCCTAATCGGCGTTATACTCTTAGGATACTATTACTACTAGCGCTTCAAAAAGAGTTAGCTTAATTATAGAGTTTATAGCGAAAAATTAGTAATTCCTATATAACTATACGTTTATAGTTTAAGAAGAACGCATCGATAACACTTAACGCGTCTAGCGCGTTCTGCGCGTCATTTGGGCGAAATAAGCACAATATTATTGCCTAAACAGGTAAGCGAAAATCTTCACCTTATTCAGTTTAGCGTTTGGGCGAAATAAGGATGCCTTTGGGCGAAATATAGGCTGCCCTGGTGTTGATGGGTGCCATGGTGGTGTGCTTTTCCCTTCTCTTCCAACGCCCCTTGATTGTTACGGTCGTTTTGCTAACCTTTGACCACTCAGGGTGTGTTCGCGGCCAGCATTTCAATACCGTCGGTTTGAACCCGCGTTTCGACCACTTAAATAGGGATGCGCCCCGTTCGAATTGCGCGCTAATTTAACACCAAAATCCACCTAGGTTCTATATTTTCGTATTTTAGTAGAATTACTCGATACTCGTAGTAGGCCCTATAACTACGCCTATAACTACGTCTATAAACCTACGTCTATAACTAATAGTGTCGATATTAGTATATCTACCGACGAGTCGCTCGAGTTATTATACGGCCTAGCCGCCTATCTTATTATTACTATCGTTATTAATAATAGATCGGCTAGGCGCGCACTATAGAGAGCGTTTCGAAACCCTCTAGAAGGCTAGGAAAGAGTAGTAGAATAGCTCGAATATCCGTATTAGTTATTTAAGGGTATAGAGCTTTATAAGACGACTTTTCTAGCGTTAGCGATACGCCTTAGAGTAACTAGTAGTATAAAGGATACTTATACTATTACGATAGAAGAGTAATTAGCGATATTCCTAAATCTCTATCGAGCCGGTAGTAGCTTTTAATAGACTTAACTACTTTTTAGTCGATCTCTCGTAACGGTCTCTACTTCGTTTAACGCCGTATTACTTACTCTTATCGAGATATACTCTAAGCTTATTAGCTAATCGATAGAGACGTCTCTAGTATCGCCTAAGATCGAGAATAATACTAAATATAACCCTTTCTTTAAAGACTATATAGGAGTATTCGACAGTACTTATATTTATACTTATATCCTAGTTAGCGAGTAATCTCCGTAGCGTAATAGGAAAGGCTTTCTATTATAGAACGTCTTCGCTATCTATAATTTTAGACTTAGGTTTACCTTTATTTACGCTAGTTAGGAAGGTTCTACTTATAATACTAAAGTCGTATAGAACGCTATTCGAAAAGGTCGATTTAAGCCTTCTAAAGGTCGATACTTCCTAGCCGACGTAGACTACTCCTTCTCCTTCTTCTACCTCGTACCTTACTAACGAACGAGATACTACCTCTAGGAATAGGAGTACGTAAAGTTAAAGCCGGTAAATAAGAAGGAGTTATTTAATCTAAAATACTCTTAACTACGAAATTATATTAAGCGAGTATTCGGTATACTAAAGAGGAACCGAAGTTTTATATACTATAGATAGCGTCTACGTTTACTCTTAAGTAATAGATAAACCTTATTCTAGCGTTAACGGCGGTTTATAACCTAAATATCGATCTTAACCCCGATCTTAGGCGAGATACCGATTTCACTAGTCTCGCGTAAATCGACCGTACGTTAGAACTATCTCCTATATATACTCCCTTAACTACGTTATCTACCGACGCTAAATCGATAAATAAACGACGAGATAAGATAGTAACGGTAATATAGAATAGCTATACGGTAACTATAAGAGATAGGGAATAAAATATACTATAATTTATACTAACTTGAAAAAGAGATAGATCTATCTACTATAATACGATATTCTTACCTAACTGCCTCGATAACTTATATTCTAACTATTTCTTGCGCGCAGCCGGCTATTTATCGAGTCTAGACTAGATCTCGATATTAATATCGAGCGCTAGTACTCGAATAGCGGCTAGACGAGTTTCGCCTTTAAGGTAGTACTCCTCTAGTAGTTATCTTAGACCTATAGTCCTAGCGGATTCTTTTACTACGTTTTTAGACGAAGTATTCCGCTATACGTATTTAAGAGCACTTACTACGCGCTCTAGGGCATCTAACTGCGCCCGATTAAACGCCTTTCCACCTCTTAATTCGGCTTACGTTAAAACGCTTATTATAGAGCGCTTACGGGAGTTCGCCGGCGTAGTAACCTATATAGATATTAGGGTAAGTATATTCACTTTTAATAGATATTAGGTTAACTTTTATTATAGGATCGTTTTCGTTATTCTCGTTATCGACGCCTACCTCTTCTATATTCTATAACGTAGCCTAGAATATATCTTCTACTAGATTTTGGCTAGGAGACGTATTATTATCCTCTTCCGGCGTTACGCTATCGTTAGCGCCCTATAAGTATAATTCTTTAGCGTAAGTATCTATAAAAATCTCTACTAATAGGTTATAAAAAGGTAACGGATTATACTATTAATATACGTTTTTAGGGTCGGCGGCGATAACGTTACGCTATTTATCGTCGTTCGCTTATATACGATTATACTCGTCGACTATTACGCTTGATTACTCTATAATTTAAGTCTAGGATCGAAAGTCGTTCCATAACTACGCTCGCTCGAAGTGGTTAATAAACGATATATACGAGTACTTAAAAAAAAGGGCTATATTTATATACTATTTTACGCTTACTCTTTACCTACGTACTAGACGATATTAGAAGGTTCTTCGCCTTAAACTCGTCGGTAATATCCTTATAAACGCGCCTCTTAAAGTTACCGTTTACCGTCTATTTAGTGCCTTTACGCACTATAGCGATATACCCGTTTAATAGCGTCTTAGTAGCGATATCCGTCTAAGGGTAACGCGGCGCTTATAACGCTTTTATTATCTATTACGTATTCTATTAGAAAGCTATTTCTATATATAGTAAAAAAGGTAGTTATTAGAATAGAATTATAGAAATTTCGTTAAAAATAGGTATAAATTAAGGGGTACGAATATCGAGAAGTTTAAAGCGAGCGTAGCCGAACTGCGTCTTAGATACGTAGTTCGCTACCGTCGGTTTAAACTGTCGATTCGATATTAAAAGGGCGCTAAAAAACCGCGTTATACGCTGTCGTACTTGGCGTTACCTACTCTCAAAACGCGGGTAGCAACTTGTCGATTTGAGCGCGTTTTGTTGCTAGTTGGCGGTTTGAAATGCTGGCCGCGAACACACCCTCAACAGCGCTAAGCAGTCCCGTGCTTTCTCCTGTCCTCCTCTACTGCTGCTACTAGTACTATAGTATCAACCCCTTCTCTTCACATCGGTACCGACTATTTCGCCTACCCGCTTCCAGAAGGCCTTCTTCCTTCTTCGCTCCTTATCCAAGATTCTCAGCAACCGCAACACCCCCGTCGGCCAACGTAACGAGCTCGCCCCCAGCTGTCCTCCATCTGCCGCCGCGAGTCGGTGTAGAGTCGTCTCGATCGCGCTCCTACGCCAGTCGAGGGACAGACGAGAGTGACAAGCATGATCACAATCCCGGACGTGAAAAGAGCCCGAGTGGAGTTGTGTCCCCTACCTACCTATTCAGGGATGATCGGAGGGTTGAAGGGATAGGAGGACACTAACTTTCCCTTTGGCCCAGCAGCGGAATCCAGGATCTTGGGCCTCAGCCAGTTGGGTAGCAAGCCCACTACCGCAACCACTTTATCTTCCCCGGGAGTCTGTTTCCAGAGTTCCTCCGCCCCCTCTGGCTCCTTTGGCTTGTTAGGGGTTCCTGGCTCGGCTCTAGTCCTGCGTAGTCGCTGTCCGGTGACATCCACGGTCGCAGGAACTGTCAACGCCAGCCCGACCCTTGCTGGCTCTTGGTCTTGCCGCACATTCGGTATCAGTTCTATCACCTTGAACGATTCAACCAATGAAGCTGCAAGATGACAACACAAGTAGGATGTCCAGCTGTTGAACGAGGGTTGACTGAGCAATGGGAGTCAAACGAACGTCAAGGTCGTCACATCAAGCACTGGCCTGCAAGCCAACCAGCGTCTGTTCATGACCAATCTCCGCTGGCTTCTGTAGGCCCTGAGCCCGATCCGCGGGCGAGTTGACAACTTGCTATAACAGCAAGGCTCGCCTCAAGACAACAGCGGTTCCTGAGGACACATCAAGTGGAATGCTGAGTTGTCTACCTAGGTACAGCACCATGGCAGCGTATAGTGTCCACTTCTGCTGCAACCGCAAAGGCTCCTGTCTGCGGCCCTGAGTGGCGCAACTTATTATCTATGCTGCCATTACAAACCCCTGCGTATAGCCATGCGTATAGCCATGAAAATCCACTCGGGAAGGACAAATGGCGTCAGGTCCGCCGTGAACTTCGCCAGTTGGGCTGCTCAGCCAGTAGGTGGTCTTATTGAGAAATAATGAGGTTGCCTGCTCATCGCTCTGAATCTACGGTACCGAGCAATTGTAATGTCATGAGGACACTCGGATGACCCAAAGGGGATGTGGGCCGAAGACATCATAAAACATAGACAGGCAGCGGTGTTTTCACCTTGCCTTTATCTTTATAACCACTGTCCTGCAGTTTCCATAGATTATAGATCTCAAGTGCGAATTCGGAAGCATATATACTACCTGACCTAGGTATTCAACATGGCAAATCTAGACAAGGAGGCTATTCTCGCTCTTGGGCAGATCGACCCTGAATTCAAAGCGGTTTGTCCATCTATGCCCTTGCAACTGCTAGTGTAATCTTACTGATGGCATGGTATAGTTCCTCGATTCCGCCAACCTCCCACCAGTCAACTATGACAATCTTGAAGAGTACAAAGCATACGTTGCGAAACGTGACGCGGAGATCATCAAAACATTCAGCCCGCCTCCTCCAGAGATTCGAGAGACTGAGCTTCAGTATCCTACAAGAGACGGGGCCAGCCTCCGCGCAAAGCTCTACCAGCGCACCACTCCTCTGCCAAGTGGAAGCCCACTGATTGTCATGTTCCACGGTGGTGGTTTCTGCGTTGGTAGCCCCGAGCGAGAGGAAGAGAGTTGTCGCACCTTCACCATGGCTTTTGGCGCGACGTGCATCTCGGCATCCTACCGATTGGCTCCCGAATTCAAGTTTCCCTACGCTCCCAAGGATGCATGGGATTGTCTGAAATGGGCCGCAGCATCCGCAAAGTCCTGGGGAGCGGATCCATCCAAGGGCTTCATAGTAGGAGGCACCTCAGCCGGAGGGAATATTACGGCGATATTGACCCATTTGGCTCGCGACGAGAAGTTGTCACCTCCCTTGACAGGCCAGTATCTCGCCATTCCAAATCTGATTCCGGAGAAAAAGTGCCCGGAGAAGTACCGGCCGTATTTCCTGTCTTATGAACAAAACAGGAACGCGCCCGTCCTCCCAGTTGCCGCCATCGACATGTATATGGGTGGCTACCAGCCTGACGAAGACGACGGAGTCTGGTATGCTGTCGTCAACCATCCCAACGGACACAAAGACTTGCCTCCGGCCGTCTTTCAAATCGACGGCTTGGACCCGTTGCGCGATGATGGACTCATATACGAGCGCATCTTGCGGGAGGAGAACGGAATCAAGACCAAGACTTTCATATACCCTGGCTTGCCGCATGGCCATTGGGGGTTATTTCCGTTCCTGCAGAGCAGCGTGAAGTTTCGCATAGAGCAACTGGAAGGCATGGGCTGGCTTCTCGGAAGAGAGTTGACACGAAAACAGCCAGCGTGAAGGCCATACAATCGCTTTGAAGCAGTGGACTTGCCATGTAATAAACCTTTACGGTACACATTAATAAACAGGGCCAAAGCAATCAAGGAGGCCGTGGGTTTTGTGTCTCATTCCATCATGGCGCCGTCATTTAAACGACAGACAACGGCCCGTCTTGCTGTTCATTAGGTAGTCAAGTAGTCCCCTTCCCCTTCTACTTCTTCCTCTCCCGGATCTTGAATTTGACTCCATTCTTGTTGACCCCTCCAACAGTCCTTGCCATCTTGGCGCGTTGCAGCTCCAGTTCGTCGGCAGCCGCAAGGATTTCCCGCTGTCTCTTCCTGAGCGCCTCGAGCTTCGCAACCCGCATCTCTTGTAGCCGTCTTCTCTTCTTCCGCTCTGCGCGAAGCCGTGCCGCTGCATCTTGTTCCGCCGCCAATGCCTTTTTCGACTTGCGCTTGGTAGATGGCGGGTTGTGGTCTACAACATCATTCTCGTCCTCAGAACTGAGATGCTGTTGCTCCACTTCGCCAGAAGTCCCATTCACAAGAGTGTCCCCGACGACTCGGACCTCGCCATCCGAAGTTCGCTTTTTGCCTCGGGTGGAACCAGGTTCTTCATTTCCGTCATCAAATACTTTTCTTTTACCCAGCACACCACCCGCCACAGTCACAGCATCCATACCAACCTCCTGCTTCAGCTTTTCAATCTCTTTCCTCCCTCTGGCCGCGACCGTCCTCAAATATCCTGCATCCTGGGTCTTGAGGAGTTTGACCGCATCATGGCTCAAGGGTCCCGGTGCGGTGGCAGTAGAAGCAGCCTTGTGTTTGCCCAAGCCGGCCTTGCCCTGGCTCAGCATACCAAAGGCGAACTCATCGGGATTCTTCTCGCGGGCTTTTTGGGACAATTGGGCCAGTTTCTTCTTCTTGGTGTTGTAGTCCTGCGCGCGCAGCGAGTAGTCCTTGTGTTTTTCTAGCAGACCCCATTTCTCGCGGGATTGGGGCTGGGATCGCTCTTTGTGAGGCCGTCGGGCGACGGCGTTGCGGAGGGACGACATGGCGATGGCGCCGTCAGTGAGAGTTCGACTATGCGCCGGTCAGAGGAGGGAAGGGAGTCCCGGGACAAGCACTATCGAATGGGAGGAGGAATGGGTGTGTGTCGGCGGTGGTGCAGACGAAGTTGAAGGTCTCTGTCTAGGCCACAGGAATCTCGGGCTGTGGGCAATTATGATAATAGTCAAATGCTTCGCGTCGTGATTATTATTTAGTGATAATAATAAAATTCCAGACTCGGAGACGGAAAGTATAAAAAGTGGTGGAGTTGAATGAAAATCCGGCGGCCACTTCGGTCGGCGAGTGTTGATGCCGGGGTTCAGATCCAAGTCTGGCGGCGTCTGCAGTTCAACCTCCACAGTCAGTTCACTGCATCAAACTCGTGAGCTCCGGTTTCCAATGCTTGACCATTACTGACTACAACTTTTCATTTGCAATTTGAAACGTGATACCTGGTCTTCCGCCTATGTTCAGCGTATTGCTGTCCCTTGAAGCAATTTACTAAGGGTCACAACAATACTACACCTTCATCCTAGAGCATGGACATGGCCTCTTCTGTCGTGCCCGAGCCGCAACCGGCCACCACAACCAGCAGACCACAGCAGAACCTGCGTAATCCTCTCCCTTTGTCTCCAGCTCAGGAAGCGGAGGTCCGTCGAGCATACTACGCACGAGTACGTTCGAGATGTCAAGATGAGATCAAAGGTGGGTTGTGTTTGGCGTCTTGTTTGTGGGAGAAATATATCCTATGCTTGTTAGGAGATTCCTGTTTCAACTGGCTTTTTCACCGCTGACCGACCCTGTCTTGCTTTCCTTTTTCTCTTGTGGGCGAGTATCAAATGCTGACCGTCGTTGGTATCCAGAGTTCGCCGATTGTGCCCGTGGACGAACGATAACCGTGGCATGGAACTGCCGGGCTCAACATCACAAGATGAACAGCTGCATGATCAAGTGGGCGACGAAAGCGGAAGAAGACGCTGCGCGAGAAGAATGGTTTCAAGGGGTTTTGGACCGACGGCGACAACGAGAGGAAGAACTGGCCGCGGTCGAAAAGAGAAGACAGGAGGTCATTGAATTGACCAGAAAGCAAGAGGAGAAGGAAGCGCTGGAGGCGGCGAGAAAGCTGGCAGCGGATAAAGAGGGTGAGGCGAAGAAGAAGAGCGGAAGCTCCTGGTGGCGGTGACGATCGAGAAAAATAAAGAAAAGAAGAATCGATGGGAATCTGTCCGGGTGCGCTGTTCTGGTGACACCGTTTCCTTGGGACTGACATCTCGAGGTTCGGTCTTTGCTCACATTCTGGACAAGCTTATGGGCAAAAGGAGAGGAGGGTCTGAAAGATGCTGTGCGAATAAGTCTCTTCGTTCACTATTGCTGCTGAGTCAAAACAGCCACCATTGGGGCAGCCCGAACTCATCGCGCGCGTCTCCGGCAATACGAAGACGCCCACCGCCGTCCAATCGACAACCTTGGGCTCGAGTATGCGAAGTACGGACTTGCCCTGATCGCTTATACAAGACACAAAAAGCAAAAACACAGCAATGGGCAGGGCTGTTTCGCTGGCAACAACTTTTCAGCTCACCGACAGACCTCGCCATGTCCAATCCTATTCACACCACCCCAGCTGTCGTGTAGTATTGAAAGCCGCATCACCAGAAAACCCACCACGAAGGCCAGCAGACGAGTCGAGCTCCAAAATCCCGGCCTATCTGCAGATCCAGTCAATCTACAACACAAACCGTTTGTATATTAAGAACCAAATCTCACCTCAAATATCGAATCAGCCAGCGGGCAACAACAACCTTCAGGCCTCTTCACCACCGCCATATTTGGCCTTGACGTATTCCCACTTTCTGCGACTTGCCTCAATCAGAGCCTCATGCTCATCCTCATCGCTGGCAAACGGACGTCGTCGTCTGGTGGCTTGGTCGTTACCCGAGTCATAGTCATCATCGAAAGGGTTGGACATGTTGGCTCGGCTTTGAATTTGGGCTGCTTTGGCTCTGGCTCTGGCGGCATCATGGCGTCGTTCCTGGACTTGGCGATAGAGAAAGTACGCGGCCACAAGCCAGACCACGCAGTTGGCGAGGGCGATGGCCGATTCGAAGGGAGAAACGTAGTATTTGCTATGTTTCTCCATTTTGAGCAGCTTTCGTCCTTGAGAGCTGAGTGTGTGTTTCAGTCGAGTGCTTGTGGATGGGGTGGAGTGGAGTGAACAGGACTGAACTCGATCTCGATGTCGATCTAAATATGAGAAAGAAACAAACATTTAAAGAAAGGACTCGCAGGCAGCGCAGGGGCACGGTAGCCGTTCATATACTCACTTGTGTCGTTCATGGTTTGCGGTGTGAACCGTTGCCGCAACAAACGCACACTCTGTCCAGGGGAGCACAACGGCGACTCTGAATGAATGAATGCACGAAAGAAAAAGCAGAGAAGAAACGGTCTGTGACAAGAATACTAACTAGGTCTTACAGACCGGCTTCCATTGAATATTTATATACCAGAAAAATATGTGAATATTACAAGACTCAACAATGATATGCCAGTCATTGTCACCACGACAGTCGCCGCCATCTACAAAATATCGCCTTCCCGGATAGTATTGTAAAGCTCTGGTTTCCATTATTGATAGCTAAAGGAATTGGGTATAACTATAGCGGCAACTCTATTCTTGGCTACCTTAGGTGTAAGGTGTCTCTTATGTACAGCTGTCCCCCGTCATCTCGAATTTTCTTTGTATGCAGTCAATGTCGGTGAAGCTACTGCCTCATATCTGGTGATAGACCACGGTAGGGAGGATGACATTCATAACTGCAGCAACAGTGTAATTGGTGTCTTCCCTTGAGGTATTGAATGAGCCATGTGAATAATTAGCTACTACAAGTAGTTAAGCTCAGCTGGACATCACTGGCACAAAGATATCGACATAATATGACACAAGACATTACTAGGTGGCCTGTAGGTAAGGTAGTCATACAGGAAATGATATGAGCGACGAATCATAAGCCCGTTCTCACCTTGAGCAAACCATTCTCGGACAAACAAATACTGGATATCTGCAAACCCAGCCAGCCAGCTGTTTTACTTAACAAAAAGCATCAACGACACAAACGGATTGCTGGACATGATCATTCCTCGACGAGCGAGCACGATGATCGGTAGTGAGTGGCACAAAGAAAGCAAGGCCCTTTGAGCCAACCCAAATAGTATAGATGCGCACGATGCATTTCATGACGAGCAGAACATATGGTGGAAGAACAAACCGTTTAGCAGCTGCTGCATGTCCTTGTCTGGGCAGACGAAAGGGGATGGCTCATCAAGCTAAGATGCCTACCGATGACCAAGATGAACATTTTCTGGCGGCGGCACGGCATCACCGGGTTGTGACGGTTGACTGGAACTGAATGTCCTTCTTCAAACAACAAGGCACGAATGACTGCCATATGCCTCCTGACTCGGTAGCTCGGCGTCTCACTGCCGTCGAGAGGGCCGTCGAGAGGATCATGGCAATAGTTACCCCTGAAAAGAAAGTGACGCACCTGCCTCAGTGGCCGCAATTGTTTGTTGGGTGCCAGGAGTTTCTAATCTCGGATCAACTCTCAAGGATCACTTACCGCAATGTACTCAGAGTGCATAGGTTCAAACAGCTGGACGGCGTGGCATGCGCATGATGCGTCTCAAGCGACCTTCCGTCGAGGGACATGGATGGTTCGAAGTCCAGTTCCGGATGTATCTTCATCCCTGCAAGGCTCGAATCGAAGTAAGCACAGCCCGCTTGCAGCCCTAGGAGACCGGGTAGGCAAGGAATGGGTGGACTGAAAGTCCTCGCGAGAAATGGTCTTCGACCACGTTATTTGCAATCATGATCAACCCCGGCAAAGTCATTGAAGGTAAGCGCTGGTGTGAGGCCCCTGCCCTCAAGGGACAGGGGGTCGGGCGCGCCGAACACTTACATAAGAACAACGGACTGAGATCTGTCCAGGAAAGTGAAGAGGAGGCTCATTTATTCGGGTCTTGATGTCAAGGATGAACAGGCCCAAATACCGAGTCGTCGCAGCAATCAGGTATAAGCTTACCGCAGGGAGCGAGTAGGTTAGGTGGCCGAGTTCAGACTTACCGAGGCATATGATATCTGGGTATCCCGGAGCCCTGCCAATATCAGGAGAGACTGCAGCCAGGAGGTCGAAGATGACATGCGAGGTGCATGCAAGAAGGGCGTGACAACGGTGGTGTGTTCGAATATGCAAACTCACGAACCGAAGGGGAAGTTCGCTTTTCTTCATCAATAAGCAACAGACTCGAATTGGAGAATGCGCGTATCCTCAATCGGGATAGTGGTAGAAGCAATGTTTCTATTTCGGGAGGCTTCTGGGGTCCGGGTAGTCTCCGGTCGATCGAACGTTTCCCTCCCGGTGTGTGGACGCTGGACACTGCATGACTCTGAGCCGCTTGAAACGTCAGACAGCCATTCAACAGCCGCACTCGAACAAGTCTGCCTTGCACTGTATAGTCTCTCGATGCCTGATCGGTGGGCGCTGCATGCTGAATACGACTGAGAGTCAACGGATACTCATACACTGGGTTGACAGCTTCAAAGAACACGTTAACCCCGTCCCACCAGTCGAAACACACAGTTGGCATTATGTGCAATGTAAGCCAAGACGGGCCTGCCAGTGTGCTGGTTCCGCTGATGAGGCTGTGACTCGACTAGGTTTCATTACTGGAGCCTCAGCCTCGCAGTTGGTGACATAGACGCCCAGAACAAAGGGCAATGCAGCAGGTGAAGTGCTTTAGCCATCGTAGATCTATTCCAAATGCCGGCAGCGACAGCGACATGACACAAACAGGTATAGAAAGCGGAAATTGATCGCATCTCCAACCTTCGAGCAGGGTGCATGGATGACCGAGAGATGGACATGGGAGAGACATGCATAGTATTGGACAATGAAGCATCAATTGCTGGCATGCTCGAATGCACTAAGCCAAGTGCATATCGCCTGGATTGCAACCTTGCTCTGCGCTGCGCCTCACTGAGTGATACGACGGCCAGTGTCCTATCGTATGGCTTGTCTGGGAGAGAGTAGATACCTAGTACCTACAAGTAGTACCGAAGATTGTAGCCGCTGCCAAAATCCGCGTCGGTGCGATGAGAGTTAGTAAGCATTAGAGTTAGTAAGCATCGATTGAGTGGAATTAGCGCAGGGCCATGGACCAATGATCCCTGATCTTTGGCAGTTCTAATTCATGCTAAACACTATCCTGACTCGAATGCTGAATGCGCTAAACTGATTTCGTTCAAGGTCGAGCCTTCGTCACTAAAACTGAAAAGTGACAACGATTGTACTATTTTTCGCGCACAGACTCAACCACAGGCCCTTGTCCACACGCTCAAACAATCCGTGACATTGGCAGTCCGAGCCCATCGTCTCTGACCTTTCCTGTCCCTGTCCTCTCTTCTCTCTGTTTTGATCTCGTAGGTCTCTTGCGGCCATCATGGAACCTAATGCATGACAGCGCGGCAGTGTAAGCAGACCTTGACCAAATCCGGACATTGTTCTACAACCAAGCCATGCATCATGTATGCTGCCCCTGGCCATTTCCATGCCATGTCAGTACCAGGCCACACAGTGCAGGGCAGCGCAGGCAGCACTAGTCACCTCGACGGGTTTATGGTCCCAGTGAACCGAATTAGCACACGAAAACATCTCCGGTTAACCCAGTTCAGTCCACCACTACATGGTACGGCCGGTACATCGCCCACTGCACGCTAACACTATTGCAATGCAACGTTGAATGTGTCTCAAGGCCATGGCTCTGCGGAAATAGTATTGTGCTCTCTGGCACAATGCCGTTACAGCTCAAGTAGGGAAAGCCTTGAACAGGGATTCGAACACCTTTCCGGCGGCTCCCAAGGGCTGAGGCCTTGGCTAAGTTCAGGTTCACTACTGCACAAGCACAACCCTCAAATTGTACCGCGCATGTTTGGAAGCTTCACATGCCTTGTATGCATTTTGGTTAGTCTCGTATCCCTCCCGTTCCGGCCCTGGCCGTTGCAAAAGTCCCATCTCACCTGCCCTCCCACTATTTGACGCATGTGGATCCATCCTGTCAGCCCTACAAGGCGGCCATCGTGTAGTGCCAGGTAGCCCGTTACTACCACCGTCATCAGGTACTTACCTAGGTACGCAACTACGGAGGTTTACCCACAGCTCAACTACACCAAACGCCATGTACCAAGAGCGGATCAGGGCAGACGACAGTGCGACGTCGATGCTTGGCTCTGTCCAGCTCTCCGCCCTGGAGATTCCTCCTGGCATAGGTCTAAACTCGTCTCCCTACAAAGAACCCTCTGAATCAAGGAGAGCAATGGCGATGCCTGTTCAATGCGCTTCTCGTCAGCCCCCACGGCTTGCCGGATCTTTTCATTTCTCAGCACACATACCCGAAGTCACCTCATCGCCCATCGATCGCCAGGCACCCGTGGACGCCCTACGAACCTGACTGACCCATATCCGACTAAGGTTTCCATATCTGGCCTAACAGCCGCAGCAGCTGCAATGATTACACATGGCCCATCACCACCATCTCACATTACACCAGCACCCGAGCACGGGGGTCCATCGTGCCTTGCAGAGCCCTAGCTGTGGATCTCACGGGTCCGCAAGTGGACCCGAGCGAGCGGACTCCCATCGATCCGACCATGATCTGGCCCTCACATGCTCGCTCGACCGTCCATCCATGTTCATATCCGTACCTTTGGGCCTTCTGGAAGGGAAGCTATATATCAAGGTCTGTTTCCATTGCCAAATCAAAGAATTGTTTCTTCATTCCATTCATACGCAACCAACAACACCAATACATTCCCTTCTTACCATTTCCTTTGTATCGTTTGATCTTGTTCCAGTTTTCCTGTTCAGCATTTTCGATACATTACTCGCATCAAACAACAGCAACAGCACCCTGAACAGCTCAACCGCGCTTGGAGGTATACGCAAGACAGTATTTCTTTGAGTTCTTCTCTCCACTTTATTTCTCTGGCTATATTTCTTTTCGCGATCATCCATACGGCACTTCCTTGGAGCAAGAGACGCGACCGACCCAACAAGTCAAGAGCCCAAGTCAGGCACTCGCATCAACATATTTCCTTTTTCTTCTCTCCTCTGGTTGATCTCTCTATCGCTTCAATTCCACTTTCTGCTGCAACGACTCCTTGCATCCTTGAAAATCCAAACAACCAGCCCACAATTTCTTTCCTTCAGCTTTTCATATCCTTCTTTTCTCTTCCGATGGCCATCGGACGAGGCGGATACAATACGCCCGCAGGCGGTGCGCCCCAGAAAGGCCGAGGTGGCTACAACAGACAACAGCAACAACAACAAGGCCGCGGCGGATACAATCGCGCAGCCGCCACAGCCATGCAGGGCCGCGGCGGGTATAATTAATGCCGGAAATTAATTTGACCAGGAAACCACCTGGCGCAGGGGAACTGGAGGAAGGGCGGCAATTCTCGATTCTGAACGAGCGGAGGTTTTATGATGGCCTTTCGGCAGACACCATCACCACCATCGCTATCTTCTGTTTCGATTTTCGGGCTTTCATTTTCCAACACAGAACCTGGACAGACCAAAATCACATAATCAGCAAACACATTCGTTGTTTCTTCGGCATTGCCAGCATTCGGAGCGATTCAGCGGCATTACCCGGCGTTGGGGGTTTTTTTTCAGGGGCGCTGTCCTAAGTCGTTGCTCCAGGAGCAAGACACCAGATTAAGGCGCAGGTCGCCGGACAGGATATTTGGCGGTTTGGGGCGTTTTTTGGGAATAGACACTTTGATGTTCAAGACCGACACTCGCAAGAGGGTAAAATATGCTTTGAGAATCACCCCACTGGGACTGTGCGGAAATAAGACGTGGAGGCAGGACCTTTCACGCGGCGTGGGATCGACAGGAGAGATCACCGCGAGTCAAAAAATAGACAATCGAATCCCAGACGTTGATACACCTGGACATGGTTGCAGAAGCTGTTCGTTGTCTTTTCTGATCGTGAACACCGTTTCTTTAGGGTTCTTGGTGCTTTTGGTGCTTTTTGGGCGCCTCCAACGAAGGAGGTCACTCGTAACACAACAACATAAAGTAGAAACGCAAGGTAAAAAAGGAGTTGAAAGAAAAAAGGAAGAGGCCAGACTTACTTTTCGAAGACGACTCCAAGTACATCTTCCACATCACCACCTTCGCCTATGCCGGTGATTTTGGCCAGACAGTCGGCAGCGAAGCGCAGATGTTCTGCCGCCGTAACGATATCGACGCTATCATCGGTGATAAGCGGACTGGGACTGGCTTGAAGAGAGGCGCTCGAGGGTTGCGGGGCATGAGCAATATCAACATCAACATCAACATCATGAGTTTTGGTGCTGCCGTTCAGGTAGTTGTTGTAGTTGGCATCATCAACGTCGCTCCAGGGCGGAGGCAGAGACTCCTCGGGTCCTCCTTGCGTGGGCTGAGGAGGCTGACACTGCTGACACTGGTCAAGAAGGTCATTAAGATGCATCAGACATTGCCGAAGATACATGCTCTGCCGATGCGTGACGGATAGAGAGGCTGTCCAGTACGACTGAGCTTCAGCGGGAGTTAAAGAATCGTCGAGGGAGCCGCCAGAGGAGGTGGTGGCAGATGTCAAATCCTTGAATGCACCTGTCAACTGTGCGAGGAAGGACTGAATACCGCCGGGGTCGGATTGTGCCCATAGTGGCATGGTTGTCGTAGCCGTGGTTGCTATCGCTTCCACTTCCATGTCGGCTGCTCTGCAAGAGATCATGCAGATCCGATGCTCGGGAACCATTGGAAATCGGGCACGGATTCTCCGTAAGAAGCCTTCGATGGTGTGGCTGTGGCTGTGGCTGGAATCGGACTGTTTTTGGTGCTGCACCAGCAAATCGACCTTATTCAAAACCACCAAGATCGTCTTGCCGGCTGCATGGCAGTCGGCCACTGCTTCGGCAACTTCGTCGTTGATAGGAACGTCGAAGTCAAACGACGACGAGTGGTCACCGGCATTGGAGGTTGAGCTTGTCTTCTTCCCGACCGCAAGCAACACCACCACAACGTCGGATTGTAAAGCTCGCTCGCGGGCGCGGCGGATTCCTTCTTGCTCGACTTGGCCTACCACCGCTGAGGGAGTAGTAGTAGTAGACTGACTTCGCCCTCCCGAATCCGATGCAGAAAAAGGGTTCGAAGCTGAGGTTGATGCTGTGGTTTCACCCCCAACCCTTCTGCCACCACGCAACCCAGCCATATCGCCCAATCTACACAACCACCCACCCAAGTCAACACTAACATCAACAATATCCCTCGTCGTACCCGGCTCCGCACTAACAATCGCAGCCTCTCTCCCCACAATGCGATTCAACAACGAACTCTTACCCGCATTAGGAGCACCCAACAACGCAACGCTAATCCCATTCCTCAGCAATTCTCCCTTATTGGCATTCGTGATATGTATTTCAATCTGCCTTTTTAGGGCCTCGACTTGCGTCGCGACCGACGCCATAAATTGTGTCGGTGACTCGTCAAAGTGCTGGTCTTCGGAGAAATCAATCAGGGCCTCCATCTCGCCACGGGCGTATAATAGCATCTTGCGCCATGATTCGTATCGCGAAGCTAGGCCACCGCCAGCGCCACCGTCTGTGCCGTTGACGGCAAGACGTCGTTGTTGTTCTGTTTCGGCTGCCAGGGTTTCGCCTAGCGCTTCGGCTTGGGTTAGGTCGACCCGGCCGTTATAGAATGCCCGTTTTGTGAATTCGCCTGGTTCGGCGGGACGGATTGGAATCCTGTTGCCGGCACTACCGTTGACACTGTCGCTGGCGGTACCACGATCGCTGCCACTCCCATTTTTTGGTGTTGCACCACACGCAGATATGGCGTCAAAAACAGACCGCACGATCGCCGGGCCGCCGTGGACGTGAAACTCCAAAACGTCTTCGCCCGTCACGCTGTTCGGCGCGGGAAAATATAACACCAGAGCGCCGGTGTCGAGGATGCGGTCGCTGTCGGGGAGCGGGACCGGTTGCGGGTGCGGTTGCGGTTGAGGTTCGGAATCATTGTTTTCCGGTCGGTACAGTTTCCTCAGCGTTGCCGTGCGCGGTTTGGGGAGTGGTCGCCCCGGACATAGCTTTTGATAAACGTCTAGACATGCCGGTCCGGAGAGGCGGATTACTGCTATTGCTGCTCGGCCTGGGGCGCTGGATAACGCGTATATCGTGTCCGAAGCGGACGTGTGTCCTGGGCTGGATCGCCAGGTGGTGTACGGATCATCTCTTCGAGTATCGGTCCCGTAATGCGAGATATGTTGTCGAAGACTCGGGAATGGGATAGGAATCGGACACGGACTCGAGCGAGGGACTGCAGCCGTCAAAGTTCGGATCGCTGTTGCGGTGAGTGAAAGTTTGGCATATCTTGGAATCTGCCTCCGTGCCAGATGTTGGCTACTGATGACGAGACATACCATCCGAACGAACGACCTTACATAGGATGGGGGACACAGGGTCGGAGACAAAAGTGTTGTTCTTGTACTGCGGCACGATTGACACGGGCTGGGGCCTCAATTGGTCCTTTTGTACCACTGTAGTTCCACGTGAGGTCACGTGCAGGGTTCATACAAATGCGTTCGAGCACCAGCATGTACAAATTATGGCTCCATCTCCATGTCGAACATTGGCGAGGACATTCGGGTTCGTCAAATAGGTGGGATATGGATATTATACTCGAGCCGGATTTATTACCTACATCGACAAAGGGAACTCGCCAACAACCATGACAATATGCAAACTGACTGACATCAACACCGTGGGCACACTGCAACACACTTGACCACCATCCGACCATGTCCAAATGACCTGGTGTTTCCGATGGAGACGACCCTCTCAATGATATACTTAGTAGTCTCCGTGCAACTTAAGTGTCAAGGGCCACCGGAAGGTCCACGGACCACGGCATGTAAAGGACAGCAGAGGCGCCAAAGGTTCAATTCATCAAGCACTAGTTCCTGTGATAGGTTAGCAACAGATCCCAATTCGATTTATTCTGGTGCAAAAAACAGTTGGAGTTGGACATCAACACGTACAGTAGACCTAGGGTCAAGTCGCCATGGATCTTAGCTTTCAGCTGGACTTCAATGTCGAGGTTCAAGTCGAGTCGTAATCTCAACTGTTCGTTCTCCTCGTCGTCTTTCTTGTCTTCATCTTCATTCCCTCCCTTGGTGTGGAGCAATCCTCCTAGCGCTTCGTGAGGCTTGCCCACGGCCTTGCCGATGTTACCAACGGTATTGTCAACGGCACCCTGGGCACCATCGACAACTCCATTAACAGTCTCGCCGACTTCATCAACGGCATCGAGTGGACCACCGCCGCCGCCTCCCCCTTGTTGTTGAGCCTGAGCTTGAGCCTGGCCTTTGCCGCGGTTGCGGTTGCGATTCCGTCGTCCGCCCTTCTGCGACACGTCGCTTCGGTATGCACTGTCGGTGTCGCTGGGTGGTTGACTAGATGGACGACCGCGACCTCGACTGGCCTGTCTCGACTTGGAGCGAGACTGTTGCTCCATTTTCTGTGGTTGGGCCTGTGGCGTGGGTGTTGAAGGTGCTTCTTGTTGGTTGTCGTCGCCGCCGCCGCTGCCACCGTCCGCTTCGCCGTCGGCGTCTTCTTTCTGAGGTGTATTGCCGTTCGATTGACCGCCTTTCTGGCCTAGTTTTTTCGGCTTTCGTCTTTGTTCTTCGGATTTTTTCTGTGATCCAGACGCTCCAACACTCGCGGCGCCCGAGGCAGATCCTGCAGCGTCGAGATTTCCGCCGACTTGGGTTTCTTCGGTGTTCTTGGTCTCTTGTTCAGCAGACATGGTGGAGGAAAGTCCAGAAGACAAAAGTTTGTAGAGGGGGAGGGTGTGGAAGGATAGGATGCAGCGGGAAAGAGTATGCGACTTGAGACGGGGAGCAGAACGACGTAAGATTACATTACCACCACCCGCCCTACCTAGGAAAGGAACGGCAAAGAAAGGCACCCATGCAGGATCTTTGTCGCATCAAATCCCACCTCGACGTCAGCGTACGGCCAGTGCCGGGCGCAACTGTACCAAGTTACCAGGCGTTGGTGTGCAGACGCGTAGCAGTGACGTCGAATGCCGCTGCTTTTTGGCCCGGTAGCGATGCCATCTCCACAACGGAACTGGCATCGACGATGGACTGACAAGCCCCTAAAGACCTCGAAATCCAATTGCGGCAGATCCAATCCAAGAAGCCGCCCCTCGTGGCTGTTTCAGTGACAGGGATCAAGACAGGATCTGGAGAGAAATGTTACCAACGGAGAAGGGGAATCGAGTATTGAGCATCAGCGCGCCCGGGGCTGGATGTGGCTTGAATGACGCTTTACCGTGGATATCATTACTGTCAGTGTTGTAGTAGCAGGCTCCGGTAGCCGAGAAGAAACTGGGGATACCCGGCTCGGCACCACTGAGCTCGCCTTTTTTTCTGGATGTGGAGCCCTCAGGCTACCCACTCAGGAATGTGCTTGTGCGGCGGATTCTGTGCCACATTGAGCTCTTCCAAACGGCTGGACGCGGGCGTCTGCATAACAATCAAAGGGCACCCTCGGATAGCTGCAGCGATGCTTGTTCAGACCGTAGTGTAACTTGGAATACGGCCTGGTACTGTGGTACCTCTCAATAATGCTCTGCAGTTTTTGGTCTTCGAGACAAAGACAAAGGAATTGACAGGAAGCAAGGGCCTGACGCTCGCGACGGCAGATTCCAAGTTGTAAGGGCGGAGGTCCGTCAGGCACATGCAACAACTGTCATTGGATGTATCCCAACCCACCGGCCTTCTTTTCCTTGTGAATTCCAACGCCACAATCCATCAAGTGCCGGACCAAAACGCCACAGCAAAGGATCCTTGGGACCAGGCCACACTTGGTAAAGCTGTCAGCGTCCATGGCCAAATCACCCGCCTGGCTTGGGCCGTCAGGTGGTCAAGGGCGGGTGTCCACCGACCGGGATTGTTCCAAGTTCCGCCGTCATGGCCAGAGCCACGTTGGCAGGGAATGGGCCCGAGTATCTTGGACCACCGCGAGCATCGACAAAAGGGATCGACACGAGGATCTTGCTGCTTCAAGCGAGAAACGAAGGCCACCTCCACCGCCATGAAGTAAGAGGTCGGTAAGTCAGGTAGCTTGACTGGCGAGCGACACTGACATGGGTACACGTACAAACTGGTAGCGATGATGTCGTTGTTGCAGCCTTTCCCCATACCAATGCCACCGGCTAACAAGTTTCTCTCCCGCCTTGTCATCAATCCCTTTCTCGACGGTTGTCCATTGCTCACATTACCTTCACCAACCGTCTGTTGACTTGACTTTTCATTTTCTGTCGTTGTTTGACTCTGCAAGAAACAGATAGCTTGCAACACAACTCTATCCTTCCGTTTCACCACTGTGGCCACGTCCAGCCATGTCAGAGCCACAGCAAACACCGACACCCGAAAAGACGCCCGGCAAGAAACCGAGCCGACCTCCCGCCCCAGAGCGTAGCGTTTCCGAAGTGTCCACCACCTCCGACGACCAAGGATACGAGTCAAGATCCAGATCACAATCACGTCGAAGGAGGAGACAGAATCAGCGACAGCGAAAAGCAGCGCAAGGCAATGCTCAAGCAGGAAATGCCTCGGCGCAGTCCATGGCCTCGATCGACGAGGGCGAGGAAAGTCAACAGCAACAACTAGCACGACAGCCGCAACAGCAACAGCAGCAGCAGCAACAACAACAACAATGGCTGCAGAACCCGGATCCTCGCGACATCACCGAGGCGCAACCTTTTGAGAGAATAAAGCCTCCTTCTCAGTCGATGGACGGCCCTGTCACCTATGCTCGTATGCTACGGGGTGAAATCCCTTGGCGGGGAGCACCGCCCACACAACCGCTGGAGACGGCGCGACCAAACGACTCGAAGGACAGCAGTGGGAAAGACCCAATGGATCAGGACGGCTTGAAACTGCGCTTGGAGCTGAACCTGGATATTGAGATTGAGCTCAAGGCCAGCATCCACGGTGATCTGACACTAGCACTATTGTAAGTCCGCAGGTTCTTTACTGTCGCACGGCACTGATCTAAACGCTAACCATAGAAATTGATCATCAGAGCTTGATTTGGAACTGCCCAAAGTCAAGTTGCCCAAGTTGCCCAAACCGCCCAAGCTGCCGAAACTACCTCGCGCTTTGTCGTGACGAACGCAATACACCCAAGCCCTGGCGTGTTGGGAACAGCGAGCGGCATGTTGAGGACATTGGACAAGGGGCCGTCTGTATAGTTGGGAAATGAGATGATCTGGGCTGTGGCGTTACCGGACTGCAAGCTATGGATTAATTTGGTCATCAAGTCATAATGTATTACTGAGCTCGTCTAGGTCTCTCGTGGCATCGTTTGGTTCGTGTCTTTATCAGTTCAAGTGCTCGCCTTGCCCATGCCCCTCTCTGGATTTTTCGGGATCCTGATTGCTCTCTTCCTCGGGCTCTTCTTGAATTGCACTGTCGTAGTCTCCAAGTTCGCCCCTGGCACGCTTCACCACTCGCTCAATGCTGTCGAGGCCCCTCTTGAGCACGTCTATCTTTGGCCCGTAGCTTATTCTGACAAAATGGTGACAAGGACTGTCGAAGAGATTTCGTCTCTTGGAAGGATTCAGATCGAAAAATATGCCTGGCACAACTATGCACTTCTCTTTCAAGAGCGCATCGAAGAAGGAGAGACCATTGGAGATGTCGATGTTGCTATCCTTGGGCAGAGGTGGGTCCAACGTGGTGAGATCGAGCCAGATGTAGAAGGTACTGTCAGGGATTTCTTGGTCACCTTGAGTGAAGCCGATTTCCTTCAGTCGTTTGAGAACATAGTCCCGCTTCATCTTGAAATGGCGCTGAAGTGCCTTCATTTCCTCCTTCACCTTCGGTGGGTCCAACATCTCGACTGCCGCCTCCTGGAACGGGACATTTGTGCCTCCATCGAGGTAGCTCCCAGACGATGAAAGAGCTTTGATGAATTCTTTCGGACCAATGACCCAGGCAACACGCCAACCAGGAAGCCTAAAACGTTTGGTCAAACCGTCAACCAAAATGACATCGTCCTTGTCGACGTCAATTACATTGCTTGCCGCCGAGACTGTCGTTCCGTCGCAGTTGGAACTATACGTGTACCCAGAGTAGAACTCGTCAAAGATCAACGTGGCCCTATCACGACAAATGTCCTGAATCAATGAGAGCTCCTCCTGGGACAAAGCATGACCTGTAGGGTTGCGGGGGTTCGAGGTCAATATGACAGACGTGCCACGTGCGAGCTCGTCCACAATCTTGTCGACGTGGATGTGGTATCCATCCGCGGCAGACAAAGGAGTGGGAATGGCGACGAAGTTTCGAAACAGGCTTAACATCTGAGACGGTGGTCAGTACGAAAGACCATCAGCGACGTCAAGTATAAGTACCTCGTTGTAAGCGGTGTAATCGGGGATGAAGAAGCCGAGATAGGCATTGCCCAGCACAGCCGCGATTCTGATCAAGCCGGCTCGGCCACCGGGCACGATACAGACATTTTCCCATGTATACTGGGATTCTTTACCCTTACGGAAGTTGTCGTTGTAAAGGTTCGCAACAGCGGCCCGGAGAGGCTTGATGCCAGCGGTTGGGCCATATTCTTGACCCTTCAAGCTGATGGGGATCGATTTAGGCCGGGGAAAGCAGCCTTCAATGTCATCACCAACTTCGGGTGCGCCTTGACCAAGATTGGCCCATTTCTCAGGCTCGTCGATGAATCCGTGTTTGGCAGCTTGCTCAGTTGTCCTACTCAGGTCAGCTACAGCTCAGAAGGAGCCACGACGCCCTCTTACCAAATCACGCCAGTGCTGGTTCTCGAGGTGTCTAAGCCAGCGTGGACCTTGTGCGAAGGGTGGGATCTCAAGTTCTGGTGAGGGGCAGAAGAATGCTCATCCTCTGGGTGAATCGAGAAGCGGCGGCCGTCTGCACTAGCATGGAGAGCAGACCTCAGGGTGGCTACGCGATCGGTGGAAGAACTCATGGTCGACGGGCTGCTGGGTGATCAATAAGATATCAGATGCCTTCGAGTCCTTGGGTAGTAAAAGGGGTATTTCAAAGTGGTACGAATTTCAAAATCAAGGAACTGGCGTGTAGCAACCTGGGAATCTGGGGTATTCGATTGAAGTGCGGAGCAATTCGAAGCCTGACGCAGGAACCAACGCCAAGCTTTTTCATTCAAGGCAACAGCTAAGCTTAAATCTAGCGTCGGGTTTATTTCACCGTGAAAATGGCAGAGTCCTTAAGCTTGTTTTCAAGCTTAAAGTTTCACATGAGCATAATGCTGGTGATGTCATTGCGCTTCATCACAGCCATGCCTCCTGATTCCTTCTTCAACTCATGCCTCAAAGAAGTCACCCGTGAACTCTTTGGCTAATGTGGGTGGCGGCTTTGAACGACCGTGGGACCACTGGGGAAGGTATGTAGCCTCCACTCCGAGTGCGTTTGCGTCTGGTTTCATATCTTCACCACGCATCGTATAACATTGGCAGTACTACGGGCCCCAAGTACGTCAGTCATCCCAGAACTATAGGGTCTTGGTCACAACAGCGACGGGTAACGGGTAACTTGCAACTGGATGCGCTACAGTTCACGCTCATTTACGTTTGTTTGAAGGGTCATTCTTGATGTAGCACCGCTACATTGTTGCCATCTGTGCCTCTTTCATCGCCAGTCGAGGGGACTTGGCATTCCTCAAACATCGGGTCCTGACTTTCAATGTCCACCTCTATGATTTGATCGCTGCGTTGACGTTGCGGTTGGTGCAGCAGACGTTGCGGGGCTGGATGTCGGAGTTGTCGCTGTGCCCCCTCCACCACTCTTCTTGGCCACCGATGCCTGAACCACTTGACCGGCAGCATTGAAAACGATGTTCACCAGGGCATTGAGCGGCGAATACGAATAGGTCTTCTCCACAAGGCCACCAGACAGTGTCTGACTGACGCCCGTGTCGGTCATATTGGTCTGGTAGTTGCCCACAATCGTGCTCACTCCGCCCACTTCCTGCACAATGTTTCCTAGATTGTCGATGAGGAAAGAAACAGTGCTTCCGCCCTGAGTGATGGATCCGAGGAGGCCATCTACGGCACCCACAATAGGTTCCAGTAGGTTTGTAACGTTGTTGATGGTGGAGATCAGCAGAGGATTCAAATCCAGGGACTCGAATACACGGTTGACTATGTCGACCAGGTGTCCCAAACGGACAATCAGTTCCAGTTCGGCTTCAACGTCCGCAATGGTAAGATTGACTTCTTGAATAGAGACTGCCACACCGGCATTCAGCGTAACCAAGTTTGCAACTTGTGCGTTCAAGTTGATGTCGGCGCGGAGATCGTCCACGTCCAATTCGATGCGGCCAACGGAGAGATTGGGCACGTTGAGCCAGACGTCCGGGGGTTCAGATGACGACGGTGTCGAGCTTCCCGTTATCGTTGGTGAGGTCCTCGCCGTGGTCGTTCCATTGCTGAAGGAAGTCGTAGAATCTTGCGCGATGACCACGCCCACCAACACACAAACCCACAGAAGTGCTGTAAGCACCCGAATTATGCCGCTGAACAACATCGTTGGAGTTGGTCATTTGAGCAGAAAGCGTGCATACCTAGTGTATTAACATATATTGACTTACCCCTCTCATGAACACATGAACTTTCAACTTTCTGCATTGCCAATTTCCAATCAGCTCGCTTAGCCATGGAAGATTGCCATCCTCCTGGGAAACGCTTCATTGCCGGGGTGTACGTCTCGAAGCGATAAATAGTGGAAAAGGGGGGGTTGAGATTGAATGGGCAGACCTAGTTGCCAACCGCTTTCTGGTTGCAGCCCTGGTTTCAAGATATCGAATCAAGTATGGTCCCAAGGTAGCCGAAATCAAGGCGACCACCAACCCCGGCGAGTGTTACTGAACCAAACCCTGGTATAGTCAGGAACCCCAGACAAGCGACCGAACCGACCAACTGCCGACGAAATCTAACTAGTTGTAGATGTTGCTCCTATTCCAGCTGACTTGCGCCCAGTTCGCATGGGAATTGGAGCGGTGCGTCCTTCCTAGTCCTAGTAGATGTCCTTGTTATTCATTGCTGGATGGGCTTTCGACACCTCAGTCTATAAGCTGTCCTCGGACGACAGCCAAGCGCTTTTTGGGAAGCATATTCCCTTTCACTTGAGGAGTCCAACAGGTTGAGGTACGGCCTTCGTGCCGACAAGATTTGTGATGGTTCGCCGACGTGTTTTCTCGTGCCTCTTCACATTCTTCACATATGTGGCATGTCAAACTATCGCCTCGGACGATGGCTACACCGGATACTCCCTTTCCGTTACTGGGGACGAAGAATCAGCCGTCTACGAGACAACCAACACCGATACCTCCAACGGCACGGCGGTAACGCCTCCAGATGTGTTTCTCAACGCGAGTGTCCACGTGGGCGAGATCGACATCACCGTGTCGAATTTGACGGCAAAGATCAATATCGACGCTCAGGTGCTGTCACTGTTACAGTTCAATGCAGGCGTCGACCTGAGCATCAACCGCGTTGCGTTGACCATCCAAAATGTCTCGGCCAGAGTGGAACTGGAAGCACGCCTGGAGAATTTAGTCCTGATGATTAACGACACCCTCAACTCGATCGACCTAAACCCCATTATTGCCACAATTGGCTCGGATGTTGGGAGTCTAGTCAACAACACTCTGGGTGCTGGCGGCAGCGGTGATTCCTCTTCTGGAGCAAGTGACCTGAGCGCACGTTCCTTCGACCTGGACGAGGGCATCTTATATTCGGTGAATGATTACAGCGGCAACACACATACCAACCGCATCTTGGCCCAGTCTGGCGACATTGTCGACCAATCTCTTCACAATGACGGCTCCGTGTACGGTTCACAAGTGGTCGGATCGTACTGGCACGACATGACTTTCACTGGTCGAGAGAGAACCGTGATATATAACGGAGAGAACGTCCGTGAGCTTGAATACACGTACACCCCGTTCAACGGGCTGAGCGTGATTGTTGCCGTCTTTTTGGATAGCCAGGGTAATGTTGTTGGAACGAAAGTCCTGAGCGAGTTGGAGGGTGGAGGGTCGAGTACTATCGCCAATGAAGAGGACTGAAGCTGTCAATCATGGTAGAGACGGTGCAAGTTAGGAAGATGCCGTAGCTCAGTGTTCATCCGGCACAAATCTACATCTTTTGAACCGCTCACGAAGACAAAGCTGGGCTGTCCAGTGGTGCAGGTTCCTTGGAGCCAGACGTCTGGATAGGTCTGATGCTGTCACGGAGCTGTCACGGAGCGCATAACATGCTCCATACATGATACACGCACATGCATTGGTCGATGTCATTCTAGACGTAGCCACAGATCTGTGTTGCTGTCACCACAACACAGCCGACTTCCCCATTCGGCCGCTCGAGTTGCGCGTCGTAGCACGCCATGGTTGTTTTCTTGTAGCTGTCAGTATTTCTGCGGCGACGCTGTACGTTTCATTGCAAAATTGATTCCGCGTAGAACTCAGCACCATAGGTGCTACAACGGTACAGGAAGTGAAGTTGTAGTAGAGAGTCGGTCGACGGTAGCTAGGTAGGTACTTCAGCCAAGTCATATGGCGTTGCACGTGATAAGCGGTTGAAAGTCACGGGATCCCGCGCCCCACACTATCGACTTTCCCGTCAAGATGCGTTTGTAGACACTATCGTAGACTCGGGTTCGTGTTTCCAGAGATGCTTTCGCGCCGCGGTAATATTTGGTGATCTCGTCTCGGCCGTTGAGGTAAAGATGCGAACATCCAAAATACCCGACTGCACAGCCTAATTCACAATGGCATCCTCTTACACGACCGAACCTCCTCCAACTGCATCAGTCCTTCTCCAGACAACGGCGGGCCCTCTCACCATTTCCATATTCGCGAACCAGACCCCATTGACGTCGCGAAATTTCCTCCAACACGTCTTGGATGGGTATTACGACAACAACATCTTCCACCGTGTATCCCCGGGCTTCGTCATTCAAACGGGTGACCCTACCGGAACTGGAGAGGGTGGTCAGAGTATCTACGAGGACCGAGAGTTTGAACGGTATGATGAAGACTGGGCGAGGGTTACAGGGCGTGAGAAGGATGAGCCGATACGGTTCGGGGATGAGCTGCACAGCAGGCTGAAGTTCAACCGCAGGGGCTTGGTGGGCATGGCCAAAGGCACCGGAGACGGCTCAGGAGGGTATGGCAGCCAATTCTTCATCACGCTGGGTGACTGCAGGGCCGAGCTGGACGGGAAATGCACCATGTTTGGTCGAGTCGAAGGCGATGGCATCTACAATGTGGTCAAGATCGCCGAGGGTGAATTGGTCGAAGGAACCGAGAGGCCTTTGTATCCGGAGAAGATTCTCAAGGCGGAGGTGATTGAGCTGCCCAAGGGAGACGCATGGCAAAAGATGCAGAAGAGGGAGAAAATCGCACAACGTGTCGTGGAAGCCCCTCCTGTTAAAAAGAAACCAGCTGCTAAGAAGAAGGGTGGCAAGACTTTACTCAGTTTCGGCGGCGATGAGGGTGACCCTGACACCGGCGAAGTGACCGTCGTCCGGCCAAAGAAGCCCAAGTTCAATCCCGCCCTGATCGACGGAGGAGACATGTCAGCGACGGAGATATCGCAAAATGGGGCCGCTCCGAAGCCTCCAAGGCAGTCGTCTCCCGTCAAGCGTAAAGAGAAATCGCCGTCTCCTCCGCCGACAGTACCCCAAAAGCGGAAAGCAGCTCCTAGTCCGCCGCCACCAGACTCTACAACTAGAACACCGTCCCAACAGTCGGCATCGGCATCTCCTCATCACCGGCGGAAACCGTCATTCCACGACCCGACCACCCAGCTGCCGCTTCGCAACCCGGAATCACCATCCCGCTCGCCCACACCGGACGAAGAAACCAACAAAGGCGACTCCAAAAAATCTGCCCTGGAGGCCGAAATCGCGGAACTGAAGGCATCGATGCGAAGAAATGTGACGAGCACCGTTGGCGATACTTCGCGTAAGAAGTCGGCGCTGGAGGCGCTCATTCCCGCGACGAGCACAAGAGGCCGGAAACGGCCGCGGCCAGGCGAAACCAATTCAAAAGACGACGCTACGGCGTTGAAGATGTTGAATGCTTTCAAAGCACGGCTCGAGCAGGCGGACAGCTCAAGCAAGGCGGCGAAACCGGATTCGTCAGCCAAGTCCGGTGACCGCAACGGACAGCCACAGGAACCATCAGGCGATCCAGATGTCATGGTGACCTCGAAACCTCCGCCCGAGGCTGTAGCGGACGACGAAGAAGCCGCACTGTGTGATTTACATTTCATCGCCAACTGTCAGTCCTGTTCGCGGTGGGACGAAAAGGGCGGTGACCCTGACGCGGACTCGGACGACGATGGCGGAAAGGAATGGATGAGCCATGCCCTCTCGTTCGCCAAGGATAGACTCGGCAAGGATCTCAATTGGAAGAAGAAGAACGAAGAGGAACTCGTGGTTATTGACCCGCGAGAAAAGGAGAAGGAGCTGAAAAGTCGTCATAAGGACAGAGACAGAGGAAAGGACAAGGGGAAGGGGAAAGGAGGAAAAGGCTTTGATCGAGATCGTCGGTGGTAACCTCACACCTACAGTACATGTGAATCAGTTGATTTCCCAGGTCATGCTCAGATTCAGATCAGACCATACCGTCAAGTCATATATAAAACGCCAAATCAACCGGCTCACCCTCCCCCGTCCGTTCATATTTCTCAGCGACCAACTCGAGCATCGTGGTTCCATTTCCCATGACGCCTCTCCACCGATTCTTTGAATTGTACCTAATATCCCAGTCTTCGCCGCGCAAATCACCCCCTCTTCCCAGCAGAATCTCACGGTACAAGAGCGCAGAGCCAGGCCAAGTGGCCGTGACCCTACCATCTACCCTATGATTCTTGTACCAGGACTTACACCCCGCAGTCCAGACAAGTGTCTTGTGAATCTCATCGCCGTACCGGACGAACTCGTCCGTGGCCGCCTGCGTGGGGGCTACGCTCTTGATATCCTCCGCGGCGATCTTGCGCAGCCATTTGACGATATATTCGGCCGTCCAGGTCATGGAAGTAATTAGCGTGCCATGCCCCACAGTGGCGTTTGGGCCCGTGAAAATGAAATAGTTGGGCATATCTGGGCACGCGAGGCTGAGGTACGATTCGGGCTCAGGGTCCCATTTCTGCACGAGTGTGATCCCGTCCCGTCCTGTTACGGGGTAGTGTGGGATGTGGGAGGTGTCGAACCCCGTGGCGCAGATGAGTACGTCGAGATCGTATTGTGAACCAGAAAAGGTTCGGACGCCCGTCGCTGTGATGGTCTCGATGGGTGATTTCTCAAGTGTCACGTTGGGAAGGAGGAAGGATTCTAGGTATCCTTCGCCGGGAGTGAGGCGGCGGCATCCTAGTGTCCAGTCTGGGATGAGCTCTTTGCAGAGACATTCGTTGTTGTTCAGCGCCTGGCGCATGCGTGCGATGGTTGTCTTGGTCGATGTGGCGTTTTGGATGGATCCTTTGCGGTACTATGGCTCTCAAAAAAAGAGTCTCCTGGTTAGTGGCGTGTTGACAAGGGTTTACGAGTTCCACTCCTTTGTAGGGCAGTGTGCTCACAAGATGGGAAGATAGAGACATGGCCAGCGACTTGAACTGGAAATCAAAAGAAGGGGGGCATAGTTGCTCACAATTCGAAATCCTCGGTTCATTCCATGCTGCAGCATCTTGCGGTACTGTCTGTGTTTCTCGGGATCTCGAAACCGCCTCTTGTCCTTGCTCGTGTAGCGCGGGTTGAATCTGCTGCCAATTTCCTGATTAGAATCCTCCTCGACATTGGCATCTCCGTTGACCATTTCGTCGTCCTCAGAAGCCCCGTCTTCAGAATCAGCTTGATTGACACCCAGGGCTTCACCCAGGCTTTGTGTGATCCAGGTGGCGCCTCGCTGAAAGCTCACCACCTGGGTACCAGGTAATTTGGCCATTTGTGGCAGGATCTGTATGGCTGAAGACCCGTTGCCAATTATGCCTATTTTCTTATTGGAATAGTCGTAGGAATGGTCCCACGAGGCTGAGTGGACTTTATGGTCTTTGTAATCGTGTATTCCGGGAATGTCGGGCCACTTCCAGGCACTTGGGATCAAGTGTCAGTTAGCGCATCTGTAATGGCTCGAGGAGACCGTGTTCGGAAGCCATCTTACTGTTTCCCCTACCGTGGCTTTGGAACATCCGCTTTGGGAACTTACCTCAAGAAGCCCTGGGCAGAAACAACCACATCGGCCAGTTCGACTCTTTCCTCCCGACCATTCTTGCGTACTCTGATCTTCCACTTTCCTTCATCCTCTAGCCAATCAAGCGCGATTACTCTTGTGTTGAACTGAATGGCCCGTTTCAGATTCCATTTGTCTGCAACCCTCTGCATATATTCAAGAATTTCCTTGCCATCAGCATAGAACTTGGACCAATTTGGGTTAGGATCGAAGGGAAACGCCTGCAATCACGTCGTTAGTATCGTGGGCTCTTTCAAGGGCAAACATAGGCAAGGTCTAACATAAATATGTGCTGGTATGTCACATTGGATACCAGGATATGTGTTGACCTTCCAGGTCCCGCCAATGTCATCGTTGGCTTCAAAAATGACATGGTCAATGAACTCTTGCAGTTCCGGATGTTCATGTTGGATCTTATGTGCGAGTATCAAGCCAGAGAATCCGGCTCCTATAGTAGCGACGCGCAGGCGTCTATTTTTGTAGGCCACTTGGTCCAACATGGGGACGCGTATTTCTTCAAGGCGGTCGGCTGAAGGCATGATGGCTCTGGGAAGTCAGCCACACCGTGCACGAGCAAAGTCCAATTATGTGATGTGCAAAGAGCACTGTAGGGTGTGTGGGTTCAATCATTATATCTCCGCCCTTCTGGTCTCATACACTGTTGTCACACATGATCTTGTGCGAAGCGCCGTTGGAGAACCATATTGCCTCGGGGTATTGAGCTGGTGTCTACGAGGAACAGACGGCTCTTCCCCGCATGAACCATCTGAGCTGCCCCGGATGCAGTACGACGCAGATCGGTTCCCAGTCGGCATGACTCTGTGGGAAATGATGTGCTAGGTCCAGCTGAGACAGGGAAAACAGGATAAGTGGACGATGTTTGAGATGTGGTATCCCAGATTCATCTGATTGATCAGAAACGGGGACCCTTCTTTCCGTCAACTATATATATTTGTACGGGTTCATGATGCCGTTGGGGTCGTATAGGTTTTTGATCTGTTTCATCAGCTTGATCATGGTCTCACTTCGACTGTACCCAATGTATTTCTTCTTCGCAATGCCCAGACCGTGTTCTGCACTGATACTCCCATTCCTCTTCTGGATCCACTCGTATACCCACGGTTCTATGGCTTCTTCGACCTCTTTGGTATACCTTCGGACTGGCACATTAAGATGCAGATTGGCATCACCCATGTGCCCGTATCCTACCACTCCCAGGGCGGGGTGAGACTCATCATCGCCGATCAGACCTTTTGCAGTCAGCCTCTCCCGAGTTTCCTCAACCAGTTTGTAGAGGTCCTGGATTGGGATAGACAGGTCGTATTTGTAGGTGCCGCCAAAATGGCCGATGGCTTCGGTAATGCCCTCGCGCCAGGCCCACAGAGATCTGACTTGAGTCTCGTCTTGGGCCAGTACACCATCAGAGACAATTTCTTCACCCATGACATGTTCGAGGAACTTCTCCAGTTTCTCATTGTCATGCTCCGTGTTTGACCCACTAGTCTCGATCAGACAATAAAATGGATGGTCACCTTCTAGGGGCTTCTTGTTGCCGGTGACCCTGTGTACGAAACCCTGACTCTGCGAGTCCATGAGCTCAAAAGCCGACAAGATCTCGCCCAGCTGGATCTTGGCTTCTTTGAATGCTTTTTGCACATTTTCGAAAGATGAAAGACCGAAGTAGGCAACATTGACCGCCTTCGATCGCTGTGGGCAGATAACCGAGACACCAGTAATGATGCCAAGGGTCCCTTCTGCCCCGATAAACAACTGCTTCATGTCATAGCCGGTGTTATTCTTTCTCAACGTGCCGAGATCATCGACAATTGTGCCATCGGGTAGTACAGCTTCGAGTCCCAGAACGTTTCCGTGCAGAGAGCCATATCGTAGCAATCGCAAACCGCCTGCATTGGTGGCTACATTTCCACCAATCTGGCATGAGCCTTTCGCTCCCAGATCGAGAGGGAAAAGATGGTTGTGTTCGGCGAGGAAATTGTCGGCCACTTCCAAGATAACACCTCCATCGACCACGAGAATCCCACTAACGTCATCAAAGCTTCTTATTTTGTTCATACGGGATAGCGAGATGACAATCTCATCAAAGACAGGCACGCTGCCTCCGACCAGTCCAGAGTTCCCTCCTTGTGGCACGACTGCAAGCTTATTCTCGTTACAGTATTTCAGCACCTTGCTCACTTCTTCCGTGCTCTTAGGCCTGAGAACGAGCTTTGTGTGGCCGCGATATTTCTTCATCCAATCTCGATTATATGGTTCAAGGTCATCGGACGCATCCTTCGTCACACCGTCGATGACGGCTGCCTCGTCGCCCAGGGTGGACTTGAAGAACTGGACATGTTCAGGCGTGATCTCGGCATACCTCGAGTCGCGTTTGAGCGAGGGATACATGTCGGTGGTGTGCTTGACATCATGATGCGGTTCACTGGTGTCCTCTTGCCGTCGAGGCGTGTTGTAGAAACAGCGGACTGGTGTCTGGGCGACGAGACGAGGAGAGCATCGCCGCTGCGCCCTGGGAACTGAGGGTTTTTTGGCCTGACGCAGCAAGCGAACCAAGCCTTTTGACGTAGGGACAGACATGGCCGTGAGGTTTGCAGTCTGTGAACCAAAGGTACTCACCCCAGAATCGGGGCACTTACAATGTACAATTGCATATAAACGTGGCTGCCAGTGGCCAGAGCAGAAGTTGAAGCTAAACTCATGCTGTCGTCGGAGAAAAACGTGCCGACGTCGGAAGAACTGAAGCTCACCACTGGCAGTGGAGCGGCTCAATAGGGAGCTTTCGGTGTGCCATTTGATGCTGCCTACCTACCTTATCTGTATGCTAGAGTGATATCATGGCATCTCGACTCGAAAATGAAGTTCGTACGACGCCGATTATTCTTATCATCCCCGCGTGCTCTGGTTGCTCTTGGTTTCATCTAGAGCCTGATTGAGGACAATGCGGCAGCAGACGACTGTGCTGTCCAACAACTTGAAGCTGGCAGTGCCCCGTGCGGACACTCCGCAACTTGAATCATGTTGCAGAATTGCAGCCACTGATTCGATTGGCCGCAGACCGTCCAAAATCAAGGCGCGGGCGTGTCATCGTGCCCCGGTGATAGGCGATAATGAGGTCGACGAGCAATCCACAAGCAATATTGGCTGCCACCTTTAACCACTTAGGCCCATGGTCCAGGCAAGCCTAGCCGTAATAGACTTTTTAAGACCCGTATTCCAAGCCTCTCTAACAACCTGGAGGTACAAACTTCCCCTACAACTTCCTATACGCGCCCTGAACTCTCTCTGCCTGCACAGCATTGCAGTGTCGGTTGGACACGACGGTCCTCGTTTCGCCCGCAGGAAACCTGTTGCCTCGTCTCGATCCTTTTACTTCACTTATTATTCTTTGTTTGTTCATACACCTCATCTGGGTTTCTTGTCTGCTGTTTCTTGATCGCCTCACTGGCGATCCATCCACCTGACGCGGCTCGTGGCGGCGTATCAAGTCAAGTCACCTGCTACCAACCTCCCAATCATCCGACGTCACCCTTGGAAACTGTCCACCATCTTGTATAGGGCATCACCCTGCGCTTTTGCCTCTGGCCCTTTGGCATCTTCTCGTTGCTCGGTGGTCTTCCTGACTGAAGACATCGAGAGTCCTCGGTCTGACCCGTCATGCCGCTCCTCGATTACCTGCCCAGTCCGATCTCCTTCGCAAATCGACAGTTCCTCGGAACCTTGGTCGAACGAGACCAGTTTACATTCACTGACAATGTTATCGAAACTCTGAAAAAGAAGGGCTCGCGGCATGGGAGCCACCCGGATTTCGGCCACCTCACACTCCTCGTCTTCGAAGCTGTGCTGGAGGTGGTCTGTGTGAGTTTGCCAGGATATATCGTGGCAAGACAGGGCATGTTCGACGCAGAATCACAAAAGTTCCTGGCCAACCTTAACATCATACTGTTCACGCCATGCCTTATCTTCACGAAACTAGCCTCTCAGTTAACCGCGGAGAAGTTGGCGGACCTGGCCATTATACCCATCATCTTCGTGGTGCAGACACTGGTGTCGTATTTGTGTGCCTGGCTCATCGCCAAATTCCTCGGATTCAAGAAGCGCCAGAGGAATTTCCTCATCGCTATGGGTGTGTTCGGGAATTCTAATTCTCTGCCCATCTCCCTAGTCATATCTCTGTCCAAAACGCTCAAAGGGTTACACTGGGATAAAGTGCCCAACGATAACGACGATGAGGTAGCCGCTCGCGGTATCCTCTATCTGCTTGTGTTTCAGCAGCTTGGTCAGCTTCTGCGCTGGAGCTGGGGTTACAATGTGCTGCTTGCTCCTCCCGATACCTATACCGAAGAAGAAGGCGGCACCAGAAACATGTCGCAGTTAGAAGGGGGAAGAAGCGATTACCACGACGAGTCCGACTCGGGCGATGAACAACGACGCCTTCTGAGTCCGAGCTACGATGATATTGCAGACAGCTTTGAAGATTTCGAAGACGACGCCCAGACACGGATTGGCACAGAATCTCCGACGGCATCTAAATCAGACGGTCTCAAGACTCCGCGTACGCCGTACAATCCCTCGGCCGAGTCCTCAAGAAGTTCTTCTCGGCGAAACCTGCAAGCTGCAGCCAACGCTCCCAACGCCCCCGGAAACGTCATGCCTACACCTCCCAATGGCATGGTGGCCTCGCATCATCATCTCGACTATCCTGCGTGGTTGATTCATCCCGATAACCAGAGATATGACGAGAGCTGTGGTGGTATCATGGGCCACGTCAACAAAGGCAGAAACCATGTGCGCTGCCGGTGCTTGATGCTGCGCCATCAAATCCGCAGCAAGTCCACGGCAGCGTTTGAGTCTCTTCCCAGGTCTGTCCAGAAGGGCCTCTCTTCAGCGTCCTATAGGCTTGGACGCTTCTTTGCTGGTGTCTGGGAATTCATGAACCCGCCACTCTGGGCTATGTTGATCGCTATCATCGTTGCATCAGTGCCTCAATTGCAGCATGTCTTCTTCAGCGAAGGAACTTTCGTGCGTAACTCAGTGACGCGCGCAGTCGAGCAAAGCGGTGCTGTCGCAGTGCCCTTGATCTTGGTCGTTCTAGGCGGCAACCTGGCGAAGAATACTATTCCTCGTGATGAAAGTGGCACTGTTACCGATCCAAAAGAAGAGAGGAAGCTATTGTGGGCTTCGCTTGTGACGCGGATGGTGTTTCCTACCATGGTCATGGCTCCTTTCGTTGCCTTGGTCGCCAAGTTTGCACCGGTGAGCATAGTGGGTGACAAGATCTTTGTTATTGTTGTCTATCTGCTCAGTGGCGCCCCTGTTGCCTTGCAGATCGGACAGATCACTACGACCAACAATGTCTACCCGGACCTTATGAGCAGGATTCTGTTCCAAAGTTACGTGGTCTGGATCTTGCCGTCGACGTTGATTCTCGTCCTTCTGGCATTGGAAACTGTTGAATGGGCCAGCATCGGATCTGCTTAGGAATAGCGAGTGTCATGAGCAACGGGGCTTCTGGGACAGGAGTTTGGTTACCTTTTAACAAGGCGCGAAAATCGGGTTCATGCTGGATCTGCTCCAGGGTTTTTGACTGTTAGCGTGGTGGGATAAACATGGCGGGAACTTGTCCTTGTGGCAACGGTAGGCGTAAGGTAGTTTTTGAAACAAATGCAGACTGAGCAAGACCGAAGTTCACCTGAAGTCGAACTCTGCCCGACAGGCTCGATTCTTTGATCTGTTTCTACCAGAGTAGTGCCCCTCTCCGTCGCATATGTCGCTGGGTTATGATAGCTGTCAACCCGGGCACTTGCTCAAGTCACTATGAATGCCAGCGCAGCCTCATACGTAGGTGGAAGCTGGAGCAGGACGTTGATGCGACGGTCTTTACTCGTATCCGAGTCCCACAGGCACACCGACACTGCAGTAGTGCCGTGATGCTGGCGTCCCAGAAAACGTCTTGATGGGAAGCACTTGTAGCTGGCTCCAAGTCCGGGTCTTTCTTACGGTATGTGAGTTTAGGTAGGTAGGTTGGGCACTTAGTAGTAATTTCCTGCTTCACCGGCAGAAACACTATCTTGCCAGGCCTGATGAAGCCTAGAGCGTGCAGCATGATAGGTGTGAAGAAGCCAGACGCAGGACCTAACCACGCCCACGGAGGAACTTCCTACTGCCAGTGCTCCGAGTCTCTGCCGTCATCTCGACACTACTGCACTGTGCTGCACATCACGCCAACGGTTGTCAACCGTCAGGATAAATAACAATGCTAAAAATGTACCAGTACATACATGGTACGATAGCCACATATCATGATGGGAACTTGCAAATGCATCTTCAGGGCCGGCCATGACAGTGGTAGCGCCTCCCGTGGACACTATTATGGTGTGCACCGTTGCCCATACCCGAACCTGGCCCAATTCGCCTTTGATGCATACCAGCTCCTTCAACGGCCCAACCTATATTGTTGTTAAGAGTACTTTTCTCTTTGGGTAGTACTTATGCTGCCCGACACGCTTAGCTACCAGGTCCCTACATTGGTGCTTATGGTGTGTACATACGTAAACCCGCAGCGCTGTGGCCCTACAATCCACGTAATACTGCCCGTACGACTAGTACTACTCAGGTTCCCAGGTATCCTTAGGTACAGCTACTAGCACCTGGTGGCTGATCCAAGTCTGCAGAGTTCAAGTTTCTCGGGACTCTCCCTGCAGCGTCAACTGTCAAAGCGAACACGCCATCATTATTCAGTGACATATGTAGGTATCAAACCCTGCGAGCTCTGATCGTTGCCTGGAACCAGGGCGTTGTTACAGCAGGACCTGATTTTACGGACCTGAAGTGCTTCTCTGTTTACCAGCAAACCGTGACCGTGGATAAAGAGTGCGGGCGGATTTGATCTGCGGGTGCGGCTGCGGCGGTGCCCATCAACACTTCTTTCTCAGCCACTTCATTCTGCTGTCCCTCCCTTCTTCACATATTATCCACCTCCAACATCCGCCTCACGGCACAAGAGGCAGGACGCTCCATTGAAAGACATTCCTGCGCCTAGAGTCACATCACCGACCAGTACCTCTGCACTGAGAACCCTAGATTCCACCGAATATCGCGTTCCTTGTCGCCTCCTGCTGACACTCTTCGGCTTTGACACCCGTGCTTGCTCAGCAGTTCAAGTTTCCCCTCGAATGACAATAGCTCGACCACGACCGAACTTTTGGCCTTTCCTGCCCTTCGACAACTCTCTACGTTCCACCGTCCGAGCGGACATCTGAGTCCGCCTGTGGTCTCCCCCGGTGTTCATCATCAGGGTGCTCGCCATCGCATGCAGGCTGGAGAAGACTGGAGTGGCGCACTGGCGCAGTCACAACTTTGAACCAGATATTGAACATCATGGACAGTACAATGCCTCAACAGCCGGCCTCGTCCGAGCTGCCTAGTACTCCAGACGATGCACAGTCCGAACCATCCCCCAGTGTTTCGCAGTCCTCTTCCCCCGAGTCCATGCCCAAACCTCTCTCTATAAATACTCAGAACGGCGACATGGCCGCCCCGCTCAGTCCCTCCTCTCCTCTCGGACCTACCACTGCAGCAAGAAGACCCGGGCCGTTTCCCAGTCGTGCAAGTGGGTTGAACTCGGATATACAAGCAAAGATGAAGGCCTTCTCGCTGTCCCGGCAAGGAGCTCCTCCTCCATCGGCCCACAACATGAGGCAGCAGGCTGCTGGTCCTGGTGGGTTTGTTGGCGGTCCTATGGCTGGACCATCGCCAGGCTCACCAAATCCTGCAGCCAACTTGAGACTACCCACGGGGTTGAAGCGCCCAAATGCTCCCTCTTTTGGTTCGGCACCGTCATTGAGCGCGGGCAGTCCCCGTACGTCAAATGCTCGGGGCCCCATGGGTGGACTGGCGGCCAAACGCGGGCTGAAGCCTGGTGGCTTGAAACTTTCCGATGCGCAAAAGCCTGCCCCGGCTGGCCAAGAGCCAGAGAAGCAGGTCACCGGTTCTCAGTTCACAAAGTATGCCAACATCATAGACACCCAAAAAGGGACATTAAACTTCAAAAACAAAGCCGTCATTCATGGGAGCGGCATTGACTTTGCGGAGGGCAGCACGTTTTCAATATCATTGGACGAGGTTGATACCATCGCTGAGTTGGGAAAAGGAAACTATGGGACGGTGTTTCTGGTACGCCATGCTCGACCCAAGATGCGACGACCTGGACTGGGTCTGAGAGGGAATATGGTCCGACATTCTTCGCCATCAGTGGTGAAGCAGGACGATGACAACACAGGGTCCAATACTCCAACTACGGGTACGAGTGGCCTCGTTATGGCCATGAAAGAAATTCGTCTCGAGTTGGAAGACTCCAAATTTGCCGCCATCATCATGGAATTGGACATCCTCCATCGATGCATATCCCCTTTCATCATTGACTTCTATGGAGCATTTTTCCAAGAAGGTTCCGTCTACATCTGCATTGAATACATGGATGGCGGTTCGATCGACAAGTTATATGGCGACGGAGTGCCAGAGGGGGTGTTAAAGAAGATTACGCTGTCCACCGTCATGGGCTTGAAGTATCTCAAGGATGAGCACAACATCATCCACCGAGATGTCAAACCCACCAACATTCTGGTCAACACACGAGGTCAAGTCAAAATCTGCGATTTTGGTGTCAGCGGCAACCTGGTGGCTTCGATAGCGAAGACCAACATTGGGTGTCAAAGCTACATGGCCCCGGAACGAATCTCTGGCGGTGGCATGGCGCAGGTTGGTGCCAATGGAGGGGGAACCTATAGTGTTCAGTCCGACATCTGGTCTTTAGGGCTCTCCATCATCGAGTGTGCGCTTGGCAGATATCCCTACCCACCAGAAACCTACGACAACATATTCAGCCAGCTAAGTGTAAGTTTGTTGGTTGATGACATGTCTGAGTACAGATGCTAACTGTTTATTCTAGGCCATCGTTGATGGAGACCCGCCAGATCTTCCGGCCGACCGGTTCTCTGAAGCTGCGATTGATTTTGTACGGGGTTGTCTGAACAAAATCCCACGACTTCGACCGACATATGCTATGCTTCTTCGCCATGCGTGGTTGGCCCCTTTGATGAAGGCTCCCACGATCTCTGAAGACGAAGAGGGTGAGCAGGCCGCCGAGGCCGGGGCTGACTCGTCGCCTGCCGGTGACGGCGTGCCTGAAACCGCAGACAAGGAAGTGGCCGAGTGGGTCAAGGCTGCATTGGAGAGGAAGATGGCTGGAAAGATGGCCGTCAGCAAGAAGCCCGCATTGCACGAGGCACCTTTGGACGCTGTCCCCGGGAACAGTAGCCCTCTGCTCACACAGCGAGAGGTACTCCCTCGGGCGGATGAAGACGACGTTGCGGAAGTGGCCCCCAACGCTGGGGTTCCAGTTGATTCTCCTGACCTGACGGCCGCAAAAGTCGACGGCCTTGATTTTGCTTGATGTTGAATGTCTGTCATACATATCCTTCACAAGACCTGCGGGAAGTTATGAGGGCACTATAGAATAGTCCAACGATAACGAGACATCATGAGAGCGCTTCGATAGCAATATCGAGGATCGAGCAAACGAATTCGCTACAAGAAATCTTTTTTTTTAACCCACAGTTGTAACGAAGCCGAAAATACTGCGGCTAAAATAAGCTCTGCCCCTACTACATCTCATGTTTGTAGCAAATATGGATTAAAATGGTATTGCTTGCTGATATGCGATGCGGGAGGGCGGTCTATGGTGGTGATTGGTGTTCAAGTTCAAGTTGTCTTGCGGAACTTGTTGGTTTGATATCGCGCGTTGAATATGCAGCGGCGCACTGGCAGGAAACATAAATGATGTCAGACCATTCATTATTTATTTCCCACCTCCACCTCGCGTCTGCGATCGGCCCATGCAACGGGACATACAATTGCACAGTGATACTACTACCGACTACTAGTAGCAGACGGGATAAGAAGACATCATCCTCATCTGTGTCCGCACCAACATCTCACGGAATCAGCCATTCCACTACTGAGGCACGGGCACGGGCACGATCGTGTCTGTCCCGGTCCACCAGTACTACTACCTAGAGAATTGTGGCATACATTCTCCACAGAAACTTGAAGGACTCTGGCCACTTATTACTGCATTTCCGTCAAATCGACAAAAATGCCAGCTCTTGCCCGCAGGTTTCTGATTTGGGCGGCCGTCGACGGACTGATCCTCCAGGCCCACGGGCCTACTGACCACCAGAAAACGGTTCAGATCAACTATAACAAAAAGGGACAGAAACAGGGTCAGATCAAGGAGCTCCGAAACATCGAGGCCACACGCGCACGAGGCAATGCCTTGGAATCCCACGGCATCATTGGCCTTTTGTCAATTGCATCTACATCGTTTCTCATCGCCATTACGCAGCGAGAGCAAGTGGCTCAAATCTTTGGAAAGCCAGTCTTTGTCATCACCGACATTGCTCTTCTGCCTTTATCGTCGCAAAGCGAGGCGGACAAGGCCATTACTGCAGCTACGGCATCACGCGCCTCTACTGAGCAGACCGAGTCTGTTGTGGAGGATTCAGAGTCAGAACTGAGTGATGCAGAAGACGATGATGACGGTAGCCTGTCCAGTGATACCGAACCCCAGACGCCCGTGGACAAGAAGCAAGGGACGCTGCATCGAAGCTCGAGTGCCACGAGTATCGCTAGAGATGTTTGGAACAATCGTGTCCAGTACGGCAGATTTGCATCGCAGTGGTTCTCGAGGAGAGGGTGGGGAGCGGCGGGTAAGAATGGTGGTGGCAACAGCAGCAATCAGGTCCAGACTTCAACTACAGATGATAATGGTACTACCGCGGAAGTGAGTCCTTCTGAAGGCGGAGCCGCCGCTGCAGCAAATCGTCTCGAACCCAAGGACGACGGCATGCCCGAAGACGAACAAGCGGAACAGATCATGACGGACGGCTCGATCAAAGATGCACTGCCCAAAATTCTTCGAACCACAAAAATGATTTTGACGTCAGGGAGCTTTTTCTTCTCGTACGATTTCGATCTGACGAGACGACTGGCAGTTACTAAGGGGGCGACAAAAGCGCCGTCCCCAGAATCTCTAGACCCATTGGTAAGATTTTGGTCCACTATCTTTTCTTCCTTTTTTGGCTGACTGATCCTGCGTCTAGTATTTCTGGAACAGGCGCCTAGCCACTCCATTTCTTGATTCGCGACAGGATTCTCTGCTCATACCAATATTGCAAGGCTTCGTGGGCCAAAGATCCTTTGTGGTGAAAAAGAAGTCCCCATCTGGCAACGACCAGGAAGCCGAAGTTGTGGCCGCTCAGGACATCAAAGAGGCCGAAACTACTGGCGGCCTCAACCTTGAGAATGCAGTCAACCAAGCCAAGCAGAGCATCGCAAGCATCACTGGTGGAGGAGAAGAAACACAAGAATACCTATTAACCCTGATCTCTCGGCGCTCCGTCAAACGATCCGGACTCCGCTATCTCCGCCGCGGGATCGACGACGAAGGTAACTGTGCCAACGCGGTGGAAACAGAACAGATCCTCTCGTCGCCCGATTGGTCTCCCACCAGAAAGATACGGTCATTCGTCCAAATCCGCTGTTCAATCCCATTATATTTCTCCCAATCTCCCTACGCGCTCAAACCGGCTGTGGTGATCCATCAGTCCGAAGTGAAAAACGAAACCGCGCTCAAGAAACACTTCCAGGACCTCAAAAGACGGTACGGCGGCGTCCAAGTGGTCGCACTAGTGGACAAGCATGGCACTGAAGCGAAGATTGGCGAAGCATTTGAGAAAACAGTTCGTTCACTCCAAGAATCGCATCAACTTGATGATGATGTGCAATTTGAGTGGTTTGATTTCCACGCCGAATGTCGCGGGATGAAGTTTGAAAACGTGTCGAGACTCGTTGACAAAATCGAACCTACCATCAACAGGTTCGGAGAGACAATCATATCAACTCCACCACCGACTGGCAGCACAGCCGGTGGAGTTGAGGTAATTCAGTCTGGAATCATCCGCACAAACTGCATGGACTGTCTCGACCGGACCAATGTGGCCCAGTCCGCATTCGGCCAATACATGCTCCAGAAAGACCTGGGGGCCGAAGGCTTCGAAATCGATTTATTGCATGACCAATCCACAACCTGGTTCAACACCCTCTGGGCAGACAACGGCGACGCCATCTCTCGCCAATACGCATCCACAGCCGCCCTGAAAGGCGACTTCACCCGTACCAGACGAAGAAACTACCGGGGCGCATTGAACGATTTCAGTTTGACATTGACGCGATATTACAATAACATGGTCAACGACTATTTCTCCCAGGCCGTCATTGACGTCTTGCTAGGAAACATGTCGTGGCGCGTCTTTGAAGATTTCGAATCAACAATGAAATCTGCGGATCCAGGCATATCAATCGATCAAGTTCGCGAAACGGCGATTGAAAACTGCGCCAAACAAGTCATTCAGGACCCTGACGAAGATTTGATTTCTGGTTGGACAATGTTGACGCCCGCGCAGGATAACACTCTGCGCACTCTCCCCTTTGAAGAAGCTGTTGTGCTCTTGACTGATGCAGCAATCTATTGTTGTCGCTTTGATTGGGCCACTGAAAAGCTTGCGTCGTTTGAAAAAATCGATTTGAGATCGGTCGAGAAAGTCAGGTATGGGACATATATCACTTCGACGTTGAGTGAGAGACAGATGAAGGAGGATTTGAATGTCGGTGTCGTGGTGGTCTATCAGCCTCAAAAGGGGACTAGTATGATCAGGACGAATACGCGGTCACTGCAGAATTATGTTGCCCCGGGTGATAGCAACGACACGGCGAATCGCATCGATGGCGGCACGGGCATACTGTCCTGGTTGAGTCCGAACTCGCCGCCTTCGTCGAGGACGCTGGCGCTGAAAGTCATACCGTCTATTACATCCATTACGCAGCCTGACGGAAGAGAAAGACGGGGTGAGAAGACGCCGCCGCCGCCGCCGCCGATCGCTGTGGCTGAGAACATTGCAGACGAGATCAGGAGGGCTATTGTGGGTTCGGGATCCGGGGAACAGAGCCAACAAAGTGATGATGCCCTGGTGGAGAAGCAGGATATCATATCGCTGGAAGAAGCTAAGAAGCGCACGGGATATCTCGAGCAACTGGGTTATTCCATCAAGAAAATGGTGTGGACGTAGTACGAAGCGAAGTGGTTTTTGACTCTATAGCCACCGACGACAAAGACGAGCCCAGGAGCGTATCATACTGTTCTGTGCCTGGGTAATGTACACTTTTCGGGACAATATCACGTTACTCGTTCCCTGTATATACAGTATACATACCCTTTTATACCTAATGTACGGTATGTATTTTGCAAAAATTCGTTGACTTTTCGCAACTCCTTCGATTCCTGCTTTCCTAGGTCGCTTCAAGTTCCAGTCTATCTAGCCTTTTTTTTTTCCTCGGCCACCTTCTTATTCTTCTAGATGACCCAGCTAGGATTCTTGATTCTGTTCAAGTTCATATCTCAAGTCTTTGTCTTCCATTTTACCTAGTAGTAGAGGTAACTCAACTTTCCTGCCGCTTCCTTTCTCTTGCGGGCCTGACTCCCATCCTTGCCTCCACTGGTATCTCTCCGTCCGTTCGTCCGTTCCTCCCAAGTCAGTCATAAAAACGCGTCCTTTCTTTCGATCAACGGTCCCCAGATAACCACACCGTTCTCGGTCGACGTGTGTGGTCATTTAGCTTGAACCCATTCGCAATAGCACAGCAATGCACCTAGTCACCCAGCCAGCCGACTAGTAGCTCAACCCACACCATATCCATCTCTCAACTTCGCTCTCACAGGGGGCGTCAAAGTATTCAAAAAGGCATTGAAGCCATCGGCTCCAATAAGATCAACGTAGCCTTGGATGATTCTAGCAAAGCTGGCCCGTACCTCAGTGTACTCTTGGCCCTGCTTTCCCTTTTGTGGGAACTGGGCAATGGCGGCAAAGTACAAAGCCAGACACGACTCCATGGCCTGCGGGTTGCGCTCGATGACATTATTGAAGCCCAAGAATGCAGACGCCTTTTCGTGTGAGGTGCTGATCTTGGACATGGCGTGCAAAAAGGGCGGGGCGTAGTCTTTAAGGAACGGGGCCAGGTGGATGGGACAGGGTATACCCAGACGGCCGAGCGCCGTCGCCGCGTTCTCCATGGCTGGATCCGGCACTTCTTCGTTCTTGATGAGGCCGACCAGACCCTGATACAGGGGTTCGACGTAAGGCGAGATGCGCGACGTTGGCGCCCGCGCCGCAATCTCCCCTAGAGACCAGCACACGTTGGCCAAGACATTAAACCCGTTGTCCGAGTCGTCGTCCGGCATGGCGTCCAGGTCGAGTTGGCGGATCGCGATCGGCAACAGTTTCGGCAGGTACGGGTCGAGCGTCGAGTACAGCGCAATGGCGCAGTCGCCCAGCACCGCGTAGGCCGATTGTCGCACGTCCGTGGTCGTGTCTTCCATGCAAAAAGTCAAAAGGTCGAAAAACTGCGGCTGCGAGTTTTGCACCAGCGGCGCCGATTTCTCCGCCGAAACGGCTTGGATGATTGCTGACAACAGGTCCAGTGCGGTCACGATAAAGTCTTTGTCCGGCTGGTCCACTGCCTGCCCTGACATGTAGGCCATGTGCTGCTGCAGATTGGCGTAGATGACTTTGATGCATCGGTCGAAAATGGGCGGGGCAAATTGTGCAAACGTGTCGCCGTATGCCATGGCGATGTATCCCAGGCACCCGAGCAGGGGGAACATCTCTCTCGAGTCGTCCTGGATCTTGTTCCACCGCTCAATCAGCACCGGCATGAGAAGATCCACCAGTTCCGGTTTGGCCAGGTCAGACCCCACATTGTCGGCAAGCGTCTGGAGACAATCGTAAAGAATGTACATGTTCTTGTCCTTATACCGTCGGAAGCATTCGGTGAACTGTCGGAGGATGGGCTCCACGTATGGCTTGAGCTTCTCCCCGGATTTCTCTTCGAGACTGGCAAACGAACTGGCCGCGGCCTCTTGCACCTTTTTGTTTTGGTCCAGCATCCGTTTCAGTAGTCCTTCCATCATCGGCTCAAAGTATCGCTGCCTGTCGGCCGGCGATTCTAGCCGAGCCGCCCATTCGGAGTACCGCGAGAGACACCAGCAGGTAATCTGTCTGACCACGGGTTCTTCATCGTCCAGAAGGGAAATCAAGAAAGGGACAAGCTCAGGCAAATGCGGCGAGACGACGTCCATACACCCATCCGCAATGGCTCCCAGGGCGAGGACGGCCGCTTCCCTCTTCGGCCACAGGGTGTGAGAGAGGTTCTCCTTGAGATACGGCAGGATGATATTGAACACGGCGGCATGGTAATTGACCGCAAACACGTCCAAAGCCGCGGCCGAGCATTTGCGCAAACTCCAGGCATTCTCTGGATCATCATCGTCCCATTCATCGTCATCTTCGTCCTCGTCCTCAATCTCGCCGTCACTGAGATCCGCTTCTTTGGACGAGGAGCCGTTCGCTTGCGGAGTGCTTGCCTCGCCTTCTTCTTTTTCTGACGTCACGCCTCTGCCGGCCCTGGATTGAGCGAACTGGGGTTTTATGTCCTCGGCACGATCCTCCACATCGGCGTTGTTCTCGTCCCCGCCGAGCCTGAACACTTCATCTTCTCCATATACCATGCCGGCCAGAAGTACAGGGATGATTCGCTCCAAGTATGGTCCCATCTGATCGCGGAGTTGTTCTTGTTCGCCCACGCTTAACCAGAATTCGGCCGCATCCAGTGCCAAGTCGGGGTTTCCTGACGACTGCTGCTGGGTGAGAATATAATTCACCAGCCCGTCTATATGGGGAGCGAGCATGTCGGGTCTTGAATCGACGAGCTGGACGAGCGACTGACACACAATCCTCCTCACCTGCACATCGGGATCGGTGGCTAGTTGGAAAATGGTCTGCAAATAGACATCCAATGCGGCGAACAGCACCTGTGACTTTTGCGGGATGAACGCCTTCAGCGTACTCAGCGCTAACACCCTGATCTTGGGATTCGGGTGGCTCGCGAACTCCAGCAATTTTGGAACAATCACCGACATGGGTCGTTGCCCTTGGTATTCCTTGTCCAGCAGTTTGCGGTTATCCTCGCATACCTTGGCCAGAGCGGACATGGCACCCTCTTGGGTCTCGGGCGACACGTTCCCTGTAGCATTGCTAACGAGCGACAACAGCTCTTGTAGGATCTCTGGCCATTGAAGCAACCCACCTTGTTGTACTGTCTCCGTGATGACCGTGCCGGCAAAGCTTCTCAGCTGAGGATTGGGGTCACGAAGAACTGCAAGGGTGGAGGCCTTGATGTACTCCAGCTGGTCCTTCGAAATTGTTTGGTAAAAGAATTTTATGTGGTTTTTGAGGTTGATGGCCGCGGCATATCTGATCAGGAACAGACTCGGTGGGTTCAGGCTCAGCTGCTGGCCGAAATGCGGGTCGCAGAAGATGTAGGTTAAGTAATTCACGTAGTCTTTGTTATTTCGAGCATTCACAAGCATCTGTCGCCAATCTTGTCAGCGACCATTCCGAACACATTCAGCGAGACGGTATTTGGGGCTCTTGTTCAAAACGTACCAACTCGGCCTCTTTCTGTTTGTTCCTGTCATGTCCACTCAAGGAGTTCTTGAGGTACTCCGCCAATTGCCTCAATCCATCCTCCTCCGGTTGCCACGACATGACGGGCCCCGTTGCGCCCACGGGGGCTTGTGTAGGTGAATGGCGGACCTTTGCGGCGGTGGGTGGCCAGGTAAAGGCTGTCGTCAGAGAGAGGACCTCCTAGGTTTTGTCCGTCCCCTGTTGTTTTACTGCAGCGCTGCTGGGACCAAGGAGGCGAAAATGCTCTAGAGATCAAGAGCAGAATTTGGGTATTGAGGTAGGAGTTGGAAACGGAACTTCGACTTGTCGACACAAAAAGTGTCACTTCCGAAGTGAATCTCCCTGCTAGATCGGCAGAAAGATTTCCGAAATTTCTGGCGGGCGTAACTGGCCGCGCAGCCAGGGGCCAACAAAGACTGGTTCAAGCAAATGAGCCGAGGGTATAGATCGGGGAGCGAAAGAGGCAGAGATGGGAAAGACGAATGAATCGAAGTGATAAAAAGGGATTGATGGGTTGGAGTGTGAGGTCCTAGTACTGTAGTGGGAGTAGTTGGTGGTTGCGCTGCGTTGCGTTGCGTTGCGCAGGTCCGCGGCGAACTTGGAGTTGCAGTGCGATTTCTTCAGGTCCAAGTTTCTTGGGGTGCCAGTTGCGGTGCCGGCCCCAATTGCCAGCGCCAGAGGAAAAGAAATTCCGATCTTCAGGTTTCAGCTCCGCAGCCCCAGCACCAGCATCACTGCCATCATCGATCGACAACTATAGTACAATTGAACTGGCAATTGAACCGACGTTGACGCCGAGCATGTATATAGAGTAGGTACAACTTGCAATGATCAACCACTGCATGACGACAAAATAGCCGCACTCATTGCAGCACTGCAGCATCCTCTCATCGTCCCACGGCAGAAACTAGATGTAATATTGTAAATATATGCAAAGCCATTTCGTCTCCTCGTTTACATACTTAGAAATATCATTCGTTCCCTGCCTGCCTGCCTCCTTATAGGTATAGGTGGTCCTGGGGTCGGTATTGAATATTGTAGAGAAAGTATCTTCCATTCACCGCATTATTATATGCGACCAGGTCCGACTGACCGAGTTTGCCTGGAACTTCAAGGGACTACTGTGCCAGCGCTGGCGGCCGTCGGGGCCGAATCGAGCTATTCTATCAGGCACTGTGCCGAATATTCAAAGGCGGTATCATGTCATGGCCATGTTATGCGCCTTTTCTCTTTCTTGCTTGTTCTCTGCCTTTGTTTTGGACAGACATAACCGGCGATGGACAACAAGCAACAAGTCAACAGTAGTCAAATCACTTGATGCCAAAGGGCAGGAAAGAGGCAAAGGAAAAATAAAGTGAACATGACACGCATTAGCTCATGAACTGTATTGACTGACTGGTTGAATTGCTTGCTTACATGCTTTCGCTTTGTGCACGGTCGAAAAAACGAACGGAACAGAACCAAATGAAGGAGAATCACCGACCGTCTTGCACTTACAAGCAAGCAGCTTGCCGGTTGAAGGCCGTGGCATATCAAATGCTGAATGGCTGCCTGTCGAAATTTTCCCCTTCTCCCCATATGCAAGTTCATGGGCAGGGACCACATAGTCGGCTCGCCTCATCCCCAGATAGATCGCCTGTTCGAACCATTCCATTCTACCCCACTCCATTTTCGTGTAAGATCTCGTCGAGTCGGGTCCGGTTTGGTCCATGTGTTTCTTTCCCATACCACCACGCCACCCCCGAAATGCTTACTTCAAATTTGACCCTTGCTCTGACGGGTGCGGGTTTTCGTCAGGGTGGGTTCATGCTTGCCATTTTGACTGTCCTGTGGGGACATCTGCGTCCCCATTGCTTCCCATTTACCACTCACCAAGAGAAGAAATATGGCCACGGACGCCGACACAGGACCCGTGCCACACCGATTCAATCAGCGCTTCCAAACGGGTGCATGGTAATGGTCACCAAGAAAACAAAAAACCCTTCGTAATATTGATTGGCGGGTCGTCAATGGGAAAATTAAAAGGGTATTTTCGGCGAGTCAACCAAACGCCAAAGCAATAGACTTAGCTGAGCTTTTTTGAATCCATTTTCTTGTGATTGATGCGCCGGCAACCGAAATAAAATGCTTTTGCGGCAGTGAGAGAGACCCTTCCAAGGAGAGGGAGAGAAGTGTTCGAGGTCGAGGAAACAGTGAACAGGCTGCTGCTGTATGAGGTTTACACCATAATAGTCTTCTGCGCAGGAGTAAATGCGTATTTGGGCATCATGGCCATCTTCTCTTCAGGGCTTGTCTCGTTGTCAGAGTACACCAACCTGGTTGTTTTGGGTTTCTCCTTGTCCTTCTTCTCCGCCTTTTCCTCGGCGGCGGGCTCCTTTGCAGCACCAGAGGCTGACGGCTGAGTATCTGGCTGTGAAGGGACTGTGCTAGCAGCAGCAGTATCGGGAGCAGCAGCGGGGGCGGCCGGGGCGGCGGCCTTAGCGTCTGCCTCCTTCGACGCGCTCGCGATCAGATCATCGAGAGATGACGCATTTTGAGCATCATCTGCGGAAGCAGGAGGTGCCACATTGGCTGGAGATGGATGTTGTGCACTCGTAGAGGGCATAGCTTCGTGTGGACGACCCTGAGGAACAGAATTATGGGCTTGAGTAGCGGGGAGCTGACCTTGATGCATTCGCTGAAACTGAGAAGCATTGACGGGAGGAGCACCAAATGCGGGTCTCTGCGGCAATCCGGGAGCACTAGGTAGACTTACACTGCCAGTACGTACCGGAGGAGGAAAACTGCCATTGGTAGTGGGAGAAAGTGCACGGTGGGCCAGATGCATTGGTGGGGATTGTTGAGGAAACCCAGGCACTGGAGACACTGCACCAAAAGGCCTTGGAGGTATGCCAGCTGGGCCAGGGTAAGACTGACCTGGATATGCCGGCTGATAGGGGGGAGGCGAAAAACTCGGTTGAGCTGGATATCCCATAGGCGGTGGCTGCTGTTGATACGGCGCATATGGTTGAGGTGGGTAAGCCACCGGCGGGACTTGGCCATACGCTGGCTGTCCAGGCTGGGGTGTCGGAGTCTGCGCGTAAGCTCCAAGGGGAGGAGACCCAGCAGGGGGATAAGCGGTTGGTGCCTGATAGGGGGCTGTAACTGGAGCAGGAGCTTGTGTGAAAGCAGGCTGACCGTACGAGCCATTCGTAGGCGGTGCGCCATATGTTTGCTGGTAACCAGAGTAAACCGGAGAAGCCGCCTGGAACACGAAATTAGCGACAGTGATACACCGAACGAGTTGGTGGTCATAACTTACCGATGCTGTTGGAGTTTGACTCTGCCCGGAAGCCGGAGGGTTGGGAGTATCACCACGACTACTTCCACCTTGCTCCTCGGCCGCCATCTTCGCCGCTTTGTGCTCTGCCAGACGTTTCTTGATGTCCGACACTGACTCGAGCTTGGGTTTCTTGGGCGCATTTGGACCTTGACCCCCTGAGGCAGGTTTAGCACCGGCCGCTTGTCGTTCAGCCTGCGTTTGGTGGTAGGCCGTGAGAACGCGCTGGTTATGTTGTTGGACAATATCTTCCGGGATGCCTTCCATACCGAAGATCTCGATATCTAGACCAGCTCGATTTGGCAGAGCATTGTCGACCGCAGTAAGGTTTTCTTTATGCACCTGGCTCATGTGCACGCTCAACCCTCCCGCAGTGTTTAACCGCCGCCCACATCTTTCACATTTGAAGTGTTTTGCTTTCTGATGGTTAATCAGGATTTTGAGGTCATCGAAGTCGCGTTCACAGTAGTAACACCATGGTCGAGCGAGGAGTTCTTCGACATCGGGATGATGGCGCTTCTTCTTCGTCATGCTGGGCTGGTCTGTAGGCTATTCAGGAAATACAAAGTGCTTTCCGATCTCAGATCTGACTCAAGGCTCGAGCGGGCAGAGGCAGCGCAAGAGACCGACAATAGTGATAAAACAGTTATGAGAGATGTGGAAGGTGTCTGTGACGCGAAACTCGAGGTGAACTTAAAGCGCAGTTCGTGAAAAAGTGGCTGGCCCGATCATCAGCTCCGCCAAGGCTGCAATCGGAGAAAGGTAGTGCCGACCCGATATCGTGACAGCCTGACGATGAATTCGCAGTGCAGCCTTGTGAAGTGTAATGTCGGTTGACGATAATTACTGTGCAAGAAACACCTGCTTCTGAGAAGACTACCTGGCCACTGGAGCCCAGAACTGAGACAAAAGCGACAAATCTGAACGGGTGAGGTGCAACTCGCTACCATCGGGCACATCTTGGGTCCTTCCTTACAGGTAAACCACATTTCTTTGAGAGGCACTGCTCAAACCATGTTTGCCTGCAAGTCTTATTAAAGTACAATGACTAGTTTTTGTAACACTCTCAGCTGCATTATGCAGTGCGACCTATGAACCTCAATCATGCATGGTGTCCTTCTGGGGCACTGCCCAGTGCCAGAAAAGCCCTTCCATAACCCAGAAGAAACTTGAGCTCTCCATTTTCCAGTGAAACTGTGATGTCTTAACCGACTCGACCACTGGTGATTCCCTCGAGTTACTCGCTTAAGCGTCTCGCGTTCCGTAGAGACCGTCTCTTAGGTGGCGTAGCATCAGTGACAGAAATAGAATCGCTACCCTCCCTCCTCAAACTGGATTTCGAGGCCGGACTGGAGTCCAACTCTTTAGCATTCTGCTTTGGACCCTCCTCCGCCACTTTATTCGACACTTGTTTCGTCTTTGGGCTCGGGTAGCCATCATTTCCCTCCGGTTCATCATGGTTTACCAACTGCTTGATGCCAATGCCTCCTCCTCTCTTCACGGTCCCATCCTGCCTGACCGTATCTTCATGACCGTTGACGGAGACCGTCTCGATCGACGACGATGGAAGAGAAGGTGATGCAGTCTGTTTCTCTGGGCGTAATGGTTTGGGCTTGCTTGCAGCTTTTTTGGTCTTTGTGTTTTCCGTGGCGTCGTTCACCGCCGCCAGATTCTTTTTGCCACGCGGTCTCTTGTCCTTGTTCTCCGCCTTCCAGAATGCCCACTTTTTGAACATGCTGAAACTGCGGACGGGATTGACGCCATTGATGATCTTCCATTTCCAGTCTTCAGCCTGGACTGGGTCGTCATGCAACCATAGATGATCGTGCTTGACTGCCGCAACTAGCTCTTCATCTGTCCACTTGCGCTCCCGTAACTCATGTACCGACAATCCCATCCATGGTGGCCTGTCTGCTCCAGCAGGTGTCGGACCACTCGGGGCTGGTGTGGCCGTCTTTGATGCAGTTGGCCCAGCTAGCGCTACTGCTGCTGCTGCCGCTGCCTCCTGCGCTTCCTTTGCTTCCCTTGCCTCTCGGGCCTTCGTGTATTGGTTGGGATGCTTCGGTTTGCCCTGTGCGTTCAGCTTGTGGCGCTTTGCATTGGGGGTCTCTGCACCACCATCGACTGCAGGAGAGTCGGCTGCTCGTTTTCGACCAGGAGTGGAAGGGGTCGAAGGAGCCTCGGAAACTTCCCGTGTGGGTGGATGTTTCTTCCCATCGAAGCGAGTACGTGTCAAACGCTTGTCGACCGGCTTGGGCGGTGTTGTCGTCTCCCCAGAAACCTCACTGCTCGGAGTGAGAGGCCGAATGATTTCACCATTCTCATCGACATTGCGCCGCACATATGTGTTGGTATATTCGTCTTGATGAGTTTGCAATTTCGGGAGGAGTGCCTTGCCGTTCTTCATGACAGGGTCCCAACCGTCGGGGTTTTTGGGATTGCGCGCACTGGCGAGTTTGGCCTTGTACTCCTTCTCCTTGGGTACAAAGCCACCTTGCTCAAAGGGTTCCTGAAACAGTCGAACATCATGCTTTTCCCGCTCAGTGACCTCGTCAGCATGTCTGAGGCCTGGAATGCCGGCATGCAGCAACGCAGGTCGGTTGGCCTCATATTTGTAACCGTACAAGACCGATTCTTTGCGCTCTTCAAAAACATCATGCTCGAAAAGAGCTTGCGGGTTCTTGGGTTGATTCTTGGATTTGATGTTGGCGATCTGGCGCTCAAGATCCATGTACTCGTCTTGAGCCATTTTCATGGCGATTTGATTGTTGGCGCTTGCCGCGTAGAGCTGTTTTCTTGTGAGTGTGGTAATGTTCAGGAGAAACGCTTGCGGGTCACTGAGTGGGTGGAATCCATCCTCGTTGAGCTCTTTCGAGGTGTAAAGTTCAGGTCGGGCAGAGTCGCCAAAGGCGGCCTGCCATATGGAGTCAATTTCCATCTCAGACATGATGATGAGCACAGTAACGACACAACAGCTAGACAAGTGCTTGCTCCACGAAGTTATGAGGTGTTGATGGTCTGTAGTGCGCGGATCACCTTTTGGAAAATGTAAAGGTTGAGAAGGTGGAAGTCCTAGGGATGGAGAGATAGACCATGCGGGAAAGCCGTATTGGGGGCGCAGGGAAGACACTAGTCATGGACGCGATGTCGCTCACATGATAAACAATGACGGTGAATGTCAAAACCGGGCTGAATTAACTGGTTTGAACACAGCAGCCCGACGGTGCTGGTGCTGGCTCTCAATCCTGATGCTTGATCCTCATTCATCCATAGAAATCCCAATCAGGATTAGTCCCTTTCGCCATGCCGTATTTCCTCCGCCAATCATCGTCGCAGCTCTCGATCTAACCCGAACAGGAAATATGTCTTGGCCGGGGACTTGTGCTTTGCAGCCTCGCAACTCTCGGCGGCGACGACGGAGAGGGGTGCCCAGAGCAGAGATAGTATTGAAGATATACTGCTTTTTTCTTGCTTTTTTAGGGGCTCACAAGATCTCATCATGTCCGCAATATAGTACGAAGGGCGCTCTAAAAAGAGCACTAACTATTCAGACTTGGTCTTCAATGGTTGATACCACGGCGGTGTCGTTGTCTCTTTGTTCTAGTATTATTGGTGTACTCGAGCAGCCCGAGCGAGGCGGACCTGAAGAAGACAAGACCAGGCTGGACCTCGGCCATTCTCTCATGCCGCAGCCTCCTGGCCTCTCTCCGCCCTTTCCCTCAATCGTTTTTCCGTCGTCTTCTTAGCCTCCTCCACCCAGGCATCATAAGTGCCATCCTTAAGTTTCATGGCCACCACTCCCTTTAGCACCTCGCCCGTGAATCCGACAAAGTTGTGCCGGCGCAGGGCATTTTCCCAATCCCATTGGGCACGTTTCCGCCTCTCACGCGCCAAGGCCTCGTAATCCTGGAACTCCTGGGCTTTGATTCTCAAGTCTTGACAGACGGCCATCAGATTGAACCGCACTTCGCCCGGGGGATACCGCTCGATTCGTCTCTGGAGCACAGGGATGATCTTCTCCGGGAACTCGTCTGGCGTGCAATCACCATGCGAGATCGGATATGGCTGCAGTCCATCCAGCTCATACAGCTTGCCGTGATGGCAGGTATAGGCTATGAAATGAAAGACGTCCTCTGTGCCAGCGCTGGGGTCGCGTTGCGTCTCGTCCGCGAACGGACTGGATCTAGCAAAGCTGTTGTGTGTTTCGCGGATCAGATCCGAATTGGACAGCGACTCGCCTCTCAGTCCCGCGTCGAAGCCCGTTGTAAAGTCCTTAAACTCTTGTAGCGCGGGCCCGATATCGATTCGCGCCCTGCTCGCGTCCCCACCGGATGACGACGCATCGCTGGATTGATCGTTGTTGAGGATCACCGACAGAATGGCTTGTGTGCCGCAGGCGTTTTGGATGGTCTGGGCCGCAAAAAGTAGTCCTTCATCCTCGACCGCCGCCGGGTCATACGTTCCATCCTGCGGCGCTCCCTTGTTTTCCGACGACGAGCCGATCCATTTGAAGAGAAAGATAACACCGTATACCGGACTACCGACACAGTTCACATCGCGTCAGCAAAGGCCAAAGACTGAAGTCGAGGGAAAGGACCAACGCATGGCTTCCACGTTACCTCAATGCCCGTATGGAATCTGCGTCTAGTGATATCAACTCTTCAAATTGCACTCCCTTGACCCCTAACTGCTCAATCAACGACGTAAAGACGCCCTAGAAGTCAAGCGAGAGATGTCAGCTTCAGTGCCGCTAGGGTTGGCGCACCAAGTTGCGGCAACAAGGCTCATTTACTTCATCTGATTCGATGGTACTCCAGCCACCTGCAGAGGCGTCTTCAGCCATTGCCGCCGGTCGACAAATGTAGCTGCGAGCAAACAACCACGATGGCTTACGAGTCAAGTTGTCTGCGACACGGTAGCGAGCTGGCCGCGGTGTGTTGATATGTCTGCCGTGCTAAGCGACGTCCGCGGTGCCGAAAGTCAATCAGTCTGCGCAAATGCCGGTGTGTACCCCAACTTGAAGTTGTGTCCACATGCAGAGTAATTGTAGTTGTACTGTACATAGTATATTTTTATTATGACGTCGGATCCACTACCATCTTCACTCCACCCCCGGGAACTTCATGTCCATACAATGTTGTACAACTTGAAGTATTGGACCCAGCATCAGTCTGGACTCATGGAGGCAGCCTAAATTACAGCGCAGTGATTTCCATGTCCAGGCAAAAAGCCGGAAATTGGTATGCTTTCGAGCATGGAGGACCACCAAACGACCCGAGTTTGCATACGCCTCCTGGAGGCGGTATACAAGTAGTACCTAACTGTCCTGTTACGAGCCCGTGTCTGAGCAACATTGCCTCATCCTCGGCCCACACATATCGCTTGAAACTACTGAGCGAAACCTTTGCTCAACTCCGCATGCGTGAGAAAATCTCAGATGGTCATGGTGTAAGCGACGTGTAAGCAAAAACACACCCGAATGCGCTTCAGTACCATTAGCATCAAAGCCAGACAACTCTGAGGATACCAGCGGTCCTTGGACGACGAGCACAAGAACGTCTCCAAATTATAGACCGGACGGACCACTGCCAATCTGTTCCCTGTCGCCGGTAAAAGGCCTGTCAGATGGTCCATGGCGACATACCCGCCACATTCGACATCCGGCCGCCACCTCAGGCCACTATTCCAAGGCATTGCTGGTCAGATTCATCGCTGCATGATCATCGAGCCGCGTATCGACTTGTCGGTGCCTCCAAAGTCAGTATAGCCGTTCCTTTTGCTTGTCCTTCTGCATGCTAGAAGCCGTCATGGCCGGGGGAGTCCTATCCATCATATGCTCAGTTGCGGGCTCGTCAGACCGAAAGCTGTGAGAGAGTGACGAACCGAGGATTCATGTCCATGCTGCCGTATTGGCTGTACGGTGCTTGACTCTGCGTAAAGTAGTCCGCTTTCGTCCCCGAAATCTCGTGGCTGCTTCGCGGGTGCTGCGGTGTGTCGGGCCCATTCATCACTCCCATACCAGTGCTCTGTGGATTCCTTAACCCAACTTTGCGCTCACTCCATGAACTGCTCCGACCTATGGTAGGAAACGGCGCTTCCCGCGGTAGGTCAGTAGGATTGCTAGGGCCAAGGGCAGCCTGGAAATAGGCCGAGCTGGGGACTGACTGTCCACTGCTGGGGCCTGGTATAGGTGAGTTAGTATATCTCCTCGGAGTGGCAGTGTCCCCTCGGGAGGAGGATAACGTTAGGGGCGGTGCTCCAAAAGGGCTTCGTGGGGAGTATTGATATAGACCGGCATTTGGGCCGCTGTGGCTGTTATGTCTCTGTCTTTGTCGATATGAGGCCAAGATTTGAGCCGGTACTTCGATTAAAGACACAGCCACCTGCGCTCCGGTATCGTGAGGTTGAGCGGCTTTCCTCGTCCTGAGAAGGTCATGAACATTCTCAAGAGGATCCACCGACATGCTTCCAAGATATGCTCCGCCAATCTCGGGAAACACCGAATCTGTCGCAAGGGCGGTCGCATATAAGTGTGAGAGCAAAGTCAGCGGAGCCAAGTCGGACTCCGCAGATCGGAGGATCTGGGGCGGCAACCAGAAGATGAGGTCCCTAAGAGGCTGCAAGCGTTCGAAAGCCTTCTGAGGTCCTTGCAGGTGTAAATCTTGTTGCAGGCCCTGCAGAAATTCAAGGAGTAGCCCGGCATGTTCCGTTAGTCCTCCACTGTCTGGAAGTCGGAGGCGCAAGATATGAACCGCAGTCGTGATCTGCTCGAGATGGCGCAATTCCTCATGTGCGATGCCACCCTGTGAATACGGTAGTGTGGATTTCGCAGAGGTTGTGATTCTCGCAACTGCCCGTTGTGATTCAAGATACCTGGCGAGGTCAGACTCATGCAACCATTGTCGCATGGCGCTCAAGACCTAAAGCCCGTAAGCGTAAGTGTGGTGAGTTCCGAAGACAGGGCACTCGTACCGTGGATACACCTTGTTGTAATGATGCCCAGCCACGCCTGTTCAACATCAGAAACAGTCATCGGCCGGGATACTGATCGTACCATTCTGTGGATTGCCATGAGAGCATAATGGAGGCTGCAAGAATAGCCTCTGAATTTTCCCTGGAAAAGGCCCCAATGGCTTCATGGAGCCCCTTGAGCGAAACTCCTCGATGGTGATATGCCAGGTTTACTGTATCTGCATTCCTTGTCTGGCTCGCCAGGTGGGATGCAGACAAAGCAAGCAACGCGTTCATGGTGAAATCGTGCGACAATGCCACTGTAATGAGCCTGAATTCTCAGTCATCTCAACCACGTTGATACCGAGGTGTCCTTACGAGTCCATTTTCAACCCCCATACGGTGCAATTACTGTAACCCCGGCGATACATGTCGGTCGAAAGCGTCACCATGTGATGTATCAAACGCAGGTCGATCGTCGAGAACCGCGTCCAGTATAGCCTGTCCACCATTTGTAGTTCAGGTAAGAAAGAGTCTCCCGTAATCCGCCAGTTATCCAATCGACGCTGGAGTTCGGGAGACATCAGGAGGTCAGGAGGCTGAGACCCTTTGAGGTGATCTTCCCCTGCTGCGGGCATGTCCATATAATCGCAGCGGCAATTGTGTTTCGTACAGTTTCGACATTGTGGGAACATCTCGTCGCAACGTATGTGGCGCTTCTTGCAAGTCTTGCATCCTTTGCGCGACTTGGTATGACTTTTCCGCGGCGGTCCGCCCCCTGGACCAGCCATGTTCGAGGCCAACCACCCTCCGAATCTGGATCGATGATGTACCTGACGCCGGACCTGGGCCCTCCCAAAAGGTTCCGGCCAAGTTCAAGTTGTTGCAGGGTGGACCCTAGGACGGCCGTTTGAATGACCAAAGAATTCGAGACACTTCTCAGATGCTGCCTCTGAGCACCGATGATGGGCGAAAGAAGGCAGCCCTTGGTATTCTGGAAATACGATGACTCGGAAAGAAGCAGGGCAACGACCAACCTCCAGCGAAGCTGGCGTCGAATGATTATAAGACCGAGCGGCAAACCGCGCCCACAAGATATCCCGACGACCCAGTATGAGTGAACGAAGACTTCGACCACCGCTAGAGAACCTCAAAGATAACGACACTGGACTCAAGGAGTCTATAAAAGTTTGATATCCCTGATTTTGCTGTCGACAAAGTCAAGCAGTGAAAGAGTGGGAAAACACGTTGTAGTAGCGGTAAGGTTGGGGTGGACATGGATGGAAATAGAACTTGCGTAGCGAAAGGGAGGGCGGCTACCAAGAGTGCTGCCGAACTTTGGATTACATGGACTCGAAGGAGGCAAGATGCGTGCGGCTGCAAACAAATCAGTTGCGCAAGCTAGTCAGGCTGAGGGGCAATCTCACAGCACTGATCGTGCAATGGGATTTAGAACACTCAGCCTTGATTCCGTTGGACTGTGCCGTCTGATCTTTTTGCCTTTTCGCTTCCTGGACATGACATCCGCCATCTCGGGGCTGTCTCCCCACACCAGACTGAAGGGAGCCGCAAATCATTGATGAAAGGGCAGACTGGACGGACAGGGCCTGAGGAGTTTTGGCTAGGCCGACATGAGACACCTGCAGTCAATCCGTCAACGTGCTCTGCTTTAGAGTGGGAGCCATCAAAGGCACAGCCGGACTCCGGTGCACTTGGCTTCAAGTGACTCAGCGCACTCTGGAGGAGGCGTTTCTTACTCAAGCCACGCAGGCAAAAAGGCCGGGTGGAAGAAAGCCCACCTAACGGCTGAGGCGCAGGTAAGCCAACAGGGTTGAACGGAGTAGCTTTGGCAAGCGCGTCTGTCCATGGGAAGGGTCGTCGAGGAATTAGCTTCAAGTTCAGCCCAGGGCACGGCGTCGCCCTGGCAGGACCAATGCCTTGGGAATCACGAGGCTTGGGGCATAGGATCGTGACCTGTCAGCTCGGTGATCGAGGACCATTTCGTTGTTTGCTCACATCTAAGCCCTTCACTAGGACGGTATCCATAACTTGAAGGCCATAAAAATGCGCCAGTGGAGCCAAGTGGATCAAATCGATCCGATCACCCTTTTGCATCCGTCGCAGGATAATTTGACAGACTCAAACATCAGCCCAGCGGAGAGAGGGGGTTGTTTGGCCCCCTACTATAATAATGTTGCAGCGAGCTAACCAGAGTGGAATAGCGATAGTACAGAGGTAAGTTTTGGGGACCAGCCAAACCAACCACGGCGTATGTGAGAATACGGCCGGGCTGCCATGAGGTAAATAGTGGCTCTGCGAAAGATGATGCTACCTGTAATGTTGGCAGCGATAGTAGAAGGGCCACCAACAATGCTGCCGTAGCGTACTCTTGCCAAGGCGAGCTGAGAGCGGCACGCAGGGCTTTGAGGAGCTATAGCCTGAACAGGCCGCTGCTGAAGCGAATTTGTCGAATTACAAGGCGTGTCTGATTGGCCTTCACCGGAACGATGGTCATTCGGAACCCTCAATCTTTGCTCTGGCGGTCCCTGCGACGGCCGATTGAAACACGTTCTCACCCGGTGGCTAATGCACTCTAGGCCTAGTCTTCTGAGGCACAAAGCAGTGTTTGAGCTCACACGCCGATGCAAGATAGAAGTGTCTTTCATCGATCGACCAGCAGGTAGCTCCATTGTGATCTTTCAGTGGGGCTCGCCGATCGGCGGGATGTGGATATAACTGAAGGACAGGTCACATACGCTGTACATGCATTCGGGAAGCAAGGCGCTTGATTGCCTGACTCGGTGTTGAAACTCTGTATGGCTTCTGAGGCGAGAGGTACCTTACTAGAGTGAGTCCCTGTGCGTATGGTACGCCTCAATTATTGAAGACCAGCAGATCCCCGACTTAGCTTGGTTGCCCAAGACGGATTGGAATGGTAGAGGAGGGCTCCCTGGGCTGTGGCATACGACCACTCCGAAACAATAGGCGGATGAGTGATTAGACTTTTTTTCGCTGGGCAATGTTAGCAACGTTCGGTGCCTGGAACGCTGAACGCCTTGCACCAGGACACCAGCGCTCAGCTTCAGGTTTGAGGTCTGGCCGGTCGAGGCCTATCACGAGGCGCACTAAAAGAACCATTTCCAAATGCCACCGGTCCCGCGGCTGTGACAGAGAGGCGTCCTTATCCGTTATTGGGATAGCGGACTACCAACACTGCAGACGCGGGGGGAAAGAGGCGTAGAACATGACATTTCATTTGCAGACTCTTCGGCTCTCACGATGCCCAGAGGAGTGTAGCTGATTTTTGGGGCGTGAGGCTGCTCACTCGCTTGAGACTCTGTGCGTCAAATCAGGCCGTGGTCTGGCAGCTGGGATCGCTCGACGTTATTGGGTGTAGGCGGTTCCATGCTCGCTTAATCTTCGTGATCCCTGCTGACCGTGGGCTCAATTCAGATCAAGCTCTCTGAGCCGACGTGGAACAGGCGTAGGTGTGCATTCATGGGATGTCTCGGCGTCGTCAGCTGCAAGGCCTACTGGGCTCAGTCGAGAAAGGAGGATCCTTGCGAGAAGACGATATCCCAGGAGCTGACACATCAGAAAAGGTGAGGAATCACAATGAGCTCGCCTGGCCAAGGGGGTTTCTGTGAGCGGATGCAACGGAAAAGGTGTGTGGTGTGTGTTGCTGGCCTTGCCTGCATCCTGGAACTGCTACCTAGGTAGGTACTACTATTAATTGGTACTGCCTACACTGCAGTTACTGCCAAGTCTCGGCTCTGTCTGGTCTTTGAGTCGTCAGTGGCCCTGCGCGCATCGTCGTCCACGACTCGACCAACTACTTGTCAACCCGTCCGAGTCTCTGCGAGGTCAGCCCTCCAAAAAACGTACATTCGGCAGGTACCTAACCAATTGTCGGGAATTACCAGGGCCGGGAACTTCCTATGTTTCTACAGGGTTTATATCCCACCATTCACACGCATGCTAGTAATTTGCTTTCCTTAGTTGCAGCCTGCGAGGAGCATTACTACTAGGCAGTTCCTTCAAATGAACGAGAGGACTGCTAGCCCAGGGTCAGCTCTCGGGACAAGAAGGCGTGCCTAGAATTCAAAGGGGCTGGAGACGAGGGAAATTGATATATTGGCATTGCTATGCACGTGACGCACGCCCACGGCCACCAGCAATGCTCAATTCCAACGTGTGAAGGCACGATGACTTGTTTGGAGACTGGTAAAATCCGTGCTTCAAGAGGTCCCACAAAGCAGAGCAGGGCGCTCTCCGCCCCAGCAGGCCCAGTCCCAGCCGTCCGTTATCAAACATGTACAGTTTCGGTGTGGTGTCCCGCTGATGAAAGGCCAACATGGATGACAAAGACAATGATACGTAAACGTTCGCAACATGTGAGTGGGTTTGTTCATGGTATCATTGGAACTTGAGCGGCCTTAAAGCTTCTCTGCTCTCAATTCGCCGCAAAGTTGTGCCAGTGTCCCGAGCCCCTTCTGGAAAGCAGGACCTTGCTCCCTGGAAAAAACTGATTGTTTCTGCAATAAGCGTCTTCACATCACCACGCCACTGTTGCTGGCTATTCTCGGCCACAACTCCGCTGCCTCTTTGCCCACTGGCCCGGTGATAGCGCTTCCCTTCATTTCTCCTTTCGGGTTGACGATAACACCGGCATTGTCTTCGAAGTAGAGGTAGATACCGTCTGGTCGTCTCCAGGGCTTCGACTGTCGGACGACGACAGCTGGCATGACTAGAAACAAATCGTGAGCGTGTCGAGCATATGAAATCAAGGTCGCGCGTTGCCGTACCTTTCTTTCTCAACTCCGGCTTTCCCTTCTTCACGGTGGCCATCACCATATCACCCACACCGGCAGCGGGGAGTCGGTTCAATCGGGCACCAATACCCTTGACGGAGATGATGTACAGGTTTCGAGCACCTGAGTTGTCGGCGCAGGACATAACGGCTCCGCTGTTTTCACCTGTTAGCCTCCTAGTTCAATTGAGCGCTTTTCCCCTCCCTCCGCGCTCAGGAACCACACTTCGAGCCACAAAACGTCGGGATGTCGTCGGAAGTACACAAAGAGCGGAGAGGTTCGAGGTTGCGATTCGAGGGGAAACATACACAGGGAGACCGAGAGTCATCTTGAGCTTGTTGCCGGAGGCACCTCCGCGTCTGCGAGCAACAGAGTTAGCATTCGATTACTTTGCCCATGTTATCCATCACACTGCAGTCTTCTGCTGCGATCGATAGCGCCACAGGGATTGAGCCACGTACCCTCGCTTCGACATCTTGACGGTGGTTGATGTGGAATACTAAGTGTCTGGGAGTTTCGCGAAAGTGAGGTGCGGTCAACGTGAATCTCTCGACCGCGAACCAACCTGCAAAATCTGGGTGTGCTTGCCAAGACCACAAAATCTTGGCCATATCACGTGAAACCATTCAGACGTTAGTGCTTACCTAATCACATCTGTCCCTTTAGGTGCCTTTCTTGAACTCGATTTCAAAGTTGAACGTTGCAGTGGCTGCCGCTGGCATCGAGACCGACACATCCTCCGCCGTCATTGTTGCACCACAAGCTGGATGCCTACCTACCTACTTATGGGAGGCTTACTACCCATGGTTTAGTCTGTATGACCGGATCATTCTCCTTGGACCACTCAGCCATGGAGCCAATTTGCCGGCCTCATTCTTCATTCTCGCATTCAGCTTCAGTGACAGTGCGTTCACCAGAACTCGAAAAGCTTTGCAGAAATATATTTTCGTACTTGCAGCCCTGGCTAGCTGAAAGCATGTGCACAAGATGGTGGCTTTGTACGAATATGCTAAAGCAGAAGCATTTTTACGAGGACGCATCTCGCACCGGCTGCTGTCCCAACCGCTCCTTCAGCCGTTGCGAACGTACTAGCTGGACTCTGTGAGCAGTCATACCAGCTAGGTAGCCCAGGCATCAGAGTCACCTAGCCGGATTGCAATGCAGCCCTTTCACTAGAAACCGCACAGCTGCTATGTATAACACTCACTGAGTACAGATGGTACTTCTGTGTATTCGCACATGCAACTAGGCGAAAGCAGTGCAGGAAGACATTAACATGGACACCGATAGAACTGGGTATATCTAGCTATCTACGGGGTTCCCCTCCACGGCTGTAGCGATTCGGGAACCCACGTCTCCTACTGTTGTACGGCATCGAGACCAGCCTGACAGCTGACATCGGAGCTGACGCTCCCAGTCGGGAAGGCCTGCACCGGGTAAGGGTCAAGAAACCCTTGGTCGTTACGTTGCCTTGAGCCTCCGCCTGACTTATGATTCCCTGACGAAACAGCACCGCTCAATCAAGCCATTTGCCCGAATCAAGGACGGAATCTCTTGTTGCACGGAAGACGATATCATCAAGGGCAACAACAAAAGTCCGGCCCGGTCGTTGAAAGCACAGATAACTAAACTCTGTGGATGTAGGACTGTCATTCAAACACAGAGAACTATTGCACATAGCGCACGGTGACCGGCATGACAATCTCGTAACAGCAGAAGGACCACGCAGTGTTTGTGGCTAGACTCGGACGCCTGGCGTATCACCTGGGCGCTGTCGCCCAACGAACTCGGTCTAGTTCGTGGAGGCTGAAGGTGGCATCCGCGACATGTGCTCGTGCAATTCCTGCTTACCTCCCTCTCCGAGTGGTGCGCGGCTCAGCAGGTAAGCAAGGTACCTCAGGTGGTTTACCACGAGGAACTCACGACAACCTATGACGCATGATCCAAGCGGTCTTCAACCGAGGTGAAAGACCATGACTCCCAAAGACCATATCAAGAGAAAGTGTGTTTTCAAGGCCAGATATCTTCGAAGCAATCACCACTCGCAACATTGTTGCTGACAGCCCCTCAATCTGGAGCGCACGGCAACACCAGCCTCAGGTTCCACTGTCACCAGTTTCGGGCATATCAAGAAGCCACCTTGTGTATCCCTGCCTCGCGTAGTGCATATTCGTCGAGCGGGTGAGATTGAAAGGCGGCCAGCTGAAAGGTAACAATCCAAGCGTACAGATCGCTCTTACCAATGGCGTTGTCTCTGTTCGCAATCCCTCATCTCACCGCGCCGCAATGGCCAGACCACCCTGGTCGCCTTGCATGGGGCCGGTGAACCTCAGCTCAGTACTCAGCCATGAGCTGTAACGCCAGCATTCATTGTGCAATACCTCTATGCGTTGCTTTTCTGCGTGTTGCCTGTCGCTATCCTTAAACAATGTCTGCGTAAGCATCTTGCCTTTTTCTGCTTCGCCCTCTGGTTCGACCCGCTCAAACATGTGCTGTTACACGCCGTCTACGCGTGATTCTGCTTTATGCCTCAGGCCTTACATATATAGCCTTGACTGTGCTCGGAGACCATGTCAAACAAGAGGAAGCTTTCAGTTACATCCATCAGCAGCAACATGGACGAACAACACAATCTACCTCTTGATGCTGGCGACGATGCCACCAGCTCCAGACTCTTTGGCGCCATCAAAGGGTTCTTCGAGAGCATTGCAGGCTCTGGTTCTGACCCTACCAACCCAGTTGTCAATGGGGCGTCCGTAGAATCAAGACCGCTGCTGGCAAGACTGCTGGCGGACATTGCCTCTCAAGCGCCTCGTCTAGGCGAAAATGCTGCCCTGATTCATTCCTTGGTAGATACAAGGCTTTTCGATGGCGGCCTCGTCGATGACCGTCAATATCAGGTACGTTATCAACCTGAATTGCTTCATTGCCGACCACTTGGTCGGTAGATGGCACCCTGTCTGATACATCCCCTTCATAGATGGAGAAGATTCTTCAACTGGCAGCCACACTGCCTGTGGAATCAGAAGCACTGGGTACTCTAACCGGCCAATTCATCAAGCTGTTATGGGAGACTCTTGAGCATCCGCCTCTGTCCTATGAGGGCGACAACTACAAGTACCGCACTGCCGACGGCTCAAACAACAACATAATGTATCCGCACCTTGGCAAGGCCGGGTCATACTATGCTAGGACCGTGGCACCCCAAACCCTAAAGCCTGGGGTCCTCCCAGACCCGGGAGTCATCTTTGACGCCGTGTTTGCACGAGGCGAGAAAGCCCGAGAGCATCCGAACAAGCTTTCCAGTATGCTCTTCTACCTCGCCACCATCATCATTCATGACTGTTTCCATACCGATGAGCGAGACTATTCAGTTGTGAAGACATCCTCCTACTTGGACCTGGCACCATTATACGGCAGCAGTGAGGAAGACCAAAAGAAGATCCGAACCTTCAAGGACGGCCTCCTGAAGCCGGACACATTCTCAGAAAACCGCATTCTTGGCTTTCCGCCCGGAGTGTGTGCAATTGTCGTCTGCTTCAACCGTTTCCACAACTATGTGGCCATGCAGCTGAAGGAGATCAACGAAGGGGGCCGTTTCAAGATCCCCCGGGACGAGAATGACACCAAAGGCATTGCCAAGTTGGACAACGATCTCTTCCAGACAGCCCGACTCATCACCTGCGGCTTGTATGTCAACATCATCCTCATCGATTACGTGAGGACGATACTCAACCTGAACCGGGCTGACACCACTTGGACCCTCGACCCTCGCAAGAACTTCGCCGATATCTTTACCGAGGCGGGGGTACCCAGCGGGATCGGGAATCAAGTCAGCGTAGAGTTCAATCTCGTTTACAGATGGCATTCGGCCATCAGCGTCAAGGACGAAAAGTGGACAAACGAACTGTACCAGGCCTTGTTTCCGGGCCAGGATGTCAACAAGGTGACTGAGGCTGACCTATTGAATGCACTCCGTAAGTGGCTCTCGAAAGTTGATCCAGACCCCTCCAAATGGGAACTGGACGGCGGCAAGTACAAGCGAACCGAACGAGGCACTTTCCGAGACGAAGATCTGATCAACATCCTCAGCGACGCCACCGAGGACGTGGCTTGTGCCTTCGGGCCCCGGAATGTGCCTGTGGTGATGAAGCTGATCGAGACTCTGGGTATGAGGCAAGCCCGGGCTTGGAACGTGGCCACGCTCAACGAATTTCGCAAATTCTTCAAACTCGAGCCACACAAGAGCTTTTCCGACATCACCAAAGACGAGGAGGTTGCCCGGGCGCTGAAAGCCCTTTATCAGGAACCGGACTACGTCGAAATGTACCCTGGTCTGGTGGCCGAAGATGCGAAGGATCCCTTGGATCCGGGCTCTGGTCTCTGTCCCGGATATACCGTTTCCCGGACCATTCTCGCCGATGCGGTTGCACTCACTCGGGGCGACAGGTTCTACACGATTGACTACACGCCAGCGAATTTGACCAACTGGGGTTGGTCGACAGTCCAATCTAACCCCGCTGTTGCCCAGGGCGGGTGCATCTATACCCTATTGATGCGAGCCCTTCCATTGTACTACCGTGGAAATTCGGTTTACGCCATGTTCCCATTCACCGTCCCCGAGGAGAACCGTAAGATCCTTAGGAAACTCGGCAAGGAACAAGATTATAACTTCCAGCGGCCGTCGTACGTCGGCGTGCCGACCTCGATCAGATCGTGGAAAGGCGTGACCAAGATTCTGGGAGACCAGAGCTCCTTCAGCGTCCCCTGGGGCGAGCACACATCATATCTTACTCATCATGACTACATGCTGAGTGGAGACAGCGCAGCCAACTCGACTCAACGCCGAGAGGTCCAGAAGGCCATGTACTGCCCGGTGAATGGCCTTGCGCAAGTGCAAGAGTTCTACGAAGACCTCACCACGCAACTTGTGGTGGCGCGGTCCGAACGACTACGCGGCGAATGGTATCAGCTGGATGCCTGCCGGGACGTTGGCAATCCGTCCCACGCGATCTTCGTGGCTCGCCTCTTCCATCTCCCGCTGAAGCAGAAGGGCGACAAGAACCCGATCGGCGTGGAAGTCGACCAGCTCTACCTTGCCCTGTCCGTGCTGTTTGCATACGTCTTCTTGGACGGCGACACAGCAAGCTCATTCAAGCTGCGAGCATCGGCCCAAGAAGCCACTGACAAGCTCGCCGAGCTTGTCAAGATTGTCTGTAAGGCCGTCCATGCCGGCAGTTTGCTGCACCTGGGCGATCTCTTCCCGATGGGCAAGGCCGGGCAACTTCTCGAGGACTATGGGGCCAGGTTCCTCAAGCGGCTTTTCGAAGGTGGCAAGACCGTCGACGATGTTGTGTGGGCCATCATCCCCACCGCAGCGGCGGCTGTCGCTACACAGGCGCAGCATTTCACCCAGATGCTGGACATCTACCTGTCCGACGAGTACCACGACAAGCATTGGGCCGAGATCCAACGATGTGCCTGGTCCGACGACCCGGCCGACTTCGACAAGCTCAAGGGGTATGCGCTGGAGGCGAACCGCCTTGCACCTGCGGCGTTTGGGCTGCTTCGCAAAGCCAACACCGACACTGTCATCGATGACAACGGCACCAAGGTCCATATCAAAGCCGGCGACTCGGTCTATACTGACTTCATCACCGCGGGCTTGGACGAAACCGTGTTCCCCAATCCCAGAGAGATCGATCCGTCGCGTGATCGGTCCTTGTACATCCACCATGGACACGGCCCGCACGCCTGCCTTGGCCGCCCCATGGTCGAAGTCGCCATGGCAGCTCAACTAAAAGTGTTTGCCAAGTTGAAGAACCTGCGCCGCGCCCCTGGTCCTCAGGGACACTTGAAGAAGACTGTCCCTGTGCCGAACCCTACCAGCAGTGACCCGAAGCCCAGCCCCGGCAGTATCCAAGTGTACATGGAGGAAAATTGGAGCTCATGGTGGCCTTTCCCAACCAGTAAGTTTGGCCGAGTGTTTACTTCGAATATTGCTGGTTTGCTTGGTGAGATTTTTGCTAACAATCACCGCGCGTCCACGTCTACAGGCCTCAAAGTCCATCACGACGGCCTGTCCAGAGAACAACCCGAGCAACTCGCCGGTGACACCGGCGTGCCGGGTATCCAGGAGCAGATTAAGGACAGTGACATGGCAGGACCAGGAGTTGCCACCAACGGCACCAATGGCGTAGACGGGGACCACGACATGGAAAACGGCACTGCTTAAGAAGCAGTCAATTTGACCGTTGGTTGCAGATGAGTGATGAAGAACTGGAATTCTGCACCCACGCCGCTCTCTTGGATGACTCTAAATTGCCGGTTATAATGTAGGCTGACGGGGCGTATCTAGCAAGTTCATATTGATACTAATACTAGCGGGATATTTCTTCGTGCCATCACGTATAATCATCACTCTGAGTCTTTAGAGATGTCCAACTTGAACGGTACAAATCGGTCGCCTCGTCCATTGTTTCTTCCTTGTCCGAACAGAACACGAGTCCAGTCCACCTATAGGTATTGCTGGCGGGTAACGCTAGTGCACTACTGCCAGTGTCTTCCCACTGTAACAACGAGAGAGAGGGAGAGGAGAGAGGGAGAGGAGAGAGGGAGAGAGGCTCTAATACCTAACTTTCAAGCTAGACTGTTGGAGCAGACCACTCATTCACTGAGTTTCGGCATTTTCGATCCAGTTGCATTACAAATCGAGCCAAACTTGATTAAGCGCAGTGCATTGCATTGCACAGTCACCAGGGTTCGGGTCAGCTCAACTCAGCTCCCGGGGCGGGGGAGACACTGCATGCCACATGTGAGTGCAGGCTGACTCAACTTTGCAGTCGACTGATGTTACAGTGAGCGAGGGCCAGGGCCGGTGTTTATCTGTCTGGAGAAGCGGAGTCGACTCGACCGTACCATGGAACCTGTGTGTTTACAACGTTGTAGAAAGGGACCGGGCAGGTCTCTATGTGGTGTGACATACCGTATACATACAACCACCCAGTCGATATAACTTAGGTATAACCGAATGGCATGAGTGAGTGGTTGGTTGGTTGATTGATTGATTGTACTCTTCTTTGCTCTCTTTTGGACTTGCAAACGCCCTGAACCGAACCAGGTGTTGGCAATAATATCTACTTTCAATTCCCTGACGAGCCGGCCGGTCGTGGAAATCCTGTGTACTAGTGAGTCGGTGGGTGGTTCTGGTTCAGCTGGTAAGAGGAGATTAATTCGATACTTTGATCGTCCATACCATACCATACCATCAACATTGTTGGTGTCACCACACACCGCACACCTCCACCACGATCACCATCAGAACGTCCCATTGTTGGAAGACCGCGGTCGGCTCGGGCTTCGTCACCCGTGGCCGCTTGGTAGAGGAAGCAAGAACAGGGACAACGACAACAGCATCGACGCGATCATATCTGTTTCGTGCAGATCTGGTCCCTACCGCCACAGTCTCCACAGCATCGTCCAGCGTGGGTTTCAGGCAGCAGGAGCGACGTTTCACCACATTTCCCTCTCTTGCGCATGCAATGTCGAAGCACTACGACGCCATTGTCATCGGGTCCGGACAGGGCGGCGGCCCACTAGCCCAGGCGCTCGCCAAAGCAGGACGCCACACGGCCCTGATCGAAGCGCACCATGTGGGCGGGACATGTATCAACGAAGGATGCACGCCGACCAAGACCATGGTGGCAAGCGCCAAAGTCGCGGCTCTGGCGCGTCGAGCAGGGGATTATGGGGTGCGGATCCAAAGCAATAATAGCGTGACGCTGAACATGCAAAAGGTCAGAAGGAGGAAACGGGATATTGTCGACAGTTTTCGTCGGGGCAGTGAAGCACGAATTACCGCGACGGAGGGGTTGGATCTGATATGGGGCACGGCACGGTTCGTGGGGGCAAAGGAAGTTGAAGTGGTGCTGAATGCAACAACACCAAACACGACTTCAGACGATTCAGGTAGCAGCAACGTCTCCTCACCTACATATATTCTCTCTCTTACCGGCGACCAGATCTTCATCAATGCTGGCTGCTCGCCGGCGCCGCTGGTGGTGACGAAACCCGACAGCGACGACACCATTGCGCAGCAAGACGGTTCCGTGGGCAACAACATCCTCAACTCCACCAGCATCATGGAACTCGCCGAGGTGCCGCACCATCTCGTCGTGCTTGGCGGCGGCGCCGTCGGATGCGAATTTGCGCAGATGATGCGTCGCTTCGGGGCGCGTGTCTCTCTCGTCCAGCGTGCTCCGCAACTGTTGCCTAATGAAGACGCCGACGTGGCGGCCGAAATGCTCAAGATTTTTGTTGATGATGGCATCGAGGTGTATCTGGGTGCGCAAACACGACACGTTTCTCACATAGCTCCAGACCAAATCGTCGTGGAGGTGGAGATTCAGCAGCAACAGAACAACAAAGACGACGGCCAAGTCAAGAAAGTTGATGCCGATACCGCTGGCAGTGGCGCCAGAGACGAAGATAAGACCGGAGGAGATGAACAGAAGGGAGTACCAATCATCAAGTCCCTCCTCGCCTCCCACGTCCTCGTCGCAACAGGCCGGCTTCCAAACACTGCATCGCTAAACCTGGGTGCTGCCGGCATCGAAGTCGACGCACGCGGCTTCATCAAAGTTGACGAATACCTCCGTACAACGGCGGCAGATGTCTATGCCCTAGGAGACATCAAAGGTGGCCCTGCGCAGACTCACGTTTCGTACGACGATTACCGCGTACTGAGGGACAATTTGATCAACAAGTCCACAGTGGCCGACGACGGCGGTACTGCTACTTCCAGAACGGCAGCCAACCGATTAATCCCATATACAATCTTCACCGACCCCCAGTTAGGCCGCGTCGGGCTCACAGAAAAGGCGGCTCGGGCACGCGCCCAGAGCAACGGCCAAAAGATCAAAGTGGCCAAAATGCCCATGGCATATGTGGCGCGGGCGCTGGAAATGGATGAATCGCTGGGACTCATGAAGGCAGTCGTTGACGCCGAGTCCAGACATATTCTGGGGTTCGCGTGCTTGGGCGTCGAGGGCGGCGAGACCATGAGTATGGTCCAGCTTGCCATGATGGGAGGTTTGACTTATGGCAAGTTGGAAAATGCAATCTTTGCTCACCCTTGTTTGTCGGAGAGCTTGAACAATCTTTGGGGGTTCTTGGAATGAAAGTTAAGGTGCAGTAATCGGTGCCAGTGGTGCCACGGCATTGGCGGTCCTCGAACCGAGATCTGGCTGGCATCGTGTACCCCTGTCCTGTCAGAAACAGCGAACAAACGTTTATCTTGATGATGATGGTTGAGTCAATTGATACAGTACGTTGATTTTGTCTGTAGTCTCAGTCAGGGTGCTGTTTGATGGCCAGGCAGCCCTTTTTTTCCCTCTTTTGCTGGCGCCGAGTCCGTCAATGGCCCGGCCAGGCAGGCAGCTCCCTGTGGGACAGTGGGTTGATACAGTACTGGGCCTGTGCCATGGAGGAAACGCCGCGTGTCTGGTGTAGCTGTTGAACTCGAATGGAAGCTGATCAAATTAAAGAAATCAACCGTAATTTTATGACTGTGTTATAGCGCGGATGATGATTATTACTTTTATGCTTCAAGCGATCGTGTGATGTGGATGGAAAACTTGCAGGTTGTGTCCTGTTTCAATTATCATTATTGCCAACTCAGACCTGGCAGGCAAGCTCGCTATGACATTTTTCTTCTGATCAGACATAAACTCGACATCTTTGTGCCAGTACCGGAAACTTGTGCGGTTCATCCAGGGATGTTCCCTTGCAGATGTAAAATATGGATACTGTAGCTATATATGGTTTATTTGAGAGCAGTCGGCGTTCACGGGAACGGCTCTTCACCGGATCAGACCCCTTTTTCAGGAAACATGATCCCCCACAATTGGCAAGGCACCGTTGACCTCAACATTCGTCGTCTTCTGGTCTCCCTCATTCGGTGGCGTCAAGGATTTCTGCGGCTTCATCCCTAATAACCCAGTTGCATCAACCAATCTAGCGTTGGGATTTAATTCCAGACCAAATCCAGGTTTATCCAACACACTAACATCCAAGTAACCGTTTGTAGGGATTGGCTCGTTCAAGAACAAATCTCCGAACACAGGTAGCACACTCTTGCCGTCTGGACTGTTGGCAAGGTATTCTTGAAATGGCGCATTGTGCTGGCTGACAACAAAATGGTATGAATAGGGGCCCGAGGCATGCGGAACCACCGGGATATCGTACGCCGAGGCCATGGCGGAGACTCTCAGCAGCTCAGTCAAGCCCCCCAACCACATAACATCCGGCTGGATAATGTCGACATTTCGGCCTTCGATCAATTTGCGGAAACCATAACGAGAATATTCGTGTTCCTGCCAAAGTCAGTCGTGGGTCAAGGTATAGCAAAGAGGGTTGAGCTTACTCCTGTGGTGAACTTGGTGTCTGGATGCGCCCTCTTCAACAATTGAAATCCATCAAAGTCGTCTGGAGACAGGACTTCTTCCCACCAGTCGATTTTGAGATCCTGTCTCTTTGCTTCGCTGACCAACTCAATAGTGTACGGGACATTCAAAGACATCCAGCAGTCGACTCTCAACGGGAAATCCGGCCCAACATCCTCTCGGTGTTTCTTGAGGAAGGCAATGTTCTTCCTCAGACTGTCCGGCTCCTCTGCGCTATACGGCAGGGGAACCTTGCCAGCAGTGAATCCCATCTTCTTGGCAGCCGCCGGTTCGGGTCCTGTGCAGTAAAAGTTAAGCCTGTCTCTTGTAGCACCACCGATCATCTTGTAAACGGGTTCATTCCGAATCTTGCCCAGAAGATCCCATATAGCCAAGTCAATAACCGAAATGACCGCCACTGGAAGACCTTTCCGTCCGTAAAACATCGATCCCTTGTACATGAGGTCGTACAAGTCATTCACATCTCGAGGGTCTCGGCCGAGCAGGAAGCGTTCGAAGTGCTGTTGAACTAGCCAACACGCAGGAGGGCCTCCGAAACCAGTCGCGAATCCCTTGGTTCCATCTGTCGCTTCAATCTCGACACAGAATGACCCCAAAACGTTGATACCAAAGGACGTGCGGGACTTGCGGTATTGTTCCCATTTGGACATGGGCGTCGCAATTTTGTTGTCAATGAGCCAGTGACCACCCTTGACATTGTGGTAGTCGCCGCCGGAGCCCACACCTTCGATCACAAAGGTCCGCACGGTTTTGATCGTGGGAAATGACTTGACAGAAGCCATGGGGTTGCCTTGTTAGAGCGGGGTCGAGGTTTGAGTTGGGCTCAGTAGGCGGAGCCGTATGATGAGGTGTAACTATCCGCTCCTCAGGGATGGCGACTAGGGTGGTAGATGCTGAACAATCGCAAATTGACGACTTTGAGCAAGTCGAGGACGTAACAGGGGAATAAGAGGAACAAGAGACTCGGACGACATGGTTGTCGGTGTTTAGAGGGGTTCACAAATACTAAGTAAGAGAAGTGACGATTGGGGAAGGCTTCGCTCGTCGGTGCAGTGCTTGCCGGGCGGCGGAGAAACGCTCGGACACGGCCGGAGAACAATTGAACGTGACGGTCTCGACGGTTCCAGCCGCGGCGAGGAAGAAGCGTATAGAGAGCTACGATGAGAGCGACAGGACAGCCTGAGACAACCCGTTCCGCCGAACAGAGCGTGATGAGGCTCGGAAGGCTTTCATAGAGCGAGGCTGTGATTGTTTGGTGTTCAAATTCAGTCTGACACTGGCAGACATTTGGCAGGACGCAGCACGTGACGGCTCGAATTTCCCCGGCTTTTTTCCCCTTCGGCGCGTCTTCTCAATCTCGGTCCGAGATCCAACCTCATCCTCCTCGGTGCAAGAATGTCCCTCGCGCTGCCGTCGTGATCCAGCTGCAATGAATGCGACCAAACTAGAACTCTACGACAATCAGGTTGGCCATAGGAGTCTTTCAGGGGTCTCGTCCACGCAGCTGCGCGGCCAGTCCATTACCCCCTCCGACTCTGACTCCGGCGGAGAGGATGACCGAGATGGCTCCAAGAAACGCAAAAGGCCTATGAATGTCACGTACGTGCTTGCGTGTCTGATACCACGGTGTCCCACCTGGCTGCTACCGTTGTATCAGTCGGCCTTGTGTATGTGTGCTGATGCAGAACCCGGATAGTTGCGAGGCTTGCAAGCAAAGAAAGGTCAAGTGTGGTATGTGCTTCCCTTTCCTTGACTGACAAGTCTTGGGCTCAAGTGCTCGCAGATCGCGCCCAGCCTGCCTGTGGCTGGTGCTCTCGCAACGACCATCCATGTGAATACAAGGAACGAAAGAAGCCTGGGCTTCGAGCTGGATATGGCCGCGAACTTGAAGGGAGGCTCGACCGTCTGGAAGCGCTTCTCCAGGAGCAGGGGCGTCAGCTGGCAGCCCATCTGAGCGAGGCATGTTCCATTTCGTCGTCTGCTGCGCCTAATGCGCACGTCTCGAAGTCCAGAGGGCAAGAAGTCGACCTGCAGGGGCAACAAGGCGCTGCCTACGGTCCCGAAGCTGGCACGTACGGGGACGAGGCGCAATTTCAGCAGCCGACTATTGACCCGCATTTGCCATCGTCCGTTTCTCGCCATGGGTCATTGAACTATGCTCCAGGGCAGCACTCGACTAGTATTCCAGAACAACAGATGGTCGCTCCTCAGAGTCACTATACGCCATCCGTACATTCGCACGCCCTCACATCGCCTCATTCGACAACGGGATACCAGGGCACTCAGGTGTTCAATGAACATTCGGCCATGTTACCCCCTTATGATCTTCTATACTCCTTGGTTGATCTTTATTTCAGGCACGTCAATACGTGGCTTCCTTTGCTGGACAGGAAAACCACTCTCGACACTCTGTTCGGCTCTTCGTCGCTTGACGAAGCAGACAGAGTTCTGTTGCACGCCATCGTGGCAACGTCTTTGCGGTTTTCACAGGATCCTCGATTGACGGTGGAGAGCCGCCAACATTACCATGATACATCGAAACAACGGGTCCAACTTTTCGGCCTGGAGAATTCGAATGTAAGGGCATTGCAGGCGTTGGTCATACTGGCGCTAGATGTTACGGGGACCACCAACGGCCCGCCTGCATGGAACTTGCTAGCCCTGATCAGTAGGAGCATGGTGCAATTGGGTCTTGCGGTCGAATCAAGTTCTACACTTGCTTCACCCATGTACCCGTCCATTGCAACACTTCGCGCTTCGGTTCTACCCGAGCCGAAGAGCTGGATTGAGGATGAGGAACGACGGAGGCTCTTCTGGGCGGTCTACCTCCTTGATCGGTATGCCACCATCGCAACAGCCTTCGAGTTTGCCCTCGACGAGAAAGAGGTAGACCGACGGTTGCCTTGTCGAGATGACCTTTTCGCTGCCAACAAACCGGTAGAGACTCGGTGGTTTCGGCCCCCTGAACGTCCTCGATACACGACAGGAATGACCGAGACTCATGGACATTTCTCGTACCACTGTGAACTGGTGGCTATTCTCGGTCACATCCACCAATTTCTGAAACGACCAATTGACATTGGATCACTGGCGGATGTGGAGCAGTGGCAAGGCTCATATCGGGCCCTTGACAGCGACTTGAACGCCTGGCACTTCAGTCTGCCGGACGAGTTTGCCAACATCACGCGGCTCCTCAAATCCAACATTCCTGCCAAAAATACCAGCACGGGCTGGATCATGCTGCATGCCGCATACTGTCTAACCGTGATTAGGCTGAATTCGTCGGCAGCTTACCCCAGCCAGACCTCTCCGATCTTCTCGTCCTCTTACAGTGCCATGCAGCGATGCTTATCTGCTGTCGAGAACCTGCGTCAGCTTTGTCGTTTCGTTAAGCTCAATGGTCTTTTGGACCGGTTGGGACCTCCGTTTGCATTTGCTATCTGGGTGGGGTCCCGAGTGATGCTGGTACATGGGTCGACCATGGATCACGAGGTGGACCCTGATATCGACTTCTTCGTCACCACATTGTCTGAAATGGGCGACTATTGGCCTGTTGCAAAGCGGTACAGTGATATACTGAGCCGTGTATTGGGAGAGTACCGGCAATCACAACGGGCGAGCGGCACCATGGGAGAGATTGTGACGCCGTCCACGGTCAAGATACTCGCTGACATGCGCCGGTAAGGGGGATACCAAAGTTGATTGGCCAATGCTGACATGTTGAAATAGATGTGCATACGACTTGGATTTCCTCATTACTCGCCAGCCGCACGCGGCCGCCGTCAAATCATACCACCCTACACGGGCGAATACTCCGGCCCCCAACGAACTCGAATACTTGGACGTCTTCGATCTCTTCAACTTTCCACGTTTGCCAATGACACAGGAAGGAGTCGACAATGGGAACTCGCAAAGCCTCGGGCAAGCTGCGCCTCAAGACCTTGGATCGATGAATGGCGCCATGATCCCTAACTTTGCGGTCCCAAATCCCGAAGCGGATTGGCTTTTCCACGCCAGCTAGGTACAAGGCTAGGGACAAGGCCCTTCCGAGGCCCTCCGCGGAAGCCTAGCCTCACGTGAGGATGCCTACAATGGCAGAGGTGGCAAGTTCTCATAGCTCTCGAAAGTATGGTTTCAACCGGGAAAAGTTATTATGAGCAGGCAACACTCGGCCGATACTGAAGACCCGATGGCGACTGAACACTTACGTTTGATGTCCGCAGATCAGTTCCCGTGCTGGCTAGATACCGGTTCGGCGGTCAGCCGCTATGAGCGAGCAGAACAGCTGCAGGCTTGATAACCGGAGTCAGCCTTGCGCGATGCCTAATAAAAGGGGAGAACATAATAATGACGAATAGGATCGTCTCTACCCAAACTTGGGAGTTTAAGGGACTTGGACCTGCCGCCTACCACTAGCGACATACTATAAGCCATGTGGAATCATTTGTTTCCAAAAGTAAATCGCCGGGTCCCAAGAAACTTTAACTTTCTACCAGTCATGCTTACGAGCTGGCCAAAGAAGGCAGGGACAAACATTGACAGCCTGAGGGAGCCCACCGTCGAGTCCCACTCGACTACTAGACCGCCGGCGCATTTCCTGTGGGGTGCAATGGGCGGCTTGTCACCAAATATGGAGCAGATGGCAGCGGTACAACCGTGCAACCGACGACAAGTCGAGCGCAACAGATCCAGGAAAAACAGCTCCTCATAGTAGGATCAAATGGTGGTAGAGAGAGCTTCTTCACACAGCTCCCACGCAGATACTGCGAATTGCACGCACAACATGAACATTGCACGAATGAATAAGCTGGTCAGGTGATTGCCAAGCTATGCCAGTCACATGACGGCACAATCCCAGATCTGCCGAATTCGTAATATTCATATTCAAGCTGTCGTACTTCTTATTAGCAGTTTGGATTTGTACAATTGCAGTATACCGCTGTACAATTCTGGCGAATGTTTCCATGATCTCGCTTCGGCTGCTACTGACCGCAACTCGAGTCTGGATTGCTCGGTCTCGTCCCGTCCAGGCCTTATCGTCCTCTGTTGCTGCTCACCCGTCTTCTGATCAAACTGAGGCCTCTTGCTGTCATCACCGAGACCATCTCTCCGTCCTTCTGCTTGGGATGGCAAAGATCTAAATGTGGCAAACACTCCTGGCATCGTGGCCGGTGGCTCTTTTCCGTCTTTCGGCCCCCTACTAACTGACCCGTTGTGACTCTATCTTGCATCCACTGCCTCTGGCGTCTTTAGCCGTCATAAGCTTCGTCGCGGGACCTAAGCCTTAGGGCTGATACATCGCCAGGCCCCCGTGAGGCTTCGGACGAAACATTGCTCAGCACCGCCCGCTCTTTTCCTAACATGTTCAAGTGTCCTCAGCCTCAATGACCCTCCCATGTCCATGCCACAGATTCCGCAATCCGCGACAAAGCCTCATGGACTGACACGAGGACTAGGCTGCCATGCAATATAACTCGCGACAGGGTTGATGACGTCGGTCCCACTCTGTCGTCCTGTCGAGTCAACTTCGTGAGTGTTTTTCGTAACATCTACCTCGTTGGCGGCCTGTCCGCGACTGGTATCTTGAGCCATCAGTTGCTCACACTCCACGTTTTGGACCCAGCGGTGAGGATCCCGTGGTGTCGCTATCGCAAGAAGCTCATCAGAACATTATGTGTCCGGATGCCCACCTGCAGGCTTCACTTTTAGGTATTAGGCCTGATCCTCAGTTCCTCCGACTGGCATTTCTTATCCATCCATTGGTTCGACCTCAAGTCACGCCAAGTGGCTGTTGAGGGCCATGGACTCTGACCGTCGCTTCCACCAGTTGAGCAGTTCGGATTCCGATCATGCCAACTGCGACTCATCGTGCATCTTCCTGCAGTGCAGACTACGCCTGTCATTTTTCATTCTCCGTTACTCAAGTTACCGGTTCTGTCAATCGCCTGGCTAAAGTCGTCAATGATTGGCCTTTTGTCAAGGCTGCAATGAAAATTACCGTGGTATAAGAAAACAATGACTCCCGCTGCCTAGCACTCTCAAGTTGGGTTGTCCCTGCCTCAGACCAATATTTGACACTCATTGTCCTTATCGCTGCATTGTCTCTTCTGTTTACTCTGTCATATCCTCCCTGTTTCCTACAAACTAGTTTGGGATAAAAAGACATCATCGGAGCAATCCTATATCAGAAACCATGTGCTACCAAATCATCGAGCGATACGCTGTCTGTCGGTGCCTTTATCACAAACATGCTGTCGACCCCTGCCAACGATATGGCCAACGAGGCCATACCGTCACAGAGAAGACGGTTCTGGTAGGCTTTGCCTGTCCGCAACATTCGGGCAAACGAAGGGCGCAGGGATCAACCGATGACGGGGCTCCAGGAGCGCGCCGGGGGTATGATTCCGGTTATTCCAGCGCCAGTCACCATTCCTCTGGAACTCGCCGGTGAAGGTGGCGCCAAAACACCATGAGCAAACCATGCGCAAGGATGAGCCGTTTGCTATATCACCACTTACCCTTGCGCGGTACCAATCCGCAATCATCCAGGAGGATCCAGGCACCCTGTTACGCTTTGCCGAGCAAGCCAGCTGGGCTGGCCACGCCGTCGTCTTATCCGCTGTGTGACTACTAGACGATGCCTCTCGCAGATGCGCCTCAATATGGAAGGACTTCCCTTGTCATGGCTGGCCCTGGCTTGAGGCTTCTACGCTGCTCTACACAACATTTGCAGTGCACTTCGGCATCCTGCTGCCGCCTGGCGCGGAGAATGTGCTATGTACTGGATGTGGCGACTATCGGAGATACCGATCTTATTCTTCACTCTCCCAATACCTGCAGGACCCGTCGTTGTTGACAACGATGTCCAAGACACCATCAATTTACGATCGTTACTTTTTTGCAAGGGCCCGCTGTTGAGCGTGACTTGCGACCTCTTGTCCTACGACTTATGACCATGGGCTGGACTTGACTTGTGCTGCTGTCTGTTGAACATGCTGGGCATGAATGAGCAGAACATGTACACTAAACCAAGCAAAGCAAGCACTCTGGACACTGCATTAGGTGTCGGGTGTTTCGTCGGCAGCAAGCAAACACCCGCAGACTTGGTGGGAACTATGTGCTGGATCACACTGTTACTTGATGTCGAAGCTGACGATTATCTTGAGGATTCGATTCACAACTGGCTGCTGGCCTTGGCCTTTTTGGTCTCCTGTTCATATCACTTGTGCTATAGCGGGCTGCGCCTGCGCCTCAAAAAACAGATTATGTACCACTCACTGCATTGTACCAAAAACTGAACTCAGGAGTTTAGTTTTAGTAGTCATTCAAATCCTTCTGATTGAACCTCAAAGACTTTTCCAAGCAGCATACAGTATCTGTGGAGCTGTCTTTTGTTGTCAGCTCTCCCGTTGCTAGCAGATATACGTCTTTCTTAAAGTCGTAGAAATAATTAACTCCTGAGCAAGGGCCAGACCAATGGTATGAGGATGCAACGCCACGCCGCTACATATCCTATCCTGTCCCCGTCAGGTTCCCGTCCTGCTCCAGCAAGACAGGCAGACAGGCTCGTATGCGTGTTCCAGAAGACTCATCCCTGCGTGAACGGAAAGAAGATTCCAAGAACCACGGGAGCATCACTCCCTCCTGCCGCTCACCTCTCCGTGCAAGTCCCGTCTGGTTTGTTTGGAGGAAGAGACGACCTCCTCATGGTAGAAGCTTCCTCATGCTTCGGAGCCAAAATCAAGATGTATTGTTATCGCTCGATCTCCCTTCTCACACTAGGCGAAACATTCGCCTGAACCAGGAAAAACAACCCGTCCCTCGGCTCAAAGCGCATCAGCGTCCGTGCAACTCCTCTTTCCTGATGCTGCACCGTAAGACTTCCATCAGGTTCCTCGACCAGCCTGAGCTGGAGCCCCTTTGCCCTCTTCAATTGCGACCAACTGATCAAGTTGACGCCGGCGGTGGGGATATGCATTACATTTTTGACCGTGAGGCGCGTGACGGCTTTATAATGCGGTGGCGGTGGTAGTGGTGGTGACAATGACGACTTGTCGTCGCTGTTGTTGAATATATGCTGGTCATCAACCACACCACCACGAGCAGCATCTAGTCTGTCGCCGCCGGCCATTGTCGATGACGATCTCCTCGCGGGACCCGTCCCGAGAAGACTCGTCAACATTGACGAGGGTTTTGCGTCTGATGTTGTTCGCGAATGACTCCCCGCGGAACTTGAACTAGAAGTGGGAGAGGAAGCGTGGGCAGAAGTGTCAGGTAATTCGTCACCAGGTAAAATAAAAGTACAATCGCCCGCGCCCACAATCGGCACCGGATTCGGACCGAAGTACCCTACAGCCCTGGGATTGACGCTATTATTGTACGGATTGAGGGTGTCGTAGCTGTGTAGTAATGCGCGATTCGCGCAGACGTGGGTCGTGGCGCCGGTGTCGAAGATCCAGTCGTCGGGACTGAATGGTTTGCGGCTTTTGTTTTCGTTGGAAGAGTTTGAAGAGGGAGAAGATTGAGGTTTAGGCGAAGGTGTGATGATAAGTCCTGGATCGGCGGGGGCGGGTGTTTGGTGTTTGGATTTGGGGCTCAGGTGGTCGTATTTGATGATTGTTGAGTCGTCCGTTTTGAGGATTGAGATTCGGGGCGCGATTGACTGTAGACACGGATAAACGAGGTCAGTTAGTCGATCAGTTTGGCTGGCCGGAGTTGAGAAGGCTGGGATGGGGGTTTGAGGTTGAGTGTGTAAACTTGTGAATGTATACACACAGGGTCTGGCCGTTCTTCCTCAGCTTAGTGTGGCTGACATGGCCACTCTGGCAGGTTGGTATATGGCATCTAAAGTCGAGTCTTTGATTCCTGCTTCTTGCTTCTTGGGCCGAAGACCGAACACCATGTCGAGAACCGTGGGAGGATAAAACAGGCGCAGACAAGTAATCGGACAGGACAAGACAGGACTTACCACTGCTCCAATAAAGGCCACCATTCCGGACACGGTGATGAGGCCTTGTAGCCGTGAGCTGGCTGGCCGGGCCATCACATCAGCTCGGTATAGGTATATTTTTACAGCGCGGTAATATAGGTGGGAAAGGGCACAGAGCTGGATAGACGGTTGTGTAAAAAGGAGAGCACGCGAGAGGCCATCAGCGTGCTCTCCGTGAAAGTAGGTATGTATGTGCTTGGGCTACTAGCTGAGGTTAGGGGCTCGTGCGGTTCAGGTTGAGACAAGGCTGCGAGCCCTCAATCAGTAGTGCAGTGCCAGTACAGTCGTCATGATCTTCAAATGACGGTCATTTTACAACTCTGGGGATCGACCAGTCACGTGGATAGAAGCTTCGTCACGTGACAGTTTCTGACCTTCAACTTTCGGAGGGGCATCTCTCTCGGCGGTATTTGCACCGAGAGCGAGGCCTCTCCCCGCCGCGATTATTTCTCCGTCATCCATGTGTTGAGCGCATGAGTTCGAGTACGGTGGAGAAAAAGCCAGCCATATCTATATCGTCGGAGGCCTTGGGACTGCGTATCTTGGGACTAGAGCTAACAAGAGGCTTGTGCAGACTTGACCAGCCCTGTCCCGACAAAAGGAATATAAAGGGCCTTTATACATTTCCCGCGAAGAGATCCGAATTTGAGAAGACACGAATTATGACCCTCCCACCACTCCTTACAGGCCAAGTATGTGCCATCACCGGAGGTCTTACAGGCATAGGCAGAGCCATCGCCATCACATTCCTCTCTCATGGGGCAAAAGTGGCCATCAACTACCTTGCCTCGCACAACAAGGACGAAGAAACGCTTCTGTCATCACTACGCACTGAAGCGTTTGACGCCATCAAGGCGCGTTCAGGGAATAACAGCACAACTTCGTTGCGGAGTCCCGATGAAGTCCCCCTGCTTACAATAGACGGAGATATCTCGCAGCCAGAGGCGGGCCAGATCCTCGTCCGGCAGACAGTCGAGCGGTTTGGAAGGCTAGACACGTTCATCTCCAACGCGGGTATCTGTCGATTCGAAGAGTTCCTCGAGATTTCGCCTGAAAGCTGGCAGCGCCATCTGAACACCAACCTGTCCGGCGCTTTCTATGCCGTCCAGGCAGCGGCACAGCAGATGACTCGCCAGACGCCGCAAGGGGGATCGATCATTGGAATCTCGAGCATCTCGGCGTTGGTGGGCGGCGCGCAGCAGTGTCACTATACGCCGACCAAGGCCGGGATATTGAGTCTCATGCAATCCACAGCAACGGCGCTAGGCAAATACAACATTCGATGTAATGCACTCTTGCCAGGCACCATCCGCACTCAGTTAAACGACGAAGATCTTGCTGAAGGCAGTGAGAAGAAGAAATATATGGAGGGCAGGATCCCGCTGGGAAGACTAGGGAAGCCGGAGGATATGGCTGGACCGGCGGTCTTTTTGGCATGCGGCGAGTTGTCCTCGTACGTTACTGGCGCCACGATATTGGTTGACGGTGGCGCCTATGTGAACTTTCAATAGTTCGGAAACAGCCCGGTTGGTGGCTTTGCAGGCTTTGTACACGGAGAATATGACGCAAAATGGCGATAGAACCAGGTTGTGAACCAGGTTGTGCCATACTTCAGGGTAGCTGGATGTTGTATGCCTCGACTGCTGTACCCGACCAGACTCGCTTCTTCTGTTCCTCGGAGAGGCCTTGGTCGTCGAGTATGGCACTGACCAAGGCGTACCAATGGCCCCAGGACTTTCGAATCCCTGGTCCTCCAACGTTGCATACCGGCCAGTCAGACCCGAACATGACCCTGCTCGGTCCAAATGCACTGAACACCACATTCACCCACGGCCGTGTTTGTTCCACAAGACTTGCAATGTCTGTGGGGTTGGTCTCGTCTTGAGGTGGGAGTTCCGAGAACAAGCCAGACAGTTTCATGTACGTCGATTTATGTGACGACATCTTCCGAATGCATTCTTTCCATCTCATAAAGTCTCCGTGTCCATTCACAGCCTCCGCGGCCGTCAGTCGTAGATTTGGTTTGCAGAAATGGTTGATGATTATCTCGACTGGATTCGAATCGTCGTATATTCGGTCCAACATCTCGCACGCCTCCTGTAGCTGGTGAAGGCCGCCGGACCGTGCATCCACCCCCAAGTCGAACGTTAAGCCTTGCTCGCCCAGCCATTTAAGGCTTTCGATGAACTGTGGCTGTAGCATTACTCCAGCTGGCTTGTCTTGTACCAGGTATCGGAAACCTTTGATAAGGTGCCACTGGTCTCCACAATGATGCTGAACTCGCTCTACATATTGTGAGAGGACGTGTTTCCCAGCCGGAATTGGCGCCCATGGCACCACCCCAAGCACCAGCCTACCGTCTTCGGGAGAGTGACCCTCATCGTTGCGCGGGATTCCTCTAGCGATCCTCATAAGAAAATCAACTTCCTCAAGGACATCCTGCCATTCGGCTTCCTCCAGACCTGACTTTCTGTCTGTCTCGACAAAAACGAAGCCCAGTAAATTGGAGCGGGACCCTGTGGCTTCTCGGTATTCGTTGGTCGAGTACTGCCTATTCAATGGATGATCATCGGCCAAATCTGAGGTCCAGTTGAGCTGGGGGATATGAGCTGCCGCATAGAGATGGATATGGGAGTCTATGACCGGAAGCGGGTTTGGGCTGTTGTTAGATGCCATGTTGTTTGCCTGGAAGTGAAATCTGTAGAGTCAATACCGAGGGAGCACAACAAGACGATTAGCATTGCCAGCCAACAGTTATATATTTATTGCCTTGTCAAGTGCCGGCATGATGCACTTCTTGCTAATTGTATTCGTTGCTTCGGCGTCTCGGGCTAATATTGTGACTGGCCGAGTCAAGGATCCAGGGTAAGTGCCAACAATGATATCGCCCGTGCCGAGGAAATAGAAGGCAGCAAGACGTGATTGTTCCCGATCATATATGCCTTGTAACGATGGCGATGGGACTACCCGGGCTAGAGCAGCTAGACTCTGCATCATAAGCATGAGGCAGATCAGGAAAATACTGTACCATGTTGGACTCGAAGAGGACTGGACGTTGGTTGTGACTGTCATTTGAACATCGAGGGTTGCGGTGTCTGCAACTTCAGCAGGACCATCACGAACTGCCTTCGAGCATTATTGAAATGAACACTCGTGCTTCCAAGCACTCGCCTCTACTTCGCGTGGTTCTTTTATACATACTGTCGGGGCTACACGATGTCGCCTCTCTGATACTCTATATGGCCGAAATCCGGGACTTTGAGACTTTGAATCCACAAGTTCTCGATCTTGCTCTGACCCGCGCCGTCTAGCAGATTGACCGAACCCTTGAGACCGTTCAGGTTCTTGGGGCCATGGAGTCGTCGGAAAGCCATGGATTGCTCTCGCCTCCGGCGTCCGCCGCGTCCCCTGCTGCGAGCGGCACGTCTTACCACAATCGAACTGCGACCCTGCCGACACCGCGGTCCCATCCTCTACGGCCCGGATCGCAGAAAGAAATTGCGCTCATAAATTACCTTGACGACCGGATCCTGAGGATTTCCAGACGATATGCAAAGAAGTTCAGTGACGAAGGGCTCCAAAATGATGACACACCAGGCTACACTACGTATGATGAGTTTGTGGCCGACGCAGACCCTCTGGTGGACGTTGTCTGGGTGAGCGGAACACGTAAGTTTTGCATGACCTGCTTTGGCAAACTCGAAATCGTGTCCCCTGCCTTTTCTGAATGTTGTCTGAGAAGAAAAGAGAACAAAATCCATGTTCCCCAGGGGCCTCCTTCTTTTCCCCGTGGTGATGATTTTCGACGCATATGTGCTCATTGACCATCCTGACCATTCCGCCTAACAGCAACCATACAAATCCCGTACCTCCTTACCCTGGCAGGGTTGGTCTGCTCTTATCTACAAGCATTTCCTTTTTCAATGTCGTTCTTCTACATCGTCGCCAAACTTGACCAAGGGTTCGTGGCCCTTTTACAGCCTTCCGAAAATGGTAGCGCTCCGGGGGCCACGTCTCATTCAGTGTCAACAACAGAGAAGGTTCGTATCAAATCACTGGTTGAAGAAACACGAGTTGCAGCCGTCCGCGCTGCCTCTGCCAGTGGACATCAAGCCAATATTCACGACATTTCTGAAGTCGACACCACGGATGAAGATGAAGATCAGGAAGACAACGATGGAGATGATGGCGGCGATCTTGATTCTGACTCGATATCCCTCGGCATAGCAAAGGTCTACAAAAGAACTTTGGAAATCCTGGGTGATTCTCTGGTTTCTGAGGTGCTGTCGCAACATGAAGGCGCCATAACTGAAACATCCAGAGATGAGATGAGGGATGGCTGAGACTACCGGCCCAGGCAAGATCTTCGCCGTCTAGAATAGGGAACAACCACTGTTTACAGCCTCCTCGGGCCATCGGTTCTGGCGATCACTGTTGGAGTCAAAAGGGGACACAAAGCCACAGTCTGCAACTTTCAGTCTGCAGCAGCGCTAAAATCCTTAGGAAGCCGAGAAGAGGTCACAGCATTGTTCCGGTCCACAAGATGCACTACACAACAGCAAGATTTCAATCACACCACATTGGCTTGACGAGAGTGATCCTTGGGTACCATGCGGAGTTCCTGGTGCGAAGGCACTCGAGGCGCCCAATCAGGTTCTGCCACGCCTGGATACCATTTCACCGACGCCCACGACGGAAACTGTCACTGCTGTGTGGTCAGAAGCACACTTGATGCCCGAAAAGAACATGTCACACAAATCAAAATCACGGCTATATCACGACCATGCAGCTTCACCTCAGTGCAGCTCGGGTGAAGATAACTGATATTTCCCATTAATCCCAGGACCGGTGGCCATCCTCTTCAACTTCCTTATACGAGCCTCTACTGTCAAGATGCGTTGGCTCTCTTTGGTTCTGTTTGTGCAAACGGCACTCTGCATCGCTGTCACGATGTTATCGGCACCTACCGAAGCAGCAGCTATGACAGCCACAGCAACACTGAAGCCATCCTCAGTCAGCCTTTGCTGTTCAACCACTCAGTCCGTCACATCTACAAGCATAACTGAAGTGAAGCCAGAATTGTTGTCAGCTCTCGTTACAATCGCGCCCTTGGTGGTCAATCCTCTTGAACGGAGGCAGAGATGTTGGGATGACCGTGGTTTCAGTGTTGACTGTGCGACATGGACAGGCTACTACTACACCTGGGGACCACCTGGCAATCCGTACGAAGGCGGACCGGGTGAAGATGGTAATGGTGGCGACGGCGGCGGCGGAAGCTCTGTGGTTGTCTATCAGAACTATGCGCACAGTTCTGATGGTCGAGGCTGGCTATTTATGCTTGGGATACTCTGTCTGTGTCTGCTTCTATTTATCTAGCCAGGTCGGTGGACCGACAAGTCACTAGGATAGTGACGCTCTGCGGCGGAGCTCCACATCTTCACCGTTGGTATCGTCAACAGTGGACGACTCTATGTCAGCATGGGTTTTGTCTTCACAAAAGTCGTCACGCTCTTTTCGCTCGCGAAGGCAGGGCTCGTGTCAACGCAACAAACGACAACGCCTCACGGTTGTTTGTCTTCCTCGAGTCACGAATACAAAATGCCTATTTCTATGCCTCTCGATAGCCTGATTTCCTCCTCTAGCAATTTCTTTCGGTATTTCTCCCATTTGCAGTCTGCTGTCCTCCTCCTACGCTTTTTCTCTCGGATCAAGACCAGGTACTCAGCAAAGCCCTAGCACTGGTCTCAGGTGTTGTGAGCCTCGCCCCGCAGAGGAGTATTTCAGACAGCAAGGAGTACAGTTATATGCTATTATAACTACAGGGGACTCAGCAATGTCGGTCAGAACAGTGCCTACAGTCCACGACGGGAGACAATCTCGTCTCGCTCCCAGGCGTCGGGCGCAGCCAACATGGTTTCTTACGGCATGCCTCCTGATAATGGTACTGATTATGCCTTGCCACTGCGTGGGACATGATGGCTCGTTTCTGAAAGGTAAAGTCCAACCGCTTCCATTTCCTACTGAAGCCGCAAATTCGACAATGACCGGCTTGAACACTGTCCCAGAAAATTCCACTACAAGCTCCACAAACATAGGAGCTTCATCGGCTTCTACAAATGTGTCCGCTTTCGCAACATCCCCTTCATCCCTGGCATCAACACCCAGCACTGGCAGTAGCTGGTCATTGCTCTCTTCGAGCAATCAAGTCTGACAAATCCCGAGACAGATTCCGATGCGAGCGGGAGCCTGGCTGGCAGCTACAGCAGCGACTATCCTATTTTCTCTCCCAACTTTGCTGCGTCGTTCTCTTCTGCTATCCAATCGACAGATACCATGAACACCCAAAATTTTGCAAGTCTGGCGACTACACCAACGATCCCAACTATGGCTCTCACCGTCACTGGGTCTGCAGCCACGTCCTCGTTACTTGGCTCCTTGACATCGCAGCCACTTTCGGGAGGGCCTCCATCGTTTGCAAGCTACTCTTCGTTTGCCGGCGAAGCAGGAACTCAAACTGGTGGGCCTCCTGCTGCTTGGTCTTCAAACGCCCCGAACATCTCCCAGACAGTCTCTTCTACAGTAACTGTCCACTCGACAAAGACATTCTATACTACTTCTTCGACCGAAGCGACTGTGTTGTTACCTTCGTCAGCACAACTGTCACAACAGCCAGGAGGCAACACCACTCCAGGCTTGACCATTACCGTACTTCCTATTGGTCCTATCTCGTCTGGTCTCTCCACTGGCAATGGTACCACTATCAATCCTGAATCAGCAGATTCGGACGCCACAACAGCTGTGCCAGCTACCGTGTCGATCACCAGCAGATATCTGTCTACGTCCACCACGACCGTATATATCACGCCTACAGTAGCACCGTCCAGGACGACCACGACGGTGACGGTTATGGAAACGCCCTTGACAAGCTGTTCTGGTGATGCTTGCAGTGCTCAGAGCACCTCCATATCCGGTCTTGCCAGTTCTGTTACCAGCAACTCCACGTCTGCACTCTCCGACCTCGCCTCAAGCAACCTCCTCAGCCAGCCGAGTACGACCACCGATGACGCATATTCAACATTCTGGCAGAGCTACTCGAGCTATATGGCTGCCCACCCAAACCCGTCTGGCACCGGTCAACCTGGACCCGAAACGAAAACCAGCAGCACCCTCACATTCGCAGGATCAGATTCGGGTCAAAGCTCGCTCAGTATGAACGGTTCAACAGGATCAACGTCACTATCACCGTCAGTGCCCCTAACCTCAACTCCGCCCTCGGCCTCCAGCGCACCACCGAAGCCATCATCTCTACCTCCCGGAATATTCTTTTTCCCGGACACAGACGGAATCGGATACTCCTGGTCCCGTATGACATTGTCAGGGGGCCATCTTATAGCGACCAGACTGGGCCCGATGACCACGACCTGCGTGCCCACTACAACAGTGACTACAGTGGGCGAGGATGGAGTCACCAAGATCGTTCCGCAATGCAAGGCTGGCCCAGGTCCGATGGTTACTCCGGCAGTGACGACCGTACCCACAACCGAGTCTGTAAAGTCGACTGCAGCTCCCGCCAACAGTAGCAGCAGCAGCAGCAGCAGCAGCAGCAGCAGCAGCAGTGTATCTAGCGCCACCACAGCCTTAGCATTACTAAAAAATGCCGAAGATCCAATGCATCAATCAACTGCTGATGACATCTCGGTTACGCTTACGGCTGAGGCTTCTGCGACCCCTTGGGTTCCTCTTATAAACGGTCCAGATGGCACAAGTACTCCCCGTCGGCGGAATAGGTCGTCTAAAGGCAAAGTATGGAGCGGATTCTGGCCCTTTTGGTAGGATTGAGGGTAAATAGCTAGCCATGAGAATGATAACATTATGAAACTGGTGACCGAGCACTATTAGTTCCACATGCGAAAAGAACAAACAGGCTTGATAAGTAACTAGTAGGAGTCCCCTAGCTCAAGATACTAGTGCTTGGTCAATGAGCATTGTGCTCTCTTCTACACCACCATTCTCGGATGGACAAGTGGCGAAGGCATCTCGATTTTCCCAGCTAGAGACCGGAATCTATTATCTGTATAGAGGTACCCCAGCCAGCCCTTTTTTTTCGTCCCCGTCCGAGTGATCAGCCAGCAATGAAATGATCATGACCAGCCTCATTTCAGCCTTTGCTCGAGATCCATGATCTGTTTGCGAGACATGCCGATGCCAACTGTAAGAAAACGAAAACAAAGGTTTGTGACAGCTGCAGCATTGGCTCTGCTAGCTACTTAGTACTAGTCATTTTTGTCCGTGTCATCCTTCGGCTGGAAATTCAGCTGGTTCCCATTGTAAAACTGCTGATCACGCCCCTGACTTTCCGCACGTTGATCGGCAAGGGTACGGACACGAGCGTTTCTGGTAGCAGCACCACCCCTACCGGCAGGGGTCGAATCTCTCTGCTCCGTTGGCGACGACGCCGTTGCAGTAGGATTGCTGCTGCTGCTGTTGTTATTGTTGTAACCCAATAAACTCCTAACACCACCCAAAACCATGCCAGCCGTGCCAGTGACAAGAGTGTAGCCGGCGCCAAGTATTCCGCCGGGCGTGGAGCCCGTGTATGATTCGACGTATCCCTTGACGGGGACCATGACCAGCGTACAACTGCCCACGACGCCCAAGTCGGACAAAGCCATGTCCTCCTCGCCGGCTTCGATGGTGCGGTTGGGAAGAGGAGTTAGGATCAGCTTGAGGTTATAAGGTGTTGCTGCTGCTGTGGGACTTGTCGAATCGATCCACGGCCGTACGTCGGCGGAGATAGTTGATGACGGCTGGAATGTGGCTCGGAGCGTGCTGCCGTCGAAGGTGCGGACTTGTAGTCTGATTTCGGCATGTTTGGTAGTAGTAGGTCTGGAGACAGATGAGGTGGTTGATGGGTTGTTCTGGTGATCTGTGGTGTTGGCAGTGCCGTGCTTGCGCATCTCGTCTAGGCGTCGGCGTTCCTCTCGGTCCGCTTTGATTTGCGCTTTGATCCGCTCGCGTTCCGCGCGCTGGGCCTGCTCCCGCTCCCGTTGCATCTTCATGTATTCTGCTCGTTGGGCCTTTTGCTTATCGGATTCCGCCGGACTTGGTGCTGGTGGAGCAGGTGAAGATCTGCTCTTTTGTGATGTTTGAGACGTTATTCCTGTTCCAGCTGGTGGCACTACCGTCGGAATCTCTGACCTGTTCGGAGGCCGCTGTTGCTGCTGCCGTTGTTGTTGTGGAGAAGACGGAGAAGACGAGGATTGTAGGGGAGACGGAGATGCAGGCTGGCCAGCAGAGGCTGTCTGGTTCTGGCCTGGTATCCGAAGTCCAACGGCCGGTAAGCGCAGCAGTCTCGAGCGGAGGTATTCTGAGACCTGGGGATGTTGTTGTCCTCTCAATCGTTCCACTTCCTCATGGAATATAGGAATGTTGTTGAGCAATCTTAACTGAGTCTGGAAAACCTCACTGGGCGCAGTTCTTTCGTCCAGCAGTTTCTGTGTATACGTTCGTAGGGCGTCGTAGGCATTGTTCGGCAGCCTCCATTGGCCAGGTCCCGTAGGTTGAAGGTCGAGATACCCAGGACTTGTCGATTGCTCGCCATCTGACCGGTTTTTGGTGGTGTGCCTGTTGACGATACCGTCATCAACAGTAGTCCTTCCAATAGGGGAAAGTTGTACATACTCTGATTCTGCAGTGACTTGGTCATGGAGGCTGGCGTCCTGTACTCCGAACGTGGAAGCTAATCGGGCCTTCAAGTCCTGGACGTCGACATCGCCGGACTGAAGGTTCGTCTGCAGCTGGGCATTCCTGACACAAGTCAGTCCATGTGCGCATGCATCCCGGGTGGCCCGCCTCTTTATTACTTTATCACGATTACCGCCGGTACGCTGCTGATCGCGCAGAAGGGTGTGAGGAACCCGGCTTCTTGAGACCCAGCCTGGAGCCGTAACGCAACCGCTTGAGCCGTAATGGCTGGGGATATCTTTGTCGAGTTAGAGAACACGTTTCGACGGGCGGAGCTAGCTCGTTCTCACCGATGCATCTGTCAAGACATCCTCCCACTGTTTGCTGGTTTCGCTGTCGTCTAAGGCCGAGTCAGGACCTCGTGCCTACATAATACACTCAGTGAAGGCGGGACACCGTACCTTGGACAAAACAGAGAACCGCTTTGGAGGCCCGCAAAGCCAATGCGATCCCACTCTGGAGATCCCCGTCGTGAAACATGCTGATCAGTGCTGGGTGGTGTTGATATCGGAGAAGTTGCGGAATGATACAAAGAGGCCGTTGATCACTTGAGGACCGCAAGAGACAGAGACTCTCCGCAGGCCGCTGGCGTCAATGTGGATACACTCGCTATATGTGGGCGCAGCTCGCTCCAACTCCGAGTCCAAAGAACTTCAATGCTTCTCGGGGACTTTTGTTTGCTACACTTGTACTTCTTGTTCTGGTGGATTGATACCCCTACACAGCATGGCTAAACATAAGTTAAATGCCCTGCGTACGTTATTATCTCGGTCTCAAAGACTTTTCCAGGCGCGGCGAGCAGGTCAGCGTCAATCTCGAAATGTCGCTACCAAACAATCGCCGCCGAGCGAAGAAAACAAGGATTTTGTGTCAATAGTGGACGCGCCTCCGCGGCTCGTGTCAGTGAGACAGAAACATTCAAGACTCGGCATTGCTTTTCTTGCGTTGATCCCAGTCACCGCATTTGCTCTGGGCACATGGCAAGTCCAGCGCCTCGACTGGAAAACTAAACTTATAGCCAAATTCGAGGACCGACTCGTTCGTCCGCCGTTACCGTTACCTCCTCGGATTGATCCCGATGCCATCCATGAGTTCGATTATCGAAGAGTCTATGCTACCGGCAAGTTCCGACACGACAAAGAGATGTTGATCGGGCCCCGGACGCAGGATGGCAAAGACGGGTATATGGTAATAACACCATTGGAACGTGAAGAAGGGAGCACAGTACTGGTGAACCGAGGCTGGATTGCCCGCGACAAAAAATACCAACAAGACAGAGATCCAGCCGCTCTGCCCCAAGGCGAAGTGACTGTGTCCGGACTGCTGCGAGAGCCCTGGAAAAAGAACATGTTCACCCCGAACAATGACCCCGAGAATGGCAAGTTTTACTTCCCAGACGTGCAGGAGATGGCCAAAATCGCGGGAGCCGACCCCGTTTGGATTGAAGAGACCATGACTCCGGATCTGATGGTTAGCTGGGATCGGGAAGCCAAAGGCATCCCTATTGGAAGAGCACCAGAGGTCAATCTGAGGAATAATCATGTACAGTATATCTTCACATGGTAAGCAGTATTGGGCCCCCCGGACTCCGTCGTGCATATCTCATCAGTCATTAGGTACTCGTTATCTGCAGCCACAGCACTCATGATGTGGATGGTCCTCCGCAAAAAGCCTGTGGACAGGTCTCGCCGGGTGCGACATGTTACGAACTGGTGATTGAAACAAATCAAGGCTTTGTCACTCATCATCTCCTCTCATCATCTCCTCGAGCTCAGCCGCAGCTTCCTTAGGCAGCAGTTCTCGGACAGCTTTCCGCAGCTCTCCATCCCCTTGTAGTACCCGCTGTCGACGCATAAGCATCAGGGCGTCGCTTCGATCGACCCGCTTCCTTCTTCGAGCGTGGTCGGAATATGCGGCGAGATCATCCCCAACTTGCTCGAAGAACCACTCTGTGGCTTGTTCCAGGGCTTGCATATGTTCTCGTCCAAGTCTGGGTTTACGAATGCCGAGTCTGGAACTGGCGTCAATGGCGACCCGCTTGATTAGGCTAGTGGGTAAAGAGGGCACCATTTCACCGTGGCGGGTCATTTTCAGCTTCTTCCGGCGCGGACGAGACAGAGTCGGAGGCACAGCTTCGTCCGTGGCGCCGTCCATATCGACCATCGAGTCCTGACCAGTTGGCTCTTCCGAGCCAGGAGATGCGGCTGAGGGGGATTCTTGCAAGACATGCTGAGGATCTTTCAGTTCTGATACGCCCTCAAGGAGAGTCCCTGCAGAGGCGACTCGCGCATTGCTGGACACTGCTTCTTCCCCCGAGACATCTAATTGAAAGCTCTCCTCAAGTGGTGCTATGTTCATAGTACTCTCGTCAGGCGGAGGCAATGGTGGTGACGGCTGTCCAAGGTTTCCCAAATGCTCCGTCTCTCCACCGACATCAAGAGGGTCGTGGTCGTCATAATCAAGCCCATATCCACTCTGATCATGCTGCGATCTAGAAGTCTTGACCTCAGACTCTCTTCTAATCTCGAGTTCGGACCCGAAATCACTCATCCTGATACTTCCAAAACTGTAGCGTGACAGCCGTCCCGTCGGTTCCTCGCTGATGGCTCTTCGTCCCATCTCTACCAGTATGGTTGGTTCCTCGTTGTCTCCAGTCACACCAGAAACCCTAGATAAACGGCCATCACGAATGAAGCTCGCCCCCTCTCTTGCTTCTCTCGTGAAATCAATAGAGTCGAACGTGATAGTCGCATCCCTATCTTTTCCTCGTATTGGCGGCCCACCATCGTCTCCGTCCGGCAATATAGACGGTGTCGGGGCCACTGGCAATTCACTATCATCCTCCTCCTCTTGCTCGTTGAGCACAGGTGGCTCCACGTCATCGATGCTGCTGTCGTCGTCTATGTTCAAAGTCAACCGTGGTCTTTTGACATGGTCATTGTCCTTCTCTTCCAAGATTGCATTCTGCGGTATCTCATTCTCCTTCCCACGTCCGTTCGCTGGGGTAGTGATGGTCCTCCTGGTCAACGGCGCGGTGATTTTCGCAAGTTGTCGTAGAATCCCCCTCGCCGAGTCCGGTCGTACCGTGTCGCTGAGAGCCCTGGGTCTGCGCGCCGAGCGGGTCTTGTTGGCACCGCTGCGCTGCTGCAGGGCCCGGATCGCGTGCGGCGTCGACGGCGCGTATTGGGTGGGTGTTTGAGCGTTCATGCTCCCTGTTCCTGACCATGGTCGCTTTCGAGGAGACATTGTAATGCGTCGGTGTAGTCGGACGTGGAACTTTGAGAGATTTGGAGGATATGGAGGCGGTGTCGTTTGTCGTTCTTCCGAGTGTGGAAGCACATCCGATTCCCATAGCGTTGATCGCGTCGGAAGGAAACTTGAACGCGATAATCTCGCGTAGGCACGTGATGCAATATGGACTTCATCCGCGGCGGACTCGGATTTTTGTGACCACCATGAGTACAGACGAACCTCCAGTAACATGTGGCTTTCGGTGTCCCGAAGCACTGGCTGATAAAAATCAAAAGGGCACGAAAGAAAGAGACCAGAACACGTACTGTACTGTACATTACATCGGTGGGTCCTGAGTTGCTGTGTGCCTACTACATGTACAGTAGCAATGCTACAACTACATCTTGACTACAATAACCATATAGACTTCAAGAGTTGGGGCCTCAGTGTCCCATATCCGTGCCTAATATGACCAAGTACCGACCAACATGTCACAAAATGCGGGAACCATGGTCCATTATCTTCCGACCGCCAGTGATCGGGACTGGCCTCAGCAGCCGATGCCAACGCCAGCCATTGAGGCCATATACACATACACATCTACCACCCCGGGCCACCAGACAAGTTCACGGTCTTCGCAGCAGCAGCAGCAGCAGCAACAACAACAACAACAACAGTCCAAGTCTTTCAGAAGAAATGAAATCGCGCCACATCCCCACACGCTCTGGCCCATGGCAGACATCCAACATCCACGATCTCCACCAATCCCTCAAGGATCATCTGGACCTTGAACCGCTCGAGACACCATCGTTGACATTAATTCCACCAGGCTTTCATCACGTCACGCACAATATAATCGTGGAAGAGTCCCAACTCTGTGAAGACGGTGCGGAAAGGAGACATGCCCCCGGCAATGGCGATGAGTGGAAATTTCGTGTCTGGGCGGGTGGACATATGAAGTTCGCTATGCCGCTTATCCACGCGGACACAAACATCACCGAGTACGTATGCGGGACGGAAAAGATCACAAATGTGCGGGTTCTGGGGGATCCGAAACGAAGCAAGGATGCGAAGATACTGGTTACCTTGACAAAGTCTTATTTCGGGACAGAGTCAAGCTCAACCCCAGAATCAGAGACGGAACCAAAGTCAGATTCAGGCTCCGCTTCTACATTACTGATCAGAGAAAACAAACACCTCTGTTTCATGCGCCATGTCCCGCCTAGTCTGCAATCGCCGCTCGCCGGCGCAACCGGAGGACGTAGACTACCGCCCCCTTCAAGTTTTTCGGCTCCTTTCCACGCGCAGACAATGACGCCCTCGCGCACTCTACTGTTCCGATTCAGCGCGCTCAGCCAGAACGCGCATGCCATTCATCTCGACGCCGACTTCACCAGACGAGTCTATGGCATTCCGAATCTGTTGGTCCAGGGACCTCTCACTTCAGTGTTGATGCTCGAGGTCCTCAGGAAAGCCCTGGCACTCTTTGTCCAACAGAGTGGACAGCTACAGAGCTCTCCACTTGTTGTTCGGGAGTTTGAATACAAGAATCTGTTGCCCTTGTTTGTCGACGAGCCCATGACGATTGCGTGCAAGAGGGCAGAATCCGGTCAAGGGTCTGCTGCACAGGATAGGTGGGATGTTTGGATTCAAAAGGGACAGGGTGAAAATGAAATGCTGGCTGTCAAGGGCAAAGCCCTTGTCGCGCCTGTTCCAGGCCCTCAGAAAGCACATAATAACCGAAATGAAACAGGCAGATGAGAGGGCTTCGAAAAGGAGAATCTTCTTATTTATTGAGGCGGAAAGTCTTTCTGGAACCTTGTGTCCTGTTTGGCCACCTTGAACACGGGACAACTAGTAATGTTCATGCCAGATGCTGCATTACGAGTCGAGAGAGATATCCGGAATTTCCCGCCAGGATGCCTCACGTATGCTTCCAGCCATTCCAGGTCAAGATGTGCTGTTCCGGAATAATGCACATCTGACCAGTCTCCTCCCGTTTCTCAAGAGAATTCGCACCTTCGGCCTTCCATTGCTCCAATTTCCTCGCCACTTCTTTCACCTGAGAAGTCACTCGAGGAGTGATATTCCGCTTGATGCGGTTCAGCCACATTCCCATAACATATTGGGTTGACGACACAAACGTGTTTCCGGGTTGGAAATGAGTCAGATTGTATGCCTCAACAGTGTAACCCACCCGCACAGCGGGGTTCAGGTATATGCCACCGCTTGCAAGGCTCATGGAGGCCAGGTCAGTATGGATCAAACAACATTCGCTGGCTTCGACATGCTTTGAAGCCAGACTGTCGGCTAACGGACGAAACCGCAGACCCTCGTAGAACGGAGTAGTGTCCATTGTGATCATACCATTCCAGCATGAGCTGACTCTAGCGGCGCGACCCTCAAGCAATGCTTGCCGAGAGTCCAAGGAGCGGAAGTATGGGAAAGAAGCCATGATTGTACCATCTCCTTCGCTATCCCTTAGCACGAAAGTGTCGTAATATGCAGGCGGCGAATAAAAGTCGAGAGCACAAGCGGCCGAGAACGAGCCTTGGTTTGTGGCGAGCAGAGAGAGGACGTCGCTGGGTCGAAACACGACATCATTAAGAAATAAAATCTTATCGAAGTTGTGGCCCTTGGAATGCATATCGATGAGAGGCTGCATGGCCTTGTTCCGTAGCCGCGCAAGGTACGGGATGCGTCTCAGTTCCTTCCCAGCACCTGCTGTTGGGGTCTGTATCCAGCCTGGGCGCGGGTTGCCCTGTTCGTCGAGGGGACCGGCAGCGATCTCATCGGCGTGCGTGGTAGGGTCGAGGACCACAGTGCGCGGAATTTTGTGGTCGTCGAGGGCCTTATCCAGATACCCGAGGATCTCCTTCGTATTGTCCAGACTCCCACTCTCGTATATGCTCACGTGCACGTTGTCCTTGCCCAGGACTTCGACAAGATCCAGCAGGGCCTGGCCCCAGCGCTCGTGAATGACTTTCGCATTGGTCCAGAACTGGGCACAGATAAAGATCTTCTGGTTCTGCAAAGGCGACGGCAGGGTCGATAACTCCGTGTACGTATGTGTAAGGAGGTTTCTGGAGAACTCGCGGTAATGTTTAAGGATTGTGAGCAGGTCAAGGAGGAACAAGACTCCGAGGATGAACAGGAGAGCCCTTAGCAGCCGCCGCTGAGGAGAGCGGCGGTACGTACGCAGGAACATGAGGCAGGACTTGCACGCGCAGGCTCTCCATCTGCCGTGGTATCATGCTCACGGTTCAAGGAACTGTTTGTACCAAAGCGAGGGAGGAATATTCGCACGAGACACGTACGCCGCACTCCAAGGGGGTCGTTTGACGTGTCTTGGTCAAGCAATAGCAGGTCGTGCTAATTGCAACATTCAATCAATAATGGGGGACGGGCCGTGGATCGGGACTGGAACGCAGCCAGGCACTTTTACTGGACTGGGTTAAGGCTGTCATCTTATCAGATTACCGGTAAATGTTCTCGTGCCTCCACCTCCTCAAGGCGCGGTCTGCGAACATCACTATAGCATATGGCTCAGGCGAAGAGTACGATCTGTATCTCCTGATATGCAGGAGGTAGCTACCTATCAGAAGATCCAAGATTCCTCAGGGTAGATTCACTACCAGTAGGGATCTTTGGAAGAGACTACTAGCCAAGCTTGAAGGGGCTCCTGCCATGCAGTGCCAAGATGCTCTATTGCAGCGCCAGCGACGGAGTTTGCCTTGGCGGATTATGTCAGCGTTGCCGGCTTCATCCCTCGGAGCGGTCTTCCTGTATCGACTGTTTCATGTTGGCGATACCATGAGACAGCGAAAGCCTTTGCAGCATGAGTCTCATGCCGGCGGAGAAGACTAGAACACATATCCAAGTCATGCCTGAGAGCAGTGGCCGTCATGATGCAAACTCATCCTGCTTTGAGACTGAACACCTAGTATGTAGTAGGGAGAGTTATATCAGGAGCCTGAGCCCTCCACGAAGTGCTGGCTACTACTCGCATGGTCGAAAATCCTCAATAATACAAGGTGAGAGAACCAAACAAAGTGCTAAGAGACCGGGAGTTGCAAGAGAAGGAGAACGATGTTGTACCCATTGACCCAACGTCGTGGTGCCCACCCCGTATTCACTTCACTTGCCGGCCAGCCTCCCGCTTTCACCATGTCCCCGCAAAAAAGAACCTTGATATAATGATTCGACCAATTTCACTTCAATCCTCACCGGCTTGGATCAAACTGGTACCGACCAGAAGGCGTGACGGTGACGAGCCCCCTGACCCGACGACCACGAGACCGACCGCTGTTCGATTCCCGTTCCCATCACCACAACGACTATCTAATTCAACGTTTGTCCTGGCCAGCATTACAATTCAACCACTACAAAACAAGAAAATCGACAAAACGAGAAACGGAAAGAAAAGCCCACACCCCGGGAAACAACAATAGGGCTTTCGCTTCACCACAACCTCCGACCGAGGAGTTTGTGACAAGAAGCTTTTTTTCCCCTTTTGGCTTTCCACGGTCAGGGTTGCGGTCTGAGGCCTTGCGCTACGCTTTGGTATGGGAGCCTTCTGTTTCCTTCGCGCTTCGTGGTTATTTGATCCTCCCATATCCTACAGTATGAGCACTCCCATTTCGGGTGATCCCGACTATGTTTGCTTTGGATGAACCCCTGCTTGAACCAACTCACCATTGATTCGCTCATCTCTGTAACACAATACTACTACTTCTCTACAGCCCCACCATGCGCATACGCATAGATCCAGGCACGGTTTGCTTTCGCTGTTGCCGAAGGGTACCTGCAGTCGGTCGAGTTGGTGGAACTGTTTCGAAAACTGGGCCTGGCCAATGATATCCCTGTTCAAGGGCCTATTTAGTATGGGTAAGATGGCCTATAGTATTCTGCTGGAGGGAGTGTACAACACATTGCCATCCTCGCTTGATCGATAAGCTACATGTTTGTCCGACTACATGATCAAACGAACCGGGTCGGCAAATGGTCACTCTTGCATGGACACGCTCCATGCCGCACTCGTTTGCTTGCGTTATATGCGCCGGCTTGCTTCGAGGGCCCAAGGATGCTTTAACGGCGGAACAAGGGTCTATACCGGCTTTTGATCGACCGGCACAAACCCACTGCGGGCTGGAATACTATAACATATGGAACATGTACTAAGAGTGCCATCGCTCGACGGTTGAGGGTTTGGTCTCGATCGACGGAAAGAAAGACAGGAGCAAAGTCGGACATTCAAAACCACTGCAGTGGATGACTGCACCAGACCAGGTCATACAAGGAGGCTGCCTGCATCGCCTACCACGCTGCCTACGACGATTCTAGCAGGTGCGACCAATCCATTTGATCTCTATACCATTTGCTGTGCCTGTTCCACTGTGCAAGAGATCTCTGTCCTGCATTGAAAAGACTCTCGCGCCTCCCAACCACGGGCTCCAGCAGCATCGATTTGAATTGTTTTCCGAGCGTCAACTCGATCCTCCCCAGAAGAAAAGACGACTACCATCATGTTCCCCATCTTGGTCCTCGTGATGGCAAGCATAGCGAGTGCCTTGGTATTACCACGTCAAGCTCATCCTCTGGAGCTTTCCAAACCAGGAACACAAGACCTGGTCAAGCGGAACATGACCGTCGGCACCCAGCAGCTTAACCTCAACATCGACCCAGACATAATCAACCCAGTCTGTGGCGGAATTTACCCTGCCAACATCAACGTGCAGTCTGCACCCGACCCGTTCTATCTTACCACGGCGTGCGACAAGGTGCTCGGCTACATCGGAGGAGCCAAGGGGAGCAAGAACGTTGATGTGGTGTTTGCCTGCCAAGCTCAGCCCACCACTGGGACCGGCGACAGAGACATAAAAATGATATTGAACACGCAGGCCAATTTCGTCCTCGACGGCAGTGGGGGCGGCACTCAGAATATCCCGGCAAACATGGAGCTCACTTCGGAAAGTGATAACTTCTTCCTTTCAACTAGCGTCAACATCGGCGTCAAAGTGAGCAGTTCTTCTGGCAAAATCACTTTCCAGTATATCTTCTGTTGATCAGCGTGACGGTGGCTCTGTGGATCGTGATGTCGGAGAAAGCTCTTGTTTGGCGTTAAAGAGCTTGAGATGGGTTTTTGTCTTGCGCGGGTTGCAACGAAGCATGGTTTTGGGCAATGCGTCCATCTGTAGAAGGAGCTGAGGCGTTGGAGGAGCCCGCTGACACGGTCAAGCCTGGACCACTCTGATATTGTTGGCTGATATCTGATATCTTTCATGGCATGTTAGAAGGGCAGTGATAGGTGGAGGAGGCGGGTGCAGGCCTGAGTTGACCACGAGAGCATTACCATCACAAGCTTGGCCCAGGTCGATTCCAACGATGCTCAGTGACCAGATTACGGCACAAATCAAGCTTGTTACTGCGTTGTGAAAGATTACCAGAGCCATGGTCTTCAGGTCGAGACATGTCTCGCACTGCACAGCACATGATGGTTTCCCGTTTTCGTGTCGCAGCCGGTCTTTCTCGAAGGTTGTGCCAAATGTAAAACAGTCCTTAAACCAACCTCTCCAGCAATTGTCTCCGCCGCCGATCGACAAGCTCATCTTGAACTTCTTGTAGAGTAGGCAAGCGCCATCTGACACCATCACCAGCGTCACCCGGCAGAGGCTCCCAATCCGGATCGTCCTCTTCACCTTCGGCCAATTTGGCAATCCTCTCAATGGCTTCCTTCTCCTTCCGCCGCTCATATTTCAAGAGCGAGCCATCCTCCTCGTCGGGTCCGAAGCCGAAATACTTAGCATCCAGGTTCTTGCGGTTGATGTCCTGGCCCGGTTTGGGCTTGTCGTCTTCGTCCTCATCTCCGCGCACTCTCCGCTTTGCCGCACGCTCAAACATCTCCTTGACTCCAGGCAACTCCTTGGCCCGGCCAAAGTACCTGTAACCTTTGCCGCCGCCAGGGATCTCCCTTCCCTGATCGTCGAACACTGTGCCTCCGCCACGCATGTAGTTTGGCCCGCCCAGTTCTCTGATTCGACGTTCCCAGCCCCATTTCTCTTTCATCAACTTGTTGATTTCGTCGTTGAGGTCGCGGATTTGGAAGTCCGACAAGCTCTCATCTTGGATCTTGGTCACCTTGCGTGAAATCTCCTTAAGGATCTGTCCGCGCCATTTCTCGCAGAGCGGGATCGTGTTGACTGTGCTCGGAGCCTTGGGTCGGCGAAGGGAGGAACTGGGTAGTAGGCCGGACTCTGCGGCTTGTGCGGCCCGGAAGCGAAAGAGCATCGACTGCGCTTTTTCTGAATTGCGCGCCATGGTGGGAATCGGCAGTGTTTAATATGGGTGTGTTGATATGGGTGTAGAATAGCGCGCGCGAGGCGAGCTGTGAGATGTGACAACGGTGCCACGGCCGCAGAGTGGGTTTATCTCGTGAGACTCAAATGCGCCCTTTCCAGAGTATCGATACACGATGGTATGGTTGTAGTAGCAAAGGTTCAATTCAGGCCGTGCAATGAGGCGTTCAACGCGGCGGGGGCTGTTAGTTCTGCTTCTGCTTCGGGTTGCTGGTTGAACTGCGGAAAAATTGCGGTTCGAGTTGCGGCGGAGATGGACAGGAATTGTGTCATTTCAAAAATATCTGGAGTCGAGATGCGCCAGCACCGACGGTTCCTTAAGAATACGTCTCTACCACCTACTATACCTACTAGTAGCTTAATGGACTGCGCGGATAAGGGGGTTAAATAGGTGGATTCCATTTCGGCACAATATTGGATTTGGACCTCATTGTACAGACAAGACAAGCGCAACGATGCGGCGGTAAATGCTGACACACCAGCTGCCAGTGGGCTATTTGTGAAGGACTACGGACACGGGCACGCCCACGGGCAGACACAAAGGGGTTCCGAGTGCCCGGCAGACAGTCTCACCATGTCGCAATGGTTACAACGAAACACCTCTCCAACAGTGCAGCTCGGACTCGCAGCGACGGCGGGCGCGGTCGTGGCAGCGTCGATGATTTTCACGGCAACGACGATACACCGGCTTCGAGCGACCAAAGAGCTGAAAGCCTCGATCCCCGACATCTCGGCTGAGCATCATGCAATCCCCCTGACGGAATATGGCGGACCGGTCAGGGAGACATTGACGAACAAGGAAGATGAAAGAGCAGCGAAGATCGCGGCGCGGGCCCGCAAGGGCGATTACGACGAAGAACTGATTCTGGAACAACTGGCTCGGAACCGGGTGTTTCTGAAGGACGAAGGGTTGGCGAAAGTGCGCGAAGCGTTTGTGGTGGTGGTCGGCCTTGGAGGCGTGGGCAGCCATTGTGTGGCAGCATTGGCCCGAAGCGGTGTGTCACGGATACGCATCATTGACTTTGACCAGGTCACCTTGAGCAGTCTGAACCGACATGCTCTGGCTACGCTCGCGGACGTGGGCACGCCCAAAGTGCACTGTGTCAGGAGACGGCTTGAGCAGATCTGCCCGTGGGCGAGGATCGATTGCCGGAACGAACTGTTGAGCTCCGAGTCCACCGAGCCGTTACTGGGGAGTTGGGACTACGAACTGAGAGACGACGAAGACGCCCGAGAACCGGATTGGGTTGTGGATGCCATTGACAACATCGACTCGAAGGTCGGACTGTTGCAGTACTGTGCTGTCAACGGCATCAAAGTCATCAGTGCCATGGGCGCAGGGTGTAAGAGCGATCCGACGCGGATCCAAGTCGGAGACATCTCGACAAGTACAGATGATCCCTTATCCAAATCGACCAGGCGTCGATTGAGGCTGAAAGGGATCAAGGAGGGCATCCCTGTGGTCTTCTCGACCGAGAAGCCTGGCGAGGGCAAAGCCGAGCTGTTGCCCATCGCCGAAGAGGAGGTGGAAAAGGGGTCCGTTGACAAGCTCGGCGTCCTACCTGAGTTTCGTGTCAGGATACTCCCTGTTTTGGGTACAATGCCTGCCGTGTTCGGCTATACTGTCGCCAACCATGTCCTTTGCAGCATAGCGGGATATCCGATGGATTATCGCCTCGGCGACAAAGGCCGGGACAAGATGTACGACGGCATGATGTCGGCTCTGCAAGGCTTGGAAGAGAGATTGGTTCGGTCGGTGGGCGGACAGGATGCCGTTGGTCTACGGATCCCCATCAACAAGGACGACATCTCGTATCTGGTGGAAGAGGTGTTTCGCGGCAAGAGTGTGGTCAGCGGTCTTGGGACCCGACTGGCCCTGATTCGCTGGCGCAAGCCTCCTGGTGGGTTCAAGATTGACCCAGAATATCTGCCTGAGGGCCAGAAGATGATTAAATTACAGCTGACTGATTTGGTCATGATGACCAAAGAAGAGGCCCAGAGGCATGAGAAGCTGGTGCTCCGTGGAGATGCCACACCTGAAGACATTTATGATTCTGATGTACTTCTTCTCGTCAAGAAGCGCCATGATGAAGAGAGGTCATACGAGAGGTACAGATGATTTAGCTCATGGATCTGATCTGCAAATTCTGCCGGTGTCGACATTGGAGCTATTGCCACTGGATCATACGAATCAGTCGGATGTATTTTATCACTACAAGAGGGAAACAGAGAAACCGAATCAGAGCAAGGTATGTAACAAGGAATGGGAATGAAGAAAGAACACGACCGACCCAGCCGGGAGATAAATCGGTCCGATATACAATATACTGTACATACCACTCTACTCTAGAGGAAGTGGGATCGATTGCAGGAAAACACTGCACGTTTCGCAAGTATACTTATTCAGAAACATTACAGATCTCCCATGGGACTGGTACCTAGACACCTAGTATGATGAAGGTAAGTCCACTCCAGCCTGTCGACAGCCTAGCCTAGCCATTCCTTGCGTAGCTTGTCTCTTCCGCTCTGATCGGTAGGTACTGTACATATTGAACCCAAATTTCCAGGAGATGGAACCATCGCCTTCACCGTACCGTGGCCCTTCTCAAGTCGAACTTTACCTTCGGTTTTCGATGACTGGAGTTTCTTTGTATTTATGCCCCAGGTCCCAACTCGCTCTCATAATGCAAAGTGGCAAAGCCCGTCCTCCGTGGCGCAATGAACTCGCGCAATTTCTTATGCGCCGCACACTGCTTGTCGTAATACTCGACGTCTTCTTTGGATTTGAAGGTTGTCACCGCCACAATGGTGTATCCCTGGCTGCGTTCCTCGGAGGTGTTGAGGACGCGGTTGGCTTCGTTGGAGACGATGTATTTTTGGCCGTCCTAGAGATAGAAACACGATTGTTAGATAAGGCCACCGCAGAGAGGTGGACGAAACGGGTACGTAGGGAAGCAGAAAGAAGAAGAAGAACATAGAATCATCATGACACGGCCACGCCGGGCATGCCATACAGTAAGTACCGGACATGTCAGAATTGTGTCTGGTCTGGCGCGGTCTGCATTGGAGCCACTCGTAGCTGAGAGTCCTTCTCTTTAGACGGGATTGTGGATGTGTGAAAGGCCAGGTCATGTCTCATTCGTGAAGGAACACCTTCACTTGGCATAAACCAGTAGAGTGGGCAGAGTAGGGAGCATAAGGACCATGAGGGTAGCAAACAGTACAGAAACAGGTCTCCCTCTCATCTCTTCCAGGTAGATATGGTACTGTACTATAGCAGACGCAGTGCTTATGCTTACCTTTTCTGCCGTCGTCCTCATAATTTCATACTGTCCGAGTATGGCGTCAATGTCTTCCTCCTTGGGGACTTTGAACAGCGTGATTCTCTTGACGAAGCTTGGAGCCATTTTTGTTTTTTGCGGGATACTGATATCCAAGTATAGTATGGGCGCTGTTAGGTATAATTTCTGGTATATACCAACTTGTCCAAGTTTATTGTAGACGGGAGTTCAACTTGTACTTACGAGTGTACAACCTTCGAGTTGCATGAAGTCCATCTCGAGGCGGTAGACGGGACTAATACTACCGATTAGGTGTGGTACCCGGATTTCATGATGATCGGTTCAATTCCGCTTTGCTGGCGGCATGCCGATATTATTGCATTAATTCCGCGCGGCAAGCAACCCCATGGGGTCCCGATCCGAATCCCCTCATAGTGAAAGGGTCCCTTCGGTCACTGCAGTTTGAGAGTGATGAGTGTGCAACAGCCGATTCAGCTTCAATACTTAGTAATCATGCCATGAACACGTCCACGATCGCATGGGGAGGTACACCAGAAGAGAGACCGGAGTTCCCAGTGCTCGTGATTGGGGGTACCCTGGACCTGTAACAATTGATACTTATCTTTGTTCTCTGGTGCCAAAGGAAAGCACGCCGTGGTGCTCAAGTAGCAGTGTCCAACATGAACATGATTGTACAACTGCTACCATACACCTCGTTCTGGATCTTGGGAGTATTTCATGAGACTCTTGACTTACATACTAGTTGGCCGCCGTTAACGGGGTGCTCGTCCTTCATCGTCATCAACCCGAGGGGGAGTTGTGCCCAAAATGCATTCCGATGATCGCTGCATGTGAACATTCACTCACTAGGCCCTCGGGGAGAGCCTGCTTGATACAGTGCCTGTGCTTATACTTATCTATTCATTGACTAACACATATCCATATCGATGATACGACAATATCCATTCAGATCGGATTAGCCGTTGGAAGCCGTTGTCGGACGTCTACAGTGCTGTCAGTCCATGATTGTATCTCGGTAGACAGTCCTCCTCCCCGGAAATGGAGTCGAGACCCCTACTACGAACATGGCAATTCAGGAAAGTAACCCCGGATCCACACTCTGGAGCCCACCTGCACTGCACATACTTCTCTCCGCATCAATTGTTTATGGCAATGGTCCACCACTCGGGGTTCAAGTTGTCTAAAAAGATGAGAACCGAGCCGAATACAAAGAGACTGGTCATGAACCTGCGCTGCACCGGCATACACCCCAATTATTGTCAATCTCGAACCAAACTGAACCATTGCCTCATATCACTCAACAAACAAAATATAATCCAAAAAGAATCTCAAGAGACCAAGGACATCATTTAATTAACTTACACTGCCGTTTCTTCTACCGCCCTCTCTTCACTTAAATCGACCTTAGCCCGAAAATGGACGTCCCTGGCATCGCCCTCGTGACAGGAGCAGCATCCGGAATTGGCCGCGCCTGCGCAAAAGCATTCGCCCGCGAAGGAGCATCTGGAATCGCCCTCGTGGACGTGAACAAGGACGCCCTTGAATTCGTTAAAGCCGAAGTCGAACAAACCCGCACCAACAAAGACTCACGGGTCGAAATATACGTGCTCGACGTAACGGACGAAGACCAAGTCAACAAAACAGTCACCAGCGTCGCCACCACATTCGGCCGCCTCGACTACGTGGTCAACGCGGCCGGAATCGCAATGAAACACCCCGGCGGCGCAGCATTCTGCGAAACCAAAGACTGGCAACGCATCATGGCGATCAATTTGACAGGCACATTCTTCGTACTCCGCGCCGCCGCACAGATCATGTTGAAGCAGGAACCGATCAAATCTTCCATTGATGGCCGACCACTACAGCGCGGATCAATCGTGAATTTCGGTTCGATCCAGGCCGTCGTCGGGATCCCTTTGTCGACGGCATACACGGTGACGAAACATGGTGTTTTGGGACTCACCAAAACGGCGTCCGAGGATTATGCCAAGGATGGATTGAGGATTAATGCTATTTGTCCGGGGTACACGGAGACGCCTATGACGACGAAATCTCCATTGGTGTTGCAGGCTATGATGGAGAGAATCGAAACGGCGGTGCCGATGCAGAGAATGGGGAAACCGGAGGAGATTGCTGATGGGGTGATTTATCTTGCGGGCGGGAGGAGTTCGTTTGTTACGGGGACTTCGCTTTTTGTCGATGGTGGGTATACTGAGCGGTAGAATGCAAACAAGTCTTGTCAATAGAATATATTATATTTTCGTGGCAGAAACAACAGGTACTGATTCAGTCGTTTATCGTGTACTCGTAGTCGAAGAGCCCTTCCATATCAACGCCAAAGCTAAGTACCTAGTCTTTGTGGAATTCAACACCCATGACCAGACCAAAAACAGAGGCTGACTGAAGTTTGCCGATGACTTGGCAAAAACAGTTAGGACAACTGTGCAGCAATACTCCCAAACCCCTTGTTCAACTTCTCCTTCTTCATGAGGTCCAACCATGTCACCCCCTTACCGTCAGGACAGCTACGCTTCTCCTGCCAAATCCGATCAATACTCTCCAGCGTATCACTGAAGTATGTCAAGCCACTACGCTGCGCACACGTCTTGAACCACTGCGAGAAACAGACCTGGACCTCTGGATCATCTGCCTCGCAGGCAGCGATGAACGCAGACCAAATAAACCCCGCCGAGCCATGCACCACCGTCGGATCGGCATGTTCACATCGAAACAAACAATCTCGCACACTAGCGACCCGCTGTTGCAGCATGGACGAATCGACATCATAGATGCGACGATAGAAATAAATGGCCAAGGCATGCTGCACGGCCTCGAGCATGTTATCCAGCACGCGGAGATCGGAGCCAGTGTTGTTGTGTGATTGTTGCAAATCACCAGAAGAAGAATACACGCGGCTCTTGTCCGCGATCGGCTGAAGCCGGTTAATCCGGCGTTCAATGGCCTTTGCTCGGACCAAAAAATCTTGCAAGGGGAGAGTACTGTCACTGTCCCTGTCCCTGTCACTGTGACCGTTGTGTTTATCTTCGGCATTTTCTTTCTCTTTACCCAGACGAATGGTCAGTGACAACAACAGCATCCATGGCTCAGGCACGCCAAATATCTCCGGATACAGCGTGGGCGGGAACTCGCCGGGCTGTTCGAGATGGAGATCGTTTTCGCCGAGTTCCTGACTTTTCACTTTCGACATGGCTTCGTCGAGGTTGCTCCATTGGGTCAGGGCAGGCAAGCGGAAAGACAGGCTGTCGTGACTGTGGACGGCCAGGCCGCTCGACTCGATCACCTGGCGCACATGGACGCGCTGGGGCAGATTTTCGTCGTTGGGCATGGTGCTTTCATGAAACAACCTCTCAAAGACATAACAGTGGTGAAGGAGGCGGATCTTACGCGATTTCTTGCGGTTGAGACCTCGCAAGCGAATGAATTTCTCGGCTTCCAGGAAATAGCAGTCGGTTTGATCGCGGTTTCCTGCAAACATGGAAAGCTGGACCATGGTGAGAAGGGCCATTAGAATGGATTTATATTTGGCCACTTTGGGCACGAGATAGGCCGTTTGAAGCATCAGTCGAACGTGCTCTCGAGCTCGCTGTCTGTATGCCTTGCCCTTTGCAATCCATGCCTGGCATTGTGAGACGCCGCCGAGACTAAAAGCGCTGATGGCCAATGCCCCGTAGAATGCGGTCAGATGGGCATGGTCGAGTTGTTCACCGAGCGTCAGCGCCGCCAGACAATGTTTGATATGAGGAATGAAGAGGATATGCCATGGTGTTTTGGTGTGTTGGAGAGGTGTCATCAACGTGATGACCGTCGTGGCATAGTGCTTGAGGAGTGGCACTGCGTCCTGGGGAACGACGTCCGAGTTACTCGTCGCAAGGGAGATATTCTGTCCTATGATTGGCCAATTCTGCTGTGCTTCTGAAGGGAAATGGTAATTCTGTGATGATAATGACGGCCCGCTGGCGAATCCTTGGCTCTCCGACATAGGCAAGGAATCCTCCAAGCCCCCGCCAAGGCAGGCCGGGTCAATAACCAGGTTCCAGAACTCGGGCGAAGCTGGAACCGAAATTTGATCTGACTGGTTGTAGATGGCTTGGACTAGGTCTTGTGTCCAGGGTGAAAGGGTAGGATCAGATGAACTGAAACAGCCATCGTTCGAATCGAACAACTCCTGTGTGGCGGTGGAGCTGCTTTCCCCGGATTCCGATTCCTGCACTGAGGGGCTAGTAGTGGAAGCTGTTGTCAGCTGAGGCTGGCATTGAGGTTGAGGTTCCGGCTGCTTTGACCGAAACGCTCCGAAAGGGCCGTGGAAGACATGGACATCCGGGGCGGAGCTGGCGTCGTCACAGTCGGTGTCGATTTGGGCAAGTATTCGCAGAGCCGACTTTGGGGGGACGCTGGAAATGAGCCAGTCGCTCATACGTTTCCGCTCCGCTTCGGTTAACAGAGGTCGTCGGAAGCGAACCACTCTTTCCTGTCCGGCATTCTTCAGATTGAAAAAGAGTGCCTTCTCGTATCCGCCACACTCTAGCCCGAAATACTGACACATAGAACATGTGGGTCGTCCTTCATCGCATTTGATGTGTCGCTTACGACACTAAGCGAGACATCAATCAGAACAGGAAGGTATTCGGTGCTGGGGCCTAGGGGTTCATGCTTACCGTCGCGCATCCACCAAAGGAGCGGTTTCTGAGCGTGCCGAGCTCATCTCTTCTCCGGTCGTTTTCCTGAGACTGCTGCATCAGAATAATGGATCCACAGAGGAGACCGCGTCACCCTGTTTGATTTGGGTTGGTTGCATGGTATATTCAAAGAGGAAGGTTTCAAAGACTGACGGGGTTTGTGGCGAGACAAGGGCAAACAGCAAAGAGGAAGGTCATTATAGAGTTGGGCCGGCCTCGTCATTAATTCTGGCGGCGTAGCCTGCCTATTTTGACAGATAGTAAAAGATATGGGGAGAGGGTGAAACTAACCGTGTGCTAGTAGATACTAGCACAGACAGTGGATCCCTTCTCCAGATATTCGCAAGGCTGCCTGATAAGGGGGGATAGGTTATGCTTTCCTCTTTGGTGGCTTGATCGGGGGGACGAGCCCCGCCCCACGTCGTCCCCTTGGATCCCCGGGATCGGTCTCTGTGACACTCGCGGTAAATCAGGTAGGTCGAGGCCGCTCTGTTACATTTGCTATCACTATCTGGTTGATCTTACACGAGAAATCGCCCCCTACGCCACCCTGATATCGAGAGATTTCGCTACCAGACTACCACACTCACCTTCAAACATCTAGAACGCAATAGAGCAAAAATGGCCTCCTCGTTTGAAGGCAAAGTGGTGCGTATCTAGCCCTGATCCAATCGACCAGGCTGGGGTTTCTGGTTAGTGATGCTGACGCTCTGTAGATTGCCATTACCGGGGCTGGCTCGGGCATGGGCCTGGCCACTGCAAAACTGCTGGCTTCTCGGGGGGCGATCATTTCCCTTGCTGACATCAACGAGGCCGGCGTAAAGGCCGCCACCGAGTCCCTACCAGGTGGTAGCGACAAACACATGTACAGTGTCGTCGACGTCCGAATAAGTCAACAGATCAACAGATGGATCGAGTCGACCGTGCAGAGATTCGGCAAACTGGATGGTGCTGTCAACATGGCTGGCATTATTACCCCTGCCAAGCCAGTCGCGGAGGAATCTGATGAGACTTGGGACTTTACCTTTGCCGTCAATGCCCGTGGTGTCTTTGCCTCTATGAGAGCACAGATCAACGCGATGAAGAACGGTGGTGCCATTGTATGTTATTTCGCATCCGCGGCCCCGAGGAAGTCTGCAGGTGTTGTAGACCACGTACTGACCATCTTTTTCTCTATTAGGTTTCTGCCGCCAGTACTTTTGGCCAGATGGGCTCAGCGGGTGTTTCTCCTTACTGTGCCAGCAAAGCTGCTGTCATTGGCTTGTCGAGAGCAGCGGCAAAGGAAAACCCACACATTCGGATCAACTGCGTTGCCCCAGGTAAGCTTTCCACCCTTCCACCCCGCCGGTAGGCATGCAATATAAAAAAGACACATCGTGCTAATGCCAACTATTTAGGCTCTGTCAACACTCCCTTGTCGAGGGGTGAGAATCCCGAAGATGTCAAACGAGGCCTTCAAGCAACTGTTCAAAAGAGAAGGGCAGAACCAGAGGAAATTGCCACTGTGATTGCTTTCCTGCTAAGCGAGGAAGCATCATTTGTTACCGGCGCTGTGTATAACGTAGATGGAGGCTGGATGTGCTGATAGGCACAAGCGAAATAAAAATCTACCGCAGTCGGGGGCCTGTGACTGAAAGGACCTAAATAGAAGGCTACTATTCAAAGCACTTTTTTAAACAGAGTATCAGCGAATTGACCTTTGAATATATACAGACTTGTTGGTCATATGGTACAGCTAGATGTCTTGCCAGATTCTCCTGCCACGTTGAGATTTGCTTTGATGAAAAGATAGATTGCCTATCCCCACAGGATAGAAATCTTCTTCAGCAGACTGTGCTGACTTGTCTGTTCCTTTCTGACTGCCTCCGCCCGGTTCCACATTTCTGCATCAGCTTCGACCTCTCTGAGGTCTGTTGTAAGATCCATCTCTGAAGCGCTGTACAGCCATGGATTCTTGCGGCCAACTGTGAATCCATGACCGATCCAAAGTGTGCCAAAGATTGGAATACCCAGATAGTTGGTCAAAAAGCTGCTTGTCGACCAGTTTCCAGGATAGAAGACAGTAAAGCCGTTGATCAACAGCAAAAAGGTGAAGAAACACAGGCAGACCCATGAGGCATACGGCTGGATGCGGGAGCGGTAGGGAACCGAGACTCCTTGTGCATCGCAGCCTTTGCGGAACCGGATCAAAATAATAGAGCAGACCAACCAGGAGGTAAAGCCGGCCGAGTTTGTCAGGTTGATGAAGTAGTTGAATACGACACCAGCCTGAGAGCCGCAGCTCAAATAGGCCAACAGGGTGAAACAGCTGCTTGCCAGGACGGCGTAGATGGGCAATCCCCAGCGGTTGCACCGGACAAAGATCCTGGGTGCGTTTCCTGCCACAGCAAGCGAGTACAAAGCTCGACTCGACATAAAGAGATAAGAATTGCCGGCAGACCAGGCGCTGGTGAGGATACCAACGTTGATCACCGATGGTAGGCCAGAGATGCCGGCGTTTCGAATGGCAATGACCCACGGAGAAGCGTTTGCGTTTCCTGCACTGGTGGTCAGACCAGCAGCGTCAGAGCGGCAGATGGCGCCGATCGCAAGAGATCCAAGCACATAAAAGACAACCAGTCGTATAAAGTATCGACGTGCTGCCAGTGGAAGATTCTTGCGAGGGTTGCGCATCTCGCCGCCAGAAAAGACGATCAACTCGGGACCGAAATAGAAGGAGAAGCCGGAAAAGACCCAGACATAGAGGAAGGCAGTAAAGCGCCCACCATCTCCTTTGACAATGTATTCTTTAATTGCACCAGGGTCGTTCCAATAGCGGAATCCCAGACGGTCGTGATTCGGACCTCCACCAAGCATGAGAATCAAGGAGAGGAGAAGCAAGCCGATAATCATGACGATCTTGATGCCAGCGAACCAGAATTCAGTCTCGGCATAGACGCCCACAGGGCAGAGGTTGAGTGCCACGATGGCAACCAGGATGACGGTGATCCAGACTGCGATGTGAATGTTGTTTGGCCAGTAGTCGATCACGATGCTTGCAGCAGTGATCTCGTAGGCTGCGATGATGCCGAAGGAGTAGAAATAGAGCCAGCCCAGCGCGAAGCCGACGGATGGGGAGACGAAACGAGCGCAGTAGTAGGCCATCGAGCATCCAGAAACTGGGAGGAAGGTCGCCACCTCTGCCACTCCAGTCACAACACCATAGACCAGCAGTGAGATCAGGAGGTAAGCGAGCAAGAGGAAGCCGGGCCCGCCGGTTGCAAGAGCTTGTCCTGCTCCCACAAAGAGACCTGTACCAATGGTACCGCCAATGGCAATCATTTGAGCATGGCGAGATCTTATGTTTCTTTTTGTCCCTGCCTGCTCAGCAAGCTGGAATTGTTCGCCGGGGGAGAAGCTCTCGACTTTGGATAGATTAGGGTCTGCCATGACTTTCAAGGAGGCCGTGCCTTTTTCGGCATCAGAAGTTTCAACAGTCATGATTGCAAGCAGCAGTAGCAGCAAGATAAAGGTTAGGAGTTGTAGGTGCAAGCTTCTCGGTGGAGGGTGATGGGAAGCTGTGCCAGAGTCTTTGAATAGGAGTCCATGGTACTATCTATATGCGTCCTCTGTCGGTACCTCCTACCCCAGACCCCAGTCAGTGCAGTCACATCCACTTCCCCGGTGCCCCCAGCTTATCTCAAGCCCCTTGGAGCGGCTTGATAGCCTTATCCGGTGGAGACGGTGACTATCGGGCGTGATATCCAAGACTTTCCTGAAACGCCCAAGCCAAGGCGAAGGGGTGGACTGCAAATTACAGAAGTGGTGGCAAATGGAGGTGTTTTTGGGTAAGTCTGCCCTTCACATGACCGTGGTCGCTTGCCTGTCCAGCACGGACGGATCTGGCCGGGGGGTGGGAGAGGAGCCGAGGAAGGTGGGTCCCACCGTTTTTGCGGAGAGACGCCTGTCGTTCTGCGAAGATTCGTGATCAGTGTGGACTGACAATGCTTCAGGGTCCTCTCCGACTCACTCATTTTGGCAGTTCCCATCACCTCAGATTGATTGTTTTCCAAGGCTTCTCAAACAATATAAGAACGTCCTGGGCTCCCATCCCTGCACATTGCATTCAGGTATACTGGCAGATAAGACAACGAAAGCAACAAGTCGTCTGCAGCAATGGGTTCCATCGGTATTCAACAAGAACAATTGTACGACGTCCTTATCATTGGCGCTGGTCTTTCAGGCCTCTGCAGTCTCTACCACATCCGCCAGCGCTTTCCAGACTGGCGGGTTAAGATCTTGGAAGCGGGCGACGATGTAGGTGGTACCTGGTACTGGAACCGTTACCCAGGGGCTCGTTTCGACTCCGAGTCCGTCTCATATGGCTTTTCCTTCGACAAGGAGCTCTTGAAGGAATGGCACTGGAAAGAAACCTTCTCACCACAACCCGAGACCCTGAAATACATTCAGCGGGTCGCCGAGAAGAATGACCTTCGCAAGGATATCCAGTTCAACACGCGCGTCAAGTCGGCCGTCTGGGACGACGCTACTCATACGTGGGTGCTCATGGACGAAGCTGGAAACGTTTACCGGACCACCTTTTTCGTCAGCTGCCTCGGTTTTCTGTCCCTACCGACCCTTCCCAAGATCCCAGGACTCTCATCATTCGAAGGCGAGAAATTCCATACAGCCCAATGGCCCAAGGATTTTGACCTGAAGCGCGACTTTGCCAATAAAAGAATTGGTGTCATCGGCACGGGCGCCACGGGCATCCAAACCATCACTGAAATTGCCAAAGAGCCAAGCATCAAATCACTCACTGTCTTCCAACGTACGGCCAACTGGTCCGCGCCGCTGCGTAACTCGCCGATCACAGAAGAGCAAATGGAAGAACTGAAAGCCAAATACGACGAAATATTTGCGCGCTGCGCCGCCACCCCCATGGGATTTCTCCACAAAGCCGACCCGCGGAAATCGGCCGAGGTCAGCCCAGAAGAGCGGCGTAAGCTTTGGGAGGAGATCTACGCACAGCCAGGCTTCACGAAATGGCTGGGAGCATTCAGCGACACCTTTACGGACCGTGAAGCCAACAAGCTCTATTCGGACTTCATGGCCGAGAAGATCCGGGAGCGGGTGAAGGACCCAAAGGTGGCGGAGAAACTGATTCCCAAAAACCACGGATTCGGCACGCGTCGTGTACCGCTTGAGAGCGGTTACTTTGAGTCATACAACAAGGAGAACGTCCATCTCGTTGATCTTCAGGAGACTCCGATCCGAGAAGTGACTCCCAAGGGAATCGTCACTTCGGACGGCAAAGAGCACGAACTGGACGTTCTTATCTTCGCCACCGGATTCAACGCCATCACCGGTGCGTTCAGCGCCATCGAATGGTCCGTTAAAGGCGGTCGCCCACTTATCGGCACCAGCGAAACCGAAAAAGGCCGCAATGCCGTGTGGGTGGACCATAGACCAAAGACGTTCCTGGGCATCACTGTACCTTCGGTGCCTAATATGTTCATGGTCCTCGGGCCACACCAGCCTTTTGGAAATGCCACACGAAACATCGAGCATGCTGTCCAGGTCGTTACGGACCTCTTGCAATATTGCAAGGACAACGGATACACTTCCGTCGAACCGTCACAGGAAGCGGTTGAACAGTGGACCGAGCATGTGGTTGAGTGCAGCAAAGGTTCGTTGGCGAATGAGGTCGACAGTTGGATGACGGGTGTCAACACCAATGTCGCAGGAAAGCAGACAAGGAGTGTGGCAAGATATGGTGGAAGTGCGATCGAATTCCGAAGGAGATGTCGTGAATGTAAAGAGCATAACTGGGAGGGGTTGGTGTTTGCTTGAAGGACTTGCCTTGGATATAGTACCAGCATTCCTCTTATGACGTCTAGACATCTTGAATTGAAGCTATTTTGTCAGTCTTTGGTCTGAAAATATCGTAGGTTTGGCAAAGGGAGCCATATATACACTGTTCACAATAAGCGAGTCATGGTTCTCTCACGCTTGCAGTGTCAGCAACACAGCACCACCCCTTTCCCGCAAGGCTGAGGTCGCCTGACCCAGCCTGGCGTCAAGACGAGGGAGGGCACACAAATCTGTCGAAGGGATGGAGGCCCTGCACTTCGCTGCTCCAAAGCGTTGAGTCTCTGGCATACCGACGGGGAGTAAAGAGTTGGTCACGAACGCTCCAACTCACAACGGCTTGATTGTACTGTAGCTGCTTGATGTTGCGACATCGATATCTGAGAGTATTGGACGGCAGAAGGGAACCACTGTCCACCTTTCCCAGCTCCTCGTCGTCCTGGGGCTCAATCCGAAGGCCTAAGGGCTAGAAAGCCACGGGGTGGTAGATCACCCTTCGCGCTTACCATCGGATACGGGCACTGGTCGAATCAACTGTCTTTGATTTTTGGCCGTCATTATTGTGGATATTGTCGAGCCGCGCGTTTGCTCCATCAATTACTAGTACAACATTGTGCAGCATCTTGAAGCGTTGGTGGGTACATGTGCATTGTCGCGGGTGAAGGGAGGAGCCGAAGATGAAGAGGAACTCGGATTGCAATTGCGTGAGAGAAAACGCAACATAGAATGTAACCGCACAGACTTTCAAGTCCCGAGAAACCCACTGCTTGGTCCAACGACCCCCTGCAAGCTTTCTCCACGCCCACTGGACATAGCCCAGATCACCTCCTGAACGACGTGGGATGTTGGTCGACGATACTACACACACCATAACTCTCGGAAATGGCGTCATGTGTGTGCACGCAATGCAATGCAGGAAAGGTGGTTTGATCAGTGAAGATGATGCCGAAGATAAAACGGTACAGTACATTTATATTCTTCAGATCCATCCAATCCAACCCCTAGCCTCTTTGTTGTGATTCTTCAGGGGTCTCCTTAGAAAAGACTAAACAAAAACCATCATGGGCTCTATTACTACCGAGACGACAGCGGCACAGCCGGATATAGGCTATAAACCGGACTTTGAGAAATATCAGGCGCGAACAAAGCTCCGCCTGCAGACCGAGCCCCTGCGAGAAAAGGGTCTACCACCGGGCTTCCCACGGCAGCTCGTGTCTGATCTCGTCTGGGAAGGAGAAGGCCTGGCCGACAAGTATGACTGGACTTATACTCTCACTGCCGAAGATATCGAGGAATTGGAAAGGGCATTGGCACATTTCAAATGTTTGGACTACCACCTTCTTCTCCTCCCAGCCCAACTTTCTTTCTCTTTCGTAAGTAGCTGACGAGTAAAATGCGCCCTGCAGCCTTGAACAAACCACTTGGATATATCAGCCAAGAGACCTTCCCATTGCCTAAGCTCCACGAGACTCTTCGAGACATCTCTCGAGAGCTGCATTTCGGACACGGCTTCAAGGTTGTCAGAGGCGTTCCCGTGGACACACACTCTCGCGAGGACAACATAATCCTTTACGCAGGGCTTTCGTCCCACATTGCACCTGTTAGGGGCCGCCAGGACAACACGTACAATGGAAAACCGGCCGATGTTGTCCTCAACCACATCAAAGACCTGAGTACCACTGCTCAAAAGGCCGTGATCGGTGCTCCGGCATATACCGCGGATAAGCAGGTGTTTCACACCGACTCGGGAGATATTGTTTCGCTCTTCTCCCTGAGTACTGCTGCCAAAGGCGGGAAGAGCAGGTTGGCCAGCACCTGGAGAGTGTACAACGAGCTGGCAGCCACCCGGCCCGATCTGATAGAGACATTGTCTCAGGACTGGATTGCTGATAACTTTGGAAGGCCCGGTCAACCCTATACCGCGCGACCGTTGCTGTTCTTCCAACCTGCATCGGCCGACAAGCCGGAGCGTGTTATCCTCCAGTATGCGCGCCGGACCTTCACCGGATTTGGCGCACTGCCCCGGTCCAAGGATATTCCGCCCATTACCGAAGCGCAGGCGGAGGCACTAGACGCCCTGCATTTCCTGGGTGAAAGGTTCAACGTCGGCCTGGATTTTCGCAAAGGCGATATTCAGTACGTTAACAATTTGGCTGTCTTCCATGCAAGGGATGGGTTCGAGGACACTGCGGAGCAACAGTAAGTACAAAGCTGGTCACCACCCGCCCGGAAACATCCATTCCAGTTTGCTAATGAATTTGGTCTCTGGTACAGGCGCCACCTCCTTAGACTTTGGTTGCGTGATCCCGAATATGCTTGGGAAACACCAGAGGCGTTGAAACCAAGGTGGGCGCAGCTGTATGATGGCGTGACTCCAGAGAATCAAGTTTTTCCCTTGGAGCCCTATGTCAGGAGCTCGAGCAATGGAGATTCGAGGACGAAAACGTAGTTGTAAAGGGCCGGATAATAGGAGAAACCATACCTAAAGCATAAATGCATAAATGCTAAAGCTCGCGGTCCCCAGTATGCGTCTCAATTGTCAGTGGAATGAATGTCCACTTTCCCCCGTTGTTGGGCTAGTCTCGTCTCCAGCTGTAATGGAGAAGGTTCGCCACGGTCCGTAGTAGCAAATCATCGTGGTCTCGATCTTCACGTATGCAGTAGTGATAGATCTTGAAGGCCCAAGAAATGGCGCCATCTGCAACGTTGAGCACGCGCAGGTACCCATCTGCACATGCTCTTCCAAGCACAATGTTGCAACGACACCAAGACTTCGATGGCAATATGCTCCATCATCTCGTCTGCGTGGCCATCAGGACCATCGCGTTGCCACAATGTAGAGGCTGGCATCCCACGACAAATTCCATCATCAAGCCTCAAAATCCCTCACCACCCATTTCGTTCTTGGCTTGGTCGATCAAACCTGCAGGGCCCGTGGATATAACTTGACTTGAACTCCGTTCAGAGTGTATCAGTACAGCTGTACCACCAAGCCTGCACGATTGTCGAGCTCTTTGCAACAAGGGTGTATTGCCAAACTACTTACCAGCCATGGTGTCCCTGCGATGGAGGCGTCCAGAGCAGACGTCCACAAGTGAGTCGAGACGAACAAACTCGCAGGGGGCCCAGACTGCCTTTCTCCAGAAGGGCAACCTCCAATATGCCGTCGAAAAAGCCGAGAACAACAGCAATGTATCCTATCAAGAAGTCTCAGGTGCACCGGTCGAGACACGTTCAACCTTGGGATACCATGTCGGGCCGATCACGATCATTTTCCTCAACTTGTCCAAGATGGTGGGCACCGGGGTGTATTCGACGCCAGCGTCCATTCTCAAAGGTACTGGCAGCGTGGGACTGTCGCTCATCTATTGGTTCATTGGGTTCTTGATGGCAGCCTCCGGCCTTTCGGTCTACCTTGAATATGCGGCATACTTCCCCAATCGGTCGGGCAGTGAGGTCGTATACCTGGAGCAAGCGTACCCCCGACCTCGCTACCTGTTTCCAATCACCTTCGCCGTCCAGACCGTACTGCTGTCTTTCAGCTCGTCCAACGCCATCGTGCTGGCTCAGTATCTTTTCCGCATCAACGGCCACGACCCGTCAGCGTGGCAGCTCAAGGGAGTCGCTATCGGAGCGTACACCTTGGCGTTCCTTTTCGTGGCTTTCAATACAAGATTCTCCTATTTCCTCTCCAACGCCATTGGGTTCGTCAAAGTCGCCACTTTGGTCTTCGTTGCGATAACCGGACTGGTGGTCTTGGGTGGTCACACGCGAGTCGAGGATCCGCACGCCAATTTCCGCAACGCTTTCGAATCGAGCACTGGCACAACGCCTTATGGCATAACCAACGCTCTGGTCAAGATTGTGTTCTCGTACGCGGGCTACGAGAATGCTTTCAACGTGGTCAACGAGGTCAAAAACCCGGTCCGCTCGATTCGTACTGCCGGTTCCATCTCGCTGTTTTGTGTCGCAGCGCTGTACATGCTTGCCAACATTGCATATTTTGCGGCAGTGCCCAAGGAAGAGCTGGTCAAGTCGACTCAGGTCGCTGCAAGCTTGTTCTTCCAGCATGTCTTTGGACAGAGCGGTGCAGTCAGAGGGCTGAATTTCCTTATCGCGTTGAGCGCGTTCGGCAACTTGCTTGCTGTTCTGTTGGGCCAGAGCAGGTTGATCAGAGAATGCGGCCGGTAAGTCTTTGTGAACATTAAGCTTTTTATAGAACGATCACAAGCTGACACATGGGCGGGAACAGTCAGGGCGCACTTCCATTTGCATCCTTCTGGGTTTCGACGCGACCATTCGGGACCCCGCTCGGTCCGTACTTCGTCAAATGGGCGATGACAATGTTGACGATTCTGGCGCCCCCGGCAGGGGACGCCTTCAACTTCGTTGTTGACCTGGCCAACTACCCGGCTTCCCTTTTCGCCTTCCTGATGGCCGTTGGGTTATATTTGGTGCGCTGGCGGCGCAAGAAGCTCGGCATGCAACCCCCGTCTTCGAAGGAAGGCGGTTTCAGGGCCTGGCACGTGGCAATATTGTTTACCATTGCAGTCAACTTGTTCATGCTCGTGATGCCATGGTATCCTCCAGCAACTGGCGCCACCGGCGGCGACGTCAGTTTCTGGTATGGAACTTACGTCGTGACCGGCATTGGAATGTGAGTGCTCCTCCACGGTGATATCATTCGAATTTACCATTTATTTGGACAATTGCTGACTTGAGGCTGCTAACTTACAGCATCATTGCTTGCTTTGTCTACTACGCCTTTTGGTTGTGGATCTTACCTCGTTTCCGCGGTTATAGGATTCGCCATGAGAAGTTGGTTCTTGAGGGTGGTGAAGTGACACACAAGCTCGTAAAGGTTCCAGTCGACCAGCTGGAGCATTGGGATGCGACTCATGACGCATACGGTGCCGAAATCAGCCGAGACGGCTCCAGCGACGAGGATGGTCTTGCTGCGAGGCCCCCAGAAAAATTGACCGAGTTCGCGGAGAAGTGAAAGTGATGGAAGAGGGAGGAGAATCCTGGTCAGACGTCCATCGTGAATAGTAGTAGGACTGATGATGTATGCAGCAGATAGACTGATAGCAATCTGGACAAAGGCTGACACAACTGTACGTTGTAGGTAGCGATGGGGTGGGTATGAGGTACTGTACAGCAGAGTAGATCCAACTTCACGCCAGCATCCTTGGTATGAATGCTGCACCGTATATATCGTCTTGGCATTGTTGCTCGGTTTGCATGGCGGATTCCAGTCCGACCTCAGGGTGGGTCCGAGTTCGAGTTGGGTTTGCCGCCTTTTGCCAACTCCGACTTCGTCGCTTCATCAGCTCACCCTGTCCACACCGCAACCCTACCCACCGCTGGTATACCTCCCGCATCCTGGTACAAGGACATTGTGCCCATCCCAGAGTTGCTTCCTTGTGCCAGACAGAGGACACATGTTCAACACATCGTTGCGCCGCGTGGCGCGGACGTGTTCCCACGCACCGCCGGTTTCCTCACGACCAACAACACCGTCAGTAGCGTCTTTCACCTCGCATGCCCATCAGCGACGGCATTCATCCTCCAAGCCGCCTGTGCCACCCAACAATGGATCGTCGGCAATCCCAGCAGCGTCAGTGAAGCAAGTGGGAGCTCCCAGATCTGACACGAAGAGGCCGGCTGTAGAGCGCTCGGCCAAGAAGAGATCCAAGGATAAGGTGGAAGCAAAGCAAGAGTCTCCTGCAGACTGGACCTCGAAACTCCCGTCTGTCCCAAGCTTGCAGCATTTGAACCCTAAAGGTGAGTTCAGTCTGGTCACACTCAACATCTCTACGGGTTCAGTCCCGACCGCCTCCCCGTGATGACTGGGCTAACCATGATATAAAGATGTCTATGTTGCCTCTTTCTTCTCCACCCACCGACCCATGTCCATCACAGGACCAGTACCGCCCGAGACCTCGATCGAAGCCATCGACAAGATCTTCCAACCAAAGCCGAAGTCCAGAGGCCGCACCCATCCTCACGAAGTCATCTACACCCTTGCATCGGCGGTCGATCACCTGGACGAGCAGATAGCGAGCAAGCACGGCGAACAGCAGGCGGAGCAAAAGGCCGCAATTATCAAAGCTCTCATGCAACGTAATGATAACAATCCCACGGACCTGAACAGAACATTACATCTCGACGGAGCTCCGAACGGAGGAAACGTGAGACTAGTATTACAAGAAATTGCACGACGGTTCCGACCATTCAACGCTCCTCCTCCCCCGTCGCCGATCAGTGATGCCGAGATTGACGCCGCTGAGGCCCAGGCAGAGGCTGCTGCCGCCACCGCGGAAGCCAACGAGGAAATGCAGGCGCGGACCTTGGAACTCGAAATCCAACAGCAAGACTACGACCCATACATTCAGCAGGTCGTTCTCAATGTGCCGCAGGTGAAAGACGGCAGATTTTTCACTAGCAATGAAGCCGCGGCCATGATCGAGATTGAAGATGCACGCGGCCTGCAAGAGGAGATGCAGGATCCATCTTCTTTTGGAGGCCGTCTAGGTGGCCGAAGGCGTATCATCAGGAGAAGCCCTGGCATGTACGCCATCAGCGTTAAGAGACAGAGACGGCTGAAGATGAAGAAGCACAAGTACAAGAAGCTGATGCGCAAGACGAGGAACTTGAGGAGGAAGCTGGGTCAGATCTAGTCAAACGTACGATATCCCCGACCCATGGTGAAGAAGCGGTCGATCGAAAGAGACATTTCTATCCCACTCTGCATTGTTTTCCGGCGTTGTGAAGCCGTCAGGTGGTGGTTGGTGCACGCCCCAACAGAACTTGCAATGATCTAGCTGCCTTTCCGTTTTGGTTTCTATCCAGCACTTGCTGCCTGGGTCTCAAATCAACCAATTCAATCAATCGATCATATATGCTATGGTATCCAGTTACGACCTTGCTAGACTCATATGAGTAGGTAGCACTGCTTTGAAACGTTACAAATCTCCAGATTGGGTCGGTTCTAGTAGTCAGTGTTTTATGTTCCACGTATGAGTACTCCGGGGGCCATTTGGATTCTACTTGAGAAATACTAGGTATATATGTAATATATATAGTCACAACCTTAGCTCGAGTCCCCCAATGGGTCAAACACCAGTGCCGCAAAATGGAAGTACTAGTAGCTGCGAGTAGACAACCGGGGTTCATCAGAAGATCAAGGCTGAGGCACCGGTAACCCAGCAGCGCTATCAGCAGCAGTAGCGGTAGCAGCCGTCGTGGTCATCCCTCCAACACCTGAAGTTCCCCCTTCAGTACTGTCAGCATATATATATACCACTGAATCAACCACGAGAGTTCAGAGACGTGGCGTCCAAGGCTGGGTTGGGCTGCTTGGTACGCCATCAATGCTAGTGCGAGTTCGAACCATATATACCTAGGTAATGTACCTGTAGCTCGCCGACCAGAGCAGATGGGACTCATAGCCTTCCAGCATGGCCATCAACCGACGGATATACAAGTACCTTAACTTTGCCGAAAGCTCTATGGGGAACTTGAAAGACAAAAAGCCATTATCTATCTCAAATGCCAATCAATGTGTACATACATACATGAACTGCGCAAACGGCGGCACTGCAAAGCCTAGCACAGCAGGATAGAGGAGGCTTTGTATTGACAAGAAACAGCGCCTGGAGTATCCGTCCGCTGCCCACTGCATGCTGGAACGGATCCCTGGTGTGCCCTTTGAGGAATAACGCCGTCCCCGTCTGCTGGCATAATTCTAAACATTTCGTACATAATAGTTGGTAGCAGGCAATCCTCACTAAGACGAACTGCCCTGCCGTTGTTGTGTTGTGTTGTGTCGCGTTGTCGACTCAACTTGGTTTTGTAGTTCGACCAAAAATCAGAATCGCGAGGTCTGATGCTTATCCTCTTTTTCCCCACGGTCCATGACGGGATGTGCTCTCCCTCCTTTCAATTGTCCACTTCTTCCCTTCAGGAATTATTCCGCTAGTTATGACGCTACAGCGCAGCCGTCAGAACAAATTCTTATCGTCCACCATCTCCAGGGTCCCCATCTAGCAGTGAACATCGGTTTGAGCCTTGGAGTTCATGAGCAAGGCGACGATGAGGCCATAAAGACCCAAGACTTCGGCGAAAATGAGAATGAGAATCATGCCGACGAAAAGGCGAGGTTGCTGAGCACTGCCTCGAACACCGGCGTCACCGACAATGCCAATGGCAAAGCCGGCGGCCAAACCTGACAAGCCGACCGACAGACCAGCACCAAGCTGGATAAAGCTGGTGAACAGGGCTTCTTGCTGGCTGAGGTTGTCCGAAATCAACACCGACACGACCAAGCCGTAGATACCAATGATACCAGCCATAATGACGGGAACAATGTCTGTGACGCTATATGTTAGACGACCACCAAATAGTAGATTGAATTGCAGGCATACTCTTGACGATCAGGTCGGGTCGCAGAACACCCATGGCGGAGATACCAACGCCAGACTTTGCGGTTCCATACGCCGCACCAAAGCAGGTGAAGACAATGGCGGACGTGCAGCCCATGGCACCAAAGAAGGGCTGTTCAAACAATGTGTCAGTCAGTCCCTTTATTTACTCAAGATGAGAGAGCTCAGCTCCGTGGCTGGATGGAAAGGGGTGGTGCTCGTAGTGCGTCATCATCGCAATCGTGTTCGACAACGGACGGAGGCAGACGGGAATAAGCATACCGCATATACGGGACTATAGAGATTGAAGTCAGTCAGCGAACAAATGAACCCGAAGGAACACGAAAGATAACATCAAGACTGTATACAACGTCTCCAGGCTAGGCTGCGGCGCAGGCTGGCATCCCCGGGGGCAAACTGACCAGAGATCGGAAGACATGTTTGTGATGTTGGCCGAGTTCCGGTCACTTTTTCTCGAGGTTTAGAAGGCGACACTGACGCTACGCGAGGAGAGTGCTTGACGATGAGATGGGGACAAGCAAGGCAGATGCGTGGTGCTGGACAGTATGGACAGGTGTTGATGATGGCTTCGAAGATTGAGCTCTCATCGATCTTGCCAAGCTGCTTCAGGCGTCACGCTGCGTTTGGAGGACAATATTGCGCCGTTTTAAGCTCCAGCGCCCGTGCTGCCTACTTGATTCGCAACGATAGGCTATTTGGACGACAGCTGTCGGTCGGCCAATAATAATCCGGGGCTACTTAAAACGGCAGCACTCAGCCTTCAACTACGATGTTGCTGTGCAGTGTGATAGTACCATATTTCACTCTGGTGTACTGCTCCTTCATCCAAACTCCCGGTATGACTAGAGGGATTCTCGTCTCGGCTTGGTTGTGCAGCAATGATTCCGAGTGCGATCCAAGAGCTTTTTCTAGGAACTGTACTGGCATTGGTGCCCATCAAGAACTATTATTGTCTCTCTTTTCCATTTCCTACCATTGATAGCCTTAAAATGGAGTAGGATGTCTGCGTCGACAAGTGGCATATCAGCCAACTTCGCCGAAACAGGGCATCAGGCCGAAAATGAGGATAGAGCTTTTCCTGTCATCTATGACCTTGAGGCACATTAACCTCCATCATCCTCTTTTTCGGATTTCTCGGCAATGCCTCCTGTCGTCTCCGTTCTTCCGGCGATATATCGTCAATGTTTGTCCCTGTTGTACGCGGCTGTGGCTGTGCCTGACTTTGTCCCTGATGCTGACCCTGACTCTGCCCATTCTCCTGTGACTGTGTCACGGAACCTGAACCTGCTTCCGTGACATTCGATCGCTGACCCTCCTGGTCCTGATGCTGATGACCCTCCATGGCAACACGGAGAATTTCTGCCTCCAGATCTCCCACGTAGTCGACCTGTATTCCGGCCTCTTCAAGAATTTTGGTAGCTGTCGACTTTTGCACAAATGTATCTGGTTCTTTGGCGCCGTAGACGATCCGATGAATGCCTCTAACACCAGTACCAGTAGTGGAAGAAGACTCAGAGCCGCCACTACTGCTTCTCGTCGCCAAAATTCTCTCGACGCAACTCTTGTTCCCGCTCAAGCGCTTCGCACACGGCTCGAGACTGGTGTATAGAGTCACGATGACACCAGCTCTCTGGGCTTCTGTATCTGCTCCCGCCGTGGAATCTGGTTCCGGGCCTAGAGTCCAGCCCAAAAACTCGGGACACTCACAGACTCGTTCCTCAGACAGATTATGCCTAGCGGCGAGTTTGGCGAGCGCACACTGCTCGGCGTGTGTGTTTCCTGGAAGTTCTAAAGTGTAACCTGTTGATAGAACACGAGGCTGTGCTTGAGCCTGAACTGAAGTAGGAATTGCAACTATAACACAACCGACGCGGAAATTCGTTGGCTTTGGAGGCGACAGCCGAGCTAAATCGAGCGCTTGGGAAAGGTATTGGAGGTCCAATTCCCTTTGACGCTCGGCCTGATTCTGATCCTTGATTCCGTACGCTTTCTCGCCCCCTGTTGATGATTGTGCTTGATGATGAGAATGTGACATGACCCGGCCGATTTGCTTGCTTGCTCTGCTCCTGCGGGTTGGCGTGTCGACTAATAAAAAGGCTGGCTCACGTCAATCCGATTCCGGCTCAAACCGTATGGGGCAAACGCAACGAAAGTTTGATGGTCGTGCAGAAGTGTGCCGCCGCAGAGATATGGACAATGTTAATCTGTTGACGAGAAGTCGTTCGTTCAGGGTGAAGCAACAATCAAAAAGAGCATTGCTTGCTTCGGGCCATGAGTGATGGCCCGATCCACCACCAGCGCCACGTCAGAGCTGATTATATAAGCAGGATCTCCTCGAAGCCTCGACGTAGCAATATGCAACTTAAGCGTGAGAACCGATTGGAATGTGCTTGATACAACAGGACCAAGGACGACCTAGAGGTATATGGTAATATACAGCTATATACATATCTACATAATGTTACATTGTTCCTACATTCATCAAGGCCAATCAATTACTTCCAGTGTTGTAGGATGCCCCCGCCACTCCTGCTCGTTGGTTTCGTCAGTAGTAAGTGGCCCATCCAGGCCTGTCTGTTCTCATTATCATCTGAGTGTCTTTCTGCCCATGTGAGAAGCAGAGATTTGTTCGGCCTACTTCACTGCCTGTTAGCCAGAACCAATCTGTGGAGGCACTCATTCAACGAGTGAAGCGCCGTTGTACTCCTGAACATCACTCGTAGCGGCTCACGTTACTCGTTCAATGCCCTGATCTCGAGTCACTGATCGTCGTGGGAGTTTCAGACCCAGAAAGTGAACAAGAGCCAGCTAGATCTGTTCTCTCCAGCAAAACAGCCAAATGGTCGACCTCACCCTCGGTGGCCGCCTTGGCTTTTCCCCGACGATGGCTTTTCTGTAGCTCCACTTGTTGCCCAGCCTCGTTCTCGATCAGCGACAATGCCTGCTTTCCGGCAGGTTGTGGGCGCGTTCTGTTTTTCCGCTCCTGTATAATCTTCAACAGGCCACATACTTCGTCTTCAAGATCATCCAGATCCAGATCCACTGTCTCTCGAGTGCTCTGGGCCAGTTTCTTTCTGTACACTTTCAACATCCGACAGGCCTGCTCGGTCGCCATACCCAAGCTGCCAAAATCAGAAGTCGACGCCTGGCTTAGACTCTGCCGACGAGCTGGAGCCAGAGCTTGAGATCGTAAGTGTAGATCTGCAGGAACTGACGGCGGCCGGCGTAATTTACCATTGTTGGATTTCTGCCTTTGTTTAGGCGTCGTAGGCATCGAGACCGGAAAGTTCGACGGGGAAGGTGACCTTTCGGGTTCTTTCGCCTCTCTTGGGCCGGAAAGTCCGATAGTGTCGACACTACCAAGAACGTTGGTGCGAGATGACTGTTTCTTCAATCTCGAGGAGACTCGGGGTGCGGGCGAAGGGGACCGTGGCGCATTCAGCCTTCTTTCACTACTAGCACAGTTCTGGCTGGCCACAGGGTTGACCGCTACTTTACTAGGTGTCTCCTCGTCGTCCTCCATTGTTGTGGACAGCGCAAGCCTTGACGTCTTCCTTTTCAGGCGGACTGGCGACACCGAACGAGGCGTAGGCGGTGACATCGAGCTTCCTCTAGTCAATTCCGCAATATCCACTTTCGTCAGAACCTTCCTCAGTGGGGGGAGAGATGCTGGGCTCTGCTTGGCCTGTAGATCCTCCGTTCCTTCAGAGGACAGGCTGTGCCCCTGAGGCCGGTCTGGCGAAGGATATGGAGCTGCAAACGTAGCCTTGCTGATTTTCCATAGCATTATAGTGCCGTCCAATCCCGTAGTGACAATCGTCAACTGATTACCAGGGGTACCATCGTCAGACTCCTGGAGCAAGGCAACGTCACTCACGCCCTCCGTATGGCCTGATTCTCGTCCCAGCAGAGTGAGGGATTTCTCATTGTATACTCGAATAGACTTGTCCATGGAACAATATCCAATGATTAGTTGTTGCGCAACATCTGCAGAATCGGGAAGAGAGCTGCAGATGATCGAATTCAAAAAGACGGAATCATCACTCTCGGAGTTTCCGAGCTTACATGCATCCGTCATTGAACCCGTCCTGTAGTCAACTTTTGTGATGCGACGGTCCATACTAGCCACCAGAAGCGTATCATTGGCCGCAATCGTCATAGACAACGGAGTGCTTTTGAGTGTCAAGACCCTCGTGGATAGAAACGCAACGGCAGTGTGATCGTCTGGTTCCCTCAGAACGCGCTCACGAATAATCAAGGACCTGTCGGAGGAACAAGAAAGCAATCTCTGCCCCATCTGGCCAAATAAAACTTGATTGACTGACCCGACATGATCATCCATGGTCTGCAGGAGCTCCAAGCCAGTACCATCAAGTCGAAAGAGTTGCACCATCCGGTCACGGCTGCAGGTTGCCACCAACGACCCTTCATCGGCCACCGCGATGCTTGTGATTTCCGAGCCGTGTGCTCGAAGGGTGTGTACAACGTGGAATTCTGGGCTCCTGGCTATTTTGAGCACACCAAACCGATCCCCAACAAGGAAGGATTCCTCAGCAGGCCAATATCGTATTCGGCAGAGTTCGTTCTCACAACCTTCGCCATGCACGTCCGATTCTTCGAGATCAACCTGCCTCTGAGACAACAAAAGCCCCTCCGCATCCCAGAACTTGATCTCCCCGTTCTTTGACCACGTGAAAAAAGATCCTAGCTCGGACATAGTAGGAAGGCTTTGCACGCCTTGAAGAATACTGTTGTGAGCGGCAAATGTCGGCTGAAATTGGTCCTGTTCGTTCGCGTCGCGTCGCTGGATCTGTAAGCTTCCTTCGTTGTCTAATGTGATGATGTGGTCCCGAAGGACACCTATAGCCATAATGGACTTTCCTGCTTGCTGAGCAACCCCCAAAGAGCGGCGAATTGATGATGATCGACGAGGTATCCGAAGTGGGTTGTGTGTGCCGGGAATTTCGTCGTCGTTTTTGTGTAACCCCCCAAGTTCTTCGATATGCAAGCCTTCAGAGGTACCCATCAAGACTTGGTTTGTGGCAGCCAGAAAAGCGATCGAGGTGATGGAAAACTGTGTCTTCTTGAGCATCTGCAGTTCAAGTGTTCCTCGAGAGATGTCGACCAAGCACAAATGCCCAGTCTCAGTTCCCAAAACAACAAGATTCTCATCAACTGGGGTTACGCATGTAAATGTCGAGTCCACCATGGGGCCCAACAGACAGTTGCGGCCCTGCAAGGGTGTAGGTCCAGGACTCGAAGTAAAAATCTCTGACGGTCTATACTTCGACTTCCTAGGGGAGGGTTGCTTCGCCGAATCTTTGATGTGCCAAACTTTGACATGCCTTGTCCCAACGGTAATCAGATTGTCGCCGCACCACGTCATGTCACAGATATTAGTGGTGCACTTGTTGGCGGAATGCAGACTCAATTGGCCCGTCCTCGAGTTAAGCGACCATATGAATAGGAAGCCGTCATTCAGATTTCCCAGTGTAGCCAGATATCTCATGTCAGCGCTGAAAGCTATGCAGCGGACGCCATGTGTGTGATCCGTCACCACCGAGGTCGGGATCTCGCCTGACGCGTCCTCGGCAGTAGAATACAGCAGGACACGGGGATTGTACCCAGATTCTCCTACCGCAAGCCATCGGCCATCCGAATCCAACGCAACACAGGATGTAGATTTTATCCGTTCCCTTGCGGTCCACGTCTGCCCTCCTGACTCTTCCATCCAGTCACGCCCGAACGAACCGCCATTGTAATCTTCGGACCCCCTTGACGGTGCGAAGCTGGTCCTTCTCCGGGACGGCGAGGCGGCTGGAGAGCCTTCATAATGGGAAGTGGGCGGGTTTATAGATGGCGCCGTTGGGCGGGCCTTGTAGTATCGGTGCGAAAGTTTCTGGTCTGAGCCCACTTTTGCCAACACTGCAACAGCGCCTGCGCAGTAAGCATATGTTTCAGTTGATGGACAACATGCGAGTCCACTTGGACTGGTTGTGGTGGTGCCGATCACTTTCTGTAATTGCAGGGCTATATCAGAAGATCGTGGTTTGCGAGGAGACCCAACCCCGAGCTTGGGGATGACGGGGGAACCGGTGGGTGTTGTGCGTAAGGAGGGGGTTTGAGAATTCAACCTGCTTCGGAGGCTGTACGAATGAGAAGCCATGGTTCACATTGTCATCGGGAGGGGTGCAGAGGGCGGCCGACGGAGCGTATCCTGCACAGCGGGTGTTGCGTCGTTGTAGGGCGCCAGATCAACAATTGGGTTCAGGGTAAGGCATGTTGTTGGGAAGAGCTGATGTGCGTTGACGGATGATTGTTTCCGCGGTTGCTGTCTGAGGATTGTGTCTCGAAGTGTGAGTGAAGTAAACATTGAGCAAGCCAGCTTTTGGCATTGGGATTTCATCCCTTCATCATGCGCCAAACTGCGCACGTTCATCAGCCCGTGTTTACATTCTTTACCAATGTAGACATCCCACTCAGCCACATGCGGCTGAGGATTGTAGGGTGTGTGGCTGAATAGTGTGACTAATTTATTACGTTACTAACTGCTATCAATCTTGACTACCTATATTACCCGACCTCCCCGGACACGAAGACCACCCTACCTACCTACCTACTCTCGACTACGCTGTTGGCAGCGATGGAGCGCGTCGCGGAACATCCCACCTCTTAAGTCCGGAGTAGCACATACTGGAGATGCAATACGACGTCGGCCACCACTACGAGTACAGGACAGGCATCTTCCGTATCATCCACCCTTGCCGTGTTGAAATGCGTCTCTCGGATATCGCGCCGTTGTGCCTGATAGAGGCATTCCAGCGAGACCATACACCAGGTCTACCCCTGCATTTGGGACTAGTTCTCCCGGCCCTGGATCACTAATCAACTATTTCGCAGAAATCCATGCCCGAGGGCTGACCTGCTGGATTCCTACCTAGGTACTCTGGTAGGCCGTTGGCACTATCAGCCGGTGCAATATTGCACATGGAACTGCCTGAATAATGACCCAGTTCACGCTTTAACGCACATGCTTGGATTTGTTAGCAATGGATACAAAAGATGTTGCAGATTGGAATTCCTCCCCATGTAGGGAATGTTCCACGAAGCCAGACTTATTACCTCCCGTCGGTGCTTAAACAGTTGGCTTCCCTGGTATTCGTGTCAGACTTGGTAACGCGTTATTTTCAGCTAGGTACATGAGTAACCTTTGCTTTTGAGCCACCTTCATGACTGACCCGGGAGCTGCTAAAGCTGGAGTGATGGGTAATGGCATGCGCAGAGGGAAAAGAGAATGTAATCGTTTTCAAGGCCGGTCTTCCAACCTCCTCTGGACTCCTGCAGTCTTGCCGGACACCAAACATAATATCGTAAACTCATAATGGCATAATGGGCAGCCACGAAGAAAAAAGAAGCCTCCTGCAAATGTTGGTATATCGCAGCTCTTCTAAACGCCGACCGACGGAACAATCCAAACTGATACATGACTCTCTAGTGGATCACAGTGAGCCTCCAAGCGAGTCCAAGGGGAACTCGGAGTCGAAATCTAGTGCGGTGCCGTCGGCATAGCTGTCGGATCTGTTGTAGAGCATGTCGTGGGCTCCAAAAGCGTCGAACTTATCGAACTTGTCAGGTATGAGCATTTCGCTAAAAGATTGATCTTGACATGATCGTAGAGTGCCCAATTCAGCAGTAAGCTCGGCAATCCGGTTGTTCAATTTCGTGACTTCGTCCGCCTGTCGGGTGTACGACTGCAAAAGGTCCTGATGCTTCTCGTGGAGGTCTTCTAGTTGGTGTTCCAAGCCTTTGAGGTGCTTTTCTTTGCGCTCTCGGAAAGCTCTTTGCGACGCTCGATTCTGCGCTCGACGTCTCTGGCTAACAGTTAATGCATGATGTTTAGCAACTCCCACGAATTCGACGCACCACATGCATACTAGTGATCTGATCCTTGCCTTTTGCACTAGTTGAGGTGCTGCCTGACCTTCGCTTTCCCCGTTCCGGCTGATCTGGTGTATTTCCGTTGTCATACTGGGCAGAGATGCTGGATGTTGATGTTGGAGAATAGAAGTTGGAGGGCGTCGTGCCGTACTGGATAATATTGTAAGTCATGGACGCGTCGTTGAGCTTCATTCGGCTTGTGTGCTGGAGCCAGTCAGTGCGCTCGTCTTCCAGCAGGAAACGAGCCTTGCTCACGTGAGGTGAATTGGGACTAGAGCTCTCGGAGGTGCTGTCGAAGTATTGTCCAGCGGTGAAGAAGGATTGGTGTGGTGACTGTGACGGAGAGCCCGTGAAGCAGTAGTCCATGTTGATTTGTAAACACAACGGCGAGTTTCCTACAGCGTTGGCGGTTGTTTTCGCACGTAGGAGGTGGTGAACAAGGCTGCCCCTGATCTCGTGGCTCTCTCCCCGAACAAATGTGATTCGTAAGGTGGTCACTGAGAGGTGAGCGAGAGATAGAAAGATTCAAAACCTGGGTCACTGTGAAGACACCCTGCTAGGCAAGGCGATAAGTATATAACATCGAAGCATTAGCATGGGTTCGCGTCCTCTGCGAGCCGTCCCCCGCTAGTTGTACGAGGTGGATCATCGTTCAGCCATTGTTGCGGCACAAACACGGAGCCACGTACATTACATAAGGTTACGGAAGTGCGTCTCCCAGCTTGGTGGACATGATATAATTGACCAGGGGCACACTGGCCGTAGGAAAAGGATGGTCATACAGACACGTCCATGCATTTTAGACAGACTTGGGCAGATCCCATCCAGTTGGACAAACCCTGCTGATTTCTCGAACAGGTTGGCGTTGAGGGGCCAAGCTCGAAGGTCATTGCATGTTCGAAGCCATTTGGAAGCGTAAGCCTGAGGTCAGCACCGCTTCGCAATGCACCGCCGGAAAACAAGGATGGACATGCAGCCAGGACCTCTGCTTTTGAAAAGGCTGCTTGACAAAAGACTCCAGAGCCGCCGGTCGAGGTTAGCGAACTGGGCCGCGGAGAAGACGAGGGGATAGAAGACAGGTGATTGGAACAGCCACGGCAAGCCCATACTTAAACTGGGCATTCATTCTTCAAGGCTGACGGTTCCACATCGCAAGGACCTTGCAAGCGGGGAGGGGAGGGGATCAGGCAGCAGAACACGACGAAGCAGGGGCAGGTTGCGGACGTAACAATCATAGCGAGCGGTGGGATACTGTGCCATGGTAGCTGAGGGCGGTAGGTAGATCTTCATCTCGGCGTGAGACGCGGGACAGAGCCATGCTAGAACAACTGCTGGAGAAAGTAAAAGGTCCCAACTCGAAGTGTTCAAGTCTCTGCCCCCTTCCTGCAGAAATGGCTGGGATGTTCGGAACACGCCCTATGCAAGACGATGTCTCGACAAGACGGCGGTGCGAGAGATGGTGAGATGGTGCTGAGAGAGACTGCGCATCCCTGTAGACACTTTTTCGCGCATGCACCGACTCGTCAGACTGCGCTGCAACTTTGCACTTGAATCTGCCAGTTGCATCGCTCCTGCCACTCCAGCTGCCCCGCTCCTTCCGCGTCCAAGTTTCTGTCAACTTTGAACCTCAGATTCACTGACAACTTGAATTTGCAGTGAACTTGAAGCCCTCAGTCTTCGACTTCATCTCTGACATTTCACTGACTACTAGTGCCTTAGGTACCTGGTAGGTACAACTTCACTTCTAAGTCCCGGACATGCCGTTCATGTCTCCTCCGATAAATGATGGAATCGACCAAAGCCTCAGGTCGGCTGTCCCTGAGCCCACTCCACGCACCCAAAACATCCCCCTTGCGCCTGGTTCTACTAATATGCCATCGACCCTTCCCCACTTCTACCGGACACCTGGTACAGCAGTAGGTGACTTCCTGGCAGGGTTAATCAGGGTCACATAGGGCCTTTTGCTAGTCTGGAGATAGCTTGTGATTCGCCTTGCAGCTTCACGGTACAGTAGGCCTGAGGTCCTGGTGCCTCGTGTCTTTGCTTTCCCGGGCTGGCACTCGTAATGGACCAAGTCCCTGCTTGAGGCCTACACACACACTGGGGATTCGATTCCAAACTCAAATATCCTCATTTCGACCCATGCCTATTTGCCTACCCTAGTCTGCTCATGTAATACATTTCGGCTGATTACTGATCACTCTTGCTCAATGTCCCCAGGTCGATTGCAATCCAGTGATGGTTATACCATTTCCCGACTATATTCTCCACCGTGGTCGTATCGATATCTCAGGTACATGTGAGCTTTGTCGACGCCTCTGTGAGTCATTGATAGATGGAAACAATCAGTCCCCGGGGAATCAGTACCGGGCGTGAGCCGGTGGTTCTTCTCCCAAAGTTTGGATGTTGCGTAAGGGTCTATCCAGCCCCGCAAACCGCTCAGATGTGCCACTCTTTATCTACTCCTTCCTGGGAGACATCTCCTTGGTGGGCATAAGCAGACTTACTTCTAGGCTTGACCTCAAACGGTAATGGTTTTCCTGGCCTTGGGTTCCCCGATCGCCGTCCCGTCGATCTCCATGATCATGGGTCAAATTCTGGCTTTGTCTTTGGATTCAGTTTCAAAAGCATCCCAGCCCAAGCACATGAGGCGTGAAGGACCCTGCTGCTGACTCAATATGGCTTTTCTTGTTCTTTGTACACTATTCAGCCCTCTTACACCACCTACGCCCTCGTGGCCCCTCTCTTGCCGAGTCATGCACACAGTGATGCAACGACATCCACCGGGGTTTCCCATATTGGCAAGCTGCTGTAGTCAAAGATGGGCGACACCTGGGCAGGAGAGAGACGTGCACTATGCCGCACTCGAAGCCCTCGAGTACAGTGTCAAATCCTAGAGGTGCTGTTCATCTCCATGCCTAGACAGACAGATAGACTCTCGTCGAACTATTCCCAGATGCACGCTGCAGGAGTACTAGGGGAAGCGCAACTGCAGCCCCGTACCCTGATGATCAGCCGGGCTATCATTAGCACTTAAGCGGCATGACATCTGCGCAGCGGTAGGTGTACAGTACATGGCTGCACAGCGTACTCGTTCCCCCTCGAAACACAATTCCTGACCCATCTTCCAGCTGATACCTTCACGTATATTTCTCGATGCCCGGGATAACATTCCAACTGGGCTTGGCAAGCAGCACACGGTAATACAGGGCATACATAGGTACCTAACAGATGCAACCACGGAGTTCCTGTTGCCCCGGGGTTGGAAATTGGTTGTATTCAGCCGACATTCAGCCATGAACGGTCATCACGTAAAATTGGGCGAGACACGGCAGACGAAACCGTTCAATCTAAGATGGGGAGGGATCAGGCATCGCTAGCGCTACTAGCGCGGAAGATCGTCACGATACAATATGTGAAGTGGACAACTGGAAAGTTCAAGTCAGCTGGTCGCCCGGATATTGTTGGAGATGTTTTTCTGGGGCGACCCGGCGTAAACAGGGACAAATTTTGGTTTTCTGTGGCTGATGTTCTGGAAGCAATCGACTTGTGTAACAGTGGTAGGAAACGTGCCTTGTGTGACAATGAAGCAGGACTCTGCCACAAATGACAGTGTGAGAGAAGGGGAGAGCGCACAAACCACCTACTGCGCCCCATGGGGTAGTAGGCATGATGATCTGCGGGTTGCCCTGGGCAATAATCGGCGAATGTACTGAGGAGGAAGTTTGAAATCTTATCTACCAGACAATATACAAAGGACTGTATAGTCCTGCAAGTCCTACGGAGGTAGAATTGGGTGTTTCAAGGTGGGCTACGGTAACAACCCAGTTTCATCCTTCCTGCTGCTCTGTGCAGTACTACCACTACAGTACTAGTTGTACTCAGGGCGCGTTCTAACTTGCGGGATGCGCTGCGGTCCGAACCCAACTAGTAGCGCCACGGGTGTGTAAACTTCCAGAACTAGTCCGATCAAGTACTAGTTGTAGAACAGATGTGGTTGTCTATGAGGAACAAAGTACTCTACTACTGCTAATTCTGAGAAACATGGCCCTGACTTTGACACCATTTGTTGTTCCTTACCTAGGTATTTACTGGGAGATTCACTGCTAGATACTAGTCACTGTAGCAGAACGAGCTCTTCTCCGTGCCGCAATCATGCAGCTGTCAACAGCTTGACTGAGGCCGGCATGAATGATTACTGCCAGTGGCCCGAGGGACCAAAAAATACTAGGAGTACGCAGGATAATGTCGCCAAAGTCGTGCTCATACACAATTATCGCACATTTGATTCACCGGTAGGTAAGCAAGCTGTTACTGTAGACTGCACTTGGTCTTGCATCCTCATTCAGGTTGATACAACTACTCAGTCTCCAATACTGTCACATCGTTCTGCTGTCCATCTCCTGCCTAGTGTGGACTGCCGCAGGCCAACTGGCAACCTGAATACAATGCAAGGCAATAAATAGACATGTAATGCTGTGTTTCTGCTGCAAACACGTGAGCGGGAGGACAATTGGAGCAACTTTTAGCGCGTCAGTGTCATAGATTGTAGAGCTGCCTACCTCTTAATTGTCGCGCACCCTTTCCCAGCACCACGCTTCCTTCTATAATAAGCCTGAGATATTAGATAGAAGCATGGTATCCCGTCCGAGTCTCTTTCTTCTCCAGACTCTAGGCTGGCCGACTAGTTCAGCCTCAGGTTCATTCAACCCCTAAATCTCTGAGGCTGTCGCATGGGCGTGTCCATGTCCGTGGCCGTGCCTGGCCTGAATTGTCGCGCTCTACTACTGGGCAGCCCACTGCGTCCGTCCCCTTTAGCCCTCCACTTGGTGGCCTGCGGGCGGCAGGGATGATCTGGATGAGCTGGAGGAGCAACTCATGATCCGGCCTGAAATGATCTGCCAGTCGCGCTATGGGCCTGTCGGATCCTGCCTGGCGTGGTGACCCCATGTCCAAAGGAGCCTATGCCCGTTGTTCCCCGGGCCACTTATCTCAACTGGGGCCATGTTAGCTGCACTGACAGAGGGGCCCTGGTTGCAGTACATTGCACCAGTCAACTTCAGCGTGCCTCCAGTGCCTCCATGCTCTTCTGCATACTGCTAATTGTCCACGACCTGAGCCAGCATCTCCTGATCCAGCTCGTCTGCTTCGTTCTGCCACCTGCGAACAGTGTCATCGGAGAATCTCAGACGTCAAATGCGTCTGCGGTGGCAAAGAAACTACATCGCCAACTGCATTGTCTCCCGTCATCGGGCTGCTCAAAGTAAGTGCCAATCCCTCTCTTTCCACATCCCCCAGCACATCGAGCAGCAATGATATCCTAACCGAAATCCGCTCCAGCCTCGCCTCCCGTGCCGATACACTGACTCTCCTTTCGTCTGCGCGTTTCCTCCTTCCGGCGCCGACATTGCTCGGTCAAGAATGAGAGATATCTCCAAGCCTCATTGCGCATCTGATTGAGGGCTTTGACACCCACCGCAACCCAATCAACCGATATCTTCCTTCCGCCGGCCTCGATCAAGCTATCGTGGAGCCATAATGGGGTGTACCGGTTCTAGAATAGAACCTCAAGAGAGGGAATCCAGTGCACGAAATGCGAAGATCGAGCGCCAGTTGCGACATGACAGAAAAACATATGCACGGACCGTCAAGATCTTGCTATTAGGTATGCAACAACTGATCCCAGGCGCAAGCACACTTAACAAGATTTGCTAACACGGCCATGGGATCCAGGTGCGGGAGAGTCGGGCAAATCCACCATAATCAAACAAATGCGCATCATCCATTCTAGGGGATTTCAGGATGATGAGAGAGTGCAAATCCGAGCGGTTATCTACTCCAACGTCGTCATCGCGTTTCGCATATTATATGAGATCATGCAGGATGAGAAGATCGACTTCGAAGACGAAGCCAACGAGGCTCATGCCGAATTCCTTGACTCTATCCCGTCCGACGTGGATGCCCACGATGCCTTTCGCGACAAGAGAGTCAAAGAAGCCATGCTCACCATGTGGAAGGATGCTGGTGTCCAGAAGGCAGTGGCCAAAGGTCATGAATTCGCCCTGCATGACAACCTCAGCTACTACTTCCAGAACATCAACCGCATGTTCGAACCTGACTGGATCCCCGATGACCAGGACATATTGCATGCTCGACTGCGTACCACTGGCATTACCGAGACCGTTTTCGAGCTTCGAGACCTGACTTTCCGCATGATGGATGTTGGAGGACAGAGATCCGAACGCAAGAAATGGATTCATTGCTTTGAAGGTGTCCAATGTCTGTTGTTCATGGCTGCTATGTCCGGATATGACCAATGTCTCGTGGAAGACGCAAATGCCAATCAGATGCACGAGGCAATGATGCTTTTTGAGTCTTTGGTCAATGGCCAATGGTTCAAGGACAAGCCGATCATCCTTTTCCTCAACAAAATCGACCTGTTTCGTGAGAAATTGCCCATTTCTCCCATCTCAGTACACTTCCCGGACTACACCGGAGGCGATGCTGATGAGAATGCCGCAAAGGAGTTCTTTGCCAACAAATTCCGAGCCCTTAATCGAAACAGCAACCGAGAAATCTACATTCACTTCACAAACGCCACTGACACCAACCTGCTCAAAGCCACCATGGAAGATGTACAGGATATTCTAATCCAGAAGAACCTTCAACGACTTGTGTTGTGATGAGACTGGGCATGAGTTCTTCGCACAACGTCAGCTCTCCGGTTGTTCTTGGTGGACATGTCGAATTCTTGTCTAGAGCCCGGAGAGGTGAGACCCAACAACTGTTCCAGCCTGCGTCGCACTTCGTCGGCCTTTTTCGTCATCCAGGCATGGCGATGTCTTCCCTTGTCAAACAACCCATCGTCTCTCTTTCCCATGAACCAGAATTCTTCTCAGAGAGGAAACCGTCGGCCCAACCCGTCAATCTTTGCTTGATTCCCCCCTTTAAAACAGCGTCGGCGAAATCGGAGTGCAGGCAGCGGGTGACATATGCGCTTGTTATCATTTTCAAAAAATGAGCGAACAATCGGACGGACTTTCGAGAGCAAAAGAGAAGGATGCTCTCAGAGAAAACGGTGCTCTCGTACAAAGTGTCACATTCGGGGCCGGGTCCTGTGTTTGTGCACATAATTCCAGGGTTGTGTTTGTTTTCCCCTTCTTCGATTCCCCTTACCCGCAGAATTCTACGAGCTTGATGACGGTTGATGAGAGTGTCTCCCTTTCCCGGAGCTGGTTACACACCTGTGGCTGCAGTCTTGTTCGTTTTTGCAGTTGTTTCGAGTCGGACTTTGTGGGCGGCAGAGAGGCGGCGGAAAGGCGAGGTTGAGCGTTCCTGTGGGTGGCTTGTGGTCGGGTGCCAGTGTGTGGATCATGGAATTTACTGAGCTGCGAGAGGCTGCGAACGGAGAGACTGTTCACGGGTATGCTGTTCAAGACTTGAAGCTGGCTGTCTGTTCTATGCCGGGCAATTCTGCGAAAGAAGACGGCCACGAGACGTCATTGAAAGACACATTGAGAAGGACAGAGAACAATGAATGATCCACGCCATAAGAAACTCAAGACGTAAGACTCAACAATTAGAAGGATGACTACTAGTAGCATGCTGTAACGTTGGTCTCTTATCTCGCTGCACCAAGTAGGGAAGTTTGCATTTGACCTGTGGTCTGTTTTCCTTTCCTTTTCCAGGTCGCACAGCACGAAAAGATAATTCCGTATCAGACTCAAACGCACGCTCGACCCACATATGTCCAAACACCCAAGTACAGCATCTTCATAATAGCCATCATTTAGCCACAGTAGACAGTTACAGCTAGAAAAGCCAATACCATACACAGCTTTGCCATCAGCGCCGGACTGGACTCAGTACACGCGATACCGCAAGAATAGAGCCCCGGTGAAGCTCTGCTCCCTCACACTCGCAGCCCGCTTTGACCCTACTATCTCAACTCCCAACCCGCCGAGAGAGGGAAAGCCCAAAAATCCAATTCCAAAGAGCAAACCCAAAACACCACCAACACAGTTTCGTTTTCAATCCCACCATCATTGTGTGTGCTTTTCGTTTCTCTGTTCTCTCACTTATGATCCCCCTTCAACTTATGATACAAATCACTTGCCAACGACGTACTCGGCCGCCGATCCTCAGAGACGCGTCTGCCAGCCGTAGGCTCCAGACCAAACAGACTATCCTTGCGCGTGACATCACTGGCGACAGCGACACTTCCCTTGCGGGAATTTGCGGTGGCAGCGCCTCCGGCTGCATATGTGACTGAGCTTCGTCGACCAGTTCCGGCGGCCATAGCGGCAGCAGCTTCAGCTTCCGCAGATGCAGCAACGTTCTGCACGGCTTGAGCGGCAGCAGCGGCGTGGTGGTCTAAAGCGGCCTGCGAGGCGCGACGGTCGCTTTCTAATGCGTTCGAGGCCGCGCTGTGGCGACGGTAGAAGCCGCTGTGTTTGCGGAGGAATTCGTCGTATGTCGGGTTCGCTTTGTAGCCGGCGCCGCCGGTTAGGGCGGGCGGCATGGTGAATGCGCCTGACATGATTTGTTTTTTTTTTTTTTCGGGGGCTGCCTGAAGCTGCCCTAGGTGCCGGGTGAAAGTAAGGGAAGGGAAGCTTGGGGATAGCTAGTTGTAGCTGTATCTTGTTTCGGAAAAGATATCACTGGGTATGATGTGTCGAAATGAAACTGGGGACGTTGCGTCGATACTGGGGGGTGTTTGTTGAGTTGGATACACGAGGTAAAGCAGACGCTCGGCTGTTGTTGAGCCCAGCCCTGGAGAGATGTACTGGCCCAGGAGGTCACAGTAGTATATACTGTCCCAGTGCGAGGTATAGGGGCGGAGAGGTAGAGTGTGCGGTCGGCCTCTCAGACTGGATGAAACTGGATCACAAAGCACAGAGCAGTATAAGGTAGAGAGGTTCAGGGGCGTTCAAGTTGCAGAACTTTTTTTTCTCTGGTGGTCGTAAGACAAGGCAGAAAGAACAAACACCTTCGCTCCACGGTTGCGAGCGAGCACATCATCATATATGAAGGTAGGTACATACATACGCTTCTTCCAGACTCACCGTCGCCTGTCATGCCCTCGCCCTCAGTGACCAACAGGCCAGCCAGCCATCCCACCTCACACTGCCTTGAAAGCAATCCAAAACTTTAAGCTCGATCCCAGTGTGAGCATCGAATACTGGGCCTGGGCTGAACAAGGGCCCTCTCATCAGTCACTGGCAGAAACCCCGCATTACATTTGGTGGCCCGGAGAAAGGGTTCAGCTGGTGATTGATACGCTCAAAATCACCGCTTGAAAGATTCAGCGAGAGAGGGAACATTCCGGGGCCTGGCCTTTGAAGGTTTCGGCGATCCAATCATGCGATGCAGTCGACATGTTACGCGTAGGAGTAAGGCCCATCTTTGGCGAGCGTGACCATTGCATTGGAAATGACATGGTTGGATCAGTTTGCAGTTGGGCAATGGGCGCCTGCAGGTGGTCGAGACTCTCCTGTTGGACATTCTCGTATGGCTAGGGCAGCTTGTCGTGTTGCCCGCTGCCAGGTTTTGAGTGGGTGGTCGGCGACACTGGATGCCATGCCGTGAAGAGGAACTGCAGTTCCCACTTGAACTTGAATCCTGAGGGTGGAGAGTGACCTATCAATTCGGCCCGATAAGGACACAACGCACCTGGCACGTGTCACGTGTGGTCCAGCCTAATAATGACTAATCATACGCCGCTAGTGAATGAACATGTGACTCTCCAGTGGGATGGCTCGGCTGTGCATGCATGTGATTCGGATCCGGGAACGTCGTTGTTCCGGAGCGTGTATTTCGGTTGAGCGTTGAGGGCGTCACATCATCGCCGTACACCGCCCGCTTCTGCGTTTCATCCCCTTGTCGCATCACGCTCACGGCACCAACCTCGACGAGGAAAGAATACCTAGTATCTGCATAAAACTTCTGTGGTTTCGCTTTCTGCAGACCTACAACTGGTCTTTTATGCAACGCTGGCGTGCTTGAATCGATTCCAAATTCCTACAGTGGCCGTAGCACGGTCCTCCTGCCTGCGCATCGTCCCAACCGCTTCAAGTTCGCTGTTCGTTATTTCCCGTCAGCGCCTCAGTCTCCTTGCCACCAGAAACAGAAACAACATCCCCAAACCAAACAATCCGTTCGTCTCTGCCGCTTCTATTTCCTCCTCCCGTCCGCTCTCCATGGCTTCCGCAACGACCTTTTTCGATTTCACGCCCAAAGACAAGCGTGGGCAAGATTACCCTCTGTCGCAGCACAAAGGCAAAGTCGTCCTTGCGGTCAACACCGCCTCTAAATGCGGCTTCACTCCTCAATTCGCCGGACTCGAACAGTTGTACAAGAAGATATCGGAGAAATACCCCGACCAATTCGTCGTCGTCGGATTTCCGTGTAACCAATTCGGCGGACAGGATCCGGGCTCCAATGATCAAATCCAAGAATTCTGTCAGGTCAACTACGGCGTAACCTTTCCAGTGCTGGGAAAGACGGATGTCAATGGCGACAAGGCGGAGCCTGTGTTTGAGTGGATGAAGTCGGAGAAGCCGGGTTTGATGGGCTTGAAGAGAATCAAGTGGAATTTCGAGAAGTTTTTGATCGGTCGCGACGGAAAGGTTATCCACCGATACTCAAGCATGACCAAGCCAGAGACTCTGGAGAAAGACATCATTGCTGAGATTGAGAAGTCCAAGTCGGGTTAGAAGGACGGATTCAATGCGTATATTTTGGCGGCGGCGGCTGCTGAATCCCAAGTCCATATTCCAGGTCTTCGCCTTGATGTTGCTGTTTATATGCTTGTTGTTGATCGTTTGGCATCGTGTACTCCAACTCGACTTCGTCGTCTATCTCACGGTGTTTCCTCTCTTCCGCAGCGTGTTGTATCTTGCGCCTCCGCCTCACAATGATGAACAGAACAATAGATAGAAGGAGGAAAAGGCTGCAGTAAGTTAGCCAATGCAGGAGAAGCAGGTCGTAAAAGAACCAACGCACCTGAGGCCAATGATCAGGGGAATGCCAGTCGTCTGCCATTTGGTGACATATCCCTCGCACAGGTCCAGCGAAGGATCTGTGTTATGGCACTTTTCTTTTTCTTCTCTCTTCCACATGAACATACTGAAAGGATGGGTAGAGTTCAACAGCTATGCTGGAAATGCTGCAAGGGGCGGGCGATGCGAGCAGGAAAAATGGGACAAACAAAGAGATATCGCCGCAATTGCTTGTTAAAATATGCTTCGAAAGAGGTACTGGATGGTAAAAGTATAGTCCTTGGGCTTTATTCTGTAGAGCAATGCTTTGTTCCGGTAGTATCCAAGAGGTATTAAAGGTTGCGTAGGCGCAAGGTAAACAAGGAACCAGCCAACTTGGACGCGCCTACAGCTAAAACCTGGGGTGCGTTGAAACAGGGGCCGTAAGGCCACTGACGGGTGCGTGCGTTTGTTCACCAGCCCTTGTCAAACTGCGCCCCCTTTTAATCTGCTGCCGCTGGAAGCCCGAGACGAATCCCAAACCTGGGATCTCGGGGGCATCGAATTATATCCACCCGTCAATGGTCCTTCTGACAGTCCAGCAGCGAGTCCAGATTGCACCTCGACACTCGAACGCGGCCGTCCGTGTCGAGACGGGGTTGGTTGCAACCAAGGAGCAGCCCAGCCTGCGGAAGCCTGGAACTGTAAGCGACTGCCAGTATCCCTTCATAATGTTTCTATCATCTATCGTCTGGGAGTGTAAATCTCCTCTGTCTCTTGCAGTCCGCGCCCGAGTGTAACGATGCCAGCATCGTTGCTGCGATTGCCAACCCTCTTCTTCGGAGCTCACGGTGGGTTCCAGCCAGACCCGAGTTGGCCTTGGTTAAGGCACGCAACGTTCGGTTTGGCCCGTGCCAGTGGCTCACGACGCCCATTTCACGGTGGCCTGTCCCTTGCATGATCCCTACCGCAGTCTCCACGCGCCCGTTAACTCTCCCAGCCATCACTGCTGGAAACCTTGATCCTGCTCGCGCTCCCATCCCAGCGCCTGATCTACATTTATGATTCTGCATGGCACCGATCCGATACACCAAGGTTTTCTTCCGAGGATGAAATGGAGAGACTCCCAAGGCAAAAAAAAAGGAAGAATGTATGGTATATCGAGTGCGTCTGGCACCTGTACCGGACCGGTTTATTCGAGCAATAGCATTGCGCCTACATTCTTGCCAGTTATGCTTATATGAGGTATACCTATTTCTGCTTTCGCTGAGGATGTCCTTAAACCCCGCGCTATATCCCCATAAACTCGTCCAAGAATGACTGATACTATATCGACTTCTCTGAGTTTCTTTCGGAGTATGCGATCGACGGGTGTCCCGAAGAGGCATGGCGCACAAAGCGGCTCGCTCTCTTCTTCCAGAGGTGCTAAATCATTGACAACACGGGCGCATACCTTGGTCTATGAAGGTGACGGAGACCTATCAGTGCTGAGCCCAACGGAACAATTAGGGTGAAGAGGCAGAAAGAATCCCCTGCGGTCGGAGAATACAGGCCAGAGCCGTCTCGAAGACCACTTTGGAGGAATGATACTTTCAACAGTAATCCCATCGCTTTCGACAGCCGGCTACCTCTCCTTCTTCATCAACTGACTACAGGCCATCGAATCTTTGGCGCATAGCCGTCCTCGACAAAAATGACTGAGAGCAAAGTCCGGTCGGAACGGTGCACTCAGTCTCGGTCCACGTCTTAGGCTGATGTTGCGCCGAACACCGAAGCGCAAAGGTTTTCCATGACCGTTTGTACGCCATCGACTACGGATTCGTGAAACTATGGACTCGAAGCTTAGCTAAACACAGCCCGACATGACTCTTAGTGGAGTTTTGCAAGGCTGCCTCGGCAATCTACTTTTTCTCGTTGTATATTACCTGGTGTCGCTTGGGATGTGCTATCTCATTGGTACATTCTGTTGCTTTGTGTTCTCGGAAGACTGGCGTCAAGCTGAGTGAAGCTGACCCCTACGACGATTCTTGAAATCTCCACATTCGGCTGATGGGAAATTTGACCCTGTGGCTTCATCCAGCCGATATCGCAATTGGTCCGATCTGACCCATTCAAATCGACTACAGCCCATGAAACGACTGACAAGCCACGCCTTGAACTTTTGCATTGAGATGCATCCATTACCAGCGCCATTTACGGGCCACCTACTCCCGTTTCGGAACATGATCGTCAGGTTTGAAAGGAAACCAAATATGTGCGACTTCGCTGGCGGTCCTTGCGCGGGACAAATTTAGCTCACTATCGGCCACTTACTCCGCCTCGCACAAGGCTGACTGGTCATTTTGCGGGCGACCAGGGTCCTTGCGGTCTGAACAGCCTTGTCCTGAACTCGTGGCGCCACGAGGCGTCGGTTCGCGTCTCTTGGCTTTCATGTGCGCCTCGCTCAGTCCGCAAAGGCGTCATTCAATTTGGTGCGAAAGGAGCGGGGCTCAACTGCGGTTAGTCCTCCTCAGGCTAGACAGACACTCTTCTCTGCACACCACTCCGCCAGACATTCTCAGGTTCTTGTCCCATCTTCACGTCGGCGCTTGTCACGAAGACATTGGTTGTGGCTGTCCACACGGCGGGACTTCTCATGCCTCCCCGGACGGCTGCACGCTGGGTCCTCAGACGAACCCGGCGTTATAGCTAGTGTGCAATTTCGACCTCGTATCCCCACGACCCTTGCAGGCTCATAGAGGTATTGTCAGTGTTATTAAAGAGACGTCTTGTTCCCGATGGTGGGTGTTAGTCGCGGTCGCTTCTTTCTTCCTTGCACTGTACAGACGTCTCTCTATCCAGTCTTTTCTTCGTGATCCATTTCCTCCCACCGAACCCCGGGCTTGTCTACACCTTTTGCCATTCTTGCAATCATGGGTTTCAGTCCCCGGCCGCTCGGCTGGTCTATGCCCGGATGGGTCCTGTACATGCGCGGCGCGCAGTTATTCATGGCTTTCCTGGTCCTCATCCTGACTGCAGTCTCCGCGGGAGAATTGTTACAAGGCGCCGACCCGTCATGGCTGGTGAGTGAATCCTCGTTGATCTGCGAACGAAGAGAAGGACTGACACTCCGGTTCTAGGTCACTCCCTATCCTGGCTTCGGTTTCGCCTGGTTCGCTGTAAGTCCGCCGGCACCACTGAACATCCTGTCCGATCAAGCACCCGAATCGGCACACTTATTGACACGCTTCGCGCATATCTAGTTCTCCTGGACACTGTTCTATATCCCAGTCGCAACATTTGTGATCCCCAACCTCAGCGCCAAAGTCAGGCCTTTGATCATCCTGTTGGTCCTCGAATTGCTCACCACTTTATGGTGGCTGGTCACATTCGCATTGCTTGCCGACAACAGCTCAAGGCTTGCATCATGGCTCGATACGGGCTACACCAACGCAAAGGTCGGGTTGGGGTTAGCCCAGTCCAGCGCTGCCTTTGGTGCCGTTGAATTGTAAGTGTGGATTCTGCTGTGTGTATCTGTGCTACCCAAGCTTGATTTCTTGTCTCCTGTTCACCCCACCTCTGCACTGAAAATGGAGCTGGTTCGTTCGTCTCGAGGGTTCCCAGAACCGTCGCCGGCTCGAGATCTGGAAATACATGGAGGTGGAGGTGGATCATAGGCATTTGAGTATCTCGTCTTCCGCCAGCACAACACCAGTACTCAGTCTTGTTGTTGTCTGTTGAACATGGCACTAACAGGATGATCGATAGTGTCCTTTTCGCCGTCGTTTCGGGTTTCGCCGTCCGCGCCCTGATGGAAAGACACCGCAACCCTACCAGCGGCGGCGCCTTTGTTCCCGTCCAGGAGTTTCCCAAGGCATCTGCTCCTGCTCAACCATACCCATCAGCGCCAGGCGTGTACTCGGACCAAGTGCCTTACTCCCAGCCACAGCAATATGCTCAACCACCAATCCCACAACCGTACCAATCACAATCACAACCACAACCACAGCCATACCAGCCGCAGCCATATCAACAACCACAAGAGCAACAGCAACAACCAGTATAGCAATCCTACCAGCCACCATACGTACAATCCCAGTCGCCTCCCCCACAGCAACCATCGCCTCAACCTCAACCGCAGCAGATGTATTCTCCGCAGCCACAGCAATCCACTGGTGGCATTCCACATCCGCAAACATCAGAGTTGAACGGTCCTCCTGTCCATCAGTAAAGGGACTATGGTGACTGTAATGCATCTTGAATGGAAATGAGGACCCTTGCCCTGGGCCCGCATCCGTTTTTCTCAAAGCTGTACCGAGAATGATGAGGAGAAGGAATATGCTTCACGTGACGAACTCAGCCAGCCATGAACAAGCGAGGAGCCCGAGTTGAAGGGCGGATCAGTGCTTTTTGTCGCCACGACAGCCCGCGGCACCTGGAAGAACATGATGCGGCGAACCGTGTCATCGGTAATTGGACCGTTGGAGAACTCGGCGGAGATTACCATGGAATATGATATGCAATGCAATGGTCTGTTAATTGGTATGGAATGCAACACTCTCCCCGAGAACGACACCACTGAAAGACTCTTGCTTTTTTGGTACTCATCAGGCCCCCTTGAAACTTAATGTCTGTCTGTATGCCCGCCCTGTTGGGCATCCGCGCTTCAAAGGTTATCACCTAGTGGTTGTGGTCTCAATGTTATTAACCCGAGTGAATGATGATGAAGCTTTGGCTTGTTTGATCCGGTAGAGAGAAGATCCTATAATGATTGCGGTTTTAGAGTATAAGTACATGCATCTATACCGTACGTATAATAAAATATATGGGATGAGACATGCTGCGAATCAGGGGTGCCATGTGATATGGTATATCATGTTGTTTTATTTTCTTTGACACAACGAACCCGCTGGTACTCTGGATACTTTGAAGGTACCAGTGGCAACCGAAGCGCCCATGTTATGTTATGCTGTGCTAATAGTATGTCTCCCTTGTTTCTACGACTCATCACCCCAGCCAGCCAATGATGGGTTAGCTTCGGCGCAACTCCTCGCTGATATCGCCTGGCAAACAATATGTGCATTGCCTCAGTTAACGTTGTCCTTACCAGCTTGGCTCGGTTCAGCTCAGAATACAGAGCCGACCAGGATGGGCAGCACGGTAAAAGAAAGGGACCGCCACTCAATCATCCATTCATCTCATTCGTCTCATCTCATCTCATTCAACTCACAACTCAATATTAATCGAGTGCCCAAGGTATGCATCAGTCAATCCTGGCCTGCGTCAAACTTCTCCTCTTGGTCGGCATATGGCTGGCAGTCAAATTATTCGTCAGGCGGATGTTTGTGCTGCTGATCCGGATTCCCGAACGAGGCTTCTTCAGTCTCTTCCGAGCCACCATGACAGGCACCGACGATTTGGTGACAAGATAGTTGGAGAAGGAACCCAAGAGTACACCTTTGAGAGAGCTGCGACCACGGGTACCGACGACACAGAGGGTGGGTTCGAGTTCATCAATCTGGACAACAACAACGTTAGTTTTGCGTTGCCACTCACTGTAGAGATATGATCCGCTTAAAACTTACCGCACCAAGAATCAAATGTTTGGGACTCTTGCAATGGATTACCTCCACCATACACCTCACCTGTAGGCTCGTCTTGCGAACGAGCTTCAAAAAGTTGTCGGTGATCTTGTCAACCGCTCGTAACCGTTCCATTTCCTTTTTCGACACACTCCTGGCGTCCACGGAACCCGTTAGGCTCTGCAATTCAGTAGCCGGGAGGTATTTGTTGTTAGTTCCGACACTGGTTCCACCGCCTTGCGTCGTCTGTCGAGTCAGAGAATTCATAATGTCGGATGCATCTTTGCCCGCTTTGGCACCCTCGGCTTGCAGTGCTTCTTTATCTCCCTCATTGACTTTGCCGGCGTTTTCGTCCTCAATGGCGTAGATGGCCAGCATGGTATCGCCGTCACGAAGCATGGTCCCCACCACCCACTCCATGGCATACAGGGACTCAGTACTCAAATCGCTGCAAACAAGGTAGAGTCTGTTATTCCGTTCCCCTGCCTTTCCTTCCATGTCGAACTTGGCCCAATTCCCTCGCAAAATGATCCGAACATGTCGATCTGGCACTGTTGAGTCGAGAGGCGAGATGTTCAAAGCCAGTGTCTTGGCCTTTCTGATGGCTGCCAGCTCGTCATCTTCGTCGTCGTCTTCTCCACTCGCACTAGGAGAGACGGACCGAGGCCGGGTGAAATTGTTCGGCGGATGTACTTCTTCCTTTTGTTCGGGGATATTCTCTCCGGTAGGGCTGGTGATGGAAATGGAGGGTTCGAGCAGTGACTTGACAGGGTGCTGAACTGGCGGAGATTTGGTTCTTTCCTCAGCCGATGCTGTACCGTTGGAACTGGTCTCCGTTTTCTTGTCTGTCTCACCGTCCGAGAGCTTGCGTCTTTCCGACCGACCTCTAGTCTCGTCTTCATCGCTGCTCGGAGACATAACATCTTCATCACTGCTCTCGGCCAAAGCCTCTTCCGCTCCGACCTCGTCTTTGGGCACACGTGTACCACCTTCTTCCGAGTCGTCGGTGATGGTCGAGAAACTGCTGGACTTGTTGGACATTCGACGGTTCGCTCGTTCGTCCTCCACTCCAGTCTCAGGTTTCGTGGTGGAATAAACTGAGCCTTTTGCCTTGGTGGGACTGAGTAATCCTGCTTTGGCCGACTCGTCAAACCGAATCCTCGAAGATGGCGACGATGAACGAGCACCAGCGCCAGTGCCCGCCGTCGAGTTGTGTCTTCCACTTCCTGCGCCCGGTAAGCCCACATGAAGCGACGCAAAATCCCCCGACATGGCTGCCGCCATTGCAGAACCTGATCCTTCTCGTGTCCTCCTTGTCTCGTTCGGCGAACGCGTGGATGTGCGGGGATTAGAAGGCATGGAAGACATGTCGAATTGGTAGTTCTGTTCGAAATCACGCTTGTCTTGCGATTGTACCTTTGGGAGGCCTACTGGCCGGTCAGAATCGGAGGACGTTCGATGTCGCGTGCTCGCGGGCTGGCTTTTTGTGAGCACCGGTGAACTTTGTCTGCTAGTATGAGGAGAAGTATAGGTTGAGGGATCGGAGGGGTCGAGCTTGGATGACTTTCTGGATTGATCGGGACTTGTCACCCCAACTCCAATTCCTGCAATGGAGCCATGTCTCGGTGTAGGCGAATCGATGTCGAGCATGCTACGGACGGGTGGAGGTGGTGTCGCCGTTCGTAAACCTCGAGGTCTGGCAATTGGACTAGCAGGTCTTCGACGGTCAAGAGCAGCCAGGACCTCTCTGTTCTCTTCATCGAGGGAGGCTTCGAGACTCAAGGGTGCTCGAGACCTCGAAAGCGGTCTGTCCATTCGGTCTTGGGCGCAGGTGGAGAGGCGGTATCGTAAGCGGGGCGTGTGTTTTCAGACCAGCAGCAGCGCAAGGAAAAGGAACGCAATCCAGTGGGCTCTACGAGCTTGCCAGAGATGGCTCCGTAGGATGGCTATCCCTAAGACATGATATGGAAGAGAATTGCAGGACATGTAGAGATTGCAAAATCCAAACAACACACAGAGGGTTCTTCGATTCGACCTGCTACTAGTAACCTGGTGCCATGGCCAGACCGTGACTCTGGCGAGTGGCTTGATGCTCATGTGCCTGCTATGGTAAGTTCTAACTGCAGTTTAATGATACGGTAATCGCAGTACAGCGTACAGCTCGACGAATGATTTGTGGGGTGCTGCGGTCAATGCCCCGAAGCACAGCCTGTGCCCAGACTCGCCTAGACGCCGGTGACCTCCTGGCAGAGTCTAAGGTAGACAAGCGACCTTGACTGATTGGGCGTCGGTGCTTGACTGCCTAGGGACGGCTATTTCACAAATACCTGACGATATCTGTACCTACATACCAGCCAAGGGGTGTGTGTCAACACGGTAAAATATAGGTAGCTAGCAGGTGCCTAGGTACCTTAGGTAGTAAATAAGGGTTCAGAACAAAAGATCGAGATCTACTGTCGTAGGGCAGCAGATGGCGGGGTAGCCCTTATCGGCCCTTATCAAAGGCTGCCTGCGCCTGCGTCGGCGGCTGCGCCGTGAAGCCTGGACGCAGGACGGGGCTAAGGCCTAGGGCCCGTCGAGAGTCGCTTCTTCTTCATCCTCCTCCCAGTGTGCCTCTCTGTGGCTGGTCTGCCGTTACTTTCACCCAAGAGACATGAGTGGAAGCCATCAAAACTTGAATGGTTCGCTCTCCCCCCATCATCACGCTTCATGCAGCGCATCTGTGCTGCCGCTGGTTATCCTCAACTCTTGCTTGCAGGGCATAATCCCGGAATTACACCACTTCAATGCCCTCATTGGCTCCAAGCATCACACTGCTACTCCCATTCCAGAAGGCATACTCTCCCAACCGGACTTCAAGACCTGGTTACACGTACCTAGGTAGGTTGAACCGTAGGATGAACTGCTGACTTCCCAGACCACCTGCCCTCGGTCCTAGTCCTATACATGCTCTTTAAACCCTAAAAGCCCGGGGGATACTCCGTGGTCCGAACTCCGATCTCTTCCTCTCCTCTTCACATATTGAAACGGGGCTTGCGTGGTCAAAATGTTTACTTCTATAGGACTTGCTGTATTACTGATGCTACTATTTACCTCGCTTGTGCGAGCAACTGCTCAGGATGACTGTGGAACGAACCAGAATCCATATTGCGCGGGAAACAGTCTGCTGGAATCATTGTGCTGTCCATATCCCAATGTCTGTTACTGGCAGAACCGCGACGGTGCTCCAGGGTGTTGTCCCCAAGGACAAGTGTGCAATGGACAACCCTACAATGCTCCCACCACCTGGCATGCTACAACCATAGTCGCCACTACAACGGAGAAATCAAAGTCTACTTCAACTCACCACGCTTCGACTGTCACCAGCTTTGTTCCTGCGGGAGGCGGCGGCGGCGTTGTTATCACTCCTACCACCCAGCCTAGCATTGTCACTGTTACAAGCGACAACAACAAGGCGAGCCAAGTGGAATCCAAGGTCTCTTCTGGCGTGGCCAGCGTATATTCCACAGTCACATCTGCCGTTATTGGCGTCTACTCAACCGTGACTTCTAATATTGGGCAAGGCTTTGCCACTGTTTCCGGAGTGTTGGTGAGCGGTGCTCCACAAACGATGGTCGTTTCAATAGTATTGCCGTCGGTGGTCGCATTATGCATCCTTGTCTGGAACACTGCTGGATAATGCAGACCACGCAGAATAGGCGTGGTTAAATCAGCCGGACCCGTTTCCGAGGCCATTGTGCTGAGATTCGACGCAGTTAAAACCATCAGTCCTTGTGGTGCTCGAGGCAAGGTGCTTTTCAGCTGGGTTACGCTGCGCTTATCCGAATCAAATGGGCTGATGTTCAACCAATTCCAATGCACGTCTTCGATACAGTGTGCTATGGGACATTTACTTTTTTAATCTCGATTTGTTGCCAGTAAACACGGGTGCCCCTGGTGCCAATTGCAACACGTACAGATTCGCCCAATCCGACACGTTTGCTTAATTGCAAGTTGGATGCTGTGCATGGCAGTTTGATCACCCTCACATTTCAGAGCATCACCGAGCGCAGACAGTCTGGTCAGTCCCACAGCATCGCGGATTATTTCGATTATTTCGATTGTGCTGCTCCCTCTTCCTCCTCGATTGATGCAGGAACATGAACAAACCCCGGAACCGTGACAGAATTCAAGTTTCTCATGGCCTGGATTGAAAGTTGCAATATTAGCCGGATGATTTTTTGAGAATCCATCTCTGTGCCTCTCACGGGAGAAGTTCCGAGCAACGCAAGGAAAGAATAGGTGCAGACAATTTGCGTGGTCTAAGAACTGAAAAGAACTTACCTTGGCAAATGGTCCGTCAGGAGGCATCTCTCCGCCCCATCGATCCACGACCTTCTTGATCTTCTGACCGTCATCGGTAAGATACACAAGCACGCCACTGTCGATGAGTTCGTCCTTTCCCACGCCTTTTATCCTATACCTGTCCTTGAGATGCAATTCAATGGGATTTCCCAGGGACACGATCTCGGCAAACTCCTGCTTCACATCACTCATTGTCGCCACTACGCCATACCACTGCGCCTCATACTGCTTGCGTCCCTCAGCGATGGTCAGCGGGTCCTGAAATGAGCCGTCATCCGCCCACAGGCTCAGCTTGCGCTTGGACGGCCGGCCTGCGAAGAGGTCCATGACACTGCCGATGAGGAGAGATTGGTGAGGAGTCAGTTCACTGCCGCTCGGGGCCGGCGGCACGCGGGCTTGGATATCATATTCCGCGAAAGATGCTGGTTGTGATGATGATTCAGAGGGGTGAGAAGTTCCCGAGCTGGTCATGATGGGTCGTTGTGTCGAAGGCCCTGAATGAAACGGTGTTGTGAACGAAGTGGAGGAATGGTGTCAACAACAATACCAACAGTCGCTGGTCGGCTGGAGCTGTTTGTTGGTCGTGAATATGATTGTCGGAGACAGAGGCGTTGTCAACGTCTCACCAAGGGTGGATAGGAGAAGAGAAGAACTTTGGTTTGAGACTGGGGCTGGAACTGCTTTTTCGCAATACCGTTGATTTGTGGAATGTTAATGTCTCGAAAATACTGCCTTAGTAGTTGCTGCAAGATGTTGGTAGGACTACTGCCGGTATCTACTAGTATAGGTGTGTAGATAGGTATCTAGATGTAGGCAGTGGTAACCAGGTACATTGCATGATGTACGGACAGTCTGAAGCAGACATCATGATTTCAGGTGTCTGTAAACTCCCTGATTAGTAGCCTCTTAATTGTGGACGTACTATTTAGTAGACGACGTGTTGACTTCATCACGGGCACCACTTTTACTTGTAGCCTTCTGCGTGACATCGTCCTAGTATCTGCTCCAACTTGAACTTGTGGTTCGAGTATCTAGTACCCGAACTGAAGATCGTAGATTCCCTGGTTCCAAGATCGGACCTGATGTGGAGCCTCAGATCGGATCCGCGACACGGCCACTCATATTCATGGCCACTACCTTCTGTTGACGTGATTAATACTTTTAGTTCGCTACTTACCTCGAGTATCGTCTCCCGTTGAACCATAATTTTATACTTTGCACACTGTCAGTGTGCCTGTTCTGCCCTTGTTACAATCCCAACTTCTTCCGTGGTCGATCTAGCAGTAGGTACAGCAAGCAGTCACGATAGACCCACTGAGCCATGAAGACCAACCCTGGTTGCCCATGAGAGAATCACATCAGTCCTCGAAGAACGAGGACATACCCAAGACAGTCGCCACCATTGTCCAGACAGACTTGAATTTCACCGTATCAGGCTCTCCCAAGCTGGGACATTGATCGAGCATACTGGAAAACGCGGCCCAGGTCACGCATCCTCGGACACGACAAGCGTCTGCCAAGGCATTGATCATCCTTGTCTCGTGCCGGCTTACCACCGAGCCCACGGCCAGAGCCCATAAATGCAGGGACGCTGGCAAAAGATCCCAGGGTTGGTCACTACCACCGCCAGGCTGAGTGTTGGCAACAGAAAGTGAGTAGTGCCCGTGGAACTGTGTCACCAGAGCTGGGAACTGAGGCCAATGGAGCGAATGGTCACGAACATGATGGTGGACGTACATGAGTGCTGCGCACGCCACGGCTCGCCACATTTCGTCGATACAGGCGGCGTTGGTTCGTTGCAACCGAGAAAGGGAAGCAGAAACACTAGTGATCCTGGTAGCCATGCACAACCGCCGTTCCAGTCGGAGAAGAACATCATGTCGCACCAACTTGTCCGCTGGAGTCAGCGTCGTCATGGGTCGAGCTTGAGTCTCGTCGCATATGGCGTGGATCTCGCCCAGGAGGCCCTCCACTTCACGTTGTAGGTTTCCCGCAAACCGCGGTTGTAACGGCTCGAGATGGCAAACAGCGTCATCCGACGCTATATACCCATATCCGCCATCCCCGAGCGGGAGCTGCGAGGGGAAGCGCAAAGTGCCTCCAAACAGCTCCACGCAAAGCATGTCGTTCCAGCTGATCACACGCTGCAGAAGTGCACCAACCTTCCCTACCCCGGAAAGACAGTGCATGCCTCCTCTCATGTGCAACAGCGTTTCCAGTCCTTGCATGTGCCTGGCTGCTTCGTCTCGACTTTGGAAACCAAGCTCGATGTTGGCCATGATGGAGACTGCGGCTAGGATTTCGTCGGTCGCCACTACTGCCGTCGCACCGTTGCAGGCTGACGTGGTGGAGAGATGTCGATTCATCAGATGGATGGCCGTGACTTTGTGCTCCAGAATCCGTGGGTTCTCTTTGAAAAACGTCGTTGCATCCGCTTCGGTGAGCTTGGCATGGAAATGCATGCCCCAGCAGTACAGGTTGGTGTGCAGCAGCATGGCGTTATTGACTATGAAGGGAATCCACTCGCTCTGTCCGTTGATGGGACACCAGGGGATACGATCGTAATTGACCCATCGCGAGATCAACGTTTCGTCCCAAGGAGTTAGCATGATCGGCAGCGCGTGGAATATGTCCATTTGAGTGCTGCCCCGCGGCTGCGTATCGATCGTGAGTCTTTGCAGGAGCGACGACAAATTTAAACCGGATGTAGGTCCCAAGGGAGCCTTGTGCCGACATGCCGCGTCTTGCTTATCAGTTTCGTGAAAGTCATTGGTCATGGTCCTTGAAACGATGGCATGATGACCTCGCATGGTCAGTTCCAATAACTCCATCCGCGCTCGGGCTCCTGAAGCTTTTACGCCTGTCGATAAGTCCGCTGAGTCACTCTGTTTTGGCTCCTTTTTGGACAATAACCCAAAGGTGTCTGGCGTCGTCACCTTCCATACTGACCCTCGCTTGTGGGTGCTTTTCCTCTGGTGATCGTGCATTACATGGGCCTTGGCCCGAGAGCGAAGACCAGGCTGGATCCCAGACCCCAGTCCAGGTCGTCCAGACATTGCGATGAACATATACTGTGATGGCGGTACATCACTGCGAGAGGGTCGTTCCGTTCTTGGGTTGGAATCGGGCTTTTTGACATCCACATGTCCTGTAGGGCTCTTATATCTTGTGGATATGCAGCTTGTCGCTTGTTTGTTTCGTAGACTTGTCCCAACCCCATACCGTCGGGCCCGCCTTGCATGCGTACGAGAACCGTCGGAAGATGGAACCATTGGGATTGTAGGGCCCAATTACTCTTCTGAAAATGTCATTGGAATTCAGTAGTTGAGGGACACAGTTAGACTCAGTGAAAGTAGAATCTTGGGGCTTTCCTCGATGCGATATACTGGACAATGTGCGAATTCAACATCAATATGCGGACCTCAGCAATGATGGGGCGTGCATCTCGGGGACACATTTGTCTGCAGTATGAATGAGTGCCCCGCAGCAAGGTCCTTGGTCGGAGCTGTTGTTCAGATTGTGAGAAGTCATGGCACTGTTATCAGCTTGAGGATGTACTGTGCTGTAGGTGCTACGCCAAGGGTCTCTCGCCAGCGTTGGGCCAGACTGATTGGAACTTGGTGGCAGAATTGCCAAACCTCCAATCCAGCTGGCACAGAAAAGCGACTAGTCTTGCAGCAATACGAGGAGGGCGCTTGCTTGTATCGGAACTATTGGCGGAGCACCTGCACGCTTGAAGGCAAGCTGGTATGTCTGTGCGAGGTGATAGAATCTGCTTAGGCATGGAGAGGGACGTTCAGTGAAACACACCGGTTCGCACATGCGAACATTGGGTCGGCAGACCTTCTCCTACCTGTTGATTTGTACCAGGTACATAATCATACGAGGCCCGAAAGCATGCAACGGAGTACTAGTACCACTTGAAAGGGAGGTTTGGCTACCTGGTCCGGCCGGCCATGACCACCGTATGCATATCCGGGATCTGGCTATGAGACACTGGAAAAGGTAAGATACCTGGCAATAGCACAATTTGAAATCGAATTGGGCACGAAGTTAACTGCCAGTGGAACTCTGAAGTGAACTGAACTTCGAAAGGGAGACAAGTTCCAGGTTGAACTTGAAGTTGCCCCGAGAGTGGAGCAGTGACATCACCCCTTGGCAACGGTCCAGACGCGGAACGCGTCTCGTTTTCAAATGAGTTAAGTCGCGTCTCTCCGAGTCCTTCATTATCGTAGTGGTATCAACAATCACAATCGGGTTCAGCGTTGTTTCCTGATCTTGCACTACAGGTACTGCCTGCTCTGTCATCACTGTCTTCCTCACTTCATCTCAGATTTCTGTGCCTCGAGAATATCCAGCCTCGTGCTCGTCTCGCATTATCATGCCCCGCAAAGCCAAATCCAAACCGCGGCCCTCCGAGGAGCCTCAATCTGAGAACGATGACCGGGGGCATAATGAAGAGCTCGAGTCGACTGAGCCGGCCACAGTCGACCCGTACGACGTGCTGAAAGTGTCGAAAACTGCGACTGCAGATGAAATCAAATCAGCCTATCGTAAACTCGCGCTCAAACATCATCCCGACAAGGCTCGTCCCGAAGACCGCGAAACCGCCCACAAGGCATTCCAGGAGATTGCCTTTGCCTACGCCATTCTCAGTGATGAGCGAAGGCGGAAACGCTACGATGCTACAGGAAACACGGCTGAAAGCGCCAACATCGAGGATGACGACTTCAACTGGGTCGACTTCTTCCGCGAACAGCGCGCCAACATGGTGAGCGGGGATATGATCGAGCAGGTCAAGAAGGAGTACCAAGGAAGCGAAGAAGAGAAAGAAGACATCTTGGCAGCGTACGAGGAGGGAGAAGGCGACATGGACGTTGTCTACGAGAGCGTCATGTGCAGTGAGATCATTGCCGATGATGAACGGTTTAGGAAGATCATTGATGAGGCCATCGAGAAGGGTGACGTGCCTGCTTTCGAGAAATACACGAAAGAAGGCAAGAAGAGCCGACAACAGAGAAAGGCGAATGCGAAAAAAGAGGCCATAGAGGCCATGGAGTATGCGCGGGAGTTAGGCCTTGAGGACAAATTGTTTGGGAAGACAGAGGCGTCAAAAAAGAAATCCAAGAAGTCAACCGAAGACGATGACCAGGATGGTCTCAAAGCCCTGATACAGCAACGACAACAGTCAAGAGCTAAAAATTTCTTGGATGATCTCGAAGCCAAGTATGGTGGGGGCACATCGAAGAAGGGTAAGCGGAAGGTCGTGGACGAGCCACCAGAAGAAGCCTTCCAGAAAAATGCGAAACGGGGAAAGAAGACAACCAAGTCTTGATGCCCTTACTTCATACATGGATGATGTGAGAAGTTTGACACATAACAATCCAGCGCGGCGTTGGGGAGATCAAGCGACTGCCTGCATCACTGGTCACACTCGTGGATAACGACTGGGCCTCTTGCACAGCAAGCAACTTGGAGAAATCAACTTCAGATAATGATGACAATTATTTTCTTTGCCCCCAGTAATGGTGTGGCGTAGAGATACAGCTTTGTTTCAATGACTTGCCATGGGCGTCAGTAACCCCTTGGACAATTGTTTCTAAATTCTGACGCGGTATCGCAAACACGAGTAGAAACTCGGCAAGGGTGGTGAGGCAAATGCTGTGAGGCCCGCAAGGAATCAATTGTTCTCGTCAACCACGGAGTTAACACAGTAGTGTGTGGATCGCTACAGGCCTCGACTAGACCAGGGGAGGTCCGTTAGTTTCCAGAGGGAACACTTCGCCTCTATAGCGCCACGAAACCCTGCAGCGTTCAAGTCAACTGGGAGTGGTCCGAAAGGACCGAATGAGGGTTTGGCAACATTCAAGTTCCGGACGTGTTTCCGGATATGCCCAAAACGATCATTAATTAAAGGCAAATGGCGTTTTGCAAGAATCAGGCACGAGATGGACTGTGAGATCCTGGCATTGAGACCTCTCCTCAACATGGAAAGGGGCTTGAGCGCCATGGAATCCATGGGTTCTTGCAGTCCCATGAGCTATTGTATTGGACAGTCTCATTGCAGCACACGGGGGCTGTTGGTGGTTTATAGAGGAGCTAGGGGAGGCGAAAGTGAAGCTGGTGCCTAGAGCGGGAGGTTGACACGGAGTTTCGGCACAGAAGTCTTGCTTCACCACGATGAGATGCCGGTTGAAGGAGAGGCTCTTGAGAGCGATTGTGGTGTCGCACCTGCAGAGCCATGAACAGCAGTCTAGCAACTTGAAGCATCCTCATGCCAGTTGCAGTCCTAGGCTGACCGGTCAGTTCTTACGCACCTACAGTGGTAGAGCATGCCACTCCGGCCCAACAAGTGCCAATCGTCAACGTACATACGGTGATTTCTGCTCAGTGCCACAAGTCATGGAGATACGGCAGGTCTGCCATGACACTGCACTGCAGCCCACGCACGCAACCAACCAGCCACAGTGACGCTCAGTAATAATTCCTGGAGCGGAGGAATGAAAGGTTCGCAGGAGTCAGAAGCAAGGGCCAAGCAGGAGATGCTTTGGCATGATTGGAAGGAATGATGGTGATCCGTCGTCATGGACACATGTCATATTTTGGACCACGGTTTGATGCCCGCTGAGGCGTTTGAGGAGTAAAAATGGGAAAAGAGTAACTGAAGCCGGACTCGGCGAGGGATACAGACCTCGAGGTAGGCGTGAACGAAAGGGGCGCAGGCAGTCGGATCTAGTAGTAGGACTAGTAGGAGTAATAAGGCAGTGTCGAGTGGTCTGCCAGAGGTACATTCACCGGCCATGGCCACCAGTTGTAGCAGTGCCAGTAGTGCTGGATTGAATGTCCGGATTGTTACAGGTCTGTACTGGAAGGATAGAGGCGCAGGGCAACCACTGCGGGAGAACAGAGTTAAGCGGATTGGGGGGTTTTTACAGGCAGATTACAGCGAACTTGAATGCCAGTGCCTGCGCCCAGTGAATGCATCGCGGTTCAGCCACTGCAGTACTTACCGTAGGTATGTACAGCACTGGCACCCAGTGACTGCAATGTACAGTGACTGCAATGCCAGGGCAATGCCAGTGCCAGGCCACTGCTACAACTTTACTGCTGCTAATATACCAGATAGTACAGTGGTAATACTGTGGTACTGACTGCCCTGCACTGCACTGCAATACTAGAGTGAGTGCATCACGGCCACTCTCCAGTCTGCGCCAACTTGACTTGCCCGTGAACTTCAACTTGACCTGCGCCAGTCCCGGTCTTGGCAGATCCCCTTTCCTTTCAAAATTTCTCTGGAGCCGCTCTTGCTCCCAACTGCGCTTCTCGCTACAGACTCTACCACGCAAATTACTTCGATTTGCGCCTCTGTATCATCTGAGGCTCATCTGGCACTGTCAACCTCTCAGTTGTCGTGCCTCATTTCACCCTTTGCCACAGAGCTTAGCTTGTCTCCTCTGCTGCGGAACTCCGATCTCAACCGTTCGGAACTGCCTGCGTTCAAAGAATCTCCCCTCAGGAATTTTCCTTGAAACAGACCGACCAACTTCGCCTTCGACCATCACCACCAGCAAAAGAGCGGCTTCCGTTGATTCGAGACAGTCGCCGCTTCGTGGTCACTTGTCGAACGAAATCCTCATACCGTTTACTTCCCTGCCGGCTCGGGCGACGTTTTCAGTGAAAGCTGTGTTTGTCATCACGATCCTTTCAGCTTTCGCCTGACCTCGCGAGCCTCCATCATTGTCTTCGGATCCATTTATACTCTCTGAATGACATCCCCATCTCCGCAATCTTCTTCTGCTCAATCAAAACCTGCTTCTTCCGCAGCAGGCGCACCTCCTTCAACCGCCGCGACCGGATCGAATTTGGCTTCACAAGGCCGAACCTCGTTTCCATCTGCCGGGAAACAGCCGTCTTCTTCCACGCCAAATGCATCGGAGTCCAACAACATGTCTGCAGCAGTTGGAGGCGCTCCGCCCACACAAGGTCATGGCGAGTCTGTGAACGGAAGAAATACCACTATTCCTGCTATCCCTTCGGTCAACGGCAGTGTGTCCCTACCGGACCATACGCGCAAGCCTTCCATGACAGTCACACCTGCAGGCGCTACAGGGTTCCCCGCGAACGGACGAGGGCCAGGTGGACCTCAGAACAAGCCTGGCATACGTTTTGGATCGCTGGACGGCCCCAATCCCGCGGGTTCTCCTGCGATGGGAACGCCCCCTTCGTTGGCGCACGAAAATTCGTCAAATCTCAGCGTCAATCAGCACAACCCTGGAGCAGCTTCTCCTTCTAACTCTCCATCCCCGATTCCCCAGCCGGCGTCGGTCAGTGGAGGCCGCCCGCCCCCATCCTTCCAGGCACAAGGCAACGGTTTGTCGTTTGGACAACTCGATCCACATGATCCAAGTGTAAGACCACATCCCGTGGCGTATAAACGTACTAACATGCTTTGCCAGGGTCTTGCTCGGCCAATGTCTCAAATGCAATTTGGTCCACAACAAGAGCATATGAGACGAGGATCCTCACAGTCCATCCATAGCGATGCCGGTGGCCCAGGTCTGCCGACAGGCCCGGGCCGTGGTGGATACCAGGCTGGTCGTGGCAGAGGATATCATGCATCCTTCCAGCAATCTGGGAACCCATCCTTCCGCCCTCCGCCCAACGGCCGAGGCCTACAAGGCGGCTATCAAAACCGAGGGCAGCAAATGCCCTACCAAGGCTCGCCTGCTATGGGTACCCGCAGCCCTGCGCTCGTTAATGCTACCCCAGGAACCCCGAACATGGCCCCCATGCATATGGTGCCCGGAATGCAAGGACAACCCAATGGATATTATATGGGACCCCAACATGTAAAGAACCACCACCCACAAGTTTCTTCTTCACGTGATGGCCCAAGAGACAGAGGCAAACCTACGAGAGGTCGAAATCGTGGCAACCGTCAAGCTGTCCGCGGTAGAGGCCCTGGTAGGGGTGGAACCGAGGAAGGACCCTTCTACAGCAGAGATCCCGCTTCGGACCACTATCGCCCTAGTCTTGCGAAGCCACCACCTCCCGTTGTTTCACGCGCCCCCAAAGTTTTCCCCTATCCAGATCTTTCTCCCGAAAGTGGCAATTTTGAACATTTTCTGACTGCGAGAGCACAGGCTTTTGGTATCCCCACCCAAGCTGATCCTAGTATTCAAATGTTGTATAACCAACAATACTATGGACAACCAGGACTGCAGGGTCAATACCCTCCTCAGTACATGCCGCCCCAATCTCCTCGCCCTCCCTATCAACAGCACGGCTTTGCACCGAACATGCAACCTGCTTTTAGTAACCAGGGCGCCGTTCCTCCCTCGATGTCGCGGCAATCCTCTCAAATGTCGGCACCTGATCGTCCTGGTTCCAGCATCGGACAGCAACCGCAGACACCAGCTCCTTCTGGCCCAGCACATAACGCAGCGCGCACTCCAAGTGTGTCTGCTCAGAAACCAAGCTACACAATTCCTCCCAAGAAGAGTGCGGCAATCACCATCAAGAACAGCGCGGGAGAAGTCGTTTCTTTCAACAAGCCCCCTGCTTCTCCTGCCAGTGCTACGCCTGCATCAGTCAATGTTGTTCCCCAGCCTACACCTACACCTCCAAGTCGTACAGGCAGTGCAGCCGATAATGCCCATGGACGGACCGATAGCACGAGTACAAAGACGGCAGAGGAGGCGAAGAAGACTTTGCAGGAAGCCATTGCAAGGAAGATTGCCGAAGACGAGGCCAAGAGCAAGCTAGAGAAAGAGCTCGCCGAAAAGCAACAAAAGGAGCAGATGGACAAGGAGGCCGCACAAGCCGCTGAACGCGAAGCTGCCGAAGCCAAAGTGAGAGCCGAAGCTCTTGAGAAAGAGGCCAAAGAAGCTGATGCTCGGACGGCCACTGAAGCGGCTGAGGCCTCTGAGCCCGCGAAGAAGGCTGAGGAAGACGAGACCAAGAAAGCCAAAGAGGAGAAGGCCAAGGAGACCCCCGCTGAAGCGGCCAAGTCAAATGAAGACGAAATCGACTACGACGCCATTGAGGCTGAAATGGCGGCTCTGGAAGCCGAAGAGGCCCGACGTGAGGAAGAATACAAGAAAAAGAAAGCTGCCGAACTTGAGGCCAAACGAAAGAAGGAGGCTGAGGAGGCTGCCGCATATGAAGCCAACATGAAAGAACTAGAGCGCAAGGCTGAAGAAGAGGAGTTGCGACGTGAGAAGGAGAAGACTCAAAAGGGGGCCGAAGACGATACCAACAAGAAGCTGTTTGCCGAACTCAAGGCAAATCCCTTCGGTACGCCTGCGTCGGTCGAAAGCCCTGCGGCCCATACTCCTGTCGAAAGTGGTACCGCCACCCCAGTTTCGGATGTGTCCATGCCTCCTCCAGCCAAAGCCCCCGGTCGACGTGGCAAGGCTGCTGAACTCACCCTCGACACAAAGAAGCCTATTGAGCCACCGGAGCCGAGCGCGACTTTGAAGGCCTTGCAGTCAGCTAAAAAATTGGACGATCTCTCGAAGGTCACGTATCCTCCTGAGATCGCATCACCAAATCCTGCCCTCAATGCAAATGCGCCGGCTGATCGCAAGTTCAAGTACAACAAGGAATTCTTACTCCAGTTCCAGAGTGTGTTCAAGGAGAAGCCAACGCTGGACTGGGATCTCCGGATTCGGGACGCTTTAGGCGATGGAGATTCTTCCGCCCGGCCCAGCGCCTCCGCAAGGACACCCTCGGGCATGGGCGGCCGCAGTGCTTCTTCTCGCGGTGCTGCAGCTATGAACCAGTTTGCACCGATGGGAAGCTTTGCTGGTGGTGCTCGGGCTCCTCTACCACCTGGCACAACTTCCGAACAGCGATTTGCCGCCTCGAATGCTGCTATGAGAAGCGGTGCGTTGGCCGGTAATCCATTTGCCCAATTCGGCCGTACTGGCCAAGGCGCTCCCGCCATGGGACGTACTCCATCAAACAATCCGCTCGGCCAAATCCCTGGATCCCCGCGTGTTGGTGGCGCAAGCCGAGGTGGTTCCCGTGCCGAAAGCAAGCGATCGAAACAGTCCGGCAAGCACGCCGCCGAAGAGAACAAAGCCATGCCTCTTACTGCTGGTATGAACATCACCGGACTGGAAGTATCGGCTACTGGATGGAAACCTCGCAGCGTTGGCCAAAATGCAAACTCTGGTCCTGCTCCTGGTGGCGATGGTTTGCTGGAGCCCGATGTCGTCCAGCGGAAGGTCAAGGCCGCGCTCAACAAGATGACGCCGGAGAAGTTTGACAAGATTTCGGACCAGATTCTAGAGATTGCTGCCCAATCCAAGCATGAATCAGATGGTCGCACGTTGCGCCAGGTCATCCAACTCACGTTCGAAAAGGCAACAGACGAAGCCCACTGGGCCCCGATGTATGCAGCCTTCTGCAGAAAGATGTTGGAGAGCATGAGTCCTGAAATTCGGGATGAAGGCATCAAGGACAAGGCCGGAAATGTCGTCACAGGTGGTAATCTCTTCAGAAAATACCTTCTCAACCGCTGCCAAGAAGAATTCGAGCGCGGCTGGAAGGTCAACCTGCCTGCGCGACCAGAAGGGCAGAGCGAAGAGGCAGCCATGCTATCCGACGAGTACTATATCGCTGCCGCCGCCAAGCGACGTGGATTGGGTCTTGTCAAGTTCATTGGTGAACTGTTCAAGTTGTCCATGTTGACCGAACGTATCATGCACGAATGTGTCAAGAAGCTGGTGGACTATGAAGGTACGCCTGAAGAGGCGGAGGTGGAAAGCTTGACGAGTTTGTTGCGCACCGTGGGCAAGCAGCTCGATAACCCCGAGAGCAAAGCTCAAGGCCGTATGGATGTCTACTTTGAGCGGATCAACTCCATGATTGCCCTGCCTGATCTACCGAGCCGTCTTCGTTTCATGCTTATGGATATCGTCGACCTTCGCGCGAAGGGCTGGCATTCAAAGGAAGATGACAAGGGTCCCAAGACCATCCAGGAGATTCGACAAGAAGCTGAACGCCAAGCACGTGAGGAAGAGCTCAAGAGGCTGGCCAGTCAAGGCAACCGGGGTGGCGGTAGGATGCCAATGGGCCGTGGTGATGCTCGAAGTTTCAGTGGCTACGGGGGTCAACTTCCTCCCCCGGACAACTCCAACCGTGTTGGCACAGACGATTTACGAAGGCTCGGCAACCGCAACGCCCGAAACCCCAGCCACACTGGTACTGGCTCACTGGGACCTCCCAGTATGCTTGGTGGGCGTACGAACAGTGGACGTCGTGGCTTAGGTCCTGGCGGGCTGCTAGGCCGAGGTGATGACAGCAATGCTAGCAGTCGCACTGGAACACCTCCTGCCCAGAAAGAAAAGGAAAAGAAGGACGAGTCCAGCACCAATGCTTTCAGGTGAGTAGTATTGTGCGAATCTAGTGATGAAGTGGATGCTGACTATATCTAGTGCTCTCGCCGCTCTCGAGAATGATGCACATGATGCACCAGGCTCGCCGCCATCTAACCCAGCCTCACCTCCTTCACAAAAGTCGCAGCCGAACATTGAACGAGAGCGATCAAGATCACCGGCCAAAGCCGCCGAGTGAGAATCCTCGCTATCCGTTCTCAGAGTGTACAACATAATGCAATTCGAACACTAATAATTGACCGACGTGCCGCTTGTGGGGAGGCTGAACGAAAGATGTGCATTGATACCCGGCGTGAGCCACTTGTTTAGCATTTCAGCGGAGCGGGCCTCGTTGTCACAAAAAGGAATCTTCGGCGAGCGACATTCTTCTAGAGACAACATTCAATCGACTCGAGAGCATCAGAGAATGCTGATTCTAGGATGATACGTTACGAGAGACCGGTCTTGACATCGTTCCCTGGCCTGATTGCAGCGCCTCCCTTCGACATGCTTTCACCACTAGTCAAAAGCGAGGAAGGCAACACAATGTCAGGAATGCTGACCGGACAGACCACCTGAGGTTTGTTTGCCAATTCTGCAATGAATACCGACGCGTCGCCGGTCTTGCGGTCACGAAGTGCGCAACATGGTCGAAAGGGGTGCTTTTGGGAGGTGCAGCCTCGGATGATGACCTGTGTTGACCACGCCGTTCTCTGGCGAGGACAATGGAGGATCATCACCAGGGAGGGCAGACAAAATGAATTCTAATTTTGTGTTTTTACTGCTTAGATGGTTGAGAGCGTGCGGTTTGTTGTTACTTTTCTTGCAATTCTTCCATTAGCCGTGCGAGAGCAGGGCAGTGCTCTCAAGCTGTATGTTGAGCAAAATGCAAATGACATCATTCAGGATAATGAAGTTTCGTAGGTTCCTTTTGTATACCTGGGTTATTTTTGCTGCTAGCCGACTTACCAGGGTGGCTTGATTGAAGCTACATGATTACCTGGCGGAAAACAACGTCTGGTAGTAGTACTACTTCGTAGTAGGGCCATGTTGCAAGATCTCACCCGCCCTCCGCGCAGCGTTGGCGGCTTTCATTCTCCGCTTTTCATCGGCTTCATACTGCTCCCGTATGTGTTTGGCATGTCTTTGCTCTCTCTGCTCGAGTCTTTTCAGCCTCTCCCTCCGTCTCGCAGCGCGGCGTTGATCCTGGTCTTTTTCGTCTTGTGCTTCGCGAGCCAGGCTCTTCAGCTCGTCGGCCGACAAGACCCAAGGCTTGGATAAAGTGGATCTGCAAAAGCCGGTGCGTGACGAGATCAAGGCCATCTCGTGCGCAGTGTCCGGGAGCACGGTCAAACGGAGCAGTGTCAGTTGGCGCACGGAGCGGAAGGTCGAGAGGGTGCCTTTGGCCTGGACGACGGCGCCGACGTGGAGTTTGGATAGGGTTGCTTGAAGGAGGAGTTGTTCGGCGTCGGCATTAGCGTTGTCTTTGTCGTTGCGTGCTGCTCCTTCTATTTCTGTCGCAGTACTGGCAGATGTGATAGTGGTCTTAGGCTTGTCTTCCATGCCCGCACCAGCAGACTTGTTGTTATTGTTAGAGGGTGCATTGTAGGACGAGCGCAGCGGCAGATTGTGGGTTTGTTTTTCCTTTTCCGGTTTGCTGCACGTCACATCAATGGTCGCACCACTCCCATCGTCGACAGTGAACAACCAAAACTTTTCAAAGAAATCCTCAAACACCACGACCACGCCGACGACTTGGACGAATTGAATTGGATGGTTCAAGTAGAACAGTAGTAAGGGAGGCGGAGGAGGAAGACCACCACCGTAGGCTTGTCTGCGGTCTTCATTGTCGATGGTAGTGGTGGTAATGTCAGCGGCATACTTGTAGTTACGTTGGAGGACGCAATGGATCTCCCAGGCTGTCAGTTTGACCCATTTGAACCATGTTGCTGAGGCCTTGAAGGTGTAGGCTGGGTAGAATGTCGGCTGCGTTGGCGTTGCTTGGGACTTTTCTGAAGAATCTGTTGATTCCGAGTCAGAGTCAGAATCAGAGTCGGAGTCTGAGCCTGAATTGCTGTCGTCGACTACGTCCGTGCTTGGGCGGCGATTGCTGGCGACGGCTCCATTGGTTGTTCTGTGGTGATGTTTTGCGGTGTTGTTGATGCCATTGTCATTGTGCCGGCCTAAGGAAGCGTAGTGGAGGAGGTTAGGGTCAGGCGTATTCTTCTCATGGTGCCATCTTGGACGGGATGGCTGCGGCGGCATTCATCTGGCCCCCTCGACATGCGGTTGTGGAGGTTTGACCGGATTCAGAATGATGACGGAGTCGTGGTCACTGGTGAGTTACAACTGTACCTCCTGGTAGTCGGTGGTGCTGGTTGTAACGCGGCTTAAAGCGAACGCGGTTCAGCTTCGTTGCGAAAATCGGCGGGGAAGGGCACCGCGACCGGTGGCCAGTGAGCGTTGATCGGATTACATATGGCGGAGCAATCTGACCGTCGCGCAGCCTTCTTGGGGATAATAAAAGGAATGTTTGTGCAGTTTGTTACTGCGCAGATTAAAATGGGGCGGGAACTCCGGTCGGCTATCGCGGCACGAGTAGAAATCAAATCATCTGTCATGACGGCTGCTCATGACCATCTCGTCAGCCTTTCACTGCGTAAATCGACTGTCATTACCGCCGTTAATTCCTTAGTTGCCAGCAACCGCTAACCCACCTCCATCAAAAGTCCAATTCCTGCCAGTGATGCGCCATCATCTGCCATTTTTCCAATTTGATGGACTCTGCATTTCAAAGCCAGGCTCTTAACTGGAGCGATGACGGAGCCGTCATCGGTGGTCCATCGGCTACTACCTGGTAGTCGGAGTTTAGATCGACGTGCTTGTTTCTGTTAACCTTTTCTTTCTCCGCCATCGAACGTTGATATATATACCATATACCCCCTACCTCGGTACCTAATATCACTGTATATGCTTTGACTTTGTCGGTTATCTGGTTTCAGGAATTGGTTCACGATACAATTGGCTATCGTTCCTTGTCCATTAAGTATTTTCTAGAGGTTTCGTGCCGATTCAGGCCACAAGACTTCCGCCGCGTGGGCGCCAGCTATGCTGGCAAGCAGCATAAGAAAGGGGGTTCTGGTCAGCAGCGTTAGAACCTAGACTCGGATCTTAATGTCGAACAGTCCACCTCGGGGGGATCAACATGTCACCCAGATCCAACCGGACTTAACTGGCGCCAACTCCATTGCGTCTACACACGAGGACAACAACAACGATGCTTCTGATTCAAGGCGGAGACAGTCGAGCCATTCCTCCTCACCTCATGAGTCCAATGATGACCCAAGAGCGAGACATCATACTTCTCCTCGATCTATCAGTCATGGCAACTCGTTGGAGAGGACGTCGACCGCGCGGGATGTCACGCGACCATCGTACGACATGCAAGTTCAACGCACCACAACCAGCGCGTCCTGGGCTGGGCCGGTACATTCTGTCTTTACGAAGAATCAGAAACGATTCATAGTGTTTATGGCCGCATGGGCCGGGTTCTTCTCACCCGTATCGGCCAATATCTATTTCCCGGCCCTGAATCCGCTGGCACAAGACTTGCACGTGTCGGATACGCTCATCAACTTGACCTTGACGTCCTATATGATTTTTCAAGGACTGGCGCCGACATTCTTTGGAGACTTTGCGGATGCTGCGGGCCGGCGTCCTGCATATGCCGTCTGTTTTATTGTTTATATTGCCGCCAACATTGGCCTCGCTTTACAAAACAGCTATGCCGCTCTGTTTCTGCTCCGATGTCTACAGAGTAGCGGAAGCAGCGCCACGATTGCCATGTGCAGTGCGGTCGTGTCTGACATTGCCACGGCCGCCGAGCGCGGTAAATACATGGGCCTCACACTTGGCGGATCTCTCCTTGGTCCTGCCATTGGCCCTGTCATTGGTGGTCTGTTGGCCGAATATCTCGGCTGGAGAGCCATCTTCTGGTTCTTGGTCATTTTGGGCGCGGCATTTTTTGTGATTTTTGGCGTTTTCTTTCCTGAAACAGGTATGTATCCGTGCGATGCCTAACTTGTGCCATGCCTTTTCCTTTTTCTCCCCACAAACCGGAATTCAAAAGCTGATTGCAAAACGTGGCAGCCCGGAAGCATGTCGGTAACGGATCCATCCAACCACGGGGTTGGAACATGTCCTTGATGAACTATCTGGCAGTTCGAAAAGAGCGCCGCAAAAGGCTCGAAGAAGCAAAAGAAGCAGATCAAGACCAAGAGCAGGACCCATCATCATCCACCCCCGAAGTTGAACTACCCGAAAGACCCAAATTTCGATTTCCCAACCCCCTACGGTCGATGTACCTGATCTTCGACAAGGAGAACGCGCTTCTTTTGTTCTACAACGCATTTCTCTTCGCGGCCTTCTACGACGTCACGGCCGCCCTGCCTTCGCAACTGAAGATAATATTTGGATATTCCGAGCTCCAAATCGGTCTCTGCTATATCCCGTTTGGATTCGGATCCATGTGTGCGGCCTTGACTAATGGCCAACTGCTCGACCGCAACTTTGCCCGGTGGGCGAAGAAATTGGGGATGAAGATCAAAAAAGGGAGGAACCAAGACCTCAAGAATTTCCCCATTGAAAAGGCCCGCTTGGAAGTCGCCCTCCCTGCCGCCTACTGCTCCGCCGCTTTGGTCTGTGTGTTCGGCTGGATCTTACACATCAATGGTCCCTTGGCGCCTTTGCTCGTCGTGCTGTTTTTCACTAGCTTGTCCATGTCCGTCGCGTTCAATGTCACCAGTACTTTGCTGGTCGATTTCTACCCGAATTCCCCGGCCACCGCCACAGCGGCCAATAATGTCGTCCGCTGTCTCTTGGGTGCAGGGGCAACTGCCGCTGTCGTTCCGATGATTGATTCCATGGGTAGAGGCTGGACGTTTACTTTTTTGACGTTCTTTCTCGTTGCGACTTCCCCTATGTTGTGGTTGGTTTACTTCCGTGGTATGAAGTGGAGAAACGAACGGCTGCAGAAGGAAGAGCGAGCTGCAAAAATCAAGGAGGCGAATCAGAATTCGGGCGAGACTGGGACTGCAATGAACGACAGCAACAACGTCGGCAAGGAGGCCGAGGCTGTGGAAAGTAACAACACTTTTAACAACAATGAGCAACCACCCGTCGAAGGAAACATTTCAGAGATGGCGGGCGTGGTTGAGAAGGAAAGAGAGGAGGAAAAGCCGCACCCGCACTGAGCTGCGGATATCTGTGACGACCAGTTGAGCGATGCAACCACGAGCAAAGGTCGATAGCGATGGCTCTTACCAACCGGGAAAAACGTCACGAACAGTTCCACGTTCGCTCAAGGGTGCACCTCAGAAACCCAGTTGGATTCCAAGCACTTCAAGTTGTGCTTGGGTATTCTTGACCTGTGATTGATATCCTTGCTCTGTACCTGTTCACGCTGGGGCACTTGGTGACAACAAAGCTGAATGATGTCCGGTTGCGAAGACGTTATACATCTGATTTGGGATGATAGTTACGTGATCTATCCTATAGAGCGTGGAGCATTAGCATCAGGAATTTGAATTTCATGTTGGACAGATAGGAGAGTGGACGGACTTGGGTGAAAATATACACCCCACCGTACTGCGTTATCCTTACATACACAAATACAGTTTATCCGTGCCTGGAGACTACACATATGTCGCAAGCTTTCTGCCTTCCGGTGTCTCCCACCACATGGATTGGTGCAGATGCATCAAGTGACAAGTGGTCACATAATTGTAATCGTACTAGATAGTAGGAGAAGGATTTACATATAATAAAATGACAAAAGAAAAGGTGTTAAAATATTTCAGCGTCTGCAAATTCCTGAAAGGCGTCTATCATCCACTAGCAGGTACTGTAGGTAGTGTCGGTACATATGCATACCGTCACTTCGCCCAGCCCTCGAAGAGCCAACTGGAAGAGAAATACTGCCCTTGCTCCACTCAGCCTTGGGCCAGCGTAGGCTTAGGACATATGCATGACCCAAGCCACAGTAACATTTCTCCTTTGGCCCAAGAAGTTTTAGTTAGCAATGACGGTGATAGTCGCCTAGTTAAGGTAGGTATGGAGGCCGAAACCGAGAAAGAAAACATGATGATACCGACATTGATAGCACTTTTTGCAACCGTCACCGCGAACTAAGACCTCCCTTCCAACCCTCACAGTGGTCGAAGAGACTCTCCGGACACTCGGGGGTTTGCTTGTATCAGCAACAGTGCGTTTTCTGTGGCCACTGAAAGCAAATAAACGTACAGTTGCTGATACTATCAAAACCTCGAGTGTCCGGAGTGTTTCTTCGGCCACTGTGCCCCCTCCACCACGAGAAGGCCACCACACCCTTTGATAAGCCCTCCTCCGGGTGGGCAAATGGCAAATATCACCCACAGGTCCGTGCAATCTCCAGTGACTGCAAATTAGACCTTCTCGACGTTGACAGACCTTCTCTTCTCCATAGCCTCAAAAGTCTCAATGTCATGAAGATCGCCGATCACCGTACCACGCCTCTCATCAACGTATCCGATCTTGGTTTCACGGAACCCATCGAGCTCTTTCCTGCAGAGAGTATTCAAGTAGATCGGGAAGACGAAGCTGACGAAGAAGCCGGCCAAAGGCACACACATGGCCTTGTGGTAAGTCATGCTGTCGGCGGCTAGACCTGTTAGGGCTGGAAACAGGGCCCCACCAGAGACGCTAGCGACAATCCAGGAAGACCCTCGCTTCGTGTGTTTACCTAAACCCCTTATTGAAAGCACGAATATGGTTGGGAAGATCGCAGATTCGAAATAGAGTACTAACGAGAGCAACGCGACGCCGCCCTCGCCGTAGACGCCCATGGCGCAAGCAATGAAGATCATGATCATGGTCATGAAGATCATCAGCACGATCCTCGGCTTCATGAACATGAACAAGCCGGCCGCGGAGAATCGACCAATGGCGAATAGTGACTGACCAATGGCGTACCGGTCTGACGCCTGGGACTCCGTCAGACCGGCCGACTCTTGCGCGTAGCGGATGAACTGTGATGCCACTGCCACCTGGGCTCCGACGTAGGTGAATTGGGCGGCAACGCCGAAGAACAATTTATACTGTTTCCGCAATGGCTTCTCCTCGTACCCCGTCAAGTCGGCGCATTGTTCAGCTTGAAGGGCCATGTCGGCGTCGGTGACTTCGGGGATCGGGCTGAAGAAGAAGACCACGGCTAGCAGAAACACGAACGCGGCAATGCCCACGTAGGTCCACTGCACGTGGGACAGGTCGGTCGACTGCGTATTCTTGAAAAACACCCGCGAGGCCAACAGTGGAGCCACGACGGAGCCAATGGCCTGGAACGACTGGGAGAGCTCGAGGCGGAATTCTGACAGCCTGGGAGGGCCGCACGTTGCGATGAATGGGTTGGCAGACGTCTCCAACGTGCTGAGCCCCGATCCCACAATGAACAAACTGCCACAGAAGCCGCCGAAAGACTTGTAGACTGCAGAGGGCCAGAACATGAGGGCTCCGACGCCGTAGATGCAAAGGCCCGTGATGAATGTCCACCGGTAACCCCAGTGTCGGACAATCCAGCCAGAGTAGGTCAAGGGTCCGATGAAATATGCGCCAAAGTAAGAGCCTTGCAGCCCGCCAGCTTTGGCCGCCGTGATGTTGAGTGATGTCTGAAATTTGGCGTTGAGCACGTCCAGTAGTCCGTATGCGAAACCCCACAGGAAAAACAGCAACGTCACCAGCGTGATGGGGAAGATCGACTGTCGGACTGTAAGGGCGGATGCGCCTGTGAGTCCTTTGTTTTCGACGCTCCTCCTATGTTGACGGGCCATGCCGTCAGTAGCGGATGGCTGCCGTTCATTGATCATCTCATCGTGGTCCATGTCGATCACACTTGTCAACCGCCACAACTCTGAGTAACAAGACTGGGTTGACTATGCTTGGACGGGGTCGAGTTGGGTATGTGGGCCGTCTATTAAAGGGAAGTACCCAAATGTGCCAGAGGTCAAAGCTCCGGCTTGATTGAGATAGTAACTGAGATACAAGTTCACTTTGAAGAGTCGCTCGCAGGCCGCTTATGTAATTGGCGTGATTCTGTCTCACAATGGAAGCGAGAATAGATGTTGCCGATCGAGAAGTAATTTGCAAAGTGACTGACAAGCAAGCTTATATACATGGTGACTTGAAGACTCATTGCATGAGCGGGGAGGTTGGCTGCGTCACTGAGCACTGCTTTCTGAGTCGGTGCTCGTCAAATCCACTGATCGCTCATCCCTGCTCGTGTTCGGGCGGAGTGAGCATCAAAAATTCAGTGGTAAGTGGCAGGGTTCCAAAGGCAGAGTTCATCTCGACACGGTCTGGACGTAAGGTTGATCCAATAGCGACAAAGCGCATCAGGGAGTCTTCTCCTCAAGTGAGTGTGGTAGACAGGCTCACAGCCTAGACTGCGAATGGAGGGACACTCTTTATCCAAGGTGCCCCTGTCAGCCATCACCGTCAATTCGAGCGAGAGACGCTGATTGGCCGCTGGACACAAGGCTGGCCGCCGGAGCGGAGAAACCTTTCTCCCACGCTGGAGAGCTTCGGCGCTTTTCAGAAACCTCCTGATCATGCATTTGGCCGAACCACTCATGAGCAGGACAATACCCCACGACTGCACGCTTGATGGTCAGCTGGGAAACAAGAAGTCGATGTCCAGGATGACCGCAACCTAGCTCGCTCCTGTGGTGCTGGGCTGGATAAGACGTTTCTGGCTTTTCCTGTTATCTTTTCTGCTGTGGCTCTTTCTCCGGCGAATGAGCCGGTCAGGACATGGAAGACAGGAGGTGGGGGAAGTATCTGCGAAAAGCGAATATACTGTAGGTTGCAATCTTTAATTCGCTAACAAACGGACGCCTTGTATCACAGAACATTGATTTTGAACTCTTGAGTTTCCAAAAGAGACGAAGATGGTGTCCTACAACCCTTCTCGACCTGGGCACATGATCAGCCGTGAGTGTTGCAGGGCTTCATACAGGTACGCACAGGGTGGTAGGAGAGCCAGCTCTTCTACGTGAAAGTATAATTGTTATCCAAGCTGAAGGAAAATAAAATCCGGCGCTAGAACAGGGCCTGGAAGGGTCCGTAGTGTTGTTGCTGTCCATGACAGACATGCGATGTCGAGGGTGGAGCCGCGTGGGTAAGAGAAAGGCATCTGCGCCGCGAGTCCGAGGGCTTGTTTATTGGAGGTTGGCGTTTGCAGAATGCCAGTGGAGTGATGAAAAGGGGCTTCCACCTTCAGTTTCAATTTATGGGGAAACTTGTGGCTCCTGGGGTGAGCTTCGCGTAGTCAGCAGCCTGGATACTCTGTTCAAAGTTAGTCCGGCATCGCATAGCCCAGGTAGAGCGCCCACGGTTAAAATGCCCTAGTCGTGGCATTGTCAACGGGGGATGAAACGGAGTGGCCGGACCTTTTTCGTCTCCGCCTGTAGAACCGAATTTCGGTACTGTGTGGGTGAAACCCCCGACCACCTCAGTCGTTCGATTGTCATGATCTGTATTTGATCCCTTCGATCAACGATCTCCGAAAATGGAGCTCGCAAGGGCGCAACCTCGCGCTTTGCGATCGCTAGCACTGAAAGCACTCGGCAGGAGTACCGACAGAGTCTGCTGAAAGGAGCAGTACAGCGAGGTATCAATAATAAGATACCCGCAACTTTACTCATCCCCTTTCTTGTGCTTTTTGGCTTTAGGTGTTTCTTCTTCAGCGGAGGCTTTCCTCTTGGATTTCTTCTTTTGAGGAATATCCTCCTTGGGTGCGACGAAAGCTTGTTCACGCTCACGTTGTTTCTCTTCCTTCTTTGCCTTTTGTCTCTCCAGTCTCTCTTGCTCTTTAGCCCGCTCCTTCGCTTGCTTAGCGAGAAAGTATTCTCCACTTTCGATTTGCAAGTCAATCTTGCTCTTCTCACGGGGTGGAGGAAATGGTGTGTATGGCTTGCTGCTCTTGTCGGTGACCTTGAAAGGCTTGTGTCTCTTGCTCAATGTCTTCTTCTTGAAATGTGGCAGGAACCGATCCCAACTTTCATTTTTGAGAGCCGGGTCCTTGGCTAATTCTCGCTTGATCATGAGCTCTTTGACGTGATAAATGGGATGGATGTTGTTCATGCAGTCTTCGACCACTCTCCTCACTTCCTTCAGGCCCTTGTAACCGCCCATTGTGCTGACTGTGTTGCCTTGGACGAGAATGTAGGTGTTGGTGAGTAACTCCAGGGCTTTCAAGGTGGAGCCATTGGGACCAAGTAATCGTTGACGACGTTTGACAAACCGTTCTTTGTTCCGTACCAAATTTCGAATTTTGATGACATCGCAGGCCATATCATCTTGGAGAATTTTGAGAGCCTACGTGATGTGTCAGTCATAGAATAAGGTAGAGCACTCGGCCAACGCACCTGAGGAGCAGGGACGCTTCGAGCAAGCAGTTTGATGAGATCCCTAGCATCCAAAATAGCCGCGGGATCATATGTTTTGCGTGTTGTGCGGACTTCCATGCGGCCCTCAACCAAGTCCAGTGTGCATGCGATTCCTTTCTTTTCCAGTGCTTTGGTCACCAACGGCCACGCCTGCTTCAGATAGAGTTCGCGGTATTTGGGGAAAAGACAGGCAAATGAAGACTCTTCCGCAAAGGTTCCGCCGACATTGTGTTCAGGCTTGAATTCTTCGATCTAGATAAAAGCAACGTTAGTGGCGCACTGAGAGCGCGTTGCAGGCAGGCTATGAAGCGGGCACAAATCCTCACCTTCCACTTGTCAATGTCGTCGGTGTCCCAGGGTTTTTCTTTTTTATGTGTTGACGGCATGATTGCAGCAGCAAGTACGAGGTGGATTGTCCACTCAAGCGCTTCGTCTGCGGTCGAGGTGTAGGGCTGGTGTAAGGCTCATGCAGCCGCAGTTGTAGAAGCACGTCGGGAACTTTTTTCTGCAGGTTGCAGACTTGGAGTTTGACGGGCTCCACCGCCGCCTTCGCGTCCAGCCTGAGGTTTCTCCAAACTCGAAGAAGCAAGCGCCAAGCTCTGACTTCACGAGGCCGAATGACTTTTACGGGCCCGAACGTCGTCGATCTGGCGCGTCTCCTCGATCTCCGTCTGACCGCGGCCGCGCCCCATTTCTTCGAAACCCTTCGACAATTCCAAGGTCATGTTTTATTATTGTGTTTTACTACATAGTAGTCGTCGTATCATGTTACCTTTCCTCTTACGACTATCGACTGACTGCGGCAAGGTGCTTCACGTCAAGGACCTGCTACTGGGTTGTTAAAAAAAAAAGGGAAGCAATCGAGTCGTGGAATGCCCCTGGGTTCATTGTCATAGCATCATAGTCGCCTTGTTTCAGCGTCGTGGTCAGACAGCCATTAATACAGTAATATAAGTCTTTCTCGAGTCACTGCATGACAGAGACTCGAGCCTGGAAGTTAGGTACCTACCTAAGGTACGGGGTTTCAAGTGTCATGACCGCGCCGTTCGCTTGCGGAAGTCAGTTCGGATTGCAGGGGTCGGGATCGGTAGGTACTAGTCTTACCCAGCATTGGGCAGGAGATGAGGCCGGGAAATGCCCTTCAAGGGATGTCGTGCCAGTGCCAGTGGTTCAAACTGCAGACGTGATGATTGACTGGCTGCCACTGCCGTCTAGCAAATATGCCATGGCGACCATACATACTATGCAACAATGGTAGCCCGTCTACTCCTGCACCTGGTCTTGCTCAAACCACACGTCTATGCCCAACGAGCATCGCTCCTGCGCTCACTCCTGTGCACCCAAGTCTTCTTTCTGGTGTAAGCTCTCCTCTCCGTGTGTCTCTCTTTCTCTTTTCATCTCGCGGCTTTGATGCGGCGGCACTTGCGATGCCTCTTGGCCCAGGATCAAGCATGAAGCCCCGCGAGCACAGCGACATCAGCTTTTCAAACTGAAGACACCTTCCGCCCTTCGGCCATCTCCCTCAGACCTGAGTCGCCGCTCCCTCAAGCTCTGCATTCACCTGAAAAAGGCGCCGTGTGTAATGGACGGGCCGACGAATTACGTTCGGACCAAGTCGAAGATCTTTTCACCTTTGCGGTCCAAATATTCATCCTGGATAGTGCAAAATATTCGACGCGGAGACCAGTCGAGGAATCTGTCCCTTGAGGCGACATACTGTAGCCGATGCCGAGTATAGCTGCGGTTCCTTCCTTGCTGGTTCCGTTGTTAGCTCTGGACCAACACACTTGATGGCAGGCGAGCTGAGAAGAGCCTCCAAAATGATAGACGAGACCACCGCCCCTTACCTTCAGGGCATGTACACCGAAAGAAGACGTTCGCGGCTCAGGATGTTGTTGCCGAGCGTGGCGGACGGGACAATGCAATGGTGCCGTGGAACTTGGGTTGAACCATCATCCACACCATCAGCCAGGCCATGAGAAGAGGGAATTGTTGTACTTTGAATTGTGGTGTCGTAATACACGACATCCAGCCACTTCTCTCGGAGGTCGCTGCAATGTTGAGGAAGGACTTCAGGTAAGTATGCGGCAATCGTCTCCTCAACGCTGCCTGGTCTGAGGCCAGCGTCATTGAGGCCCAGCCATTGACCGGGAATAATATACTCTGCCAATAGCACCCTTTGTCCATGGAGGTCTTGCCATCTTGCCAAAAAAGAAAAGCACGCCAAAAAAGGCAAAAACTTTTGAACCATGCCTCGGCCTGGCAATTTCCTCCTTCTTAAGGTCTTCCATCCGAGGGGTGGAGCCAAGTGAAACCCCCGGTCGGTGCTGCGAAATCCACAAGATCTGCCCGGCCAACGGTGCCTCCTCGAGTCGGAGACACTCGCTCTTCTACCTTGTAGGTCCAGGGATTAGGCCCAGGGATTTTTCTCGAGAGAGCTCCTCTTACAATTTGGTTTAGTTTAAGACTTTGTGGATTTGGTAGCGCACCACCTTGCCTAAACGCCTAAGCCATCGGGCCTGGGTTTTGGCTCGGAGGATTGTCGAGGGAAAATTCTGTGCCTCAAATACTTAAGGGTATTGGAGGTGGGACCAAGTCAAGTGAGCTTGATGTGAAGACAACCGCAGTGGTCTGTTGTTGCCTGGGAGGCCTTCGGGATGAAAGCTGCATCGTCATGGTGTTGCTTCAGCCCATGGTCGCCAAACCGGAGAGACCAAGTGCGACGGCAATTCTACTGCTTCCGCCCAAAGACAGTGTACCTGTTCCAAAGGTCAGCCAGCTTCTCCAATTGGCATGTTCATGGGTCCCTGTACAGTCGGATATAGGGTTTGGCATTGACATTACCAAGTTCAGCGCATGCATGGTCCACGAGAACCTGGAACTCCTCGATGCTGCGCAATTGCCGATGGGTTATGGGGTACAATCCCAACGAGCGTACCAGGTCTCTCATGTTGGCTAGGTTGGCTTCGCCAATGCTTCGCTGGTGAGGATCTGTATTGATGAGAGGTGAGCTTGCGTCCTCTACAGCTAAGGACCTTGCAGAATATCTTCCTGTTGCTTACCGGCAGGCCAGGGACACGTCGCAATGTCCCTGACGTCTGTGCTCACATTGACAAACCCGGCCATGCGCAGCCAGGTCTCGCAGTCCTGCGTAACCCGCAAGCTCTTTTTGCCTTCTGGACGGGTCGCTAAACCAAGGGCCTGGGTATACAGCCTGCTCCATTCTTGGAGAGCTTGGAGGGCATCCATATCACCGATTTCGGAACGGAAATGAAGATCCCATTCTGTCAACTGAACCCAACCGTTCTTCCGCAGCAGGCTGCCAGTGATCAGTGTTCTTGTTGCGAGTCAATCTTGCGGTGGTTATTTACCGATGCATGTCCCGCAGGTAGTTCGGCCACCTGGTTGCCGCGATGCCACCGGCGACAAACCTCGAATGGATAAGGTCGAAGGTTCCCGGCTCGGCGAAGTCCATGCGCTCGTTGAGGTTGGCGATCTGGTGTCTGTTAGCTCTGGATGTGTGCAATTGATGGGGCCAGAAGGGCCTAGCAGAGTATCTTATCCCACAGTCAGGTCAAGTACAAGGTGATACTCTCAATCCTGGACACCAGCCACCGCTTAACCATGGGGTAATGGGGGCCATTACCTGGAGATCCATGTTGTCCGGTTGATCTGGAGGGGCCATCAAAGGACAAATATCGACTCCCATGACCTGTCATCTCAGCAGCGGCTCCGCAGAATCATGCAATGCATTCCTCACTGTGCAATTTGGATCATATTCTGCAAGATCGGATGCCCAATTTCCTGAGCCAAAGCCGCAATCAAGTATTGACTCTGGATCTTGGATGAAATTTGGGTGCAACGAGTTATCCCAATCACGGTATATCATCTTCATCATTTCATGCTGATCCCTCAGTCGAGTTTCTTCCTCCTTTATGGTGCTGTATTAGCTCAGGATCCAAAGATGATGCGTTCGAGGTCAACTGACCAGATCAATGGGAGCAAGATAGGCTTCACGCCTCAAGGCGTAATCTTGATACTCTCGGTCGTGGTACGTGATCTTTCTGTTGTATCGTTCGCCGTTGAAGGACCTGTATCTACTTTCAGCATGTAATCGAACTGGAATTGTCGGGATTCTGACTCGGCCGCCATAGTCGTCAAAGCAACTGTCACCCTTTCTGATGGAGCACGTTCGAAAAGACCGTCGAAGCTCTGCCGTCGACCATGAAATCCAGCAACAGCGGATGTCCTGGACTTATGTTCCAAGTTCAAATGTGCAATGAGAACACTAGCATCTAGCAACCAATGCTGGCTCTCTGAGAAAGGGCACAGTCAAAACGCACCGACAAGGACAAGAGCCATTGCACCTGACGCACTTAGGGCTGCTCTGACCAATTCCACACGAGAGCGCAAGGAGCTGAAAACGTGGCACAACTAATATGTCGTCTCTTCAAAACCCTTGCTAAGAACGAGGGCTCCGTCAAAGCGGAGAAGAGTCAATCCACATGTTGAATCCACCATATAACTGCCAGCATCTAAAGAAGCGGGCGCCTTGCAGAAACCCACCCGCGCGGTTGACCAGCAGGGCTGTTCCGGTTCCAGGGCCGAACCCAGCCTATGGCCGTGGGTCCATGGAGCAAGCAAGTGGGAGGGCGAACGACATGGATACAGCAGTTCGCAATATGACTCTCTTCGAGTGGCTTGCACTAGAGAGTCTGTCCTTGGCACCAATCCTGCCAACTGTGCAGGCTATAAGATGATGACTTGTTACCCGCTTGTTCCACGTACCAAAGAGATGGGACCAGTTTCAGGGATGGTTTGCAGCAGATTCGAGAAGGAAAGTGACGGCTTAGATGTCTTGGGCATGGAAACTGCGGTCCTTTCCTTTTCAAGATTGGCCTACTAGGGTTCTTGGGCACATGCCCAATATTTGTGTGACCCTGCTGGCCAGCTTCACTGCAGGGTTACCTCATTCGACATCAGACAGACTCCTAAGAGCCTGGAGCTCGGGAGAAGTCCGTTCGACGGGCTGAGAACCGCCGAATTGTCCATGCTGGGCGCTCAAGCAAGCGGCCACTTTCGAGCAACAGAATCTCGCCAGGAACGAACCTGATTTGTCCACGTCAGAGCGTTACGAGCGCCCCAATGGGACAGGTGCTTCGACTATGCGACTATAGTCAGACAAGGTACTGTACCAGTGCGCTGGCGAACCTTCTTTTCTCAGCCTATTACATTTTATCCTAGGTCATTGGCAGTCTCATCACGCGAGTGATGGCCCTTTTCCGCAAACTTTGCTTGAACTCGGCCGGTGACCGACCGGCGGACGATGAGGCTACTTGTCCTTGTTACAGTCCCCAGACGTACCCGGCTTTACCCTCCTCTGCAAGCCCAAGCCATGAGGTTGGCATTTGTATCCAAAGTTCGCTTTCGCTAGTCTGCAGGGATCACGGACAGGCCTTTCCGCGAATAAATTAACCACCACTCCATCCGGGCAACTTCAATAGCATTGCCGACATACCCATGGAGCTTTAAGTTCGGCCACGGTGGGGACTACTGTATAACCTACGGTAAGCTCCGGCACAGAACGGGCTACCACGAAACCACGATTGACTTATGAATTCCTCCTCATGTCAGTTGTTTCTACGACAACGGGAACTGCAAGGACACTTGCGCAAGTCGCCTAATTGATACATCCTAATTATAAGCAGCTTCTCGCACCTCCACTGGAGTCACCTCTCGTTCAGAGATGACTCTATTCCCAATACTGCCATCAAGTCTTGACACGGCTAAACTTTCTTTCTTTTCTTCTCTCTGTAGCCAGATCTGCTTGAGGTGGGACGGGACCTAGACTTCCGTTCCTTCGGCGACTCCACCAGACACTCGTGCCTTGTTCCGCACACCGATTGTGCTTTTGAGCTATCTCACAAGAAAACTGGAAGAGGCTTGTGGAGACTCCTGGACACGTGTTTGGCCCCAGTCCAGCAACCGGCACCCGCAATCATATTGGACCCGCTGGGGGTTGATACCACACGCCCAATGATGAGATTGCAAACTGTCAGAAAACACACCGTCAGAACTCTGAATGCCACCTCTCTCGAATAATGGCTGGTCGACCGGCGAACACTCTGGAAATCTGGAGTACGAAAAGAGAAAAATGGCATTGGAACGGCGGCGACACGGCTCGAACACCTCCGAGTGACCCTAGACACTCAAAGATTCTGTAGATGGGCCAACACAGGTACATTCTAGCCGCTTTTGCGAGAGGATCTATAGACGATCTTGATACTAAATGACTCAAGAGCGCCGGGAAACTTTTGCGGACGACTGGCTTGTACCTGGCGACGAGCGGGTCGTGCCGTCGAAGAGCCACGACCGCATCGTGGTCAACTTTATACACCTTTTTTATACTCATCGACCCTGGCAGGGGTAAACGTTCATGGCCGCCTGACTAGTATTGGCGGCTAGAAAGAAACGGCGCCACTTCCAGAAGCGAAGGAACCACTCTGCTGGTACCGTGCTTTCTCACCGAGACAGATGTGATAGACTTTACTGCTCCGAAGCACCCGGTGAAGATGGGTCAAAGAGACTGCAGTGTGCTCAATTTACGTCGGCATGGCCTTCCCTTTGCCACAATTACGAACCCGAGGCGGTAGTACGAAGCGACCAAAATGTTTGACAAGGCTCACAGAGTCACAGCCAGCAGCTGGGAGCTGCCGGGCCCTGACCATACTAGTAGCTGGTATGTTACAACGTCAAGCTACTAAATCATCTATTATTCGGAACGCATCGTCAGTGCCAAGCTCGTCACGAAGACTTGCCCACATTCTTTTTCATTGTGCGGATCTGAGTCTCAAGATTTTCATTTCGCTCCGAGAGCAATAGAGCTAGGGTTGCATTTCAAGCTGGTTTTTCAAAGTGTTGCAACTTTCACACCGACTCGGTGGATATTTTCCGGAGAGCAAGTTCCCTCCTGTACGACGTAGGAAGGGCGTCACCGGTTTCCGGCTTTTTCTCTTCCATATCCAAGACTTCTTCTTGTTCGTGGGCGATTTCTGACAGCGACGCGGAAGGTCACGTCCCGACGGTATGGCACGCTAGGCTAAAGCCCGGACCGAAAGCGCTGCCCGTCATTGGACTATCCGGGTTTAGTGGGCATCACAGCCTCCTCAGGCCCCCCCTGTCCCGTGCCACATCTGCGAACCGGCTCGCAGATGGCCCAGGCAGGAAACGGGACGTCTTTGGCGGGTATGCCCACATTGTTGTGGTCCTACGCAAGGCCGCGAAGCGGATACGCCTGTTCTTTCAGCCGTGGAGCGTACAGTATCCCTTCTGCCAGGTCAATCACAGCCAGTTCGGGTGATTGCGCCGAAGCGGGCAACAGAATGGAAACTTAATCATGACCAGCTACGGAGCACGACTGTTGAAAGCAGAGACGGGGGCGTTGAAGAGCGGCCGCTGAAGCTTTGACCTCTAGTTCAACCCGATAGCCAACCCGATGCAAACGACCTCACGGCGGTCGTTCCGTCAACATCTGAAGACTGTTTCAGACGTTGCTTTTGGGATCCCGACAGGGCTGCGCCCCATCCCCTTATTTCGCTTTTCCCATGGTCGACCTAGCAACTCCTACCGAGACGGTGAGTCCCTGCACCGTCTGCCTTGTTATCCTCCGAGCCCGTCGCCCATTAGGACGATTCGACCGATGGGCCGTCAACATGTGGCGCAAGAAAGGGCCTATAGTTTTGAAGACCAGAAGTTGAAGAGAACTCGCTGACAGAAGTCTTCCGTCCATGGTAATACCGGCTTCATCAGTTTCTGAACAGTCGGGATCGCAATGCTGATGTCCCGGAGTTAAAACGTTACCGAGACGAGGCCGTCTGGAGTCTGGGATCAAATTCAACCACCCGTTCTCCTGCTTGTCCTCGAATCATCACACATCGAACAAGCTCAGGTTCAACGCGATCTTCGAACCGACCAGAGAGGTTTACTTGCGCGTTCCTCAAGCTCCTAGGGCGTACAGCACGACTCCAAATGTTGGCGAGCCGGTATTCACCAGGTGGCTGCACCGAACGGGTGCAGTGTCCAAGCTCAGCAACTGCTCACCCACTGTCTCCACTTCAACGTGCCTTGGTACGTTTCAGTACTTCGTGACCCGCCTGAAGCGAGGGTGCATTGGGCGCTCTCTGCCCTGGTTCATTACCCATTTGTAGTCCTGGATCTATCAAGCAATCTGGCGGAACACCCGATAATATCGGTTGTTGATCTGGTGCCTGATGTTTCTAGTTTACTACGACTCTCAGAGCAGAGGCCAGGGATGACCATATGTGGATGCCGGAGCACGCATTCCAGAAACAGTTGCATTTTTCTAGCTCGGAGCGAGACGTTTTGACCTCCCCATCGTGTCCGCTGGCGGTAACATTTAGTCCAACACTGATATGCATGGTTTTCTATTGATTTATCTTCAGCATGACTTACTCGCCGTGTCAGAAGTTCAGAGCTGTTTTCTAAACGAGTCCTCGCGGTAAGTCTGGCATTGAGTCTTACCTCAGTCTGTTTCAAGACAAACGCTGGAAGGATACAGCCATGCTGATATGAATCGTCCCAAAGCTCCGCTTGTATGGTGGAGATGGCATCTTCCCTGGTTTTTTGTGAGTGCTGCTATACATAATAATCGTCTCAGGTCAGCACGATGATTTGATTATTCCAATGATATGGGCCTGTGTTTCTGGATGAAATTCCTCCTGCTATCTCCGCATATGTCAGCTGTTCAATCAAGCTTTCCGCCAGCTTACTTGCCCAAGCGGTGTGCGATGCCGCCTTCGCTGCTGTTAGGTGAGGCAGGGCATCGTCCGGAGCTGTGGTTGGCCTATCTTTATCACTTCTTCGGGTATTGCAAGGCCGACGAAACGCCCACCTTACAAGAGCGGCTGCCGTCTGTGTCATCGGCTTCTTGCCGCCCGCGGCCCTGGTTGGCACACAGAAACTTCCTGAGAACAATTTGAACCTCGCTTTCAACGGTGATGACCAAGAGCTTCGACACCGTGTCCTGCAGCACACTGCAAGATACCTGAGATTGACTTCCGCGGACCTCGGCCTTCCCCGGACATACCACGCTGTACTTTGGTATCTAGGAAGTACCTACTGTATCTGGCCCTGCATCTATTTCCGGCCCAATCCATCCCTCAACATCACCCTCCTACTTTGGACCAGTACATGTAAGGTAGGCAGGGATGGCGGATGGTGGATGTAATGCTGACTGGCTAGTTTCCGCACCCAAAAATATATCCCTGTATCTGGAATACCACGGGAGTGTATTCCAGGCTTGTTCTTGAGTTAAACAGCCCCAAGCTTTACCAAGCATTCGGTACACTATGCGTGCTTACGCGTAAATAGGTACCTATTGTGGTAATGCTTGCTTGCCAGATTCGGAGTTTATCCGCGAGATGACTGTCAGCTGTATTGCACAGCCTGCCTACCACGAAAAAATACTGGCTATTCAACGCAGCCTTGTCTTGCTCCACCATATCAGCAGAGCACCCAGCCCCCAGCCTTGTATGTGGTGCACAGGTACCAAGTGATTGAGCGACCAAATTTGGCGCACAGTCGCCGCTCAGACCATGTCTTCCTTGGACAAAAATATCACGGACAATCGGCTCACAGTCCCAGCCGCATTCGTTCCATCTCGACCTCGGGCTCGCGATCAGCTTACAATGATCGGTATGACCGGTTGCTTTAGACTAATGCCGATTGCGGCGCATGAGAGCTGACCAGTACCCGTCTTAGAGGAGACTTAGCGGTCATGGCCGGATTGCAGCACCTTTTCGTGAGTTCAGCTGCATCCTACGGCCTGCTTCCAGCGGTGCAAAGTCTGGAGTGGAGTTTGTGAGGACAGTCTCGAGTAAACATATATAAGAGGTGTGATGCCGTCTCAGAGTACACATTCAATCGTACAGACAAACAAACAGTCACACAACCAAGACTCACAGACTCACCGTACAGCAGCCAATCTTCTTCTTTTATACTTGTCAAATCAACGAGCTGAACATACCCGACACAATGAAATCATTCGTGGCCGCATCTCTCCTCGCCCTCATCACCGCCTCAGTCGCGGCACCTTCGGCGACCTCATCATCGAGACTTCGATTCGGAAAGCGCAACAGCCCCAACGGTTGCGGCGCCGACCCGGGTCCGCAGGCAGTGATTGACGCGATCAACGCATGGAACTCGGACGTCCAGACAGTCAATGCATTCCTCGAAGCGGCACCGACCTTGGACGCCGTCGGCATCGACTTGCATATTGAAAATGTGTTGAATGCGGCCCAAGACGAACCGAACCAGCTGCAGGTGCTGGCGTGCAACGAGGGCGTCACACCCGGCACAGCGGCGCAAGCGGCCGCAGACGACTTGTTCAACGGGTTCGGAAACAACGTCTTGACCCCGCTAGGCAACATCCTGGCCAACTCGGGCGACACCGCCGTCGTCCATGCCAATCTGGATACGATCAACCAGTTCCGCTGCTGTAATGTCCTCCCTGACTTGGATACTTTGTGGACTGCCACGGCCACCGATGAGGGCGTGGCTAACGTCGTTCCCCTTGCGCCTCCGCGACCTACTACTTGTGCTGCCATCACCTGTTGAAGGGTGATTGATTGATTAAGGCCTAGTAAGATGGATCTGTTGCTAGAAGAGAGATAATTGTGGGTGGCAAACATGGTTGTGCTTGGTTTGTGTTTTGCATTGCGAAGACTGAAGACTTTGAACGCGATCACTTTAAGTTGGGTTCGAGGAGCTGGGGCCTTGAGAGAAAGGGGCATGGAGGCTATCTGTCCTCGTCCATTCGCTCTTTATGGGTTTTAATTAGAATTAGTATTGGCTCTACATTAGTATTGTATGGACATATCGTCGTCGTTATCAAATCGTTCAACTCAAGCTGGATAGGGGTTGCGCTTTTGCCCTGATACTCTTGCGACTGAGTGACTTATTATCACACGTTGAACAGTCGATACTTACCAGGTACTAGCATGACTGTGCTAATCATCTCCATTTGGATGGGTGGGCGATATGCGGCCACAGCTTCACTTACCGTGCGACTGATGAGAGTATCGCTGTCGTCTACAACTTGAACATTGTAAGCTGTCGTCTGGCGGTCTGGTAGTTTGTCATCAATCTTATATCAGCCTCTTAGTCAGCCTCAGCTTTCAGCCGAACTGCACGTGCTGCACCCCGCGACACGTCAGTCCCAAGCCGTGTAGTACTGCACAGTGTTCGTACAGTAGGTAGGTAGATGGGTATTAACGGCGCATGGGGCCACCGGCTGAAACACTGCAACTTGAACTACGATCCACTGTCTCATCCATAGTCTTGGTACTGATACTGGCATACAGACGACGGCTTCCCTTCCAGGACATCACTTGCCTCTCGGTCGCCTCCGTCTGCTCCTCTCCCACAGCCTTGACACCGAGAACAAACTCCCCCTGTCCGACCTCTATTCCTGAGCGCAGCCTTGTCGATCTCCCTTATCTCCTCTCCCAGAGAACCGCGATCACCATTGGTTTGTGGGTTATCTGAACGCTCACACATCCTGCCGCCGCGATGTCATCGCAGGCTGGAGCCGCGGCGCAGAAGCCTCAGATCCAGCCTTGTCGGTACAAGACAGGTAGAAGTGATGGTCTCCAGGTCCCGATGCTCTCGGCTTACATGTACAAGGGAAAACGCTGGGTGCGGGCTCATACTCGGTGGTCAAAGAGTGTGTCCACATAGACACGGGTCGATACTATGCCGCCAAAGGTCTGTTCACACCATTACGGTCCAGCCACAACACACATTGCTGAGTTAGCGCAGTCATCAACAAGCGACTCATGGCCGGGCGAGAACATATGGTGTGTGACTGCTGGACTGCCTGGAAGTTGATCCATGAATTGACGTTGTCAACACTATAGGTGCGCAACGAGATTGCAGTGCTGAAACGGGTGTCGGTGGGACACCGCAACATTTTGACACTCGTCGACTACTTTGAGACGATGAACAATTGTACGCATGACATAGACGCACACAGGCCTGTGGCACTCCAACGTTACACGTTCTGACTGACTCTAGTATACCTGGTGACGGACCTAGCACTGGGAGGAGAATTGTTTGACCGCATATGCCGGAAGGGCTCATACTACGAATCGGACGCGGCCGACCTCATTCGAGCCACTCTATCCGCAGTAGCATACCTGCACGATCACGGCATTGTGCATCGGGACCTCAAACCAGAGAACTTGTTGTTCAGGACACCCGAAGACAATGCAGACCTTTTGATTGCGGATTTCGGCCTGTCGAGGATCATGGACGAGGAACAGTTCCACGTTCTGACCACGACATGCGGTACACCCGGCTACATGGCGCCCGAAATTTTCAAGAAGACCGGACATGGTAAACCTGTGTACGTACTGAACTTATGTCTTTCGTTGCCTCTTTACTGACTTTGAGGCTACAGGGACATCTGGGCCATCGGTGTCATCACTTATTTTCTTCTATGCGGCTACACGCCTTTCGACCGCGAAAGCAACCTTGAAGAAATGCAAGCCATCCTCGCCGCAGACTATTCGTTCACACCGGAGGAATACTGGCGCAATGTGTCGCAAACGGCACGAGACTTTATTGATCGGTGTTTGACCATCGATCCTCGAGCCCGGATGACGGCACACCAAGCTCTGCAGCACCCCTGGATCAAACCTGAGGACCCCACCAGCCCCGAAAAGGGCGCCGAAGAGGGCCAGGACTTACTCCCGACGGTGAAGAAGAATTTCAATGCTCGTCGCACTCTTCATAAGGCCATCGACACCGTCCGGGCGATTAACAAACTCCGGGAAGCTGGTGGATTGATGGCCGGCCAGATGGACGGCGCCATGAGCGTGGATCCTAAACCAAAGTCGGAAATTGTCAATGGCAGTAAAGTGCTCAACGACCAGGGCCAGGTCATTCATGGCGAGGAGGCTAGAGGCCCCGTCACCTCGCAACAGCACTCCGAGGCTAATGATGGTGGACATGGCCCAGACGCCATGGAGATTGATTCTCGCGGCAATGCTCGCGGTCAAACTGAGGACCAAATCCGGCGGCAACAGGAGAAAATCGCCAATACTGTTAGCGGGCTATGGGGACGCAGGCATTGATGAAGACGAAAGCGGGTCTATCCCTCCGTCCTCGTCTTCGCCGGTCGAATGCCGTAGACAGAAAGCCAACAACCTATAAAAAAAGGTCAGGGATTGGCCACGGCACTCAGTGATGATGACCGAGACAACAACATATCAGTTCCCTTTGTAGTTGCTCAAGATAGGACGGGCAGATGGCCGGGTAACGTGTCTGTTTTCTGTGTGTGAACGACGCAACGCAGGCTTATTTCATGCATGTCCAAGTCAACCGTGGGTTTACAGAGGCGCGGGCTGTCCGGCTCTCAGGTTCTCATGCTCTCATTCGGGAATGGTCCAGGGAATCGGAATCGGATCATATGCCCGCAAATTTCGAGACGTCAGATACAGTAACATGAATACTACTAGGTATCTATGATGACCATGAATAATGCGATACATCACACTCACACAGCGAGAGTCACTTATAGTAGGCGGACAATAGAAGAATAGCACAAAACAGGTCCAGGCCCAGGTCGTACTGTTTGGTGTTGTTTGGTTCCTAATTCTCATTTGGAATTTTGTCTATCTGTCCGAACGGACGGACAGGTGGTGAGTCTCTCTGTATCTTATCTATCCAGCTCAGATAGCTCTACCTTGGGTAGGAGGTAGCCAGTCTCTCGACCAAGTTCAGCAGAAGCACAGCTGCCGCAGCAAAGCAATTCACCAATCCATCCACATCACATTACTTATCCGAAGACTCTGCTGATGGTGCCTTCATCTTTCTCCCTGCCATCAAGAATGATTGGAGAATGTCCAATCAAACCATTTCGATCCCATGAACCTCGCCCCAAACCTGCTCTCTCGCGCATGGATTATGATCGTAATGGCCATCATTTGGATCGACTTGATGGTCTTGCGCACTGCTGTTTCCGTTGCCCGCTGATTTGTTCGTATTCGTGTTGGTCTTGTTGGTGTTGTGGCCCTGTGTGCTGATAGCACGCTGAAGTTGGTTCAAGTTGCTCTCGTCTGCCGCGGCGAACCTACCGCCGAGAAAGATGTGGGAGAAGGCGAACCAGGCGGTGGTGAAGAAGAGGATACTAAAAAGTTCCCAAGGGTTAGCACTTAGTCCGGGGTTTGGAACCAGAACAGATGACCCAACCCGGCAAGCCAGTTGGGTCATCTTGTCCCAGCTAGAACCTAGTCTGCTTTCGCAGCTAGATCCTCCTCCGCTTCGCAGCTAGATCCTCCTCCGCTTCGCAGCTAGATCCTACTCCGCTTCGCTCCGTAGGATTTAGTTGTACTTACCATTCCAACACCCCAACAGCAATACTGCCCCTCGCAGCAGCACAGGCATCGACACCCTCACCGCAGAAATCAATCTTATGGCGTCTCAGATGATCGGCGATAGATGCAAATCCGCCCAGCCAGAAAATAGCGGTGGTTGTCTCGGCGGCGAGCATGGCGAATGGGTTGGCGAGCAGGGGGAAATAGCGGGGACAGATGATTGTGTAGGGAACCGTGATGAGCATGGTGAAGACGGCGACGAAGATGTAGAAGACGACGGAGCTGGGGACGGTGGTGATCGTTGTGGGTGGGCCGAGGGTTTCGGTGTTGATTGCATTTGCAACTAGAAAGACAAAAAATTAGCTTGGAGTCTGAGGTTTGAGGTTTGTAAGTCGAGGGTTTGAGGCTTGGGATGGTAAGGGGATAAGAGATGGCAGAGGACATGAGGAGAGAGGTAGTGGGCGATGTCTTTCAAGGGAGAGGATATGAGGGAGAGAGAGGTGGCGGATGTGACTTTTACTTACCCGTGGCTCCGAGGGACATGGCAATGAATGCCAGAACGCCCTGGACCATGCGGATGGCAAGAACTGGGTTGAAAGGCATCTTGGATCGAGACGCGGGTGCTGTTCAGATAATTCGTTTGAGGAGAAAGGTGCGCTGCTGCTCCGAGAGCCGGCGCGTTGCTTGTCGGGATGTTGTGGAGATAGAGAGGACAGAAGAGGCAGAGGTTTAAAAGTTTGAAGTGTGTGTCGGACTCGTAGAGCGGATCTAAACGTTGGTGGTTGTAGAGATCGGATCAAAGACAGGAAGAAAGAGACGGCCGGAAGGTTGGTTCGATTCTCGCTTGCGCAGGTTGTTGACGAGACTAGAGCCCAAGTCTGGATTTTGGGTCGAGTGGGCTTGGAAGAACCGAGGGCGGGCAGCTGATAATGGCTACTTGTTGATGCGGGTGAACAGACCAGATAGACTAGAGAAAGCAGTGCAGAACAAGTGTGCGGGACGTCTTCTTTCTGTCCAAGACAATCAATTGTCGAAGAGAGCGCAGGTGCTGATAGCACAATCAAGACGCACCAGTGCGCAAGTTGACTGAGGCTGGAATATCCCGGAATGAACAGGCAGGCAGAAGAACCAAAACAGAACAATCAAAAACCAACCACAGTACGCTGATATTTCCCGGCAGGCTATTGTGTAGAGACCGGCTCAGCCGCGAGAGAGACAGAAAGACAGAAAGACAGGTATGCATAACGCGAGACATTAGTCTTGATAAAATGAAAACCTTGTAGATGCTTGCTTTCTTGCTAGGCGCGTTGGCCATATTCATCCTCTCAAACACGCGAGACTCACCGTAAGCATGCAGCCTTGTTTGGTGCATTGCCAGATTGTTTGTTTGAGATATGGCTGACGACAATTACATGCATGGATAACCGTTGACAGAAGGCGACAAGCGCGCGAGGGGTATGTTGGAGAGAGAGCATGAGAGGAAGAAAAGACAATAAAGGACTGATATGAAACAAGTGAGAAGCGAGGTCGCGGCCTGACAGATGGAATCAAAGTTGTGGAGCCAAGGCTGAATGAGTGAGACAGTGCTTGTTTCAGGGGTCGGCAGCCTCGGCCCCAGCGATTCGATGACAGCCACCTATTTACAGTACAGCGCACACTGCTCACACGCTGCCAATTGGCCATTAAAGGTTGAAACAAGCAGAGAAACATCATCAATCTGTGTCAATTCATCGTGTTCCACTTGCTCTGCGATTGAGTCGAGATTTTAGTCTAAACATGGTATACCCCGACGCCGATTATATCCATGCTATCCCTCTTGCTATTTAACAAAGAGTTGAGTCGACTACAACTACATTTCTGTCCTACTGAGCCCTAAGCACTCACCACCTCCAGCACTCCACCTTGATTGCCATTGTCGACGTGGTTAGGCTGTCTCTTCCTCTTCGTGATCATCCCGCCTGAATACAGGATGATCGGTGGAATGCCTACAGCACACCAGATTGCCATCGTCCAGGTCATGGTCTTCCACCCCGCTGCCGACCGGACGGCACCCGAAACCAGCGGGCCGATCAAACTACCACCCGCCCACGCGACGTTGAAGATGCCATAGCTTTGACCATATGCCGACTTGCCAGCGAACAGGTCAGGGTCCTGGCGCACTTTGGCGTCACACACCTTGCTGAATTCGGCCATCAAAGAAGTCAGCAGAAGAGCAGTTGCACTCCCAAGTAGGACCAGGAGCGCGCAAAGCAACACGGCCTGGCCTGTCGTATCATGATCGACCAACCGAAGCAAGACCCAAAAAGGCACACAGAGCAACAGACCCGATGCGGCGATCCAGCGTGGTCCGTATTTGTCGGTCCAAACTCCTATGATAGGACCGGCGAAGCTCGGAGCAAGCAGTGCGATGAAGACCAATCCTGCACCCAGAGCGTCCCATCCGAATATCTGGTTGACATACAGCGGGAGGGTGGTGTCGATGGCGGTGAAAGTCATTGACCCCACGAGATTGCCCCAGAAGGCGGCGAGAATGCGGCGGGATTTCAGAAGAATCAGTAGAGGCGGCAACTTTCGTTTCTTTCTGCGGGGACCAGAGTTTTCTTCCGCAGCAGCCGCACGCGAGGTCTCCTCTTTCTCTCCCACAGCGGTCGAATCTGTGGCTTGTGCCCGATTCTCCAGTGGGACATCAGTCCCTGTTCCTTGGGTGGCCTGGGATGACCGGCGAGCAGGCGATTCGGGCTCCAACCATTTTGCGGCAATCTTCTTCTCGATCAAAGCCAATCTCAGTAGAATGTCGAAGCCGATAATGGCAAAAGTGACCCCAAACACGGCATAGTATCCCGCCCGCTGGTACACAACACCTCCGATCAAAGGAGCCACCAGGACGCCCAAAGAGGTAGCCATGCTAACATAGCCGATGGCCTGACCGGCTTCCTCCTCCTTGACAGTGTCGGCCAAGAGTGCCAGGGCAACCGTCCACACGACCGAGGCTGACGCTCCCTGCAACAGCCGGCCAACCACAAGAATCGGAATCGTCCTGCCCAGACATAACATGAGAGTCGAGCCGGCCAGGACGATCAGTCCGAGAAGCAAGGGAGTCCTCCGAGAGTGTGTACGGTCGGCTACCCATCCAAAGATAGGGGCGAAGAATAGTAGTGCAGCGGCATATACGGCCAGAAGCACCGAAACCCAGTGCTGAGTGTCCTGGTGAGACACATGCACTCTGTCTTGGAGTGCGAATGGGACGACAGGCACGATGACACCGTAAAGAAAGATATCCTAACATGCACATGGATCGTTAGGATTCGTTCGACCGCGGTTTTGAAACGAGAGCAATATAGTCGCAATGCGCAAAGGACTCTCCTGACTTACAGTGAAAACCGACCAGCACACCGCGAACAAGATGAACACCTTGGATGAACGAAACTCGAGACAGATCGGCCTTTGTCCACGAAAGGGGATGATCCGGTCCAGTAGCGCGTCTCGCTGCTTCCATACATCCATCGCTTTTTGCTATCTTCTTGTCACATTTCTCGCAAGGTAAGAAAGAGAAGCCCAGAGTCGAGGGACCGAAGTCATCTAGACCGCTCGACGATCGACGGACGGCAAAGGAAAAGAAAGCATCATCATGATTCGATCAAGCATTACATAAGGCGGGTCCAATTTCTGAGCAGCAAAGTTCGGCTCCGGCCATGTCCGACCAAATCCGCCCAAAGCCGGACATCCAAGCTCGCGTCTTCACTCTTAAACCAAATGCGACACTGGCAGCTCAAAATACACATCACCTCCATAGTGGGACGCTGTGTCTGTTGATGGTGCAGCTGACCGACCAGAAATTCTTTGCCCGGGGTGTTACTCAGATAGACAGTACTGGATGTGAAGGAAGTTCCACGCTTTCTGGCGCGCCATGCGTTGTGGTGATGCCAGGCAGCACCATGATCCTCGCCGAACCTCACGCGCTCAGGATTAACTGTAGAACCAGGCATGCATCAATGGTCAGTTCCCAGGGCGACGATGAGCTGAAGTTCACTGACGCATAAGTGCCGCGCTATTTGCTTGTTGACGGTCAGTTGCCTGGCCCCGACGATGTTTCCCTTCACTCCCAAAGCGCATTTTGGGGGTGGGATATTAGGGTATCAGATGATATACTGTGAGTAGTGAAGACATTATTGGTATATATATGTCATTATCTTTGTTCAAGACTTCATCCCAACAACAAAGTTCGAGAAACCCTGGCTCAGCATGGTTCGGTACACGACTCTTGCAATCCAAGACCATTCTTAACCCACAAAGAACCGGCTCATCAGGGGATATCTTACCCTTGGAAACTTAAGCATGGCGAAGACGGCGGGATGCAGACGACTCCAGCTTCTCCTGGTGTTCTTCATGTCTTTTATGACCCTGAGCAGCGCCAATTTACCACAATTGGTGGTCCCTTTGCACACCAGCCTACAGGATCCGGGCCCAAAACTGCAGCAAGCGTTCAAGGATAGTGTGATGCTAGCCCGGGTTGTCGCATTGACATTCGATCCTTGCGAAGAAGTGTTCCTGCGCTACTTCACTGCCGAGGAGGCTGATTTTGTCAAGCATGCCTTCCGCACATTGGCAAATGTTCCGCTCGACGTGATGATCAATGAGGAAACTGATATCGGTGGACTTCTCGGCGCGCCCACATCGCCAGGCACCTTGCAACCAAAATTCGCCAACCTGGACATCGCCTTGGGAGACCATCCGGACATTCCAGCAGCGGACAGACTCTACGGCCATTTGTCTGAGGACGGGCTCCTCTTTGATGCGTATACATATCTTGACGTGGATGAGTTCGAGCTCAGCGATGAAGCCAGTCAAGTAGACATGATCTCATTGTGCGAGCAGTTGTTTCAATTTCCGTCCCTGGACGAAATTGAGCACCCACCTAATGAGCCATGGGCTCGGGATGCCCAAGGCAATCCGTTGCCCGGGTTCACATGCAATGGTCTCGGCAATACTGACAGTGACTGGATGGTCTCTCCCGGCGCCACGCTCCTGCACGAGCTCATGCACTGGAGTTACCTGTTCAAAGACATACCTGGGTTTTCTGGGTTGATCCGGCAGGATGAGGCTGGCTTGCCGCAGATCCGTGACTTTTCGCAACCCAACTCCAACCCGCCGGACGGAATGGGGGCGTATCATGCAAGACTGCTCAGAGACCTTGGGCCGTATACTGCCATTCAGAATGCGGACAGCTATCGCTGGTACGCATTGTCCAAGTACTGGACCTGGAAATGCAAGCGAGGATTTGCAGCGGCCACGAGTGACTTGGACGTCTATAAAAGGGGTCCGAGGACGAGCGCTAGTCAGCCAGAGATGGCTGCTGCTGGAGAGGAGGCAAGCGGCACGGGTCAATAGGAGCTCAGCAATGGAGAACTCGCGCATATGATGGGATATACAGCATTGTACAACTTGAATGTAGTACTGCGAGGCTGTGACGGTGATGCCACTGCAGCGTTCACCGGGCCGATGTTGATCCGCTGCCCCTCCATCTTTGGACTGATAAGATAAGGACAACAGATCCGGGGGCCATTCTCTGCAGGCACACAACGCAGGTTGCGAGGAGTGATCGATGGACCTTCGGCCTGGTATCAAGTACTGAGGAGTGGCATCCAGGACTGATGGAGGATGTCACCCAGTAAAGGGACGCCCGTGCCAGACAGCTGGATTTGCCCATCTTTGGATCGCAGATTGAGCCGTTCTGACAGGCTCCCCGATGCCCGGCATCGCCTGCGTCAACCCTCTCTCTGGGACCTTCATCTCGAACCACCAACGCAACATGGCCGCCTGGCTCGCCAATTCAACCAGTCGCTCCACTAGTACTGGTGCCATCCTTTTCAACTTCTTTGGCGTTCGCGTCGTCGGAGCAATGGTCGTCGGAAACTTGAACTGCGAAAATGGCAAAGGCAGAACTGGCGTGGGTTGGCGTCCGATCACGCAATCGTCCAGAACCCCAAACTAACCGCAGTTGCGGGGGAGGAAAAGCGACACTCTCGACGAGAGCTTCAATCGCACACAAAGGCCCAGGTTGTCCTCCTTCCCGCCCTTCTTGCTCTCAGGAAATCTTTTCTATAGGCTATCTTGCTTCCGTTTGACCTTTTTCTGCCTCTTCACCTGTATATTTGCTTCTGAGACGTGGTTGTGCCCTTGACGAAACGACCTCTTGCTGTTCAGCCTTTACACAACCTTGCCTGTAGGATCAGGTCACTTCCTCCACCATGTCTTCCGACGACTACGTTCAGAAGTTCGAAACCCTTCAGATCCATGCCGGTCAATCTCCCGACCCGGCAACCCATGCCCGTGCCGTGCCTATCTACCAGACCACCTCGTTCACCTTCGATGACTCGGCTCATGGCGCGAGGCTGTTTGGCCTGAAAGAGTTTGGCAACATCTACAGTCGGATCATGAACCCAACGGTTGATGTGTTTGAGAAGAGAATTGCAGCTCTCGAGGGAGGTGCCGCAGCGGTGGCCACGTCCTCAGGTCAAGCGGCACAATTCATGGCCATTGCCGCTCTTGCACACGCCGGGGACAACATTGTCTCCACCTCCAACCTGTACGGAGGCACCTACAACCAGTTCAAGGTCATGTTCCCGCGCTTGGGCATTGAGACCAAGTTCCTGACCTCGGAAGCCCCCGAAGATTTCGAAAAGGCCATCGATGACAAGACCAAAGCGGTCTATGTCGAGACCATCGGCAACCCTCGTTACAACGTTCCGGACTTCGAGGCCATTGCCAAAGTCTGCCACGCCAAAGGTGTCCCTCTGGTGGTGGACAACACTTTTGGAGCTGGTGGCTATTTCTGCCAACCGATCAAACACGGTGCCGACATTGTGGTGCACAGCGCGACCAAGTGGATTGGTGGTCACGGTACCTCGATCGGCGGTGCCATTGTCGACTCGGGCAAGTTTGACTGGGTCGCGAACGCTAAGAGATTTCCCCAGTTCAATGAGCCTGCTCCGGGTTACCATGGTCTGAAGTTTGCGGAAACTTTCGGTGCTCTGGCCTTCATCATCCGGGTGCGCGTGGAGATTCTGCGTGATCTGGGTGCTTGCCTGGCTCCGTTCAACTCTCAACAATTCATTCTGGGTCTCGAAACCCTGAGCTTGCGATGTGAACGCCACGCCTCCAACGCGCTGCAGCTTGCCAAATGGCTCGAGAAACACCCGAACGTCGCCTGGGTGTCGTACCCGGGATTGGAGAGCCACCCGTACCATCAGATTGCGAAGAAATATCTCCCCCGCGGCTTTGGCGGTGTCTTGTCGTTCGGTGTCAAGGGAGGAGCAGAAGCAGGCCAGCAAGTGGTGGATAATTTCAAGTTGATCTCGAACCTGGCCAAGTAAGTTGTCACCAACCCTCAAAATCTGCAACACTGACGGTGGTTACTGTAGTGTTGGAGACGCGAAGACTCTTGCAATTCACCCATGGACGACTACTCACGAACAGCTCACCGAACAAGAACGGTACGACTCTGGGGTAACTCCCGATGGCGTCCGCATTAGCGTGGGAATTGAACATATCGACGACATTATTCACGATTTCGAACAAAGTTTCGCGGCCAGCAGTGCTGCTCGACCGGATGCGGAGGCCAACAAGGACAATGCCACGACTGGGGCGAAGCCGACTGTTGATGCCAAACTCAGTGGGGCCACCTAAATTTCTATATCTATAGTTGATTGCAATGTCTGATCATGGTCTGGTTCGCATAGGACCGAATCTCTAGACGAAGAGCTCTGCGAGTGCGAGAAGGGTACCTACAGTAGGTATGTGTAGGGTTGTCTCTACGGTCGGGGTTTAGGTTGGGTAGCATCCCCGTCAAAGGAGCCCGCGGCCCCCATGAGAAGCGAAAAGCGACGAGCCAGGCAGGATGATGACACTGCCAGTAGCCGGGGATCGATTTAGTCCGGGGTTGTCTCGCGGGATGGTCCATTGGTAGTTAGATCCAAGATCCCGACATACAAGATACAGACGTGGCAGAAGTTGAAATCCTACCTCTGCTCATTTTCACATGTCTCTATCGTTCGGCTTTGACCGTGTGCAACGGCAGTATCAGCCTTCAAGGCGGGTCACCTTACGATTCGATCCAATTGCGTACAACGTGCAAAAATAATAATAATAATGTAGACTTCGGACGCTCCGATGCATCGAGAAGTCAAGCCCGGAAGTGGTCCACATGACCCCGGAGAGAGATTGACTAGAGACATGCACAGGCGTCTTTTTTCCCCAGATGCCGAGGTATTTTGAAGCTGTGGACTCGGAGTGAGACGAAGTAAGGCGAGACGAGACGCGAGATGGTCAGACGGTGAGACGCTCCAACAGCCGCTGGCACGAATCGCAGTGTAAGCCTGGTTAAGCGATGTCGCCAGAGAAGCGACGAAGCGAGGGAGCATTGCTGCTAGTACGTTGTCGTAGTACTTAGAACTGTCGGTCATGGACTCATCATGTGGGCTTCTGCCTTCCATTATCCGACCCTTTGCCAGTCGTCAGCAAGGCCTTTCCAGGTCAGCGCCAGTGGATTCTACCTTGATGATGGATGGATGGATGGACAAATGACCGAATGACTGCTTTTTGGACAGTACTTGATGCTACATCCGTTGTACAATTCCCTTGTGCACGCACAGGTAAATATGGGCATGTCATGTCACCCGCTCCCTTCAACAACACCTCCTACCACCAGCCATTCCCCGTCTCTACCACATCTCGTCTCCTTTGTTCTCTCTTCCTCTTTCTTGCTTCCTCTTTCTGCCTGACTACTAGTACATCATTGGTGCTGCGCCGTGCTTTCCCTCGATCTTGGTCTCGTGTCCACCATGCCACTGCCGTCTCTTCTTTCCTCCAAACCTCCCCATCTGCAAAAGGCAGAGGAATATCACGACCCGCTTCCCCAGGGCGAGCCATGTTCCATTACTGTGCCAGGATCCGACAAGCCCGGTCGTACGCCCGTATATCGACACCATAAATGTCGCGATGGCCTCCTCCAAACCCTCGACCCCTCCGTCCGCACCGGCCACGATATGTTCGAGTCGGCCGCGCAAAGATATCCCCATGCGCCGTGCCTAGGATACCGCCCCTATGATTCGGCCAAGAAGACGTTTGGTCCTTTTGAATGGTTAGACTACGAAACAGTACAAAAGAGACGAGCAGACTTTGGTGTTGGGATTGTCGAGTTACACGCAAGAGAGGGCATCACCGGGACTGGTTATGGTGTCGGTCTGTGGTGTCAAAACCGACCGGAATGGCAGTTGACCGACCTGGCCTGCATGTCCCAGTCATTGTTCTCCGTTTCGCTCTACGACACTCTCGGTCCCGAAACCTCTGAATACATTATCCGGCACGCCAACCTTGCCTGCGTCGTGTGTTCTTTGCCGCACGTGCCCACTCTGCTCAAGCTGAAGCCACGGCTGCCGAACCTCAAGATCATCATTGTGTTGGATCCGCTTGGAACCACAGCCCCCAATGAGAAACCGGAGCTGTCGAAACAAGCCCTGCTCGATTCGCTGGCCGCGGATGTCGGGCTCAAGATCTTTTCGCTGGAGACGGTGGAAAAGTTGGGCGAGTCGTTGAAAAGACCATACACTCCGCCGAGACCATCAGACCCCATAACCATCAATTATACGTCTGGCACGACGGGCCCTCCTAAAGGGGTTGTCTTGACCCATGCCATGGCCGTGGCGGCCACATCTTCCTCTCTCTGTTCATCCAAGCTCGACCAGTCCGGAGTCGGCCTCAGCTACCTGCCCCTAGCGCATATCTACGGCCGACTCCTCGAACACACATCTCTTTGGGCAGGTGCTCGACTAGGTTATTTCCACGGCAACGTGCTCGAGCTTGTGGATGACTTGAAACTGCTTCGTCCGACGATTTTCGCATCGGTGCCCAGACTATTCAACCGATTTGGCGGCGCCATCAAGGCCCAGACAGTCGAACAACCCGGTTTCAAGGGGGCACTGAGCAGACACATTGTGCGGACGAAACTGGCCAATGCCGCCGAACCGTCGCCCAAATCCAAGTCGTCGCACAACCCAACACAATATCACGCTATCTACGACCGCATCTGGGGCCGCAAGGTCGCCGCGGCTCTGGGACTTGACCGCGCAAAGACGATGGTGTCCGGATCGGCGCCGTTGGATCCATCTCTGCAACAGTTTTTGCGCGTGGTCTTTTCGACCCGCTTCATCCAGGGTTACGGGCTGACGGAAACATATGCTGTTGCTTTGGCTCAACCTCCCGGTGACTTTTCCGTTGGCAACTGCGGCGGCGTAATGCCGTGTCAGGAAGCATGTTTACTGAGTGTGCCGGACATGGACTACACCGTGGACGACAAGCCTTACCCGCGTGGTGAACTGTTGCTGCGCGGCGAGTCCGTGTTCAAGGGATACTACAAGAACGACGAGGAGACGGCCAAAGCTTTTACGGAGGACGGCTGGTTCAAGACGGGCGACATTTGTACAGTGGACGAACTAGGTCGGTTTACTATCATTGACCGCCGCAAGAACGTCCTCAAGCTCGCTCAGGGCGAATATATCTCGCCCGAACGCATCGAGGGCGTCTATCTGTCTTCGTGCAGTTATCTCGCCCAGGCGTTTGTGCACGGCGACAGCGTGCAGACGTTTTTGGTCGGCATCTTTGGAGTGCAGCCCGACACGTTTGCACCCTTTGCGTCAAAAGTGTTGGGCAGGGATATTTCGCCGACCGATCTGGAGGCTATCAAGGCCGCCTGTGAAGAACCGAAGGTCAAGCAGGCCGTGCTTAAGGATCTTGACCGTGCAGGTCGACGGAAGAAGTTTGCTGGATATGAGAGAGTGCGCAACATTCAGTTGGCCCTCGAGCCGTTTAGTGTTGAAAACGACCTGTTGACTCCGACGCTCAAGTTGAAGAGACCTGTTGCGGCGAAGAGGTACCGTGATGTTTTGGATCGGTTATACGCTGAAGCGTTGGAGGAAGAGAAGAGGACTGGTGGTGCTAAGGCGAAGTTGTAGGGCTTTGGTTGCAATCAACTTTGTTGGCATTCAAGTTCAGATTTCAGATGCATCGGCCCGCATGATACTCCTAGAACTAGAACTAGATTCTGCATACTGGAACATTGGGCACTGAACACTGCATACTCGACAATAGTAGTAGTACTTGGTGTATATGTTAGGTAGGCACTGTGACTACAGGTAGGTAGACAGATACAAGAGAAGAGAAAAGATGAGACCTCAGCACCTTTATGTATTGTGGCACCATCTATTCCAACGCACCGCAGGGCAGGTGCAGGCCAAAAAAGATAAAACGAAAGCACCATTCGGAGGACAAGTACTTTATCCCAATCACGTTTTGACTAATCTGAAGATAGAGATGAAGACGACGAAGACGACGGAGGGATATCATGCCACACGCCGTTTTCATCCCAGACGCCCACATTGCTGTACCGTCCCGCGGAGCTGCCTTTGACCCAAGCGAACCTGAAGAATTCGGGTTCCGAGTCCAAAGACGTTGCTGCGTCCGCGGACGAGGTCTGCAAATCATCACCATCGTCATCGGCGAGACCGGGACCGTATCCAATATCGGTGTCATGATCATCATGACCGCTTTCCTCGGCCGTTAGATCTGGTCTCACATCCAAGGGTGTATTGCTCTCTTCTACCTCTGCGTTGCCAACATCTTCGCTGCTGCTGAGGGCATCTACTCCCAAAAGACCAAGATGATCTTTCCCATCCTCTTCTTGTCGTCTTGTTCTTCTCCTGCGGCTGCTGCTTTGGCCCTTGGGTTCTAGTGTCCGGCTCTGTCCGATCCCTGAAGAGGAACCAGGAATCGACCTAGTCTGCCGCCTCAAGCGGGGCAAAGTAACACCCTCCTGATACCAATAGAGTTCATCATCGACATATCCACGCCAGCGCTCGACATCATTAACCAAAATACTGACGCCATCGACACCCTTGTCTTTTGGCAACGGACCCCAATTGAATGTTATATTTGATGGCTTGACACCCGCCCAATTCACCACGGCAGTGACATTGGGCGATGTTGCGCCCCACCACGACGAGCCGCCGTGACCGGGCGTCTCACCGAGAGCGACGGGAGTTTGAATAATAGAATCGAATCCCCAGCGGGCAATACCGTTGACAAACAGACCCAGCAACAAGCCCTGGTAGATTAGACTTGGACGAACCTGGAACGCCGTGCCGGGCATGAACAACAGCGCCAAGATGTAATGATGGATCCGGAGGCGGAATCCTGGAAGTAATAGCAAAATAATGAGTGCCAGTCCCATGCTTGCGTAGATGGCGAGATAGCGCGGCATATTGCCCGACACGCGGATCCAGTGGATCTGAGTTGCGATAATCACCACGATCACTGAAACAATAATGGCCAGGGCTAAAGTCGCGCCCGGTTGTTCCAGATCATGAGGAGTTAATCTCTCGATTGGGATCAGGAGGGCAAAAGTGTAGTTGTTCAACGCGCCGATGAAGCAAAAGCCAAGGTACAGCACAGTCTTTTCGATCTGGGCGTCCAAACCCCGTAACAAGGGTAGTGCAGAAGTTCGGTAGAGAATGTATGACACAAATGCGGCAGGGAGCAGTCTCTCCATCAACTTGCTGATAGCCTCAGCAAAGTTGGCCGTGTTGGGTGGATCCGAAACCAGGCCGACGTGCAGAAACATGATGACAAACGTGCTGAAGAAGAAGACGGCCGGCGAAGTCGTGAACAGCGATAATATCACCAATGCGACTGCCGTCACGGCGAATAGCGGCCAGCGCGAATCCGTCGGACATTTCTCTTGGGACGCGGGCAGGCGTTGGAACGTATACGAGCGTGGAAATGTCGCGGGAAATTCGACGCTCTCTATCCCGTTCGCCTTGCTGGATTTGAAATGGCTGTGTGAGCCTACCAGCGTGGCGACGCCGCATCCTCCATTGGCGTCGGTTGTGATGCCGGCATGGATCGCTGCTTGGCAAATGAAGCTGTCGCCGCGGTAGATTGGATATCTGGATGCTGTTTGGTTTGATTCTCTGTCGATTTCTTCCTCCGGAACGTCAGGATCGGGCCCGCCGACCACCAACCCCGTGTATCGCAACGATTTGTTCCCGACAAATCGTTCTTCCAGCAAATGTGTGGATTTGCAGTTGGCGGGACATCGGAATGCCAAATGCGCCGAGGAAAATGGCCGACATTGGTTCCCGTTCAGTCCGCATCCGTCGCCTTCTTCCCAGAAACTCGCGCCGCACCATAGATTCTGCGGTTTGCCGTAGCCCCTGATGAAGCCCGATGTCGCGTGGTGTCGCAGCATCAGAGACCATGTCAGGAACCAGCATGCGTACAGTATGACTAGGAGTAAGATGCGCTGTTTCCGCCGAGGCGCATATTTGTCCAGTAAGCGGATCGGCGCTCGTTGGATCTTGGGGAAGATAGGCTCGATCCGGAGTGTTCGCGGCGGCACGGGCCCTTTGACCCAGGTCACTACGGCCCGGGAGGCTTTTCGTACAGATGGGGGTATCCATTTGTATCTGAATGACTGCGAGGCATCGCGGAGCCAGAGCGGAATAGGGAGCGCAGGTGATCTTGGGGAGGCCTCGGAGGGCGAGGCGGAGCGGATGTGCAAATCTCGGCTTACGGCGTCGTTGTCTTGCTCTTCGTCGGTCAGGACTGGGATGTCGGGGCTGGGATTCTCTTCATCGTCGTGGTACTGTGGGTGCATGGCTGGAGAGGAAAAGCAATGTATGTCTTAGGCTTGTGTATAGACTGCGCTGACTGCTAAAGATGAATGACGAACCGCAGGCTGATGCGGACAAACGTTTAATGTATAGCCATGGAGTTGACCCCTTCTAGACAAACACCCGGCTAATGTGCAAACGACGCTGGGAAAAGGATAGTTCGGACTGTATAGATAGATACTTATGTTGGCCGTTGAATGTTGGTGTTGGACATGCTGCGCGATTGAAGGCAGCTTATTCGGATTCGCCGGACCGGGAACGGAGCGGGGACTGTTGTAGGGGGGCGGCTGTGTCCTGGTTACGCGAGACTGGTACAGCGTGGGAGGCTGAGTCCGGTGTACATCCTGGTGTCCTTCACAGGCGACATGTCAATCCCACGCTATGCATTGGAGGATTGAGCCGAGAGAGTGTTGCTACAATGGATGCGCCAACCTGCCGGTGAGCGAGTACCTTGGACCTGGAGTCGATTTCGATGGTTGTGCTGCTTAGTAATCATGGGCTGACTAATGACAAGGCTGGGGAAGCTTATCGATAGCGGAAACGGAAGGGCGCAGGCACTGATCAATGCGGTGAAATGACATGGGCAATTCGGGCCCTGTTTTATATCTGTAATCGAGGACGGTTATCGCCGCCACCGGCATCTCGTACTAGTCCATCATTAGACGACGGGATGATGCTGATAGTCCCAGACAACCTGAACCCGTCACATATACCTGTAGCCAGTTCAGTGTAACCTCCATTCACTCAGCGCTTTGTGTTCTCATCTGATATAGAGGAACAACGAGACATTCCTCAAGTTCTCCGTGCCGAATCTCACCCATCTCGAGAACCACTGCCGGTGCAATCGTGCCAGTGCCATCGCAATGGCCTCGACTATGGAGAAGCCAGAGCCCAAGGACTTGTCCTACCATTACTCGCGGGTCACTCAAAACCGCGCTCCTAGCAAGATGAAGCAATTCTACAAGTATTTCTTCATTCCAGGCATCGGCAATCTGGCTGGAGGTACGTTCTCGGCCCGTTCGAAGCACGTCATTTTAGCTCACTATGTTGAGGTCTCCCGTATCCTGGATACTTTCCCTACGACACATTGGAGGCATCGACAGCCCTTCCAAATCGGTTTCGACCGACCCCAAACAAGCCGGTCGATCCTCCCTCCACCGATTTGACGCATCTCGCACTATCCGAGAGCCCTGCCGCCTCCAGAATCCTGGTACCTCACGATTCAAAGCAACCGGACATCCTACGAAAGATAGATTTGACCACTGCTTTACAATATGGCACTGCTGGGGGATACCCTCCCCTACGAGACTTTATTCGGTCATTCGTGCGGACGAACTTACACCCTAATGTCCCATACAAAGACGGTCCGGAGGTTATCTTGACTTGCGGATCCACGGATGGATTCTCCAAAACCATCGAATGCTTTAGCAATGTTTGGGACAAAGATCGAGATTGGATTAGAGAACGGGAGGGAATTCTCTGTGAAGAGTTTGCCTACATGAATGCCATCCAAGCCGCCCGACCTCGTGGCCTCAATGTCGTGCCTGTTGCTATTGACAACGAGGGCATGCTTGCTTCGGGCAAAGGAGGCCTCGAGGATGTCCTTGCAAACTGGGATAAGAACAAGGGCAAGAGACCTCATCTGTTGTATACTGTGACGTGAGTGTACCAGTGAATTGGTTCTGCTTTCCAAATCCCGCTAATTTGTGGCAGGATGGGTCAAAATCCAACCTCCGGCCTGCTTTCGGTGAAGCGACGCAAGGAGCTATACTCATTGTGTCAAAAGTACGATATCATCATTATTGAGGACGACCCGTACTGGTACCTACAGTATCCGTCTGCGAATCAGCTCTCGATCAAAACCAGAGGCCATCCTGTCTCGGAGAACTTCCCTGCTGAACCCTCTTACAATTACAACACCTCCAGCGGAGGCAAGTCGAGTGGATTCCCTTTCCTTGACAGCCTTGTACCGTCGTATCTCTCGATCGACGTCGATGGACGAGTGGTGCGGTTGGACACCTTCAGCAAGACCGTCGCCCCGGGATGCCGACTAGGCTGGATTACAGCACAGCCGGATTTCGTCGATCGCATTGAGCGCATCACCGAAACCAGCACGCAACAGCCTAGTGGGTTTGTGCAAAGTCTGGTCGCCGAACTCATCGTGGGTCCTTCATCTCGCGAAGATCCTGGCAAGGGAGGCAGTAAGGACGGCAGCGGATGGAAAGTAGACGGATGGGTGCGGTGGCTGGAAGGACTGCGTGGCAACTATGAACGACGCATGCAACTGATGAGCAGCATTCTCGAGGATGGAAAATATCTGGTCCAGAGTTCCCACCGCGAGACAGCGTCGAGCGTAACTACTCAGACACCTCACGACGATGGTGATGACGATGGCTATGAAATGCTTCACAAGACGCAGATGTATGAATTCGCATATCCGCACGCCGGCATGTTTCTGTGGATGCACGTTCACTACGAAACACATCCGCTTTTCAGCAAGGTTGAGCATCAACGCCTCGCTCGGGCCTTGTGGTTGTTCATGACCACAAAGGATTATCTTGTCCTTCTTAGCCCCGGCACCATTTTCTGTCCTACCCCAGAGGTAATGGAGGAGAAGGGATGGCAATACTTCCGCCTGTGCTTTGCAGCCGTGGATGATCGTTTGGTTGAGTCGTCTAGCAAAGCGATTGTCAGGGCCTTTACCGACTTCTGGGCCATCCACGATGTCAAAAAGATTGACAAGATTCTGCAAGATGATGATGATGAGGCCACCGATGAAAGATTGGCTCAGTTGGCTTCACAGAATCAGGTGAGTTCCTGCTAGTTGTAGCAGAAAGGGATGTTCATGGCTGACAATCTACGTGGAGGGGTGGGTTATAAATCCAGCCGTGTGTTGATTTCGGCCGGCCTCGCCCGGGTCGATGTATATATGATGAATGAGATTGCCTGATCTGATTGCATGATAAAGAAGATACTTGAGCACACTAGAAATCCGGTTTCATGGAACGCGTCGTTATAGTCCGTACTCTGCCTGCATACCTAGTATACCTTCGTAGGCAGGCCGGCAGTCTCAACTGGCCACGCTAGATGGCAGAGTCCTCGGTGTTCACTTCGGGGGCTGTTGCACGGTATACATACCCACATACTTAGGAGGCAAAGTATGTCCGCAGGGTATGTAGCAGTAGCAGTAGCAGTAGCCAACTATAGCAAGTCCTAAGTGAGCAACGTCTAAATAAGGTATAAATCAATCAATATACAACAAGGTATGTAGTTAAGAAATATAAAGAAAGTGAAAGGGAGAATGACCGGCAAGACCAGCCACCTCTCTCCGCAAATACCAACCCCCAGTGTCCGTCACCATCATGTACCAAACATTATTTGTCCTGTTCTGTTCTGTACTGTTTCGTCCGGTTCTGTTTTCCTACAGTAGTAGTACTGGCAACCCAAGTCACTGAAACTCATTGAAGAAGTCAGTGTGGTCGAGTACCGCCACCATTACCATTACTGGTCAACGCTTATAGCACCCGCGAGGTCGGTTGGGCGGCCCGAGTGGTGGTAGTTTCTCGGGACCAGTCTTCCCATGGGTGAGCAGCAGTGGTCGTGGTATGTTGAGGACGACCTTGGGTGGTAGTGGTATGTTGAGGGCGACCTTGGGTGGTAGTGGTATGTTGAGGGCGACCTTGGGTGGTCGTCGTGGTGTGGACGGCCGGAGCAGTAGTCGTGGTGGTAGTTTGGACAGCTGGGATGGTGGTAGTGGTAGTCTGGACAGCTGGAGTGGTAGTAGTGGTAGTCTGGACAGCTGGGGTAGTGGTTGTCGTAGTGGTAGCTGCCTCGGTGGTAGTCGTGGTAGTGGTCTGGACTGCCGGAGTGGTGGTCGTAGTAGTAGTAGCCGCCTCAGTGGTAGTAGTAGTAGTGGTCTCGGCAGCAGGGGTCGTGGTCGTGGTGGTAGTCTCTACCGCCGGTGTGGTAGTGGTGGTGTGTTGAGGACGACCTTGGGTGGTAGTGGTATGTCTGTTGTGGTCCCGGGTGGTGGTGGTGGTGGTATGTCTGTTATGGTCGCGGGTGGTAGTGGTGTGTCTTGGGTGTCCGGTCGTGGTGGTTGTAGGGTGGACCGCGGGGGTGGTGGTAGTCGACGAAGACGAGGCCGCTGGTGTGGTGGTCGACGAAGAGGTTGCTTCTGTCGAAGTCGTCGATGTGGTTGCCTCAGAGCTCGTGGTGCTGGTGGTAGCCTCCGTGGTGGTGCTGGTGGTGGCCTCAGTAGTTGTCGAGGTGCTCGGGCTCACGGTTGTGCTGGTGCTGCTGCTTGGGTGGGGGCGCGTGTGGGTGGTGTGCGCTGGGTGAGTGCTGTGAGTAGTGTGAGCTGGGTGGGTGTGGGTGGTGTGGCTGTGACCCGGAGTTGTCGTAGAAGAACTGGTCGTGCTGGGGCTAGTGCTCGTGGTGCTGCTGCCCTCAGTAGTTGTGCTGGTGCTACCCTCGGTGGTGGTGGTGCTGCTGCTGCTACCTTCGGTGGTAGTGCTGGTTGTGCTTTGCGCAGGCGAAGTGCTAGTAGTAGAAGTTTCAGCTGCCGGGCTGGTGGTAGTGGACGAGCTGGTCTTCGACGAATGATGCGGCCGGGTGTGAGTGGTGTGGCTGTGGTGCGGGTGACCAGTGGTGGTTGAGCTGGTGCTGCCCTCGGTGGTAGTGCTCGTGCTGGCTTCGCTTGTAGTGCTCGTGCTTCCCTCCGTGGTAGTGCTGGTTGTGCTTTGCGCAGGCGAAGTGCTAGTAGTAGAAGTTTCAGCTGCCGGGCTAGTAGTGCTGGTCGAGCTGGTCTTGGACGAATGGTGCGGCCGGGTGTGAGTGGTGTGGGTGTGGTGCGGGTGACCACTGGTGGTTGAGCTGCCCTGTGTGGTAGCTGTGGTCTCGGTGGAAGCTGAGCTGGACACAGTGGTTGATTGAGACGCAGATGTAGTGGTCGAGGTGCTCACTCCCGAGGTGCTGGTCGATTGCGAGGAGGTCGGTCCAACAGGCACAGTTGAAGACGCGGTGGTAGACGAGGATGGACTTGCTGCGCTGGTAGTGGTAGATGGAGACGGGCTTCCGGCGCTGGTAGTGGTGGACGAGGATGGGTGACCTCCTTCGGTGGTGGTAGTCGACGACGGGCTTCCAGCGCTGGTAGTTGTAGACGAGGACGGGCTTCCAGCGCTGGTAGTAGTAGACGAAGACGGGCTTCCAGCGCTGGTGGTGGTAGACGAAGATGGGCTGCCGGCACTGGTGGTGGTGGACGAAGATGGGTGACCTGCGCTCGTGGTCGATGAGGTCACTGCACCGTTGCTGGTGGTACCGGTAGTAGTGCTAGACTTCTTGTGATCAAAGCCCCAGTCAGCCCACTGAGAAGCGCCAGTGGAGGTGGTCTTCGCAACAGTGGTGGTGGTGGTAGTGGTGGTCTTTGGTCCGGGTTTGCTTCCATGCCATGGGTGGTCATGCTCCCATGAGCCGCCCTTGTTAGAGCCGGCAGGCTTGGTGGTTTGTGGGAGGGATGACTTGTGGCTCTCGCCGGCACCGTGGTTAGCACCAGCCCAACCGCAAGTGAAACTCTTGGAGATGGTGTAGTTGGTGTTGCCGTTGGAGCTTCCAGTCTCAGTGGCCCACTCCTTTCCGATGACCACAGTGTACAGGTCACAGTATTGACCCTCGACGACACCGTTCTTGGAGACTATGTAGGTGTTGAAGAACGCACAGCCGTGAGACTGGCACTCGGCAGCACAACGCGAGGTGTCGAAGGATTCCTGGAAGACCTTGGAGCCGATGAAGTAACCGGAGCCTTGGGGTGGGTGAATAGCAGCTCCGCCCAACCACGAAGGAGTCTCGAACCCCTTGGGAACAGTGACGGTGTTTTTGGTGTAGCCGTTGCAGCCTGCAATCACCGCAGTCGTCGCGGTGGTGACCTCGACTTCGATGTATCCAGCCCAGAAGGCGCACTTGACGATCGAGTCTGCACTGCCGGCCTTCTTCTCAAAGTAGACGTTGAAAGACGAGCACTCCTCCAAAGAGTCACACAGTGACGCACAGATGCTGCTGTCGTACTCATCAATCTCGGTGTATCCGAGGAAGGCGTCGCCCGACTTCCACGAAGTACCATTGGTGAGAGTCTGGGTGTAGCCGGTAGGGGCCTTTGCAGACGTTGCCGCCGCGGAGAAGCGCTCGCTGCTGACCCATTCGACGACGGTCGACTCAACGCACGAGCAGTTGGATTCGCCCCCGCGTTTCAACAGGTCGTTCTCCAAAGACTGAGCCACTGGGGAGCCCAGGGCGAGATTAGAAAATAAAAGGAAAGAAACGAGAGACAGCATGTTGACGATTGCAACAGCTCAAAAAACGAGTGACTGGTGTAAGAAAACGAATGGACGCGTGCCTATGGACAACGCAAATGGCTTTTTCGAGAAGAAAGGAAAACGACGAAAGGAGGGCTGGGGGATTGCTCCCCATATAGATGTCCAGTCCTGCGCATTGCAAAGGAGAGGAGAGGGAGGCAACAGTCCAATTCGCTTACCGTGTGGACACTCATCAATAGACTCATCAGTAGTCCCTCAGGGAGGCTCAGCTGAATTGGGAAAATGTGCGAATCTCAACATGGCCACGGAGCAATACACCGTCGTATGATCGACGCCACATGGTCCAGATCTGTGAGAAGCAAGACGGCAGAGTTTGGAACGATCAATAGAAGTGGTTAGTCGGGCATCCACGACCACCATTCACTTCCACACATGCTGCAGGCTAGAGCCTCCTAGACCTCCGGGCAATTTCTGGGAGAAGGCGGGATCGGAGGAGAAAGACTCACCAGAAGCTGCTGGGCGAGGTGGCTTGGGTACGGCGGGACTGAAATGATGCAGCCACGAAATGAGAAAACATGGCGATCCTGAGCGGTAGAAGTGGTAGAAGCGACGATGTGTGGGCAGAATGAAAAAGGAGAAAAGGGGACCAAGGCTGCATCTGGTTTAGCGTGGCCTTGCTGGCGGATCTTAGTCGCGAACATGTCGAACATGGCTTGACAGGGAGATTGGACCACCGCTTATTCTCAACCTTAAGCACACGGTTCCCACCTCAGCTCAGCCCTGGGCTCCTTAGGCGAGGCTAAGCGCCCCGTTTTGCCCATGGTCGTCCGCCGAAGATGCCGCCAGATTCAGCCCCGGTTCCAGGAGTTGCAGGGCGTGAATATTGGTAAATCCCTGACCCCTGACTTGTTTACTCAATATTTGCGTCTTGGTGGACCTATTGCAGGATTCTGACTGGCACAGAAGTGAGTTGACTGCAGAAATCTGCTGGACCTAGGCGAGACGCTCGCCTCTCCCAGTCATGAAGATCTCGCGAATCGCTTTACCCACTCTGAGATAAGATTGAGAACAAGCCGTAGGCTGGCTTCACGTACATACCTCCTGTACGTTCAGATGAGCTACGCAACTGAGACACAGGAAAACCAGGGAAGTTGGTGCAAAGGATGCTCCAGAAACAACCGCCTGTTCGTCCCACCGGTGAGATCAAGCCAGACACCGCGTTCGCCGAACTCTTGTTGTTGTTGTTGTCGGTTGGACGCGTCTCGGTCTCGCACCCAGAACGATGATCCCCTCGGCGGCTTCCCTTTTGGTTTCTCTGCCGGATCGCAATCTCCCCTCAAGCCCAACAATTGCATTGCCTTCCGCACCATTGCCAACAGCAACCATCCGGGCTGGCTGAGCTGTGAGCGCTACGAACCGCCACGACTGTAAACATGGCGGCGACGCCGTTCTGAGGACACCAACTCCATTTCTTGACACTCGAGGGCGATGGATCACAACAACAGTCGAAGAAAGAAGGCTATATGACGTCTAACGATCCATGAAGGGTGTGACATTTCGGGATTCGATCTTGACAGAAACGGGATTGGGGTTTGAAGGGCACTTGAAGGGTGACAGCCGACAAACAGCTGCCCGTGCGTGCGCGCACTGACCGCCACCAGTACCACATAGCGCTGACTAACCATTACTGCACTGCGGTTTCAACAACTTCGCCGTATGCATTCTACCGCAGAGCATGTCCCCCGCCAGACACAACGACGTCGAACCGAGGGACTCGGATGCAGTGGCTGATCAGGCCCGAGGATCTGACTGTATGCCGGAACCTCCTCTCCGCACCATTGGCACTGCTTGTCGTTGACTGAACATCACTCGATGTCCGGCTGTAGGACAATGTAAGTGTTTTATGACTCGCCATGCCCTGAGCGCAATAATGTCTACCTAGTAAGTGAGAGAGCACAGGTATAATCCTCTGTGGCAGCCTTATTACGAGGCATCTACTATATCTACACCCTTTACTTCTGAATTTCACCATACCCTCTGTTTCGCGACCATGAATTTCGACATCCCTTCCGACGTACAGTCGTACCTCACTCGCCTCGACGACTTCATCAAAGAAAAGATCCTCCCGCTGCAGCACAAGGACGACAACAACCGGTTCTTCGACCACCGGCGTGAATCCTCGCGGACACAATGGACCAACCAAGGGCTCCCAACCGACGACTGGGAAGACCTGCTTCGACAAGCGCGCCGGCTGGCCGACGAAGCAGGCTTCTACCGATTCAGTTTCCCACAGGAATACGGCGGGTCAGGCAGCCCGTCGCAGAACCTGTACATGTGCGCGATCCGATACCATCTGGCATCTCATCCAATATACGGGGGCGGACTGAGTCTCGCGAATGACCTGCAGAACGAGCACAGCGTCGTGGGCAACAACCCGATCGTCATCATGTTACACCACTACGGCACGCGGGAGCAGCAGGAGACATTCATCCCGGCCAGCATCCGCGGCGAGTTCCGGGCGACGTTTGGCCTGACCGAGATCCACCACGGGTCCGATGCCACACACATGGACACGACGGCGCGACCGGTCACACTGGCCTCAGGCGAGCCCGGGTACGAGATCAACGGGAACAAGAAATGGCAGACGGGCATGCACAGCGCGACGCATTGTCTAGTGTTTGCACGCACTTCAGGCAAGGCTGGCGACGCAAGGGGGATTACGGCCTTCATCGTCCCACGAGACACGCCAGGATTGACCGTGGCCTCGTACGAATGGACCCTCAATATGCCCACGGACCATGCCACGGTGCTTTTTGAGAATGTCCGCGTTCCCGCCTCGGCCATCTTGGGCCCTGTCGATAATGGTCTAGCTATCGCCCAGACGTTCACTCATGAAAACAGAATTCGGCAAGCCAGCTCCAGCTGTGGTGCTGCACGGTATTGCATTGACCGCAGTGTCGAGTATGCCAAGAAGCGCAAAGTGTTTGGCAAACCTTTGGCCGCGAACCAGGCCATTCAGTGGCCTCTGGTTGAGCTGTCCACCCAGGCCGAGATGTTGAGGCTGTTGATCCTGCGCACCGCCGTCGAGATGGACCAGGTCACGGCAAAGTGTAAAGCTACTGGCAAAGCGCCCTGGGTGGCCATTGAGAAACAGTTGGGCCATAAGATCGGTATGTGCAACTACTATGCCAACCGGTTGGCCACTGAAGCCGCCGACCGGGCCATCCAGATCCATGGCGGTGTAGGATACTCCAGACACTATCCGTTTGAGCATATTTGGCGACATTTCCGACGGTATCGAATTACCGAAGGCAGTGAAGAGGTGCAGATCAGGAAGGTGGCTGCGTATTTGTTTGGGTACAAGACGACGGGAGAAGACGAACAGAAAGGGACAGAGGCCAGGTTGTAGCGCTTGTACTATTTATTCTGCTAGAAAAGAGTCTGGTTCATCTCAACTAGTGTCATGCCTGTTCATGATATATGATTTTGTATATCTGCAGTGGCCCGAATGTACAGCACATGGATGCAACACACCTAGGGATCGATATTACCATCATTTCCCTTGTATGAATCCACCCCCGAGTACCTAGCTTGGTACTTTGGTACGTAGGGTACAAACTCACGCTCACTGCCTCAGCTCTTCCCCCTTTTACTCCATTTAACAAACATCCTCAACCACCAATTTCTCACCACTCGGCTCGCCCAAATCCAACTTCAACCTCCGTCCAAACAGCTCCAACAACATCTCAAAGCAAACCTTGGAGACCGCCGGATCATACCGTCCCTTGGACAACTCATCGCGAATAAAAGCATGCTGGGCACCAAAGACCTCATACCACGAAAAATCCACACCTGCCTCATGCAGCGTTTTGCGAATCAAATCCCTCCCCTCGGGCGGAACATGGTTATCCGATTTCCCAAAGATCATGACCAATTCGCCCTTGATATCCTTCGCTCTTTTCAGACTATCATCCTGTTTGCCCTCGCCCAAACTGTGGCTATGGATATCTGTGGCGAAGTAACAAACAGCGGCTTTGACGCGCGGGTCCAATGCACATCGGTATGCTAGATGGCCGCCTAAGCACATGCCTGTGGCTCCGATGTTGCCATTACACGTTTTGAGACCGAGGAGCAACGAAACGGAGAGCTCGGCGTCCTCGTCGTACGCAGATAATTTCTTGGTGATTTTCCATTCGTTGCCGGCGTCGGTACCGGGGCCGTCGTACGCAAGGGGTTCGGGACCCGTGAATTCGTGGTAGGATGACGGCGCGGCCACGATGTAGCCTTGGCCGGCGATTTGGCGGGCAAAGCGGGCGACTGGTCCTGTGACTATAGAAACGGAAATAAATGAGTGCGAGTTCGTACACATATACAGATAGGTTTGTCTCTCCGTTTCACTTTCTCTTCCGGCATCGAATTCGACGCTCCGGCGGAGGGAGGGACAGGTGGTAAACCCGTCAACCCAACGACCGAACCACAGCGCCTGGATTTTATGCCAACAACTTTCCAACAACCCAGATTTCCAAAAAAATATTTCACAGATGTGCACAATAAATACCCAACACCCAGGTACTAATAGCTAGTACCTAGTTGCAATTGCAATTCTTTCTTACTCACCTTGATAAATCTCCGAAAAGACAACCACCCCAGGAAACTTTGCGTGCGGATATCCCGGGATCGTGGGATGGAATAGGAAAACGCCTTTTTTATTCTCAGTCTCAGCGTCCGCTTGCTCAGCCTACATCTGTCTCTTCTGAGCCATTGGGTAGTTGCTAGAATCATATCATACGCATTGATCCCTCTCCCGCTGCCTTGGTGGGCACATCTTTCCACGATTCCTGAACGAGCATCTTGACTCTTGACTTTGACTTTAACGGCCGCCGCGCTTCATTAACGTTCAGGTACCGATACCAGTACCGCTTTGGACTCTCTTCTCCGTAGGTAGGTTGGACGATTCGAGTTGCTTTGACGCCGTCAAAATAAAAGAGAAGGACGTACGCACTGTAAACACAAACTTGAAGCCCGTGGGGTTCTATGGGCCGCGGGGGTCCCTGCCGGGACAACATTAACCCGGCAATCCGCGGGAGATACTTAGGGCTACTGTCGCCTATTGAGCATTTGGTCCAACAAGACAAGTCTAAAGATGCAAGACGGACGCATCGAAATCCAGCGATTGTCGACCACTGCTATCGTACTGTAAGGATGCAACTTGATTGACTTCTGTGGGACAATTACATAATAATGAGTAACAATGGTCGGCCGCCGTGAAGCACTGTACATCACCGGAGAGACATGATTCTGCCCGATATGCTTCGCAAAATGCTGGTGGTTCGTATGAACGAACATCTCCGAGTGCTTTCCCTTAGCATCCTCATCCACTTTCCCCTGTTCTGGTTCTGGTTCAACCATAAGCAAACAGGAGTTCCGTGGGAATCTCTGAAATATCCAACAGGCAACCGTTTGACGCCGGACTGGTTATTCCGGTCTCCATTACGAACCGCCATTGATACTTCCAGTCAACGGCGCCGGGGAAGTTGCACCGGACCCTTTCTTCATCTTCAGCGTGAGAGGGAAGGGATAGTCATCAGGTTCTTCTTCCTCACTATAAGCAAGTTAGCAACTGATCGAACCCGAGAGGGTCAACACTAGTGGACACTTACGGCAACCGCCATGCGATGTAATCCTCAGTACTGAGGCCTTCTCTGCCTTCCTGCAATGATGCAAAGTCGCCGGGTGTCATCATGCCGGTACGATCCCTGGGTGAGCCAGGAACAGAGAGTGGTCTTGAAATCTTTGTCTCAGTTCCTCCGATCATATCATCAAAGTCGTCGCTGTCCTCGAAGGAGGCTGGGTAGGCGCGTCTCAGCGCAAGCTGTCGTGCCTTGACATATTCCATGCCCATCCGCTTCCAGTCCAAGAGATCGCTAAGCCGTTCAGTTCGGTTGCGCTGGTTGATACGTTGCCGTCGACTCTTGCTTGCAAAATCAAACATGAATTCGGTCAACTGGTTCACCGACTCGTCCACGCCTTTCATCCTTCGATCGACAATGTAAATACCATAGTCGGACGAATTCTCGATCAGCTCTTCCATGTAGCACCCAAACCCGGACAGGTTTGTTGTAATGGATGGGACACCCATGACAGTGCACTCCATGGGAGTGTACCCTAATTTATTGTTAGTACAGCATCAGCATCTAGTGACCAGTCTAACGTACCCCATGGTTCATAATATGACGGGAAAACACCCAAATGGGTACCGCGGACGAAATCGTCATAGTCAAGCGAGAGGACAGGATTTGCAGAGTTCAAAAACTCGGGGTGGAAGACAACCTTGACGCGATCAGAAGGATGGTTGAACAGTTGAACACGACGGAGCTGGTTAAGCACGGGATCCTCGGCATCGTTGACCATGTTGTGGGTGACGATCGGAGGAAGGTGGTGCCGTTTCATGGCGAACAGACGGCGGCGGAGGAGAATCTTGTCCGCAGGCGTGATAAGCTCCTTGTCATCGGGCATTGGGTCTCCTTCCTTCCAGTGAACAGATCTCTCAAACAATCGCCGGCCAATGCCGCGCTCAATGTTGGACACTGTCTCAGCCAGAGCCTTGGTGACGGCCTGGCCTTTCAGCGAATCCACCGAGAGGGAGGTTGTCTGTGCAGGCATAATGAGGAATGCCACGACGGTTGTCTTGCTGCCGGCAACTTTGAGTCTGTGGTTCAACCGCGCAAGGGACTCGATGAACATATCGACACCCTTGTTGCGGTACTCGTATCTTCCGGCGGTGAAGAAGTAAATGGTGTTATCCAGATCAAAGTCCAGGTGGCCGTAAAAGTGGCCCCGTACGAACTCATGGATCTTCTCTTTCTGTGTGGAGTGCAGATTCTGAAACTCGTGGACGGCCGAGAACTTCTTGACATTTAACCCGTTAGGCAAGACACCGTCAGGCTTCCGTTTCAGTAGATGCTCGCTTTCGAACGCAGTGATGTGGGAGACGGTGGTAAAGACGTCCGTAGTATGAGCAGCTGCTCGTTCGATACAATACCGGTGGTAGATGCCTCGTTTTCCCGCTTCTGCGTCCACGTCGAAATATTGCAGGTTATTGTAGAAGTCAACGGAGCCGGCACACAGATATCGTCCGAGGAGAGTGGCATGTGTGGTAAAAATCGTCGTCAAATCCATTTGGCGCCTCTTAGTCAATGGAAGAGCGACTCCGGCAAGCCACTCGTGGAAGTGAGCAATGACTGCGCGACTGGTCTCACGGGCGATAAACTGCAATCAATCAGCATCTGGTAGGCCCCAGCGTACCCGACATCCTTACCTCTCCCAAGAACCAAGCCACCAGATACCCAAACACAATGGCCTCGTTCGTCTCATTGTCACCGGCAGGAGACGGAATTCCGGCTGTTGACCATAAATCACCCTTCCACTCATCGAGCCAGCGGTAACCTGTCCCGGTGTTGATCAAGAGGACTCGCGGAGCTCCCTCAATTAACCATCGTCCGTACATGAGCTCGATCCCACGCTCTTGCATAGATTCCAAGGTTTCTCGCAGTGGGCCTGGCGGAGGCTCGAGTTCTTCAACCTCTACGGCGGCCTATACCCTGTCAATACGCATCCACAACATGGCCTGGGGGTTTCAGATTCGTACCGCACTCTTGTTGAGGGGGCCGATAAGTGTGTATCGATCGCCATACTCTGCTGTTGTGACGGGAGCTTTGGATTTGAGCACCGAGTAGATACCACCCACTGGAGAGAGTTAGCACATGCAAAAAATGTGAGAGTCCAGGGACCAAGTACCTCGATTAGCAACTTCCGTTGCGATCTCAAACAGCAAGTGATTCTTGACGTCTCTTTTCACCCCGTCGCCGTTCATTTTGGCGAGTTCGGTCTTTTCGTAGAACTCGACGGCGGTTCGGACAACTGTGCTGGGCGATGGGTGTGATGTAGCTCTGCAGACGAAACCTTACCCCACAGGGAGCGGGAGCTTGCAGGAGGATTGGAGAGCTTGCGAACAGAGAGCTTCCCAACTTAGCGGTCAAGTCGGTCAATGCAAGGCCAATCCACGACAAGTCTCAAAGTGAGTGACAGAGCTTGACCAGATGGAAGAAATTTGTCGGAGAAGAATGCTGAAGGTGAAGGAAATTGAGGCAAGCTGGAGCGATGGTTGTAGTGCGCTTTTAGAGGACAGGGTTGGGTTGGGAGGAGACGAGCGAAGGGCCTTGGGGGGTTCTCCACCGCAGACAAGGGTGGAAAAAGTGACCTCTCGTGATGTTGATCTGGACCCGAGCAACGCCAGCAACGTGAACTTGTACGTTCTCTGGAACTGGCAGAACAGAATAACTAAGGTAACTACAATTGTACAGTCGCCCGAGGTTGCGCTGTCCGAACACGAAGAATACAACAAAGCACGGTCCTTGTTGGTCAGTACAGACGGTATGTTCACTATTTTTCCGTCAAGCGAGGCCTCGAGATGACGGCATGGGGGCATCTGCGAAAGCCGGAGATAGCAGAAGCACAGTAGTACCGAGCCGTTACTGCTGTTGGCGCTTTGCTGCTACTACTGCGGAACTCGAGCGAGATGCAATTACGGCATCATGCACCATTCATGCCGCCGCATCTCAGCATGCTTAAACGTCATTGTGTGCAGAGGCTGCCTCTTTCAGTTTAGGCGGTCATTCCAGGCTCCATTGAGGTGGTTGCTTGCCCATGGTTCTGGCCATAGGCGGCCCTGGTTTAACTGGGCCTGTCTTCCCCAAGTGCCAAAACCCCCAGCTTGAAAGCTTCTGGTGCCCCGCACTGTCATTGCTTCCCACTTTCACAAGCCACTGCCAGAAGTTCGAAGCCTGAGGTCAGAACATGGAAGGTTTGAGAAGACGTTTATGAGCTCCCGTGCACGGCTCCAATCATGGGCGCAAGCGTTTCCCGCCTGCACCGAGATCCAGCCAAACGCCTGTAGAAACGCACCCCGGAAATCTACCAGGTACGATGGGTAAAAGGATCTATCCCTGTTTCCGGCGGGACGCATTGGTCACATGAGGTGGCCGGATCTACCTTTACTTGCTTCTCTTGTAGATTTTGGCCAGATACTCCTCGAACACGCCCTTCTTCAGACCAGCGCTTTCGTCGACGTTGGCAATCATCTGCCGGATTTCTCCCACACGTTTCTCTTCATAATCGCGGTATCTTTTTTCGAGTTGCAACTCATTGTACAGCTCTTTGACCTTGGCCTCTTTTGCATCATCTTTTTGTCCATAGTTCTCGTCCAACACTTTTCTTTGCTCCGGGGTACATATTTGCAAGGCCTGGTTGATTAACCATCCGCACTTGTTATCCTTGATATCTGTCCCAATCTTGCCAATGACCGAAGGGTCACCGAAGGCGTCCAGATAGTCGTCTTGAATCTGGAAGTATTCGCCTAGCGGGATGAGGATGTCGTGCGCTTGCTTCAGGTTCTGTGGGGTTGCCAGTCGGAGGTAGTGGAGGGCGAGGGCGACTGGCAAATAAAAGGAGTAGTACGCCGTCTTGTAAATGACAATGAAGGTGTACTTCTCCATGCTGAAATTGTTCAGGTCGACATGGTCCTCAGGAGCAGTGATCAGGTCACACAGCTGTCCCAACTCGGTCTGCCATGTCACCTCGTGAAAGAGTTCGATCAGGTCGAGATAGGCAGGATGCGACCGAAAGTGCTTCTTGAGGATGAGATAGATTCCCGATTCCAGCATGAAGGAGTCGTTGATCGCGATCATCCCTACTCCTTCCCGACGATACCAACATGGTTCTCCTCGACGAGTAATGCTGGCATCCATTATATCATCGCTAACGAGGAAGAAGGCTTGCAGGAGTTCCGTGAGCCAACCGAGAGTTGCAAGATCTTTAAATTCCTCCGGGGACAACGGCCGTTCCAGAAGTTGCGAGCCAGTATCGGGAACTGACATGCCTCTGTTGAGTTTCCCACCTGGGGTATTGGCATTGAGAGACTTGCAATATATTAGCAGGATCCCTTTGGCCGCCCGGGATCTCAACTTACTCTCTCAAACCATTGCAGTGCATTATCAGGCAAGTTGTACTTGCGGGCTTCGCCCAGCAAGTCCTCCACTAGAGAAGGAAAGACTTTCTCGAAGTCTGCGCGTGTAGCCTTTGTCGCCATGTTCGCCGTGTAGATCTTTTGGGACCGAAGCGCAGGACCTCTTTTCACCGACAGTTCAGTCAACAAAGACAACGAACATTTTGGCTGTCACGGCGCTTAACTTGGCTGCACCCTGCCAGCACGGAGTCTGGAAGCGCCGAGTGGTGCGCCAAGCCCGTGCCTGGCCGTGCGTGACCGGCGAACCGATTGCAATGTCATTTGAATTCGGCGCCACTGCAGTGGCACGCCAGCCATCAATGACTCGAACTGCCTGTGTTGCCTTAACGGCCAAATTTGAATACTGACTGTTGTACCAATTCATCAAGTCACCACAGCTAACACGGACGGCGCGCGAGATTTTGCGTGTGGGCACTTACAAAATGTCGCAGTCCCGATTGACCCCTCCGCCGCGGTCTGACGAGGCGCAAGCCCGCGCCTCCCTCACTCCGGAGCAGGTGAGGAGGATAGAGATCAACCGTCTGAAAGCAAAAGCGCTTCGAGAGCAACGAGAAGCAGAGGCCGCTACAGAGTCAAGGCTCCGGACGCCGGATGCCTCGGTCGCAGGCCAGAAGCGCAGGTACGGCACATTCTCCGGTGTCCCGGCGACGATTCGCGATGCCAGGACGGATGGCGACCCAGGTCGTCCGCTGGAGGCAATCCGGCCGGCGCGGAATTTCACAAAATACGTCGATTATGACTTCAGTAAGATGGCGGATACAAAGGGTGGGTTTCTGACAGCAGACGATGATCCTCATAACAAGGCCATGCATGCCGATGAGCAGGACAACAAGCCTGCGCACATGACCCAAAAGGAGTGGGAAAGACAGCAACTTCTAAAATCTTTGCGCAATCAGAAGGCTGGACCATTCGAACCAGGAATCAGTGCCGTCAGAGATGAGACTACTCAATCATGCCGGGAATGTGGTACTCTGGAGGTGGATTGGAAGTGGCTTGATGTTTTTGGTCTTGCCGTCTGCAATGCCTGCAAAGAAAAGTACCCTGAAAAGTACAGCCTGCTCACCAAGACCGAGGCCAGAGAAGATTATCTTCTTACGGATCCTGAGTTGAAGGACGAAAAGCTTCTCCCGCACCTTGAGAGGCCGAATCCACACAAGTCAACTTGGCACAACATGTTTCTGTATTTGAGGTGTCAAGTGGAAGAATATGCATTTTCAGAAAAGAGGTGGGGTTCTCCGGAGGCATTAGACGCCGAGTTCGAGAGACGAGAGGAGGAGAAAAAGAGACGAAAAGAGAATAAATTCAAGTCCAAACTCGCCGACTTGAAAAAGCGGACAAGAGTGGAAGCACATCAGCGCAGCCGGAAAGGCGGTGGTGGGAACTTCGGGGACGACTTAGGGGACGGGAAGCACGTCCACGAATTTGGACTGCCGGTGGACAACCCTGAGAGTGGGATCACTCTGAAGAAGTGTGTAATATGTGGGCTGGAAGTCGAAGAACTAGACCTGTAGCAGTAGTATTCTTGCCTTTTGATGTTCAACATGCCTCATTATGGTTGGGTTGGCATCGAACCAATATTCACTGAATAACAACTCTTACCCAGAGCATGATTCTTCTGAGCCTCTCACGGTGGGCCTGGCCTATTCCAAGTGTTCTTCTCTTGGACGCGTTCGCTCCAACTCAAGTCCTTGGATCATCGTGATCAAGTTCAGCGTGCCCATCGAGGTGGTAAAGAGGCAGACTGCCCTCAAAGGTGATCGAGAGATTGGAATAGGCACAGAAGTGCAGTGTCAGCAGCCGGGACAGAGGTGGACAAAGAAGCTCATCGCGGCCAGTGGGCTGGAAGCTCGGCGGCGACCCTCCTGCTCACAAAGGAGAACGATCGGCGCACAGAGTCAGGAAGCACAGGTCGGATAGTCTGTCATGTAATTTCAATTGTAAAATGCAAAAACTCCGTATACCGTCAAGGTGAGAGTAAGTGAAGCATGAATTCAAAGGTGGTGAATTGGGGTGGCCGTGGGATGAGAGGTGAGGAGACACTGTTCATAAAAGCGGCGCGACGCGGTCGAGTGAAGCGCCTGCGTGAGCTCGGGGTCGTCGAAGTCCCAGTGCCTTACCTGCCAGGTTTACGAATACCCTTTGTTTTAATCAATTCAACCGCATTTCAAGACCGACTTCCGAACGAAGACAACCGTTAGAATCTCCATCTTTCCTCCCCCTCCTGAACATGGCTAGATGAGACTGATATCCGCGTACGAGCGCCGCCAAGCGCATCATGGCATGGCAGTCGGGGGCAGGTGGCAGCGGCTTTGGAGGGCCGGCCGCTGGGGAGCCCAACGGCGTCCAAGCCTACACGCTGCAAGGTGGGATTATTTCCTGGCGTTGTTTGCTGGTCGCTGACTTGAGATAAAGGTGTTATGCGATTTCTTCAAACGGAATGGCATAGGCATGAACGGGATCGAAATGCTTGGGAGATCGAGCGCGAAGAAATGAAGAACCGAATAGCCATACTTGAAGGGGAGACAAGAACAAGCAAAGCCCTACGCACGTCTCTCGAACGACACGTTAAACTGTTGGAGATTGCATTAAAAAAGGAGCGCGAAAAGTCCCGGAATCAAGCCAGAGGAGAGGTTGTCGAAACACAGAAGGACTCTAAGGAGCTGGCGCGGGAAGAATTGAAGAGGATTGGAAAAGGTAGCTGGCCCACCGTCGCAATACTGTTGTTTATTAACCCGAGTTAGAGTCGTTACTGAAAAATATCAGCCACCTCGACGCCGAGATACATGCAGACAAGCACTTCGGCCAAGGTATACGACAGGAGAAAGAGCGTGAGAAGTCGAAGAGTTACCTGTCGAAATGTTCCTCTGAAATCACGTACCACGTTCTACCCACGAGCCATGTCCCCCCGGACGTTAACGATCCTGCGCTTCCAAGCAATTCGAGTCATCTCTTTTCAGGGAGGCAACCATCCCAGCAAGAGCTCCAGGAGGCTTACTTGCAGCTACAGCAGATCAAGCAGCAGCAGCAGCAACAGCAGCAGCAACAACATCGGAATGTTGCTATGGTTAGAGAAAGTGCTCCTCAACAACACCCACAGTTTGCCGATCCTACGCCTCTCTCACGCTCAAACACACAGGTCAATATTGAAGAGTTGCAAAGAGGCGCGGCAGAAAGAAGGGTTCCCCAGCAATTCATCCAATCCGTCCCCGTTGCGGAGCCGCAAAAGAATTTCTTCAACGAGCAACCACCGATTGCTGAAGATCAAGTGGAATCCATCTCCCACTCATTTGACGCCTACGGCCGCGAAACCTCCTTGAAAGAGCGGCAAAACGCCCAAGTGGTGGAAGAGTCGAAACAGGATATCTCCGATGGATGGGATTTCGACGATGGGCCTCCACCTTCTGAGAAGCCCGCCGAAGCACCGCCACAATACAGGCCAGATACGGAGGTCTTCCCAAGCGCGAATCTCATCCCCTCCAAATCCCCGCCTCGGCCTCCTGGATCACACCGACGGAAAAGCTCAGGGGCACGGCGTAGGAGCGAAGGGAATAATGACGTGCGAGACCTTGCCTCAGCAAGAATCGATGCCTCCCAGTTCAAAGTTCGGTTTGCTATGCGGGGACATCTGGACGTCGTCCGGTCGGTTATCTTCACAGGAGGCGGCAGTCCAGCGGAACCCGAGTTTTGTACCGCAAGTGATGATGGATGCGTGAAGAGATGGCACATTCCGGTATCCTACGCTCAAGCAGTTTCTGTGGGTGATGATCTAGATCGGACCGCACATTTCACGCATCGTGGTCACATTGGTGCAGTGTGCTCGCTGGCCGCATGTCCAGCATCACCAAACTTCTCCAGCGGCGGACGAGCTGCTGGGGACGGTTGGATATTCTCTGGCGGCGAAGACGCTACAGTTAAAGTGTGGGAACGCGGGCGGGTGGATGCAAAAGCAACGTTGGAAGGTCATAAAGACGCCGTGTGGGCGTTGTGCTGTCTTCCTGGAACGACAGGGACCATACTTGGCGACCGATGTTCCCAGTTTGGCGGACCGGATCGTGTCCTCCTTGCGGCCGGCGGCGCCGACGGCACGATTCTTATCTGGGCTGTCAGCACGCCTCCTCAGCTGAGTTCACCTCCTGCTGGAAGTCGATCGGCACGAGGCAGTCGCAGAGCGAACTCGATATCAGCCGGGTCTAATTTTCCCACCTCGCCGCAGCCTAATGTGGCCAGTACTACGCCCTTCAACTACTGCTTGGTACACAGAATAGAAAGAGCGGACAAGCCGGCACCAACTTCTATTTCGCCTTTGGGCCCTCGGGGAGACAGCTTCGTTGTAGGCTATACCGACGCCAGCATTCTGATCTTCGATACGCGGACGGGCGAGGAAATTGTCGGCATGGCTAGCCAGGAAACCTACGACGGAACCCGCAACACCGGGGTCAATGCTGTGGTTGCTAGTAGCACGGGATTCGACACACGGGATTCAGTTGCGCCAGGCCGACGCGGTTCAATGGGCGAAGACGATGTGGTACACGGCGCCACAGGATCTGACGATGGAGTGGAAGGTGTTGTCATTGCCGGCTATGAGGACCGTTATATTCGGTTCTTTGATGCTAATAGCGGTATGTATCCTGAAGCATGTTCACTTTCTTCCCACTGACTTGTCGCAGGCCAATGCACATACACCATGCTCGCACATCCATCGGCGATTTCCTCACTATCGCTCAGCCCCGACGGCAAGGAACTTGTATCAGGAGGCCACGACGCCAGTTTACGATTTTGGTCACTCGAGAAACGGAGCTGTACACAGGAGATATCCAGTCATCGGATCATGAGAGGGGAGGGAGTGTGCAGTGTTGTTTGGAGTCCTGACGGGAGATGGGTCATCAGCTGTGGCGGAGACGGAGCAGTCAAAGTCTTTTCAAGAACATGATTGCGGCGGCGACTGCTGTGGATTGTTGTTTTTGGTCTGTAGCCATATGATTTGCGAGGCGCGAGGCTGCATCGAAGCGAGGCAGAGCTGGTCATGTGTTGCCCATGTTACCTACTACCACTTGAACTACCTGACCACCGCCGGCCAATCTAGCAGGATTCGTCAAAGCCAAACAAATGTCAAGTTTCAGGGTCAAATTCAACCACCCGAGTCCACTCAGGCTCAACCGTGGAGACCATCTCCTTGATCTACATTGTAGTTGTCTGATTGGGAAACCTTTGGTCCGGCGGCACGGGGGGGG